CTAAGTGCAGGTATAAGCTAAGATTAAGAGTTAGCTTAGATAAAGCAGATAAGATTTAATTATTAATAGATACAAAGATAGCTGCTAAAATGTAGCTCTTCCTCTAGAAGAAGTATAGTAAGGTGCTTATAGCACATGCTATATTAATAGTATAATAACTTATAAACTTTAGAATAGGAGAGGAAGATATAGTAAGATTAGCCTAGGTATAGATTAGTTTAATAATAAAGAGGATTGCAGAGGTTAATAAAAGGGAGTTATATATAAAAGAACCTAAAAGGAAAATTAGGATCCTTCTTTTAGCACTCCCTCCTAAGTTTAAATTAACTAAGAATGCAATTATAGCCTAGCTAATGCTTGTTAGGAACTATAAACAGATCCTACTTATCCTTAAATCTTAGGAAGTAAGGGACCTCTATTATAAGGAGGACTTTATAATAGCAGCCTTTAGAAGGACAAGAACATGCTTCCTCTATAATAGATAACACTTTATACTAGATTGTCTATAGCTAGAAAAGGTAAAGAAAGCAATTAGACCTTAGGAAAATTTCCTATCTAGAAATAGGGATTCTCTAAAGCCTAAAAAGAGAAAGATCTCTAGTAAGAAATACTCCTCCTCTTCGTTAAAGAGGRTTAAGAAAAGAAGAGACTCTCTTAAAGAATTTAAGAAGGCAATAGAGGAAATAATTAGAAAAGAGGTTTYTAAACTTAGGAAAATAAGGAAGACTGCTAAGAAAGCATTCCTTGCTAAATAAGCCTAATCTAGGGAATTATCTCTAACCTTATTAAGTGCTACCTTATCCTAATTTAAGGAGGAAACTAATAAGATTGCACACTCTTCTTTAGAGGCAAAAGGCAAGTTAACCTCCTTAGAATAGTTACTAGACTCCTATGCCTTATTCTATATAACTAACTAACTATAACTCTTTAGATCTATAATTCCACTTTAAAGGAAGAAATAGATTAAGGTTGGGGGTAGATAGCTATAAGCTATATATAAGGGAAGAGTAGTTATAGGAGGCTAGAATAGGAAGAAAATCTTGCTTAATAAAGTTTTGTTTATACCTAATTTAGGAGTTAATCTTGTTTCTTAGAATTAGTTTAGCTATTAGTATAGTGTTTAACTACCCTAGTTTACTCTAGTGTTATAGGATAGAACTCCTATTATCCAGATTAGAATCTAGAATAGTGTTCTATTTATTTTAGAAGTTTTAGAGTCCCTCTAGAAGAGGGCTCTTATTTTATTAGTAAAAGAAGAAAAGGAAGAAAGTAAGGAAATAGGATTTACTATAAGAGAGTTACTAAATTAGTAGGAGCTTTAGNGAAAGCTTCGGGGGAAGTTCTCTAAGGAGCGGTTTAAGAGGGGATTAAAGGACGATATCTTATTATTTCCCTAGCGAAGGCTCGCCTTACTTACTTAACCGCTAACTTAATCGAACCTAAACTTCTTATATTCTATACGAGTAGCTATCGCTATCGCCGGAATTATAGGTACTAGCTTCCGCTAAACGCTTATACTATAGCTTAGAGTACCGTAACTAGGAGATTAAGGACTTAAAGCTTCCTTAATCGCCTATAGTTCCCTCTCCTTCCGGAGATCCGCCTTAGAGAGACTTAGACGTAGCTTAGAAGTTACCTTACCTAGAGATAAGCCTAAAGTAGCGCCTAAGTCGTAAGAGCGTAGAGAGCGCCTTAAGCTTATAACGATATCGCTAGTATTCGCCGTAGGTCGCTTTCCGAGTAATTTCGCGCTTAGGGTAACTAGCGGGTCTTAACCGTTACCCTTCTTACCCTTATTACCGTCGTCGCTCTTCTTAGATCCCTCCGCCTAGCTACGAGTTATACGCCTATCGCCTATAGCTTCTTAATATATATAGCTAGTATAAGAGAAGACGTATATAATAGATAGAGGAAGGGGAAATATTAATTAAGGGACTTAATTAGGGAAGGGGAAGATAGATATAGATACGGAGGAGAAGGTTAGTAGATTAAGAGGGCAAGTTAATATATGCCCTAGTAGCTCTTAAGCTGCCGGATATACGTTACGCCTCGACGCTCCCGCACTCCGTATACTACTTCCGCTCCGCTACGCTATAACTACCTACTTAAGCCGAAGTAGCTAATCGTATAYRYTATATACGTACTACTCTAAGCTACTAGCTATATAAAGGATATAGCTTATAGCAAAGTAGAAGTAAACCCTACGTCTAAGCCTTTTACTTAAGCGATAGGGCTCTATAGAATAACCTATAAGGACCCCCTAGGTCTTTTAAGTAGCTCCTATAGTTTTAAGGGTAAAATAACTTAGTAGAGGAGGATGTTCTTAAAGTCTCCACTTAAGAACTAAGTATATATGCCTAAGGCTTAAGTAGCTACGTAACTTAGGCAGGACTATATAGCCGAGGAATTTTCCCTTAAGTAAATCAAAATCAGAGTTCATCCATTTTAGAACACTGGGATTTGCCGCGGCTTACGAAATCCGAGACCCCGGTCCCATTGAATATTGAACGGAGCCTCATCAAATCTGCTTGCACCTAGCCGCAGGGCGACTTCAATGGATCTTGATCGTCGTCTCCTTTTGACTACAGTGCCGTGATAAGCAGGTACGTCTTCAGAGGCACATACATCAGATACGAAGAAGCAGGAGATAACAAACGAGCCCCTACAAGGCATGTCCACCAAGCTTTAGCTGTGATCAAGGCCGCGGACCTGCAAAAGAGCACAAAGGAGGAGAGTAAGGTACAACGCTTCCAAGATCTGCTGGATCTTGGCCGAAAATATCCTTCGAAAGTGCAGCAAGAGAGATGTCCGCCTCGGCCTGTGCAAGTTCAATCGTATCATGTCGTGTTTGTCAGATGTGTTCAAAGGCGAGCCGCCTAGTGCGGGTGCGTGTTAACCGGCTTGTCCTCCATCCCACCCGTGGAACGTCTGAGACACCTTTCCGGACCACCGTCCCTCGGATAGGCTTGACAGGCTCAACAAGGTACTGCCGGGCTGAGTGCCGGCGGTCTCGCGTCCGGTCGTTCTGGCCTGTTCTGGACAGTCCGCCGCCTGTACGCTGAGATGGCAAGCTCGACAAGCTTCAGCGCCGCGACAATGATGGTTTCACTGTCGACTATGATGGACAGGGTGGGATGCAATGGGGTGGGGTGGAATGGATCAAGTTAAGCCTGCGTCTTCACTCTGCCGCGTTCCGTGAGCCGTGACTGGGCARTGGATACCTGTTCTTGCTCTTTCTGCAATGTCAACTTCATGTCGCATCACCGACTGTTGAAGCAGGTAAGGTAGGACGTTAATTGCCAATCGGGCCTCCTACCTGAACGAACGTGCCGGCCGCACCGTCCATTGCAGTGTTTTTCTTTGTGCTAAGGAAGGAAATGGCTGCGGATGGATTGGCCAACGGGATTGAGCGGTCGCTTGCGACAGAGTTCGTCGACCATCAAGGTGCTTTTCCAAAGACACCATGGTCCAAGCGCGGCCCACCATAAAGCATCCAAAGGTTCACGACGTGGGAACCCGCATTAAAAAATAAAAAGTCGCGTGGCATGCCCGCACTGCTTTTTCATCCCGACAATTCGACCGCACTGATAATCCTTACAAGAACGACAAGAACGACAAGAACGGCGAAAACGGCAAGAACGGCGAAAACGACAAGAACGACAAGCACTATCTGGGCAGAACAAGCACTCTCTGGGCACAACAAGCACCATCTCTTTGGAGATCCTGCCCAGCCGACTACTGCACCTTCCACCGGGTCTTCAACTACAACTAGGTACACCTCGCTTGCTGCTCTCCTCAAGTGATCTTTCAAAATGGACCCTACCGCCGTATGGCCAAATTCCTACCCGGCTACGTCAGGTCTTGACGACACAACGGCAATGAATGTCAATTTGACATATGTCCGAGAAAATGAGCTGATGCGCGATGTGACATGCTTCCTCAACGACGCTGGCAATGAGTACGACCAACACCTTGGTGTGCGAGTCTCAGCGCTGTTCGTCGTCTTGGTCTTGTCCTCTGCTGTCACCTTCTTCCCCGTCATCGCAACGAGGAGCAAAAGGCTGCGAATCCCACTCTACGTCTACCTCTTCGCGCGATACTTTGGTGCCGGTGTCATCATCGCAACTGCCTTCATTCAGTAAGTGGATCACGAACCATCGCATCATGACCATTGCTCAGTGGCTGACATTCGACAGTCTCCTCGACCCTGCGTATGAATCGATCGGCCCTGCTTCTTGCGTCGGAATGACCGGTGGATGGTCAGAGTACTCCTTCGTGGCTGGTATCGCTCTTTCAAGCGGCATGTTTGTCTTCCTGCTGGACTTTGCGGCCGAGAGATACGTCGAGAAGAAGTACGATATGGCGCATAGCCATGGCGAGAACTTCATCTCCGAACGCCGTGGATCTGTTGATGACGCAGCGCTGGCACAGTATCAGAACATGAGTCGCCGCATCTCCACCCACCAGCACCTCCACTCAGGAGACCAGGACCAGCAAACGCACACTCATGATCAGAGTCCATCCATTCCCAAATCTTTGGGGACCGCCAAGGGTTCCGATGTTGAATCCGTGAGCATCGATGAGAAATTGACCGAGGCCCTGGCAGAGGAAGGTTTCAGAAAGCAGATTGCTGCATTCCTTATTCTGGAGTTCGGCGTGCTCTTTCACAGCGTCATCATTGGGCTCACATTGAGCACTTCGGCCTGGGAGGAGTTCAAGATTCTCTATCCAGTCATTGTCTTCCACCAATCTTTTGAAGGTCTGGGAATCGGCGCTCGTCTGTCCGCAATCCCATTTCCAAAGCGTTTGAGCTGGATGCCCTGGGCACTTTGTGCAGGRTACGGCCTGACAACACCACTCGCAATCGCCATCGGCCTTGGCGTGCGCAACACTTACAACGCCGGCTCCTTTACGGCCAGCGTCGTATCGGGAGTCCTAGATGCCACCAGCGCTGGTATCCTCATGTACTCTGGCTTTGTAGAGTTCTTGGCAAGAGACTTCTTGTTCAACCCAGATCGTACAAAGGACGACAGACAGCTAGCTTTCATGGTTTTCAGCGTGGTTCTCGGTGCCGCTTTGATGGCCTTGTTAGGGAAGTGGGCCTAAGGATGCAGTGTCATGGTCCGAGGACCAGATTATAGATKATATGGCTGCTGCAAAGGTTGTGCATAGAAGAAACCAGTTCGATGCACACGACATCGCTCGCTTCGCGACGCATACTTAATGGGCTATTGTATTGACATGAATGAAAAGTTCAATAATGACTCAAGCTTTTGGATTGATCTATGTTGTGATTCATGTCAGAACGCCTCTCTCCCCTCTCCCTCTAAGGCCATAACTCCAAGTGGTGGCTCTCTCGACCGTCCTGCATTTATTTTCATCTTGTATCGCCAAACCACTTTATCTGGCTACAGGCAAACTCATTGCTTTCAAGGCGCGGTAGGATTCGTGCAGCCCTGTGGTTGATCAGAGTTGCCAGTGGAGTTGGAGACAGCATAGCTAGAGCCGACGCTGAAGTAGTCCTCCTCCCGAAACTGTCCAACATTGGTCGCAAAACTCGCGGGCCAAGTCTCGTTGTACAATGAGCAGGACTGTCCGACTGCTGTGGTGCCATTGTAGAGAATGTAGGTATTAAAGAACTGGCATGTTTGATAGGACCCGTCCTTCTCTGGGTGTTCCTGGTTATAGGCAGCTATCCATTGTCAGCATATCTTGTCTTTAGAGAGAACGTTGGATGATACGAACATTGAGATGAGCAAGCAGCAGCGCATTTACCAATGTCGAAGACGCCCGTGGTGAAAACTTTGACGCCCATATATGTTTCCCTTCCGTTGCAGTCGGCTGGGGCGAAGATTGCACCGTTGTCTAGGAAGACGGGGTWCTCGTAGCCGGGAGGAGAGGCTATGCGTTGGTTGACGTATCCATTGCTTCCGGAAATGACTACATGGAAGTCTCGCCTCCATTGCCCGTCGTTGTAAGCAGACCTTGGGGTAACTGGACCTCCCCAATACACGCATTTGATCACAGTTGTTGAGGGTGGGTCGGTACATCCGTCCTCGTCGACGCTGGGGTCTCGCTCGAAGTAGACGTTGATGGACTGGCATCCCACGATCTCGTCGCATCTCTTCGAACATTCGGGGACGTTGTACGTTTCGAGGACTGAGTAGCCCATGTACCCATACACGCCTTGGCTGGATGCGTTCTGGTTGGTGTAGACTGATGCATATCCCTCAGGAGCTTCGGCCGAGTTTGCAGCCGAGGAGAAGGCTGGGTTGTTTGAAAAGTTCTCAGCAGTATCGTCCTCGTCAGGCTGAATCGCACATGCGGTGTTGTTGACCGACGTGCTGCGTCGCTTCAAGACGCTGTCGGCTGGATTTGCTTGCACCGAAGCAGACACTGCAGCAGCTGCGGCTGTTGGAATGTATGTAAAGGTCGTTTGAGCCGAAGCAGCATTCACAACTGGAATTGTGGGGGTCGCAACTGGTGTAATAGCATCTATCACATTCCAGTCGATGGCCTGCGGAACCGGGTTTGCCAATGCATGTCCCGCGATGAGTGTTGCAAGTCCAAAGGAGCGCATATTTGTTAAAGAGATCGTGAAGGAGACTGAGCTGTGAAGGAATGTAGTTGGAGATCGAGTTGTGATGATTGATGGTGGAAGGGAAAGAAGGACTTCGCTATTTGAATACCTCAAGCCTGGATTAATTACACATACTGTCCGGCAAGAGTTTTTCTAGCCTCTATCCATCGTCTTGGGATCCACTCAACGTTCAGGGACTCTGTGGCGTTACAGATTCCTATCCTAGTCTCGCCAGTGAAACTGTTGTGGATTGAATCTATGGTGACAGCAAGTCGCGGCGCCCAGGAAATTCTCTTGTCGGGGAAGATGATGATGTTTTCGTGGTACGATTGGCATCCGTCAGGAACTCCTCAGGACGGATTGAGGGGCGGCACGTAGTCGCGGCCCTCGAGGCACACTCTGTGGCAACAATTTGTTGAACCGGTCTCCCCGTGAGAAGGACATATCAGCCAGCCAAGCAACGCATGGGGATCTTGTTGAACAGGGGCCAGTCCACGAGTCGCTCTTCTCTGGTAGGACCGTCATAGCGGCATGGCAGAAGTGTGGCGGACCCACTTGGGAAATGTGTATCATTCTGGACCGTACTCCGCTTCGTTCACTTCGCGGAGGCTAAGTCTCGTCTTCTCTGCTGGAATGCATACTTGGAATAGGCTTGAGCAACTGGTTGAATGGCTCTTCCAGTTGATAATTTGGACTCGCTGTCGCCGATAGCATGATGGCCTGGAGGTGCTGGTCAGTGAGGAAGTTCGAACAGAGTTCACGGAAGTGGAGAAGCCATGGACCATGTGTCAGCCTCGTGTCGCGGCAAGCGAGAACCCGTTCACGGCAGCCAGATGCCGATGCACGCACCAGCCTGCAACAACGTGAGGACGATTGTACCTAGGTAGCCATTCATCGATTGCTTTCTTAGTCRCGAGTTATGCCGATCAGTGCGAATGAATCATTCACAAGACGTCGGGAGGCGGCCAAACAAGAACCATGACTGACGCTTTGCGAACCTTCGAGATCCGACACGGAAGGACCACGAGCATTGTGGGAAAGTGATCAGGTGATTGATAGATATGCACGAATCGTATCTGAGGCTCATCGTTGCTGAGAACAAGGTAGCTTATTCTGACCATGATGAGTAGTCGAAGAAGATTCTGGGTCGAAAGTATTGCTCCATCACTCCAATGTGCTCACCGAACTCATGCGCACCAATGGCACTAAGGTACATACACCAGAAGGGTCATATCGTAAGTCCCCCAGCTTTCAAGCCAATCACAACGTTACTCCGGCGTCGCACAGAATGGGGGAGGTTTACTCGCCCTCTCCATCACCGACGACGTGGATTCTAGGCGAGGAAGAATGTGTTAGCACGACAACAGAGGTGAAATCTGCAATGCGATCTAGTTGATACTCACCTGCAATTCACGATTTTTTCCAAGCTCTCAATGTTCCCGCCCACCTGCTCCAACTCGACTCGAACAGCTTTGGACTCCTTCAGCATCTCCTTGTGAACGTCACTGACCTGATCGAGCACAGTAGAGCTCTTCTTCACCAGCTCATTGTGATCCCCGCGAAGCTTCTCCACAGCGACCTCGTCCTTGTGTTGTCTCTGGCGCACACGGCTGCGATGAGACCAGTAAAGCTGATGGATTCCAGGTGGCTCGTTGGCGAGCGTAGCACCGTGCGCGCGCTGATAGAGTGAGGGGTGTGCGAGATGTTGGTCCTCAGCTTGCTCCACGGTCACCAAAGCGCGCATGGTCGCGTCTTTGACTTGGTCGCGAAGTGAAGAGACTTGGCAGGCGAGATCGTGGATGAGATTCATGAGGACCGAAGGTTCGGATGCTGGGCTGGCTAGATTGTGCGCGCTCGTGTCTGGCGGAGTGGTGGAAGCCATTGCTGATTGAAGTGTTGGGTGGATGTGATGGAAGAGTTGTCATGAGAAGCAAGGATGATGCAGCGCAGTCCGCACTGTCATCGGTCATGTGAATCAGCAGGCGGAAGCGAATGGTGAGAGCAATCAGATTTACTACCAAGATATACGTACAAGATCCAAACGCATATGCGAGAACGCTATCAACAATCCCCGCGACCGCTTGCTAAAACAAGCCGATTCAACGCTATATGCATCGTGCTCTTGAATGACCTCACGATTTGCCGGGAAACCGCAAGTCGAGCAAATTTGAGGATCTACCAGGTCTCCGCGATGTATTGGCCTGCTTCCTTTTTGCCGTCCCAGAATTGTTTCGCAGTCTCGTAATCAAGATTGCCCTTGTCCATGGCCACGTCAATGAGAGCAGCCTCGACACCTTCACCCATACCTTGCGTAGAGCCACATACGAATAGACGGCCATCCAAAGAGTTGATGACGAACCACACGACGTCGGCTTGAAGACGTACCTCGTCTTGGACGTATTTGGCAACTTTACTCTCGGACCTGGCCTCACTTGCAGTCTGATCCACTACATCGCCTTCATTCTCGGCTACCGGAGGTAATGGCTGCGCACGGGACTGTACCACCTTCTTGATCTCAGACTCGTGGGCACCGAGCTCTCCACGATAGATCTCGTCCAGCATGCTGTCCCGGATGCCTTGAATGAGCCAGATTTTGTTCGCACAATTGGCATTCTTTAGTCTGTTCAGAATGAATCCTCTGAAAGGTGCCATGCCAACTCCTGCACCGATCAGAACCATAGGTCCATCGCTTGCAAACTCTCGTGAGAGAGGGTTAGACATCAAGCCCCGGAACATGGGCACATGGAGATTAAGCTTGCGACCAGCGACGCCGCGGGGCAGGGAAGAGCCATTTGCCTCAGCTTCTGCCTGCAGTCTTGCCTCTTCTGCAACAAACTTGTTTGCAATTCGCTCGAGGAAGCCGGAGCCAACACCAGATCGCTTATTGTTGATGTAGTTTGGAGTTTCGTGGATGGTAACGGCAATCTCAATCAAGCGACGACCAGCAAGGCCCTCCCGAGCTGATGAGACATGAGGATCGTTGGAGAGCGAGTAGAATCGCGGCATGAGCTGGTTCAATACAGAACAAAAGGCCTCGAGAGACGGCTTCGCAGAGGGGAAAGCGTGGAGGAGCTGCTGGACTGTGATGTGCGGACCAGTTCTTAGGTCGCAGAATGTTGCCTGCCCCTGTGCGCTGCARAGGTACTCAAGAATCTTCTTCTCGTTTGGCTCCGATGCATGCTCGGCGAGCAACCGGAGAAGTGGCTTCGTAGGTGCGGTCGATGAAATATCGACGGTCCATGTCAAAATCTCTCGCCGCGTCGTGACGAGCTCTCTCGCTGCTTCATCGCCCCAGATGGTCGGCCACCGACCCCCTCCTGTTTGCAACCGGATGGGCTTGTCGCGCTGGAATCGTGGAATTCCAAGCTGGACCAGGATATCTTCRACAACGGCTGGATCGTTCSGCGGACATACACCAACAGCACCTCCGACCTTGAAATCAACACCACCTTCTTCGGGGTAGTCTGTAACGTCAAGGTCGAAGTGGAATGTTCGTTTCTCAGCGCCAGGTTTGGTGAGCTCACGTGCGTCGTAGACCGGTGCATTGAAGACGCTGTACGGCGGGTGTGGCTGCATGTATTCGGGTGGGAAGTTTGTGACGGCTTCTGCGCTGTGTTTATGATGCGCCTCGCTCGGGAAATTCTCTTCAATGGACTGCTTTCGCAGGGGTAGGAACGCGWCCTTGGTCTCAGGAGGCTCCCCAATCTTGGTCAACTCGGTGTCGAGGGACAGCGATCTCAAATTAAGGTTCAAGAACCGATATGCGTTGTTGCTAGGTGTGATGATGGGAGCGAATGCCTCGTCCGTGTGAAGAGGAAGTGACTCGATCATGCAGCATCCATCGCCGCAGCAGTAGCTTCGCAGGAAAGCGGTGCCTCCATTGCCAATCAATCTTCTGATGTCGTCCACGTTGGACGCATATGTCGTTGAACGTCGCCGTCTTCCCGCTTTCTCGGACTGCTCCAGCGTCATTTGTGGAATCTTGTGTGTTGGTGGCTCTGCTACATCGGGTTCCGTGATTGGGCTTTGCGTTGATGCATCGTCTGAGTCGCTCGTATGGCTATCAGTATGCAAGCTAACCCCGCTCGAGTTGGGACTGCCGGCGGCGGCCATGTTGCTGAGCCTCACGGCAGGCATCGAAGATGGTTCGGAAGGGATCGGATTGTCAGGATGCGAGGTCTTGCTGAGCGGAATGGCCTTGTGGTGGTGGACCGCCGCCCTCGCAGCGTTTCCAAAAGACGAGAATGAATGACGTCGACCGCTGCTCTGCGGTGTTGTTGGCGGGGACATTGCGGAAGCAGTGGCGCAAAGGCGAAGGATCGGTGGTGGTGTATTGATCTATATCTGAGAATTTGCGTCAGGACACATTGGTAAATATGAAGAGTGTAGCAGCTGGTGGCGGTGTTGAGTAAGGTAGTGTCAGTCGATCCAATTCTAAGACTCGAGTGACATTTTGCGGGCCAAACGTTTAGGCGCGGGAGGTAGGGCTACCAAACTCTTCTACCGCAAGACTGCCGAAGAATGCGACCGCGACCGCGACCGCCCTGGACGAGACGGACGGCGGCGGCGGCCGCGCAGTCATCAGCATCACCATCTGCATGCAAGCGTTGATGCCGCTGCTGACGGCCGACGGCGCTCCATGCAATGTATTGCTGCCGTCGTTGCCGCTGCCGCCGCCACCTGCCCACCGCCGCTCCGCGATAGGGCCTCGGTCATGAGGGGTAGAAGTGTGGATCTGATGTGAACGTACCTTTTCTTGAAGGATCGCGCGATCTGATAAAAATTATCAGATCAAAGTTGGGCAAAGCGAAAACGGCGGGGGCAGAGGAAGCGTTCGACCGGAGAATTGGCTGCGAATATGACGCGCTATGCGATTCAATTGTTTCGCTTTGTCTTCAAAATCAAGCCGAGACAGCAATGCCTAGGTGCGTTGAGGGAGGTGTTGTAGGAGAAAGAACGAGGAAAATGGCATGATTTAGTGGAGATTCTAGAGCTCCGATGGCGGACGATCTTTCACAGTTTCGTGAATCGAGATGACAGACCCTCGCAAAACTTGCCCCTTGACCTGCAATAGTAGTTCTAATTAAACCTGGAATTTGTAACGGAACCCGACAGCCTTGGTACGAAGTACATGACTGTCGTCGACTCGATTCGCAACCGWGGGCTTCCGTCGTCTTGTACGACAGGTCGCCCCCCACTCCTCCACCACCCGGATGTCCACCGCTATCCGTGTGCCCGTTCTCAAACGTCGTTCACCGACTGCATAGATCTAAAGCCAGGGTTGGCCTTCCACGCCGTCAATACTAGAACTACTGAGACAACCCGTAGCAAGCAAGCAGCAAGCGGAGGCCATTCAACGTAGAACATGCTGTTCGTTGCCACAGACGCCTTCGTCACGGTATCGGCACGGTAAAGGCCCACGAGAGGATGCTCCATAACGGACGTTCAGAGGAGCTACATATAATAATTACCTATTAAGGTGCGGTGTCGCCGCAGCATTTCCTCACCTAAACCGGAATGAATGAATGCCGTCAAAACACCTGCAGCTCTCACAACCACCTCTTGTTGCCAAAGTGGCTGACAAATTGACCGCCAAACTCCTCAACGGTCGCTCTCTCAATCACCTTCAACTGGTCCTCCACACTCTGTGATGGCGAAGTCGGGCCTGAACTGCAAGTCAGTACGAGTCTTCGAGGACTCTCGAATGGAAAGATGCAGCTCACCAGTAAAATGAGGAGCGAATTTAGCAAACTTCGCGCCCATAGCTTGTGCTACCTTGAGGTCTTCTTCGCTCGTCGACTTGCCCTCCGACGTATCGACATAACCGGGACTCATAGCCAGCACCAGGATTCCCTCGCTCCTCCCGACAGTTGCATGGTACTTGGCAACCAGCATATTGACTGCAGCTTTCGAGATACTATACGGAGCCGCAACCGCAACATCAAAGCCAGTTACAAGGCCCTCATCTGCCATCCCAGTGCTGGTCACGATCATCTTCTTCACGTTTCCCTTCCGGATCAAAGGCAGGAAAGAAGAGAGGACGTGCGAGGCTCCCACWACATTCGCCTTGAAACTTTCCATCAAGTCATCTTCGAATTCTTGGGGTGGCATCTCAAGTGGTGTTTTGAACGCGCTGCGTTCGCTGACCAATGCAGCATTGTGGATGAGGATATCCAGACCACCGCCCGTGATGGTGGCAGTCGCATCGGCTGCCGCTTGCACTGCCGCAATGTCTGTGACATCGGCAGAGAGAACATGGATGTTCGTGATTCCGTCTTTAGATAGGCGAGCCTCTGTTGCCGACTTGTTTCGTACGATAGCAATGACCGTATTGGATGAGAGAGAGGCAAGGTGAGTAATCCAGGCATAGCCTAGGCCGCGCGAGGCTCCTGTCACGACATAAGAAGGCATGTTTGTTCGTGATGTCGGCTTGGTGTAATAGGCCGAGTCGAGTCGAGTTTGATATTATTACTATATGGAATGGACTGGCAGTGCGACTACCAGATGCACATATATATACACATACCTTATGTCCGATAAGTTTCGATGCCGAACCTCGTCTTTCAAATGCCCTCTCCACCTATTCGCGTACTTCAAGACGCTCAGACGACTGTGGGGTGTATGTCAGACTGACACAACATTTGGCTGCCTGCAGGTGCTTACAGAAAGCTGATCAATCAGTCCTTGAATTCGCAACTGTGGCGCTTGTATCCTCCGGCTGACAAAACTCCTCCGGGCTCTAGAATATCATCATCGTATCGTTTGCAAATTAGTCTGTTCTACACTAGCAGCGCAAATCCAGAGAAGGCGAGCATTTCTCGCGCATTAACTGTGGGGTATCTGCAGTCATTCCAAACCCAAACACAAACAAAGCTATACAACCAGCTTCGTGATCCCACGGAGCATCCTGATACCTTTGCCAACAACGCCATGCCTTTGATACTGCAAATCTCCCAGTACGCCCAACTTGTTGCTTGAATCATTCCTTGGTGTGTTCTGTGATCTAAAGGGGAAGAGGTCTATTCTTCGTATGCGCCAGCAATGGCTCCGGCATCAAACTGCGCTTGGTAGAGAGGAGTGTCCTTGGAGAGTTCACCTTGCCGCTCAGTGACGACAAAGTTCATGTTGTCGTGGACATAAAATCCGACTACCATCTCGTCGAATGGCTTGGCGAGGCTGCATGGCTGTAGGTTGAATCGAAGCAGAGTCTGTATTTCTTTCGTCAGCTTCACTCCAAACTCACGATAAGATTCAGGATCGGCAACTCACCTCAAGAATGGCCTTGTTCAGCTCCATGGTAGCAACGCCTCGACCCAAGCATCCGAATCTGCCGTAGCCAAAGCACAGCGACACCGTGTCCGTCATCTTTGTGACGCGAGCGCGCTCCTGCTCACTTCCATCACTCGGCAACCAGCGTTCAGGACGGTAGATTTCGACATCGGCGCCAAAGATGTGCTCATGTCTCATCATGGCCCAGCTGTTCCATCCAATCTGGGTGCCACCCGGCACAAACTTCTCRACACCATCAACCTCGACGTATGCACCCTCATTGGGCACACGCTTGGCTAATAGACCAGTCACCGGCGGGTACATGCGCAAGCCTTCCTTGATACATGCCTGTAGATACGGTAGCTGCCTCGCTTCTGAATCCTTGATGACGGGACGGCTGATCTTGCCAGCCTCGATGCCAGCGCGGGCCTCTGCCAGTACGCGCTCCAAGATCGGCGGCGACGTCGAGATGAAATGCAAAGTAAGGCGCAGCGAGGACGCTGTGCTATCGGAACCTGCGGTGATCTGGGTGAGTGTCTCGCTCTCCAACTCGCCCTGKGTCAGACCCTTGTTGATGAACGCGCCCAGCATATCCTTGCGTACCACTGGCTTGGTTCCGAATCGTTCTCGTACGCGATCTGCCGCAAAGCCCATGACACGTCCAATACCTCGCTTGTCGGTTGACTTGGGGAGCGCAGATTTGAGAAGAGGAATTTTCATCAGGTTTGTGAGCTCGGTGTACACACCAAAAACGATGATGGCCGGAAGTAGCTGAGATAAGTTGGCAATGTAACCAAACGGATCGTCATCGTTTTCCAAGAAGCCAAAGGTCTGACCAAAGGCGATCTTTGAGATCACGTCGAGGGTGAAATATTGAGTCACGCGGCCGAGGTCACAGATTCTGAAAATACCTTCCGCGGGACGATTCAAGTACTTGTCAATGATCAAGTCGTGCATGTCAAGCAGCTTGTCATCAACGTCTTGCTCCAAGAGAGGGTTCTCCTTGCCAGAGTAGCCGGGCGCCATCCGATGGCGTAGGTCTGCATGCTTGCGCTCATCGGTATAAGATGTGATGTTGTCGCGTTCCGGGTGGAGCTTGAGGGCTGCATACCAAGGCCCTCTTGTGAAGGTCGAACGAACAGCATTCATGCGTCGCAACAGGTCCGGGTCTGATGTGATAAGCATCTGGGGCCCGATGCGAGCGGTTGACCCTGGATAACATGTGAGCAACCATTACGTATCGCAGCATCGCAAACTGGCATGTCGACGACTTCGAAGGATTGCATTTGAATGTCAGGTGATGGAGTGCAATGCCCACATTGGCTACCTTGGGCAGCTTCGCGTAACTCGATCGACGAATCGGTGTGCGCGCCGGAGAAAAGCGACAGGTGGAGGGATGATGGAATGGAGCGACCGAGGGATGTTGACTGAAAGGGAAAACACACTCACCATGCTGTTTGTTAATTGCAGTGAAGTGCTTGTGCATTTCACCACTGCTCTGAGTCCTGAGGAGCCACAAGCGTGACCAGCCAGCAGACCAGTGGCCGCCAAAATGTCGCAGGGCATGGTGTTGGCGGACCACTCGTACGACGTAAAAGGCGAAGATTGCAAATATGGCTATCGGTATCGAGTGAACCATTGCGGCGGTAATGGGAGCTTGAGCTGAGGTGTCCGAGGGGCCGCACGTCGTTTCAAGCGTCGTGCAGGGCGCGCAATTGGCAGCGRCTGTCAGCGACCAGCGTGTTGGGACGGTGATCGCTCGGATCTGTGCTGCCTTGWATGCTCCGCCGGAAGCAAAYGCGACAGTGTCTCAAGGTGTTGAGAGCGAGCGTTGCAGCAGCAGACTCGCAAGAAGCAACATACAAGCTCACGCGGGAGACGGATGACGCGGCATGGATGTATGCTTGTGGATACTGTATGGATGTGATAGTGGTGGGCGAATAATGTATGCGGGCGGTGGACGGAAAACGCATTAAGTTCGAGCTCCTTCTCCGCCCTGCAGCTCGTGAGCAGCAGCAGCAGTAGTGAGGTTCGCACGTTGAGCTAACGTATTTCACCCATGCCACTGCTAGTCTCCGCTAACTCGACGGCTCCCACGGCTGCTTGGTCCGCGCACATGCTCTTGACGCGGCTCGACGCAGTGGGTGCGGCGTGAGCTGGCCATTGTCGGAGCCAGAGTATGCGCCTCGCCTCGCCTCCGCACCAAGCCAAAGAAGCAATGTCGGAGCGCAAGCGTCGAGTCGACCCACCAGCAAGCTGCGAGACTGATCGATCACCCAGTCGTCGGCGTTGCTGGCTCCCGGACCTTCAACAGCTTGGCCTGCCAAGTGTGATGTGATGAGATGGCACCACACGAGCTTGCAGTTGTAGCAGTCTCTCAGAGGTTGATTTAAGCGAGATTCTTGGTTTTTCGCCTGGGGCCATCCGACGGGCGCTTCGGGGGCTGCCGGCAACTCCGAGCCAGCAAATGGGCGGTCCCGGACTTCCTTCCACCTTGCGCTTCTAGCGCATGCATCGAACAACTCTGTTGTCTCAGGTTACGAGTTCTTCGCTCTCTACCGTCGAAGACGGCGGAGTGGGTGTGCAGAGTTCGCATAAGGAGCTGCCCACTGTGCCTCCTGTAGCAGTCTCCTTCCCATCCTACTTTGTTGGCTGATTCTTGTAGAGGCTGCGACTCGCCCGCATCTTCTGTCGCCTGTAGCCTTTGGGTGGGGCCCAAAGGCAAACGACTGGCCATTAGGTGGAACCTGGAACAGTCCGTTTCGACATACTCGGTTGTATTCTCCGAGCACGCACGTTGCAAGCGAGACAAAGACACTGGGCGCACGAGTACCTGCTTATTATCCGTGGCGGCTTCCTAGCTTTACGCCTTTGAATTTTGATTCCGCACATCTACATCAAGGGCAGCTTCGACCATGGAGTCGAGGGCAGCAGGAGACGACAACGGTGAGGCCCAGCGAGCTGCAATCGAAMGCGAACTGGCCGACAAGCTACGAAACCATAACGACTATCTCAAGAGCTTCGACGAGCCGCAAGCCAACCACATTTCATCTTCCGAAACCGCCACTGATGTACATACACCCAGCAATGGCGTCGTTGCTCAGCCGTCTCAAACTTCGCTCCAACCGCCAGAACCAGCATTGCAATCGGTTACAAACCACGCCGATCCACAGAATTCGACGAGCGCGGCAGGGCCAGCGGTAGCGACAGCGCAGGCAGTGGCGCTCGATGGGCAGATGGCTGAGGAGCAGCAGCTCGAACCAGATGTGTGTCGCATCCCACGTCCGCCGAGGCGCCGCTTGAGGCGTTCTCCCGCGAGTGAAGAAGATCTAATGAACGTGTACGTATAGGAAATTGATAGTGACTCTGCTCTGGGTAGCGATGCGTGAGACTCCTCTCAGACCACAGGGGGTAGTCGTAAGCTGACGGTCAAGTAGAGCAAGCATTACCACCAGCCTGAGCGAGTCCATATACAATTATCGCAGGGAACACGGCAGGACTTATCATGGTAAGGCATAGTGATATGCTYCAAAGCGAGCCGATAGATGTTGACGGACGTCCAGCGTACAAAGACGGCAAATACATCTTTCCCAATGATGAAGTAAGCGCATTGCCTGCTACCACCCAAAGCGCAATGCATCTGACCCAGCCTAGCGAGAAGCCGATCGTCTTGACCTGCAGCACCATCTTCTGCGCATAACGTATGCGAACAAGCTGTTCTTTGCGCCCATTGAGAATCCCAGGAGATGTCTAGACGTTGGRACGGGCACAGGCATATGGGCGGTGGATTTCGCGGATGACTTTCCAGACTGCCAGGTGACTGGTATCGATCTGAGTCCCGGCCAACCCACACTGTACGTTTCGTTGTGGGTGTCTACCAGAACGCCAGTAGGCTGACTTTCGCAACCAGTGTTCCGCCAAATCTGAAGTTCGTGATTGACGATGCCGAAGACATGTGGCTTTATCAGGAGAAATTCGACCTCATCCACGCACGATTAATGTCGGGATGTTTCTCGGACTGGCCAAACTTTCTACGACAAGCTTACGAGTGAGTCCGAGTCCGAGCATTGGCTTTTAAGAAATTCTGTCGCTGAACAAGTTTAGCAATCTTGAGCCAGGCGGATGGCTTGAGCTCCAGGACTACGGGCTTCCCGTTCGGTCAGCAGATGGGACGCATCTCGGCACTAGCCTCTTTCTATGGGGCCAACTCCTTTGCGAAGCTGCGGCGAAGATAGGACGACCCCTCGGCTCCGACGCATCTGAGCATTTTGAAGAGTGGATGAAAGAAGTCGGGTTTGTCGATATCCAGCAGAAGATGTTCATGTGGCCCACAAACAGTTGGCCCAAAGATGCATTCATGAAGGAGCTCGGACGCTGGAATCAGGTCAACATCATTGACGGACTCGAAGCATTTTGTTTGGCGTTGTTGACGAGAGGTCTGGGATGGAAGAAGGAGGAGGTGGACGTTCTGGTGGCCAAGACGACGTCTGATTTGCGCAACAGGCGAATCCACGCTTACTTCCCGATGCCGGTCATTTATGGGCGAAAGCCCTTTCCAGGCGAGACTTCCAACGGTTGGTGAGGAGGGCAGAGATATGTATAAAATTTGTTCTGAGGCCGTTGAGATCGCCAGCAATGTTGATATGCGACTCCGTCCAGAATGACATGCTTATGGCAAGCGAAGTTGCCGGACGGCCAATAAGCTAGATGAGAGCGTATCAATTCTCTAACCCCAAACAAGGAGTGGTACCGCGCTGATGAAGGTGAAACGGAGCCTGACTCTGTGGCAACATGCCGTGCATTGGACTCGCCATGTTTCCCAACAACGCCACACAAACCGACAAGAAGGCGAGGATAAAGTCAACGTATTCCATTGCCGTCGTAAGAATGCGAGATAGGCCCGTAAAGACCGTTGCTTGCCGTAAATGCAGGCCCCAGGCCTCAAAGGTCTCTGTCACCCAGTGCTACGTCATATTCTTGCAGGTATCGTCGCACGCACACTCGCAAGGACGAGAAGCCTTGATCTGCTAACGAGGAGATGGTCTTGAATGTGACTCAATCGAAGAGGCTTTGGAAGCACGGGAGAAGGAACCAGGCACCTTGCTGGTGCAGCGCGCGCGCCGATAGCGCGATAACGAAGTGAACGCCGAATGCGTCTGGCCACCTCCCAGCCACGTCATCGTCGCTTCTTTGCCTCGCAGTCGCTCGCCCGTGCCCGTCCAAAAATGCAAGCGACGGAGACGTCAAAATGTGAGCTTCCAGTAGATTCGCACATGTTTGCCATGGCGCGAAGTCRCTTGTGGAAAGTGAAGTGGAATAGTGAATGAGTGCGGTTGGAAAGTGGAACCTTCCAGGCATTCGCTTTAGTGTCGTCACGAGACAGCTGCGCCTCCCTTCCTCTTTAACACCCTCTCGACACCTTCTGTTTCCTTTCATCCACACTCCACACCTCCAACAAACACCACCACTTCCAACACTCACACTCGTCAGCACCACCAACAGCCAGACCACCCACAATACCACACACACCACACGACCGCAACCATGCAGATCTTCGTCAAGACTCGTGAGTAGTACCCCGCTCCGCGCCGGCTGCCGCCGCCTCCATTATGGTGGCGGTCACGTCGCTCCCCTCAATACCCGCCCAATACTGACATTTATCTCAGTGACTGGCAAGACCATCACCCTTGAGGTTGAGTCGTCTGACACCATCGACAATGTGAAGAGCAAGATCCAGGACAAGGAGGGCATTCCCCCAGACCAGCAGCGCCTGATTTTCGCTGGAAAGCAGCTTGAGGATGGCCGCACCCTCTCCGACTACAACATCCAGAAGGAGTCCACTCTGCATCTCGTGCTCCGCCTGCGCGGTGGTATGCAGATCTTCGTCAAGACCCTCACTGGCAAGACCATTACCTTGGAGGTTGAGTCCTCTGACACCATCGACAACGTCAAGTCAAAGATTCAGGACAAGGAGGGTATTCCTCCAGACCAGCAGCGTCTGATCTTCGCCGGAAAGCAGCTTGAGGATGGTCGTACCCTCTCCGACTACAACATCCAGAAGGAATCTACTCTCCACTTGGTCCTCCGTCTGCGCGGTGGAATGCAAATCTTCGTCAAGACACTCACTGGCAAGACCATCACGCTGGAAGTTGAGTCATCAGACACAATCGACAACGTCAAGTCCAAGATCCAAGACAAGGAGGGAATCCCACCAGACCAGCAGCGACTCATCTTCGCAGGCAAGCAGCTCGAGGACGGCCGAACACTGTCAGACTACAACATCCAGAAGGAGAGCACACTTCACCTGGTTCTTCGTCTTCGTGGCGGCCAGTAGACAGGCGGTCTAGGCTAGGCGGGAGTTTTGGGGATTTGCTTTTCATGCCTGATTACGACTTTATGGGTGGCAGATTGTCACGAAGCGGGAAATAGMACACGTGCGAAAGGCACAGATGGTTGTTGAAATGAATATAACCGCCGAGAGATGGTGATCCCGTCTCTTCTCTTCCAGCTCTGCGCGCTCGTTGTGATTGTGACTGTAACCGCGGCACGTCATGTCGGCGCCGATGTCGCTGTTGCCAAATAACTTGTGCCTTGGTGCAGGAYGACAAGCCTTGTATATTCTTTGGTCCTTTCCCATGCCTCCCTTCTCTTAAGCACATGAGATGCATCGGGTATCTCGAAATCCATGGCCTACTTAAATCGTCGCCTCTGGCTTTGGAACAGCCTCGATTCCCCTCCACGATAGAGACCGTGCATGTCTTCCAAGGTTGTCCTGCAGGCACAGTCACGCATCATCGCGTCGCACACGCCGAAGTTTCTCCCACCTTCATCTTCATCTTTGCCTACACAGCAGCACTTCACACGCACATCGATGAGATTCGTATAAAGAAGCTTGCGATGTGCTCAGTGGTAGGTGTCGCCTCWCAGCCCTTTCGATTCTGATGCATCCATCTTTCTTCTTCCACGTGAAGCTCGAGCTCTACCCTACCCGTGCAGCGAACAGCGAGCGACCCAAGAACGGTAGTAAAAGGCTCTCCACAGGCAGCAGCAGCAAGACCATCTTTGTCCCTCCACAAGGCACCGACATCTTCAAGGCAAACCTCCCCGCGCACAAGACCAGCGAGTGGACAAGCTATAGCTTCTCTCGAGATTCACCACAGGGTAGCATATCTGGACACAATCAGCGCAACGAACCACTGTCGCCTGAGGATCAATTCCGCCGCCAGAAACACTTCAACACCTCCCCCGAGACCAATCGAGACTCCCACGGGGATGCGCTACTGCTGCCCGAGCGGAGCCAGCAGTTGAGAAGAGACGTGCCTGCATCACCGCGGACGACACCTACCGTGAGGCACTCGAACGAGGCGGCCGCGAGGGACTGGCGTTACGACGCGGTAGAGATTGAGAGTATCGATATGGAGAGTCGCAGGGACAAGAGCGGAGCGGGTGGGGGACTACACACCAAGGCTGTCTTTCTACCCTCTGATCCAAAGACAACAGACGTCGGTTGGGGTGTTGTGCATCTGTACCGTGATGCGGAGGAGTCAGCCCTGCTAGAGGATGCCACTGCATTGCGGAAGCAAGTTGCGGGCAAGGAGGACGTCCTCAAGGAGGAAGACTGCACAACACTTTGCATTCTCGCCGTGCCGTCTTGGATGATGCCATCGGATTTGCTTGGATTCGTTGGCGACGAGGCCCGCGAGGACGTGATCCATTTMCGCCTGATCAGGACGGGGAGGGCAAACAAGTACCTGGTGCTCATGAAGTTCCGCTCGGCGAGAAAGGCCAAGGAGTGGCAGAAGCTCTACAATGGGCGTCTCTTCAGCTCAGCCGAACCAGAGAATTGCCATGTTGTTTTCATCAAAAGCGTGGAGTTCCTCTCTCCCAACTCCAACGCCGACGGCTCCGGCTCTCACATTGAAGCAGGCGCCGCAGCGAACTTTCCATACAATACGAACGATCCTTTTACACCTGTGCAGTCACATGGGATCAGCAAGGGCCAAAGCATTTCCAGCACCAAGCCATTGGCACCACCTCCGCCCAACCTCTTAGAACTACCTACATGTCCGGTGTGTCTCGAGCGCATGGACGAAACCACCGGCCTCCTCACTATTCTCTGTCAGCACGTCTTCCATTGCGCTTGTTTGGAGAAGTGGCGCGGAAGCGGTTGTCCTGTCTGTCGGTACACGCACTCTCCATCATACACATTTCCTTATCCTCGACCACATGGAGGTGAAGGCGAGGATGGGAATCCCCTCTGCTCTGCTTGCGCGGGAACTAACAACTTGTGGGTGTGCTTGGTATGCGGGAATGTTGGTTGCGGTCGCTACGATTCTGCACATGCATACGCACATTACGAACAGACAAGCCACTGCTATGCCATGGACATCAATACGCAGCATGTCTGGGACTACGCTGGAGATGGATACGTTCACAGACTCATCCAGTCAAAGCCGTCCATGTCGAATAATGTGCATGAAACGGGGGGTAAAGGCGGTGCAGTGGATCTTCCTCTACGCCACCGGCACGCAAATGAGGCTTTCCGCGCGGAAGGAGGTGATTCGGTTCCACGAGAGAAGATGGAAAACATGGCGACGGAATACACGTATCTCCTGACCTCACAGCTTGAGGGACAACGCCGATACTTCGAAGAGCAAGTGGAGCGGGCGGTGGACAAAGCCAGTCAAGCATCCGCTCGTGCTGATGAAGCCGCCGCGTCTGCCCTTGCTGCCAATGCAGAACTCAGCACTGCTCGATCGGAGCGGGAGAGCGTATTGGCTGCTTTGACAAAGTTGGAAAAAGCATTCGAGAAGAGTGAGAAGACAAAAGGAAAGTTCGAGACCATGGCAAGGGACATGAGTGGGCAGTTGAGAGAGGAAAAGATGTTGAACGAAGGCTTGATGAAGAGGATTCGAGCTGCGGAAACACAGGCAGAACAGGCCATGAAGGCCGCCGAAGTCGCTCAGAATGAGAAGAAGGAGCTGGAGGAGATGAATCATGACCTGACAATGTTCATTTCTTCCCAGGAGAAGGTCAAAGAACTCCAAGCGCAGGGTGAGGAAGTGGTGGATGGCAGCGTTAGTGTCCCCGATCCTCCAGCAAAGAGGGGAAAGGGGAAAGGTCGGAAGAAGTGAGAGGACCCTTTTTCACAGAAAGCAAAGCTACTGCTTGTCATTCTGGACCTTGCTTGCTCCTCGATAGTCTCTTGGGACACTTTGAATGATTTGATGCCTTTCGATGTCGTGAGAGCAGCAGGGGAGGTACCATGCCCACAGGCTTCCATTCAATTGATGGAGGAACTGCCTGATAAGTTACCACTCGCTTGCAAYGGTAGCGATCACTAGGGAGGGATTGGAAGGCCTACCTTCACGATAGCGACGAACTGTCTGGAGCTGCACTGACCCAAAGGAAGCTGTCCCTTACCCCCTGGCGGTATGACTTCCAAGAATGTATTCTTCTGCTGGCCGAGATATTCTCGTTGTCGCTCTCGCTCACTGAAGATCAGCTGATCTGAACGATGGAGCGGGGAACTGGAGATATACCGCTGACAGGGGAGGAGCTGGAAAAGCAAGGAGCTTTCCGGATCAAGAGTTCCACGACTCATTCCGCTATGCATCCGTATGACAGAGTTATATAGAAAAAGAAATACTACTGTTGAAGTGTCGAATAGACAAGAATCAACAGTCAGCAAATCAACCAACCAACCAACCAACAATGGCTCAAGTAACGCGTTCAACACCGTTCAAAGTCTCTCTCATGAACCGCGAACTCGACGATCCTGAATACTACCAAGACAACGACGGCAGGGCGTATACTTCGTCATCTTTGGCGGTCGGAGGCCATGGCTACGTGCAACCTGCCCTCTTCCCCAATCAAGTCCATACTCCCGCCGCAACTCGCTTCCGCAATATGCTCATCGACACGGAMAAATTGATCGTTTGTCCCGGGGTGTATGATGGTTTATCTGCAAGAGTGGCTCACGAGGTGGGCTTTGAAGCCTTGTATATGGTAAGTCTTTCCCCCCTCCACGAACGAACGATGCCTTGAGCCAGTAGATGAGTTAATATGTTTTTTTGATTTGATTCTAGACTGGAGCTGGAACAAGYGCCTCTCGTCTCGGACAGCCGGATCTAGGGATCGCTCAGCTCGCTGAGATGCGCTATAATGCTGAGATGATTGCCAATTTGAATCCTCATGTGCCGTTGGTTGCTGATATGGATACTGGCTTTGGGGGACCTATCATGGTTGATAGGGCTGTTACGGAATATGCTCGAGCTGGCGTTGCTGCGTTTCATATTGAAGTGAGTTCATTCTTGTCCTTCTTCGTCCAGATTCTAGAACCATACGAAAGCTGACAAGGAACCAAGGATCAATTGTTCCAGAAAAGGTGTGGTCATTTAGCTGGTAAGGATGTGGTCAGTTTGGAGGAGTACATTCTGAGAATCAAGTAAGAATTGTTCCCTTGTTGTCCAAGTCTGGGAATGAGACTGATGAAAGAACTCCAGAGCTGCCAAGGCTGCCAAGGAACGAGCCAGAAGCGATATTGTCATCATAGCGCGAACCGACGCTCTGCAAAAGTACGGCTATGAGGAATGTATCGTGCGTCTACGCGCAGCACGAGACGCCGGTGCAGACGTGGGTCTTCTGGAAGGGCCTACGAGTAAAGCCATGGCTCGACAAGTTGTGATTGATATGGCTCCCATGCCACTCTTGTTGAATATGGTAGAGCATGGTGTCACGCCATTGATTTCGACGAGCGAGGCAGAGGCGATGGGGTACCGGATCATGATCTTTTCGTTTGTTTGTGTGGGGAGTGCTTTTCTTGCTATGCAGGAAGCTTTGAGGAGGTTGAAGAGAGAAGGGATTGCGGGACTCAAAGAGCTGACGCCGAAGGTTATTATGGATACGTGTGGGATGCAGGAGAAGATGGATATCGATCAGAAGGCGGGAGGATCGATGGAAAAAGCTTAAGCGAGGATGTAGTATATTGAATGAATAAAAAACAAACCAACATGAACTCTTCCAAATGCAAAGAGATGAAATGGTGAGGCAGTCTGCTCAATTGCTCGTGAGGCGGACACTGACGTACAATAGACGTAGCCGATCTGACTGTGAAGTCGCCCATTCTATCATCGATTGAATGCTGTTAACAGAAAGACTGTACGAGCTCGCATACCAAATCATAGGAGGTGCTGCTGCGTTGGTTGTAAGTGAGGGTGCATTGCGAAGCCGTCCACGCTATACCGAGACTGTTGACTTGGATGTATCTTGTGATGAGTGAGTGCGGTGCCACAGACATCGTCCGAGAGATTGGATGTGCCCTCTCGATGGCCTGAGATTCCAGGCTAGTACAATGGTCCGTTGACACCACTTTCTAGGAGTTGATCTGGTGGCTTGATATGAGACGATAGCCGAAGAAGGGAGAGCGGGAAATTGCTGCCAGCGCATGTGTTGGTGTGTGTGCGCGATCGTGGCCCACAACCTTGAGCCGTGCAACTACCAACTATCACGTAAAGCTATAGTGTGCACGGAGACGATTGGATTACTCAACCGAATTGTGGCACATTGTGGCTTCAGATCGAGAGTGGAAAAGAAAAGGGGAAACCAAAGCCGGCGTGTCCGTGGATCGCTCAAGATCTCGGTTCGGTAACTGTGATGTGAACCTCAATGCCCTGGTTGTCACACCGTGTCACTGTTTAGACGAATGTGCAGAAAGAGGCTTGCTTTGGAGGTGCTTCCTGTTCGGCGGAGGAGRTCTTGACAGTGGCTTGTCGATCATGCATGGCTTGAGGAAGCAGCCCAGTGTTGTCAGATGACACGCAGAGGACCACACGCTGACCATGTCGTAAGTCATTAGAAAGGCGCGAGCGAGGTGGGAGAAAAAGATGGTGATTTGTGGAACGACTCGCGTTCGCCATCAAGACAATGGCTACCGATCTCTTCTCGTGCGCAACGTAGTGCTTGGGCATCTTTGCACTGGGGTGGAAGCCCCACATGCGCAAGATGATTGTGCGCTTGAAATGGATGAGTGAAACGAAACTGTCGAAAGAAAGAGAGACAGATCGCGGCAGCCTACGAACCACCTTCGTCGGCGAGTTTGGTCTGCTGGCAGAGACATTCGCGAAGACCGACTGATGAGGCACGTGCCTGTGCTGCTGCAATATCATATCAGCACATCTCGATAGCACCGTCTCCAGTTCTTTGTCGCTCGAGGATGGCTACACGCGAATCACGTACTCGCCCAGATCTGGCGGTATTTTGATCAAGATCAGATCGATCGATCGATCGATCAAGTGGTCGCTCGAGGAGAGAGACTGGGTCCGTTCTTACAGATCTTGTGGGCCTCATTCACTCCAGATCGATAGAGGGAGAGGGAGAGGTCTCGCACAAGGATGGCGCACCTTCAAAGATGGCTTCTGTTGCAGCCCGCGAGAGGTCTTTGATGGCGCCAACAGCTTCGCGGCCAGCGTACTGCGTCTTCCATCCAGGGCAATTCTCATTGGTGGTACGGCGGTGTGCAGCATATTTCCATAGTTTCAGGTGAGGTGAGGGAACATCGAGGCGGTGTGCGGTCTTTGGCTTCGATCTTGCTGACTGATGGACGCGTCGGGCTCGGTCGAATGCTCCTTCTGGTCTCTAGCTCTTGCCTCGCGAGTCGCGACTCACGAACACTGGGCGTGCTGAGCAGACTTTCGTCTAGTTGCAGAGTCCAGCGGCACTTGGGTTGGGTCTTGACTCGTTGACGCCTCACTTCATCGACATGGAAGCAACTTCCAGAGACGTCGCCCGGCTGGAAGCGTCACACATCAAATAACCCCCAGCGCCCCGCTCGCTCGCCTAAATTTAGTTTGAGTTGGGTTACCACTGTACGCAACCACTGATCCAAGCGCGACAGGCGACGACGACTCTCCAGGTCTATCCCGGTTCTGCCAGCGCAGCACAGCCAGCCAGGTTGCGACTTGCGAGTGCCACCACACACCCTCTCCATCTCCGACATCTTGACAGCCGACGGCTACTGGCTCGAGCCTCGCGATCACTCGAGCACCTCATCACCAACCTCGCTAATTTCGAGTTCTACCGCATACCTATCTGTAGGTATTGATGGATCCCCTCGCAGGGACCAGGGCTAGGTCTCGGCAAAGTCAATGCTGCGTCGACGTGCGTGGAAGGAGCAAATGAGCGCATGCCAACAAATCTGCTGCCCTTCGTCTTCTCCACCGCGGACATGCCCGCACTCCACTTTTCCCAAGCTCCTTCCTACAGACTACAGTATACCATTCCATTAACCGCAAGTGGAGTCGAGGACTCCTTTTTATTTTATTTTAGCACGCGGTACCCAATGGTGCGGAGGAGCGCGTTTCCTGGCCGGAATCGTGCCCGACGTCCCGTCGCGTCTCTCGTGCGACCCTTCGACTTCAGCATTCTGCAGTCATGATCACCGGAGATTGTGATTCGGAAAGTCGCGATTTGCTGTGACCTTGGACCCTTGCCTTGTTGGCATTGATGGCGGCGGCTGTGGCTTGCATGAAAACACATCAACCGCTCCCGCACGCTTGTCTCCAAAGAACTCTGATGGCTTCATGAGCTGCGATGCGAGTAGTTACTGTATGAGCTGTCTGACTTTCTCGCTGCCTTCAACCTTGACAGCTGCTACTTCGGTTACACGCCGCCGCGTCCGGCACTGTTTGGTTTGCTCCGCGGGCCTAAAGACGGGCACCATGCGGTTTGGCCTTGCTGCTGCCAGCACTACCTACCCTACGGTAGATGGGCACGCACTCCCTCCCACACGCGGCGGCGTCGTCTCGCGTTGACCTCGAGTACGACAGAATCCTGTTTCTGCATACTCATATCGCGTGCCCGCCGCTCACTGCATGAACGTCATGTCTCTCCATGCCGTGCGGCCACCCTCCGCAGCGTGGCGGGAACTTTTTCTGGCGTGGATGCCACAGGGATCTCGTGTGTTATCCGCAGTAGTTGCCGTGCCGTGCAGCAGCTCTACTGTATTCTATGTATCGTTCCGAGCAACTAGCGTTCTCCCGCCGACGCTATCGATGCAGAGCCCAGTGCGCTGTTTCCCTCCTTCCACAACCTGCCCGACTTTGCTTTCCCGWCTCGACAGCCAGCAATTCCGCCCGGGGTGAGACGAAGGCCGGGCTGGTGTTGCTGCTCCCATGGTCCGTCCATCGTGCCTGCTCCCCTCCCTCGACTCGCCACGCACTGCCTTCCCAGGTTGGCTCGAGGTACCCGACCGACCCTTSCTCGATCTGCACTTCGAGGTTGCCCGTCGTTGCATGCGGAGCTCATGCCTGTCAGGCTTCGATCATTAACTTTCTCTGGCCAAAACATACGCCAGCACATCAATTATGGGTCCTGGCTTCCGAATGGTCCCTCCAAACTCCCAGCGGCATTGCAGCTGTTCATCTCGTGCACTCTGCCTGCGTCCACTCTGCTGGGACCACCTGCGTATCTACCCTTCACACCGGTGTCCTGTCGGGTGAGAGCTGCCTTCCTCTCCCTTCATTGTTGTCCCATCATCCATGTTTCATGTCGTCGGCCGAAGATCAACATATACCGCGCGTGGATTTCTTGTGATCATTGCATGCTTTCGGCCTCACACATAAAGCCCATTGCCCGTCGTCATTTCTCTCGACGCCTTGCACACACCGCTTCCAGCACTATCCATCCCTCCATCGTCGTTGACATTGACTTTGATCCCGTCGCCGCTCTGCAGTGCGACCACTTGAACGAACGGACGAAAAGGCAGGAAGACGCTTTCAGTATATCCCCGCCAGGCACAATCCAACGATACTTCTCCACCACAGCCACTCTTTCTTGATTGGAGCCACCATGTTCTACACAATGTACTTGTCGAGTAAGTCACGTCTGCCGGAGCACCAAGATCGTCCCGCTTCTCATGCAGGTCAACGTCTTCGCGGCGGAAGTAGAACATTTGCTGACCCATGCTTTCACTGTAGGCGTCTGTCAGCGTCGCCAATGGCCAGATCCACACTATGAACCATTCCGTACCCGCTCTGGTCACTTCTGCAAGGTCCGCGTGAACAACCGCGAGTACAGCACCGAGGTGGCGTATGCTACGGAAGCCCTTGCTCGGGATGGTGCCGCGCAAAAGGCTTATATGATATGTCGTAACTTCTCTGTCAACGACGGCATGTTCCCCGGGCAGAGACCCGGACAGAGAACCTCCGCTGGAGCTATTCAAGGTCTCCCAGTTGCCATTGGAACAGGACGAAGAAGCAACCGCAGTTCCGGGGCCAGCTACGATACTGCCAGTACCGACGGCACGAGCAGTGGCAGCAACAGTCCCAGGAGCACCGAAAGCGGCTTTGAGCAGCAGATGCGACAGGTCACACAACAGGTACCCAAGCCGACGAAGCCTCATGGTTCGAGGAGGTCGAACATGGGTCAGGAGGACTACGTTTGCTACTGTCGCCGCGGCGCGGTTCGTGCATATGGTCGATGCGCTTGGTGTTTGAGAGAAAGCGGATGGGCGTGAGCACCGAGCCGGCCCAAATTCACTTGTTTTACACCCCAAAACTTCTTTATGGGATGCCGCGAGGCATATGATGACTTTACGAGTATTGCTTTCGAGGATTCGCAGATTGGATGCGGTTGGTGAGGGCGGAACGGCTTAGTTGCTCCACCTACTCAAAATGACCACCTACCCAAAACGAAAAGTTGATGACAGCTACATTGGCTGGTATGTGAGAAGGCGGCGGGATGTACAGCTACGTTACGAGTGGAGTGGAGGGAATGGCAATGTTTCATGATGAAGAGGTCTTGGGCTATCTATCTACAGCACTGTAATGCATCAGTGTTACAATAGTACTCGAAGCCCATTTCACAAAACAGAACAGGAACAGGTTGCATGTTTCGGTCGAACCAGTATGACAGACACTGATTCTGGTTGAAATGACGAACAAAGGTAAGCACAATCACCGAGAACAGTACAAATGCAAATGTACATTATGTACCTGTTGTATCTCATATTTATATGTCTTTCCCTCGTTCCCATCCTTTCCGACTCTCTCAAGTCTCCCAGACAACCATCATAAAAGATGGAAGTAACGGTAAAGCAAACCGTCTCCTCAAGCAAGAGGTTCAAAAGAAGTGGTAGAGTGAATATCACGACTAGAAAGTCCAACATGAACAGCCACAGCACCCTCATCAATCACCCACTGCTGTTGAACACTATATCAAAGTCAGCCAAACCCCTTCTCGGAGATAACATATGTTGAACAACAGAAAAGTACTCACACATTCCAATAAGAAATATCACGTCTCTGCAAGTCAAAAGTCACGGTAGTCGTCTCGCCAGGTTCAAGCCAGACTTTTTCAAACCCACGAAGTGCTTTAATAGGCGTTGTGGCTTCGCCAGGGATTTGTGGGAGACCTAGGTAGAGTTGAGGGACTGTGTAACCGGCTACGTCGCCTGTATTTGTTACTGCTGCTGTGATTTTATAGACTGTTTCCCAGAGGGCTGGGTTTCCGCCTGGAATTGTTGGGAGGGAGGCTGGGAGAGGTGTGAGACTTCCATAACTGGTTCGTGTTGCGGATGCGTTTGTTATGGTGAATGTTGAGTAGGATAATCCTGTGGAGGGGAAGTTAGTGGTGAGGAGGATCTTTGTTTAAGGGGCTTTTTTTTTCGAAAGAAAGATATTACCGAAACCGAATTCGTAGAGGACGTCTTGATTTACGTGGTCGAAATGGCGGTAGTCGATTAGGAGGCGCTCGGTGAAATCTGCTTGCCAGATGTATTGTTCTTCGGTTTCTTGTAGCTCGGTTGAGTTGACGATTGCTGCGAAACTGTAGTCCTGTGTTGGAGAGAATGGGTGTTAGTTTCTGTTCTGTTCCCAGGCCGCAACCAGAACTGGCAGACTCTTGGCTCAGAATAAGGGATCTTGAGCATAGTCAAGAGATAGAATGGGCATGCTAAGAAATGTGGCGAGAAAAAGACATACCTCATCCTTGTAGGCAATGGTGTATGGAAGTTTGCCGCTTGGATTGACATCTCCCCAAAGGATATCAACGATGCTGTTACCAACTTCTTGACCTGGGAGATGAGCCGCTAGAATCKCAGTGACCTGTTACAAGATTTGGTAAGTTTGTGCCGATGTCTCTCGTGAATCATCGTCGAAACGTACGTTCTCGTGCTCAGCAAAGGGTAGTGTGTTGAGTCCCGCGGAGTGGGTGATGACAATTGTGTTGGGGCAGTTAGCGGCAACGCTCTCGACCACGGCAGTGCCGTTCCAGTCGAGTTCGAGGTTCACTCTGTCATAACCTTCGCTGGCCCAGGTGTTCAGGAAGACCAGACACGCTTCGGGAGCTCTGCGATCAATCAATTAGTGTTTTGCTAGGTTTCCAGTTGGCTTTATTTCCGAGACTCACGGGAAGATTGTACCGCTACTGTATAATGTTAGCAGTGAAATAATGACTGGATGATGTCCTAAAGACTTACCCTCCATTGCCAATGACCAGCTCGTTGTTGAGTATATATTGCACGAGACCAGTATCGCCGACCTTCTGCTTGATGGCCTCCAAAGGTGAGACGACATAAGTCAAACGACCCTGCAGTATGTCAGCTACTGGACATCATCCATATCGACTTGGAGGCTAACCGTTCCAGATCCACCGGCAACAGGGAGGACACCAAGCTCAAAGCCCGCGTCACTGATGAGATTCGAGAAGTAAAGGCCATCTGATAGATCAGCAGCGTCGTTTCCAAAGACTGCAATGTTTTTGGGTGCCTTCAATGGGAGAGCCTTATTCACGTTCTTGAGGAGTACGGTACCCGCGGCACCAAGTTCCCTGATGAGCTCCTTGTGGTTTGCGCGTACATCAACGGAAGAAGGTCCGTATGTGTAGTTGTACCGGTAGCTGCTCGGGGCTATGATGTGTCAGTTGGGCAGCAAGACATTGGAGACTGTTCGACGTACGCGCAAACCTCTGTAGACCGGGACTGCTGCCGTCGACAGCAGGATAATCGTCCTGGTGTAGCCAGAAGTATGGCGTCTGAGACATGTCGTCAGAAAAAAGGGGTTTCACATTTCACTAGTCAGCATTGTTTTTCCTCACCATAAGTCTGTGTGCCATGTCATCCAAACGACTCATAGCCAAGCTACCATTCTCTACACTGTAGGTGAGGTTCTTCCCTGTCGGATGTTAGCGTCAAATCTTCGAGATTGAGCGTTCTCGCCCAGGAATGTCATTTTTGGCTCCTAGGACAGACGGGATGTGGATCTTACCCCAGAGACTCGGGACAGACCGTGAGAAGCTGATTCCGCCCGGCATGTTCACATCTTGCCCTGCGTCAGCGCCTTGGTGGCCTGCATGGGTGGCCATCCAGTCTGAAACGACCTACAAAGCGGAGAGCAGAAGGATCAGCAATTTCTTCGACGATTCTCAAGTAGATTCAGCTTACCCAACCCTGAAAGCCAAGCTCCTCCTTCAAGATTCCGTTTTGGAGCTTACTATTCTGACACCCGTAAGACTGATTGACTCTATGATTTGTGTAAAGCGTCAGTTCGCCATTGAGGCACATCTCTATAGTCGACAAGTTCATACCTGTTGTAGGAGCACATGATGGAAGCAACACCAGCATGAACAGCATTAGCAAAAGGCCAGTTGTAAAGCTCGTGCATGGTGCGGTCATCGATATTGGATGAGATTGCCTCGATGGTGTTTCCGTTGGCGMTTGTGGTAGGGTTTCGCTAAGGTGCCGTCAGTTTCTGATTCCGTTATGTTGAACAGCACCAGTCTTGAGGCGTACCTGAGTTTCTTGTTCGTTGCCAATGAAATCTGAGGATTGTTAGCTTAGGCCGTACTTTTTTCTTTCAAGTACATACGTTTTGCACAAGCTTGAACTCCAGCGTCTTGCATGCCTATGATGGTCTCCTCCATGAAGACTCCAGTAAGATATGGATCGGGAGAGAAGCCCTTTAATGAGATGTCAGATGGATAGGTATGGAAGCCGTGGATATAACTTGCCTCCCAATTGCGACCACCCAGACCATGACGACCCAGAGGACCTGCTACTGGTCCTAGAGCAACATGTGATCCCTTGCCCTTGTACTCAGCCCCGAGTTGATCACCTCTCTTCTTTGCAAGCTTTCGATCCCACGCTGCTGCAACGGTCAAACCGGCCGGGAACACGGAGGCGAAATCAGCCTGACGGACGCTTAGCGGACCATCTTGGAGACAAAGACCCGTAAAATTGAGGCGAGCAATAGGGGCGATCTGTTCGAGTGTGAGGGTCAGTAATTTTGACATCGTATTTCGACTCGACACGTACGTTTCCAACGCAGGGACCCTCAGTGCCGGTCACCAACAGAGACTTCTCGTCGAGTGTCAGTTGCGAGACCCAGGCTTTTGCCTTCTCAAAAGCATCCTCCCAGCCCCCGATTCCCGTAATGTTTGCTGGAGAGTGTCAGCATTGAGACATTGCCGCCTCCCCAAGAATACTCACGAGACGGATATACGGGCGGACTGCTCATGTAGTCGGCATGCACCCAGACTGGGCCGGCATCAGTCGATCCCTCCTGACCGTTGACGGCTGAAAGACATGTCATCAACGCCGCTGCCACACGCAGCTTTTCTCCAGATCGGACCATGATGGCAGATCTATCCGAGAGGCAGGGTGAAAGAGATCTGGGAAAGGAAACATGGGGTACGTAGAGCATATATACGCCATCTTGACTACCCGAGAGCCATTGTGACTGCTCCACTGTCTCATTAAAAACTTAGCCGGTTCTGGCAACGATCAAAGGCGAGGAAGACCCGCCCAAGTTGCGGAAGCGAGGCAGCGTTGTGCGTGTTCCAACTCGTTAAAAAACAGACCCATGAGCCTGCGAATGAGTCGCTCGAGCTATGAAGGTCACCTGCGTGCTTCTCTCGTTCTTATTGCTGTATGCAGTAAGTGGCGTTACTAAAGGCCCTGACGAAATGCGTAGCTGCATGGGTTACCCCGGGCGATAGACAAGTGCCCCGAACTCGTTCATGCTTGTGTGGAACAAGAAACGGGTGCGAGCGGATCGTGGTGAGATGCCAATGCAACAGATCTAGGATTTATCCAGCTACAACCTGGTCAATGTTGAATACCAGTTGCCTGAAAGATGCCATGAGCATTTCTCGAGTGCACGGCATCACAAGGGAGAAATTCCATGCCCACAAATGCTGTTCAGATGACTGCGCGTGAGGTCACATCGGTCCTGTTGATGCTCGCTCCAATGGCCTCGTGGCTGCCCCGCGTTCTCCACGCGGCGCCCCTGTCATGAACTCCGGGTACGCTCCACTCCATACGGTACGAGGTGTACTCCGCATTAATATTGTGGGCGTAGCATTGTGTGGATGGACCGATGTTACTCCACACCGCTCGGTTCGGCACAATGGTCCAGCGAAAGGAGCTGTCCTGCGCAGAGGAGGATTTGATGGCATTACCGATGCGATATGCCGCGTCGTAGAGGTTGCTTCTGGGAAAGCCTTGAACCTGTGCCCGCATGTGGTTCGGAGATGGAAGGATGCAGATGCCCCAGGTTTTGTACCCCACACGCGGAGATGTCAAACGCCGAAGGTTACCGACGGGATTGCCGAGTGAAGGAATGCTGTCGGCCGAGGGTGTTGTCGTCAGACTATCGAGCCTGATTATTCCCCGTCTGACCTTTTCCGCAGATATGTCAGGTCAGGAGAAGCAGTCAGGCYCCGCGACTCACTTCGCATGTATGGAGATGGCGGGAAGGATTGGAAGTGAGGTCGGCCCATCCCGTCCTTCTCCTTCGCGCTCCCGGCACCTGACTCCCGTCAACTCTTCCCGTCATCAGCAACACCCACGATCTTGGAAGGACAAGATGCTCCGCGATGTATTCGCCGGCTCGAGAAAGAACACAGCAATCATCATCTCGGAATGAGACCATCGCGAAGCCCTTTTGGCATTGCGACATGCGGAATGGACAACGCATGACTTCCCGGGAGGACCGTCCGAAATTCCAGCAGCCCGGGTACTCACACATTCACGGCCGGTGGTGCTATCATGGCCAAACTTCATGAGGCGAAGCTCTTCCCACCGATACACGTCTATCAGACGATCTTGGATGCACCGCCGTGCTCACCGTCTCAAACCATCGGATCACCCATCAGAGCTCCCATGACGCACGCTCTGGACATTGACTCCTTCATGTCTACTGATATTCCCTCGAGCGTCATGGTGCCCACTCTCAGAGCCGATTTCCCCCGTCCTCGTAGCCGTACATGCTACGGCCCTTTGGATAGTACGTACGACAGGGGATATATCGCGCTTGAAGAGGGCCCGGAGGAGGGGAAAGGAGCTCTGTGGCCAATGCGCTCAGACAGCCAGCACACACTTTCCATCGATTTGTTGTTGGTAATGGTCTGCGCGAGTCGCAGGCATGCAAGTCCACGCGGCAATCATGGGATGCGGTCAACCCTCTCTGTTAGGGCAACCGGCACACTTTGCACATTGCATTGAGACTCGCAATGTCTATTGGCCTGTTAGCCTATTGGCTACTGCTGACTTATCTTCCGAGTCTTTGGAAACTGGCCTCTGAGCATGGTCCGGCATGTCTCTCATCATGGGGTATGCCTACTGTTTCCAACTCAGCTATATCAAGCCCTTCCCGTCAACAGCTATCGCAATGCCCGGTGAGTGGATTCCAACACTGTTGGAAGATCATTCTGGCGTTCAACTACACGTATCTTTCGACGAGCCACGATGTAATGCATGCACGCGTCCGAGCTTTTCGAGTCAGGCACTTCATGCAGGTCCGGATCCTTCCGGCAAGATCAGGGAAGGTCTGCCCGCGTTCTCCGTTGCAGGGGCGCCTCATCGAACGTACTGATATTTCACATTTCGGTGTGCGAACAATAGGGAGAGAGCAGTAAGATTTCGAACAAGCTTTCTTACCTTTTCACAAATTCGAGCCGGCTGCATTTCCGTTTCGCTCGGGTTTCAAACATTTCCGTCTTCCATACTTTTACTTCTGCGAAAAAGACCCTGCTCTGAGCCTTACAGCGTGTCACACCGCTTTGGCCATCATCCCCTACGTAGATCTACCTGAGATCTCTGGCGGATTTTGCATGAGAGATCCTCAGATCTTGTCCTTGTCATGCATATCATCAATATTGCGCATTCGCATCATAGCCTTGCCGCGGTATTTGCCCTTACAACCTGGCCGATTTTGCGCAAAATCCTGGTATCGGCGCTCCATGTGATAAGCTTTCATCTCAGGTCACCGCTGTTGAATGGCGTACCCCAGCTACGGTCTGAAACGGATGCGGTTGAAGCTGGGCCATCTTTCTGCCAGTTGACAAGTTTATAAATTATGAGACAGCGCCGCTACTGATGCTTGTAGCCGGCCTCGTCTTCTCCCATCACTCCCTGGTTTCCTCACTGAAGATTCAGGCGAGATGGCCCACCACAGCAACTTCAGGTTCCGTCAAGAATCTGCTGTGACAGATGCCTCAACAATCTCCGAGACCTACAAGGGCACATCAACCCACAATCATCAAGCCAGCTCGATCAAAGGGAGCTCTGAAAAGGAGAGTGTCTCATATGTGGACCGCGTTATCACCCGCGAGGATGTTTCTCTTGCGTCATTTGCCCATCTGGACGCCAGAAAGATTAACCGAAGGATCGACTTGCGCATCGTACCCATGGTAACGATTTTGTACCTTCTGTCATTCCTTGATCGGGGAAAGTAGGTGTATTCAGCATCCCCGTTGTGGTTTGCGATATCTGCTAAGCCTTTGATGCAGCATCGGCAATGCAAAGATTGAAGGGATGTATGAAGACTTACGACTTACGGATGCCAAATACAAGCTATGTTTGACGGTATTCTTCTTCACCTACGCTCTGGTCGAGGTGCCATCCAACATGATGCTGAAGAAGTTTCGACCCTCGGTCTGGCTTCCAACTATCATGGTGGCTTGGGGAACTGTTGTATGTGAGGCCTACAATCACTGAGAGCTTTGCTGATTGAGACTAGATGACGCTCATGGGCCTGGTCCAAAACTTCCATGGACTGTTGTCGGCTCGGATATTCTTAGGAATCACAGAAGGAGGTTTAGCTCCTGGAATCACGTTCTTTCTTACGTGTTGGTACCCAAGATATGAAGTATGTTGCCGACTTACGAGGATGTAGGACATGAACTGATGCATAACCAAGGTGCAAACGAGAAATGCCCTGTACTTTAGCGCTGCTTGCGTGGCTGGTGCATTTTCTGGACTGCTCGCATATGGCATATCGTTCATGGATGGTGTTGGTATGTTGTGTCAAGTAGACTCCGAATTCCTCGCTGACTCTACGATTCTCCCCAGGCGATCTCGCAGGTTGGCGTTGGATGTAAGTCCCTGTCACAATACAGTAGACATGTCTAGATCCGCGCTAATTGACAACCAGTTTCATCCTTGAGGGCTTGGCCACTGTGGTTGTGGCCGTATCGGCCTACTTCCTGCTCTTCGACTATCCGGATACCGCCTCTTTTCTGAGCCCGGAAGAGAGAGCGTTTGTCGCATATCGACTCAAGTACGACGGCCAGGATGAGACCGGAGTCCGCGTTCCGCAGTGTGATACTCGCGATAAAAGATTTATCAAGGAGGCCTTTTGCGACTGGCAGGTTTATACGGCCATACTTGCCAACTTCGGACTCGTAAGTACCAGAAAGAATAAGCCCATTAGCAGAAGCTTGCTAATTTTGCTACAGGTGGTTCCACTCTACGGAGTCAGTCTGAGCATGCCAACGATCATCAAAGATATGGGCTATGTATCCACGACCGCCCAGCTAATGACAGTGCCGGTCTACAGCACGGCGGCAGTCATCACCGTCTCTTTCGCCTTGGGGGCAGATCGCCTACGCATGCGATCTCCATTCCTCTTCACTGCCTATTTCCTGGAGCTCCTCGGATTCGCCTTGTGCGTTACCGGCGGTCCAGCACATAGAACCTACGGTGGATTGTTCCTTGTCTGTTGTGGTGCCTACGCGGGAACACCGTGTGTCGTAACCATGCTCACAAACAACTTGGCGGGTTCCTATAAGCGGGCTGTCGGAGTCGGGATTCTTGTCAGCTTTGCGGCCATGGGAGGTGCCATGGCGTCGAATTTCTACCGCAAGACTGATGCGCCGGAATTCATCCTTGGGCATGCGCTCAACATTGGTTTCGTCTGTCTTGGTCTGATCTCGACATGCTTTTGGGTTTGGAATTACCGGAGAATCAACAAGCAGAGAGCTGTCAGCATTGCTGCGGGTGATCATCTGATGTTTACCCCCGAGGAGTTGAGTGTGCAGGGTGACAGAGCGGTCACTTTCAGATACACGACGTAGTATTGCCGGCAAGGCTCGCGGAATGGATATAATGAATTAATGGAAGCACATGTCGCCTGCGTTTCCAGCTTCCAATCGGAGTGGATATGCAGCCGGCTCAGCCTGTCGCGCTTTTCGTGCTGCATAATTGCACAGGCGTTGGCTAACAATGGATGGACCACGTGCTCCCTGTATGCATGGGCTCGCAGTCTTTCCCTTGCAATGGCACCATCGATTGTGCAATGCTTACATCAGAGGCAGACGCCCCATCTCAGAGCGTACGCAGCGATGATGCTGCAAAAGCGTCCTGGCAGCGACAAACGAAGCTACCCTCATGACAGACAAGACACAGCGGTCCTCTGGAGTGTCAAGACTAGTGCAAGCTTGACGATTCTTCTTCACAAAGCTATGTTTAGTAGAGTTCGGCCACGTTTGCTGGATGTACACAAGGTTAGGTGGAGCCCTGTGAAGTCTGATTTGCTACCATGCGATGCCGTGTCAGGTACACAAGCACGGTCATCTGCGGGCTGTAGCTTGCTAGTCCCTCATCATTGCGGATATTGGATGATGTGGGATTGTATGTTTTCTCGTCGCAGTTGACGTTGAGAGGTCGATGGGAGAAGTTCGGAGGTGGAAAAGATGATCTGTCGTCTTGATTAAACATCCACGCTTGGGGTTTAAGGTGCGCCACAACTGTGGAGCAGGGGAAGCCGCGAGCCGCGTGTGCATGTGTGATCACTGTGCGGATCTCGTCGCGGAATCATCTTCCTATTCAATCCTTCCAAACGCAAAGGTCGTTTCGGGGCTGTGTCGCCGCTGTTCTGTTCTTCCATTCTGCTCTGTTCTCGCATTCGTTACTGCCTCTCTTCTTCATGCCGCTCCTTCCATTCGTTTGAAGCGGACTTCGGAGAGAAGATCAACCACTCATTGCCATCGAGATCCTCCGCCTCCGGCCCACACGAGCGATGACTTTGGCGAAACTTTTCGCATTGCCGCCTTCCCTCCTGATCTTGCTCGCCGCCTTCCTCACCGCGCCCGTATCCGCCCAGTATCCCCCGCCGTCGGAATTCCCCACGGTACTGTCGTCGCCAGTGGACAGCAGCGTCACCGTCGCCTACAAGCAACCCGACAATGGCACGTGCACTACCGCCTTTTCCACCCAAAAGCAATATACGGGCTACATTGGCATTCCGCCCTATACGCTCGCTCCCATTCAGCAAAATTACTCTCTCAATACCTTCTTTTGGTTCATCGAGGCGCGACAGACACCCGAGTCGGCGCCGCTGACCATCTGGCTCAATGGCGGGCCCGGCTCGAGTAGCATGTTTGGCTTGTTCAACGAGGTCGGGCCGTGCGAGGTGGTGCAATTGGCCGATGGGAGCTATGGCACGCAAATGCGCGCATACGGCTGGGATCGCGCGTCGAACATGCTGTTCATCGACCAGCCTAACCAGGTTGGCTTCTCATACGACACTGCCACCAATGCGTCGCTGAACCTGCTTACCAAAGAGCTGTTTGAACCGCCCACTTCGCCGTTGACAGACCTGCCGAGCTTCATGTACCTCAACGGCACCTTTGGATCCGAGAATGAGAATGATGGGAGCACCTCTGCAACGACTGCCAACACTACAGCAATCGCGGCGGCGGCGACCTGGCACTTTTTGCAAACGTGGTTATCGACCTTTCCACAATACAATCCTTCCACGCGTCCCAACGTGACAACGCCAAACTCTGATGAGCCAGCAGGCATTAACTTGTTTACTGAATCTTATGGCGGGAAATTTGGCCCAGCATTTGCCTCGTACTTTGAAAAGCAGAATCAGGCAATCGCCAATGGCCAGCTCTCAAGCAATACCACGCTGCCCATCAGATTGCAATCGATTGGAATCTTGAACGGCCAGGTGGATGATCTCATCCAGAATTACTACTACCCACAGTTTGCGATTAACAACACCTACGGTATTCAGGCTATCAGCCAGACATCGCAGATTAATGCCCTCACCAACTATACCAATCTCTGCTTACCTGCTATTGAGGCTTGTCGCTCTGCCAGTGCATCTTTGTATGGTGATGATGCCGATGCAAACCGCTTGTGCGAAGCCGCGCAGTACACGTGTAACAACCTTACTGCTTTGGCTCCCGCAGAGGGATACGACCCATATGACATCCGCCAGATGCTGCCAAGTCCAGATCCGTCCGCCGCTTACCAGGAGTACTTGAATACTGCTTCTGTGCTGGCGTCGATCGGAGCGCGAGTCAATTATACCGAGAGCAACCCCTATGTGCAAGAGGGCTTCATCACCACAGGAGACACCATTCGAGGTGGAATGATTGAGGAGTTGGCCGAACTCCTGAAGTTGGGTGTCAGGGTTGCCTTCATTTACGGCGATGCAGATTACATCTGTAACTGGTTCGGTGGGCAAGCCGCAGCATTCGCCGTTGCAAATGCGCTGCCTACATTCCCCTACCCGACCAGTGTAGGTCCCTCTGGGGAAGGTCAGCCATCTAGCTACGCCGAGGGATTTGCAAGAGCTGGATTTGMCGATATTGTTGTGAATGACTCGTATGTCGGCGGCGGTGTCCGTCAATACGGTAACCTCAGCTTCAGCAGAGTCTACGACTCTGGCCATTTCATTCCGTATTACCAACCAGAGACTACATTCCAGATCTTTGCGCGAGTGATTCTCGGGAATGATCTCTCCACAGGCGCAGATGTCGACTTGACTTCGTTTGCGTCGAATGGGACCGCCAATTCCACGTACACTAACACGGTACCTTCAGACGCACCGGAGCAGACATGCTGGGTCCGAAACTGGGGCGCCAGCTGTAACAAGGAAGATACAGAAGCTATGAAGAACGGGATAGGACTTGTTCAGAATGGAATCTACTATCAAGACGCGTCTTCGGTTGTCCTGCCCAGTACTAGTGTTGCTGCCGGCGTTCCTGGGCAACCGATGACGACCGTCACGAATTCGGGATCGAAGAGCAAGAGTAGCGACGAGAGTACCACTGCGCTTACGGGATACTACACCGCAACTGGGACTCCTAAGCCCAAGAAAGGCGTTGCCGCGAGACCCTCATCGAGCGGTCTCTTACCCGCTGTAGGTGTGGTAATGAGCGGTCTGGTGGCAGGCACTGCTATGGTGTTTTGGTGAAAAGAATGGGATCTGCAACTTGGATCACATCTGGCGTCATGACCTCACGAGAAAAGCGCTTGGGAGGAAATCAGCCATTTCTAAGGCTATTGTGATTGCCTCTTAGCGCTACGAGAGATACCCATAATGTTTAGCTATGTATGCTGTATTGCGACGAAAGCGGACTGCTGATGACAAGATCGTTTCAATCTTCTGGGCGTCACCGGCGGCTGACTTCAGGTTATATTGATCCCGCGTCGGTGAGCATCGGGGCAGTGACACTTTTTGTATCCGCGAAGGCATAAAAACCGTCTCAAGTTCTTCCTCTCATCAAGGGAAAGATGATCAAATTACCCCCGGCTGACGACACACAAACGCACAGTCATGCACAAGTTGTTGCACGACGTTTTGCAAGACGCTCGTTGAAGAGCCAGCCGGTGAGGCACGCGCGTGCCTGCAGTAATCGTTCGAAGCGCTCCTCTCCCTGTTCCAAGAGACACACATGCAGCAAAGATGCGGTCTGGCGGTATGATACAGTAAGCCTGAGCGACACCAATGTTTACGAACCAAGAGAGCGTGTCTATTTGCAAGCACGGGCACTACCACATTGCTTTCAGGTGTGTGTTACCGCTAGCTAGCATCAGCATCAGCATCAGCATGACCCGGTAGAACTTTTTATCCTTGGAGTAAGGTAGATCAATTGTGAAATTCGGTGAATGAGATCCACTGTCCGTCACACAAATGCTGCTATATTCGCTCGTTCTGGATACTAAGCTTATCTGCGAGCATGTCGAGTACCTTGGTAAATTCTATTCCTTTCAGTATCATCTCTGTAGTCTTCCTCGTTCAGAACCTCAACTTTCGAGATTGAAATCGATCATCATTCCGCCTAGGTAGGTAGTCATCAATCAAATCAACATGAACGACGAAAAGACAACCAAAGACATCAAAGCATCAAACACCCCAACATCAACAGAACAAACAACCAAAACCAACATCCGTCTCGAACCTCAACCCAGCACCGACCCCCTCGACCCCCTGAACTGGCCCCTCCGCAGCAAAATCCTCACCCTAGCCATACTATCCCTCTGCGGTTTCGCAGGCGGCTGCATAGCCCTAGCAAACCAATACGGAATCGTAATCCAAGCCGCCACCTACCACAACAAAACAGCCACGCAACTCTCCTATGGCGGGAGCGCAGCTACAGCAGGCACCGCAACGGGACCTCTCCTCTGGGTACCTCTTTCCCGCTATTATGGTAAAACTTCCATTCTCTTCTGGACTTTGATCGCTGCGTTGGGTTGTATGGTTTGGTCTGCGGGGATGACGGACGAGGAGGAATATGTGGCGTTTATTCTTTCGAGATGGTTGGGTGCTAGTTTTGGGTCGGCGGCTCAGACGATTTCTGGGGGGGGTTGTGACTGATTTGTTCTTTTTACATGAGAGGGGACGGGCGTATGCTGTTTTTGCCGCGGCTGTTATTGGGGGTGCGGCTGTTGGGGGCACTGCTAGTGGGTTTATTGTTGGGAGTTCTCCTTGGCCCGTGCAATTTTGGTGGATTGTGGCTTTGCTTGGGGTGGCTGTTTTTGCTGTGTTTTTCTTTCTGGACGATACGACGTTTGATCGAAGGGAGAGTGGGATTGTTGGTCCTGGAGAACAGAGGTCTTTTCTTCGCAAGCGGTGGGATACGCTCTGTCCGGGCACGAAAGTGGTGGCGCCTTCTGCTATCAAGCATGGTCCGTTTGATTGTATCCTGATTGGGCTGCAGCCTGTTACCATTCTTGCGGGACTGTTCTTTGCGCTGACGTTCGGATGGGCAGTTTCCGTCAATATTCTACTTGGCGTCTTCCTGCAGACACCTGTCGAGGCTGGAGGCTATGGGTTCACGCCCGTTAACAATGCTTGTTTCTCGTTCCTCACCTGGGGTGCGGTCCTTTGCGCAGCAGCTTACGGCGTGGCTTTCAACGATAGGCTGCCGCTCTGGATGTGTCGTCGAAAAGGAGGTGTGTGTGGAGACCGGAACATAGACTTTATCCCGTGCTCTTTCCGCCTCTGATCATGGTGCCTTTGGCACTTGGTCTCTTTGGAGCAACACTGCAGTACCATCTGAGTTGGGGAGTACTGGCTTTTGCTTTCTTTCTAATCAACATGAGTGAAGGGATCTTGCTCCCGCCGGTCGTAAACTACATTACGGAGTGTTTCGTCCAGCACTCGACGGAGGTGTTTGTCATACTCAACTTCTATCGATTCATTCTCGGAAGCACTGTTCCTTTCTTCGTCACYTCTTGGGTGCATGAAGTTGGAGTGRGCTGGGTATTTGGCTCTATGTAAGTCACCACCCCGAGAAATGGTGCAGTCAATATACCGAACAATCTCAGGGCCTTCTTCTGCCTTATTGGATTCGCATTCACATGGATTCTGGCGCAATTTGGGTCCCGGATCCGCGCTCTGTCGATGGCACGATTTGTAACAGAATCCGAGGATGGTGATCGCTTGTTCCAGGACCGGTCGGTCGGGGGTGAAAATGCTACTGCACATGGCTCTGAGCAAGTCGAAGAAACCAAGTGATTCATGATCCATATCGTATGCTATATGTCATCGTTTACATCTAGTATACATACCTGAATCCAGATATCTTCATGACTCCTGCTCGCGCTTCTGAAGTGTCTCCCTGCATGCTCTCTGCTTCTGTTTCTTCAAGCTTCTTGTTTTCTCTTTGATGAATAACGCGAAGCACTAGAGCGAGGACCGCGACGCAGACACAAATGGCTGCATTGGCACTCTCTCCAGGGATGTACCGCGGTGCGTCCGAGGATGGATACATGTAGCTTCCGTAGACGCTTCAGTCGCATTAGAGATGTCTTCCAGGTGACCATCAAGTAGAAATGAAGGGCACACATACCTCGCTGTATTCCCTATGGCATTTGCAATCGCCACGCAAGCCGAACGCTTGACCAGCGGTCTCGGGAAGGAATTTGCAACCCAAGGAACGATCACTGTGTAGGCAGATATTGAGCCCGCAGGCAAAAGGTACATGGCAAAATATCGAACCCCGGTGTTTGTGGTGCCTGCCACGATTGCATTCCCAATGGCTGCAATGAGCATCAAGCCACAGATGTGGAGAGAACGGTCTCGTGTCTTTGCGGCGGTGAAGGTGACTCCGATCGAGACCAGGAAGGTGAACGCCCAGACTGGAACGGTGAGTAGAAGCGTAACGATATGTCCATATCCCAAGGTTCCCACAATACTGGGGAAGAAATATTGAAATGACGATGATAGAAGACTTAGATGTTGGAACAGAACAAAGACGTAGACGCGGTAGTCCGTCAAAGCAAGCTTGATCCCATGCCAGATGGTAGTGGCATGCGCGTCATCGGACTCGTTAATATCCTCAAGCAGTCTCCACGTAGCAAAAGCACGTTCTTCTTCTGAGAGCCAAGTTGTTGTGGCCGGGTAATCGGGTAGGATGAAACCGGAGACCAGGCCGAGAGCGATCGTAACAGATCCCTCTATTATGAACAGCCTAGTGGTAGTAGAATCAATCAATCAGTAGGGTGGCACTATCTAGTATGGTGAAGGAAAATAGCAGGCTTACCAGCGCCACCCAGCTRTTCCCAAACTCCCATCCAAGTTATTTAGCACCCCAGCCGCAATAAGACCACCGAGCATATTGGCCAAAGCATTTCCAGAGTAGAACCACGCGACGCGTTGTGTCAACTCCGCACGCGTGTACCAGGAGGACATGAGAAAGATGGCTCCAGGGAAGAAAGGAGCTTCTACGAACCCGAGGAAGAATCTCACCGCCACGAGGTCCGTGAAGTTCCGGGTAGCGGCGTTGCAAGTCGAGACAACTCCCCACACCGTCACTGCACTCGCCAGGTAGAAGGAGGGTCTGACTCTCGTGATGAGCATATTTGAGGGCAGTTGCATGACCAGGTAACCAATCTAAACCAACCGTCAGCATGAATGCATCGTGGTGAAATGAATCTTCCTTCATCCTTACGAAGAAAACGCTGGTGGCCAAGTTGAAATCTGTGCCTTTCATTCGTAAATCGGCCTCCAGCGTACCCTCTCTCGCCTGTGAAAGATTACTCCGGTCGAGGAAGTTCAGCGTATACATCACAATCAACAGCGGCAACAGACGAAAATCGACCTTGCGGACGAGCTTCTTGTTCTGGTATGCCGTCCATTCCGAATCTCTTCCCGCAAAGTCGGCGAAGAAGGCTGCTTGGGCTGGGTTCGCTATGTGCGCGACATCTGCACTGGGAATCCTGGCATCGCCGTCTCGAATCTCATTTCTCTCCACCGAGGACTGGCTTGACCGCTGGTGGAGTTTGGATTCCATGGTGGAGGAGAGACACGCGGAGAGTGAAAGAAAGTGAAATTGTCAGGCTTGCCTGTGTATGTGGTGAGCGTCCATTGCATTGATTGCGTAGTGCATCATCGATGGATAACACGGCACATGTGTATGTACACTTGCACGCTTTTGGGGCAAGATGTGCAGTTCTTGTGAAGCTTGTAAAAGGCAAAACGCTTCTCTGGAAACAACCTAGATCTCCACACGTGGAAAAAAGTGGGTCATCGGCGACTGGTGGTTAAATGCGGTTGATCTTTGTCCCGGGACCCCACAGCTCGGGCAAGGTTTGGGGGTTACCTTACCTTATGTTGTGGGGACGAGACGGAGGGGAACTCATCGACTTCCCATTGATCGATCAATGATTGATTTTCCAAAATCCACCGTACAATACCACTTCCAACATGAAGATTCTCATCACCGGAGCTGGAGGTTTCGTCGGCCAGATGCTCGCTGAGCATCTCCTGAACGAAAACCACAAAGTCATCCTCGCAGACATTTTCGAGCCTCCAATTCCCTCAGCCGCAAAGAACCAGCAGAATGCCACGACAATCAAAGCAGATCTCTACGACTCCCCAGAAGCCGTACTTTCCAAAGACCTGGATGCCATCTACGTCTTCCACGGCATCATGTCAGCAGGCAGCGAGTCCGACTTCGATCTAGGATATAGAGTGAACCTCCACAGCACCATCAATCTCCTAGAAGCCGTTCGAAAGATTTGTCCCGGTGTGAGATGGATCTACAGTTCTTCCACCGCAATCTTCGGACAACCGCTCCCTGAAGCTCCCAGTGAGGCGACCGTCCCAACTCCTCAAGGATCCTATGGAACTCAAAAAGCCATGATTGAGTATCTCGTCAACGACTATAATCGTCGCGGATACATCAATGGCTTCACGCTTCGCTTCCCTACCATTTCCGTACGCCCCGGCAAACCCACGCAAGCTGCAAGTAGCTGGATGAGCGGTATTATTCGAGAGCCTCTGCAAGGCAAGGAGAGTATATTGCCTTGCGATGACGACTTCAAGGCATGGTTATGTTCGCCGAAGACTTTGGTTCGGAATTTATTGCATGTGTTGACTATCCCGAATGATGCATTGCCGCCACACATCAGGCAGGTTCTGCTACCGGGAATCACTTCGACTGTGAGAGAAATGTTGGATGCACTGAAAGAAGTCGGAGGGGAAGATGCTGTCAAGTTGGTGAAGCGAGAGAAGGCATCTCCAGATATCAAAGCCATGCTTGACAGCTGGCCCATTACTTTTGATGTCTCGAAAGCTTTGGGCTTGGGCTTCGTTGCGGATGATAGCTTCAAATCGGCGGTTCAAGATTTTGCAGATAGCTTGAAGCAGTAGCTCATGAATCGATATGTTGGAGTAGATCATGTTCGTATCATCTACAACACATCCCAAAGGATCTGGATCATATCTATGCCTTGCCGCTGCTTCCAATGGCATCCATCCAGCCCTCCATTTGCTTTTGAATGAGTGAGGTACCCGTCTCCATAAGCTGAGTCAAAGGAACCTTGCCAGTGTTCTCCTCCACATATTTGTTATAGTCCGACAGCACCAGCTTGTTTACATTGATCCGAGTGACTCCTCGTTCAATACATTTGGCCATGACCTCTTCTGGGAATTCGTTTGTGCCGTGTAGCACGATCTGTACTCTCTTTCCAGCCTTTTTCTGGATCGTCTCCAATCTAAACAACACACCGTTAGCGACGAACCTCTACCTCAAAAAGGGCAACCTACCTGTCGTAGTCCAAGTGAATGTTCTCCACGCCATGGTAGTCTCCATGAACATTTCCAAAAGCAGGAGCAAGAAAGTCGATACCCGTCGCAATGAAATCATCAACTTCTTCTTCAGTAGTCATCATCCCTTCCAGCTCCGCCGTATCTTTAACCCCATCCTCACCACCTTCAATCCGACCTGGCTCCGCTTCAGTCGCAATGCCTCGCGAATGACACAGAGCGACCAATTCCTTCGTTTTGGCCAGATTCTCCTCTTTTTCATAGTGTGACATATCCACCATGATGGAGTCGAAAGCAGGAGTACCATCCGCCGCCTTGATCTGCGAGGCAATCTTTATCACCTCGGGATCTTGTGCGTGATCCATGTGAACTGTCACGGGGACTTTGGCTTTGCGAGCAGCATTTGCAGCAAGATCTATGAATAGAGGAGAGTATTGCAGTGCCCATGGAAAGAGTAGAATCTGTACGGGACTCTTCTTTGCTTCCGCGGCTTTGATTACTGCGACGATGGTTTCCAGGTTGTATGAAACTACTCCGAGCACGCCGTATTTGCCTTCTGCTGCGGCGTTTAGCATCTTGACGGCGCGGTTGTCCGCGAGCTTTTCGAGTGTCATGTTGGCGGTATTGGGGATTGAGGAGTGGATGGAGTCGTGTGTGATTGAGAGATGATGTGTTTCTCAAGGTTTGGTGAGACGAAAGGACATGATCGGTAAATCTTTTAGGCTGTTCAACTCCCCGGGACATTTGTCGGCGTTTGGCCAAGGATACCCACCTCGCCTTGCCCTCTTTCTCCATCTCCATCACACTCTTCGCTCCGGACTTCAGAAGAACGGCGATCCGCTGTCTTGTCTGTTCGGCCGCCGACTGTGGCAAAGACAAGCCTGAAAGAACCGCATTCATGCAAGGCCAGATCCCATCGCGACCCGCTGTGGCTACGAGACGCGATGCTCCATTTGGATGCACCGAAGCAGTGGTCAGGGATCTGAAGCGCAATGGTCCGAGAACAAGCGATCTGCCTGGATTGGGCCCATCGTTCTTATTATGGCGAGACGTCGCTGCTCTGGAGGACTTCCATGTCCTTGATTGGTAAGCAAGCATTAACACTCCATGTGCAAGAATACGACTTTTCTTCCATCATCCACTTCTCTTCCCAAGAACATCTACAACGACTGAGCCTCATCGAGGATGAAGCCAAGTCTTTTGCTAGGCGAGACGCTCTCTCCAGCTTCACCGGGCGTTTTCAGCTGTCATCGCTCTGGCCCTCCATCCTAAAAATCCCTGTCATTTCAGCCGCATCTGCAGCTTTCGCTAAGAATACATCCTCTCAACGCTCTGCACTTGACAGACATGGCTTCTTGATATCCACTTTCACGAAAGGTAGCATACTAATTATGCGGTCAAGTCTCGTGGAACGTTGCAGTTGCTCCTCTCAAATACCCCTGGGCAATGGCTTTACGACGCCACCACCGCCAAGATGGAGCACCGCTGGCGAGGAATGTGATGGATTGACCGACATGCTGCCGCTATATAATGACTCGAGGTAGGTCCTTTGCCATCTTTTGATTTCAACCTCGAGCACCGAAACCTTTGCAAACATGTTCAACCTCCAAGCTACTGTAGCCATCATGGCCTCCCTCGCTATGACCACATCTGCAGCGGTGCCTTACCTGCATATCGAGAACCTTTCGGTCGCCGACATTCGTGTACCTTCGGAGTCGCATTCCGTCAAGTTCGTTGTTTCCAACCCTGGTGCGGTGTACGAGCAGGGCGGTCAGCTTCCATACCCTGTCGAGATCGCTTGGTAAGTCCAATGTCACCATCTCGTCTTATCGACCGCGCTGACACTGACTYAGGGATGGTTGTGATCCACCTACCTGCTATACCACGGTGGATCGCTACTATATGCGTGTCGTTCCTGGTAGCTACAAGAGTGCCGAAGACTTCAAGCTTGAGGTGAACAAGTACTACATCTACAAGAACAGCGTCTTGAACAACTCGACCATCACCGTTCTTGAGGATAATGGAGGCTATTACTGCTCGACAGGCGCACAGAGTACGCGGTGCGACTTACCGGGCAGTGATGGTATCAACTCTACCTATGCCATAACGTATGGTCCGGTGGCTCAGCAGCCTGTGCCATTGTGCTAGCTAGACTGGCGATTAGGAGAGCGATTAGGGGTATGGCATTGCGGTACACAGAACATTTGAAACCCTTTCTCCGCCACCTCGACTTCATTCGCCGTTCTTGACATCGCTGGCAGTCATCTTGGGCATTGACGTGATGCTTGACAAATTGCCGGGTTGAAGATGAGAATGTGGGCGATGAATTGACAAGTTCTGTGACACTGTCCCCCATTCCTCCTTCACACAACCCTTCTAGTAGAATCACATGAGCGCATCTAGCGGCAAAGATATTCTGATACAGGCCACTCGTTCACATCTCTCGTATAGTCCCTCAAAGCATGCCTCAACATGCCTTCTTTACCACAACCCTAACCCTAGAAAAATACCAGAGCTTTCAAACTTGCAATCAATCGAGACACAGTCTATACAACAGAATGAATTCCGGTATTCAAATTGTGATTATCTCATCCTTAACTGGGCGCCTGGGACGCCTTACGACTATATACTTTGCCAAGCTACTTTAAACCCAAAGCTTTAAGGTCCCTAACTTGGTCCACTTCCCTCCCTCCATCTCATCACGAACATTACACCAACAAAGGAACCAAACCATGACCAAACCCATCGGACTCTTGCAAGATCAATGCTACCACTGCAAAACCCAAATCCAAGGCCCTCCAACAATATGCCAAAACTGCAAAGTAGTAGAATACTGCAACGAAACCCACAAAACCTCCAACCACCCAACCCACTCAACCGAATGCAACTCCATCTCAGAATCCCTAAAGACACTTTCAGCAGCCACAAAGCTCCTCCGCGAAGATCCCTCCGGCAACATCTTCAACTCAAACTCCGCCTTCTGGAGCATCAGCGAAACCCGACCATGGCGCCAAGCAACCTTCACTCTCATCGAACAACTCCGCGAAATTCCCACGGTGAAAGCTTGTATAGCATCCTCGACATATGGGATTGAATGGTTAGAATTGAATCAAGGAGTTGATCATAATAATCTCTGGCATCGAGTTGCAGCTTTGGATCTTCGACTTGGGGGAAGGGATCAGGAAGCTTATGATTTTATGAAGTGGTATACAACTATTGGTATGATGGATCCTTATTACAATTGGACTAGTTTTCATGATTTAGAGAATGAGGATGTTTTGGAGGATCTCCAGGCTGGGAATTGGATTTGTGGGGGGGATGTGCAGCATTTGAGTCCTATGGCTTTGGTTACTTTATTGAAATTGAGGATGTGGTTTGATTTGAAAGGGTTATATAATTCTAGGGTTTTGGATGGGAGGTTACCGCGGGAGATTTTGGATTATATTCGGGAGGAATTCATTGCTAGTGGTTTGGTTGCTGCTAGTCGGCATATTATACGGGATGTTAGAGATGGTGTTGATATTGAGAGGCGATATATATGGCCTTTGGAATTGCAGCTGGATGAGTTGTTTGTTGCGATCGAGAAGAAGAGCGTGGATTTTTGGCCGGCTATAGTGAATGGGACCAGGTTTGGGGAGTTGTCTGATGATTCGGAGGATCAGTTTGAGCTTGTCGACGCTTTATCTTCTGTACATCATGCTTGGGAGGAAACACCTGGCGCGATCGAATGGGTTCGAAGGCGTCTGCACCGCTCCTAGTATCTTCATAGCGACAAGGAATCCTAAGAATGCGAGAGTTACGCTTTTCACAGTCCGATTATGTCAGGGGTCAAGATGGCTTGATTTTCATTCCATTGCATTCACTCATCGCATCATTCTTAGTCTATCTCTACAGCATTAAACAGGAATGCTCCTCAGCTCTAAAGCTTTCCACTGTCCTGCTTGGTCAAAGTGTAAGTCCAACTAGCGCCGACATCGAAGAAGTCATTGCCGCTGTTAATAGCAGCCTTCTTGGCGTTCGAAGCGTCGATAGGGGTGGTGTACAGAGCGCACATCGTTCCTTGGGCGTACTTGTTCTTGTAAGGAGTGTAAGCTCCGAAGAAATTACATGGCTGGTAAGAGCTCAGGCCCCGTGCAATGGCGGCGTCACGGTTGGCCTTGGTTTGAGCCTGGGCGTAGACACCACAAACCGATGGGTCGAATGGTCCAGAGAAGAAATCCGCGGTGAAGTAGACACCCTTTTGAGGGGAGACGGAGATGGTGGAGCCGCTGATATTGGCGGTCCTGTCGAATTGTGGGACAGAGATTGCTGGACTAAATGATGGGGTCTTGTCGTAGCCGTTGGAGCCGGCAACGACGACGTGGAACTGCTCGCGGTATTGGCCGGTCTAGGAAAGGGGGGATGGATTAGCACAGCGTCATACACTTACGCGGAACACCGCCATGATGGAAATCTTGCTCTCGACTTACGTTAGTGGCAGTCTCTCTTGAGATGGATGATCCCCACAGAGTACACTTGATGTTTGTGATGGATGGTGGGTTTGGGCAAGCAGTGCCTGGGTCTACACTGGGATCACGCTCAAAGTCTGAGAATGGTCAGCCCGAATCAAGGAAGACTCCAGTTGCAGCACTTACAGATGTTGAAGGCGGTGCAAAGATCGACCTTGTCGCAGTAGGCGGCACATGTGCGAGGGTTGTAAGAGTCAAGAACGTAGTACGTGAGATACGAGTTCTGCTGGGTCGAGCCGTTCAGGTTTCTAGAAGATCGATCAGTCCTCGTTCCTGGTGATCGAAATGGTGGAGTTGAACATACCTGAACTTCTCAACGTAGGGGAAAGGGTTATATGGGAATGGCTGCGTCATGTTAGGCCATGCCTCTGTATCTCATTACGCCACCGTTCTTACCTGGGCGTTGGCCTGGAAAGCAAAGTAGGGCGATTTTTGAAAGGCCTCGGCGGTGTCGGGGTTGCGGACGGCAGGACCAGTACCGTCTGGCTGGACCGCACAATCACCACGCTTGACCTTTGCGGCCTTGGCGGGCTGAGCGTCAGATGCAGCGGCAGCGGCGGCAGCATCGGAATTGTACGCCAACTGGCCTTGTCCAGCTACACCGACGGGAGCGGCGGTGACGGCGGGAGCAGGTGCAGCGTTGATAGCGGCAATGTCAATCTGCTGGGCAGTGACGACACCGGCAAGGGCCGCAACGAAAGCGAGTGTGTACTGCATGCTGAGGTCGACTGTTGAGATGKACAACGAGGGAGTTGCTGTGCTGAGGCTGGAGTCCCTGTTGAGAAGGATGCAGAAGTATATATATCCCAGCGCAAGTCGGCAGAGAAGCCTATTCTGCTTTTTGCACTAGCCGAAGACGTGAAGAAGCAGTCCCAAGCGGGTACAGCTTCAACTTTGCGCAAGTGTGGGAGTAGAGAGGGAGAGGTCTCAGATGCAGTGTTCCTTCCCATCCGAGCTAGACTTGCAGAAGAGAGTTCTTTCAAAATACCTTAGTGGCTGGAGCCCGGGAGGTTAGCCGCAGCTCTATCTGAGTGCATGGTGAGAACCAATATCTGTAGACAGTTCTGGCAGCGAGAGCGTGTCGGGGCAGGTGCTCCGCATCAACCAAAGGAGTCATGGTTACTCACTACTGACGTCTTGAAAACGACGGGCAGTGCTGAGGATGACGATTGTGATGGGCTCTGTACGTGAATCAACTCTGAACAAAACGAGGCTGATGAAGTCGATGGGCCGAGGAACCTAGAGTTCAAACAGTGCAGCTCTAAACAAAGCAGTGCTACGCCGTTCGCACACCAAGGCCAGGCATGTTCCGAGGACATCCCGTCATCGGCATAAGGGAGGCGCCAAAGCAGATGGGAGTCCGGCAACAAGTAGAGTCCCACTTCACCACCGTCCCGTTCTGTCGAGGCTATGCAGCCACGATCACATGCGGACGGTCCTGGCAMGGCTAGCATACCAACGCAGAGATGTGTTGAGCTCGAATCGGGGATCTCCAGGTACGCTTTCCTCTAGCACAAAGCTTCAAGATGATCGACAGTCGTCTTCCTCGGTCCAGACCTCCGGACACCATCTCCATCCAGCGTTTGTGGCAAGCGATAAGTGGTAAGTGAGACAAGGACACTCTGATCATCTCCTTCAAATCAGGCTGATTGAATCTGCTCTCGCTGCTCAAGTTTTTCAGGGGATTGTCACGGGTTGCAACCTGTGATGATTCCGATGAAGCCTATTTAAGCAGTCGCTAGCGCGATATCAGACTCTTTCCGCAACCTGTAGCGCAGAAGGCTAGGCTCAATATTCACCCACAGAATCGGGGCACCTCTGTTTGCGTGAAGAAAGCTTCAGCTCAGTCGTTGGAYCATCACCTGCGCCTTTCCGCAGTAGAGCAGTCGCGCAGTCGCGAAAACTTCGAGCTACTGTAGCTGATCTAGCTCAATGCAAGGTGATATGTAAAACATTCTGCATCTCTGATGTATGTTGTGCAGCTCAAGCTCCACACGGTAATGGAGAAGTATCGCCGAACTACGGAAGTTCCGTTCACGTTGCTAGTCTTCCACGCTCCAACGGCTCGAAGCGACCACGCGTGTTTCTAACGTTGTTACTTTCTGACGCGAAAAAGCACAATCGATCGCACTCACGGAAAGATTTCACGATCGAAAAAGAGCTAGTGGAAGTACTTCCAACTGATGGCTCTGCAGCCATCCCAACCTTTCTCCAGTGCTGTAACGATTGCCTCTGGAAGTGGACCCTTTTCGAGATCCTTCATGTTCTGCTCGATGTGCTTCACAGAAGACGCGCCGATGATAATCGCATCTCCGTGCTCACGCTTGAGCTGGGAGTGGTGGGTCATCCAACGCAGAGCACATTCCGCTTCTGTCAGTGTTGTCAGTAAACGCCCTCTAGATTGAAGGAAGGGGATACTCGTCACCTGTCAGGCCATGCTCTTTTGCGACTGGGCGTAAAATTTCAAGAGCATTAAAGTACTCATCGTTCCAATACCTTGTGCGGTACATCTTGCCTGCTCCATATTAGCTTGTAACCCATGTGTTGGCCATCGACCTCACTAGCTGCGAACACGCACGTGCGGCGAGCTACGCGACTTGTGATGCTCCGTGGCGTTTGCCGGGTGGTAAGCTTACCTTGCCATCTATTGGGATCGAAACGTGCGCCAGCCTCGACCTCCTTGTCGTCGCGATGGTATCTGTCCGTGAGGTAGCCGCCTGCCAGAGGATTGTACGCGAAGAATGCCATGCCATACTTGCGTAGGCATGGCATTAGCTCATGTTCGATCGAGCGATGCAAAGCGTTATAGACACCTTGATAGACTTGAGGCGTGACCCAGCCATTGGCACGGCAGATTTCTTGAATCTGCGCGACTTCCCAGGCCATGTAATTGGAGATACCGAGCCTCTGAAACTTGCCCTCTTTGTATAGATCGTTGACTGCTTTCATTGTGACATCGTATGGGACGGATCTATCCGGACCATGTCTTTGGAAGGTCAGCCTGATGTCAATTGCGGGGCAGAGATGCGTACAGGTACCACATATCGACTTGATCTGTCTTGAGTGCAGCTAGGCTGGCCTCAAGGTTCTCACGGAGAGCTTCCGGCGTGTGGCGTCCGGCTTTGTCCCAGTCTGGGTGACTCAATTAGAGAGCATTCTCTACCATTTCAGCGGACACCTCTTCGCGAATTACTTACTGGATGGGCTGTCAGAGAACGCTGCAGTAGGGTAGTATTTGGTGTCCATAACAATGCCCCTTTTTGGCCAGTTCAGGTCGCCCAGCATTTCCTCCGATGATCCAGCTCCATATGCACGGGCAGAGTCGATTTCATAGTGTCCATACTTTTGAAAGATGTCCAAAATTGCACCAGCCGTCTCGAGATCATGAACGCGGGCTTGCTCAACGCCTGCAAAAGGATCAATCAATGCGAACATCTGCATTACCTAAATTTCCCACCTTCCTTGCCAAACGTCATCGCCCCGAAGACGACATTGACGGCACTCTTTTGCTGTAAAGTCATTTTGATATGGTTCTGAATGGTGAGAACGATGGCGGCAAGGAAAATGCTGTGAGAGTGTAGGAGTACCGGAAGCAGAACAGCAAAGCAGACATCTCTCCTTTATCATCAATGAGCCGCGTTGCCCTCCATGGTCCCTCATGATGTCAATTCCTCGGAGTTAGGAGGCGGCGGAGGGCCATGAGCCCGGGGTTAAGAGACGGTTTTTGCGACGGCGTGAGACTTCCACAGAGAGTCTCGCCATGCGACTGCTATTGGACGCGGGTCTGAGCATGAGCTGCGGAGAGTCAAGACGCGTCGAAGTCGTTTGTGATTGTGCTTGCACTGCGGGAAATGACGTAAAAAAGCGTGACTCAGCATTCAAAATTGTTTGTCTTGGCTGGAGTTCGACGAGCCTTCCCCGAGCCATCAAGAAAGAACACAGGAGAAGCCGAGAATGGCATCATCTACTCAACTGGCATCCCTGAGGCAATGGCTTATTGATAACGGCGGATCTGTCAACCCAAATGTCTCCCTCGAATGGAATGAAAAATCGGGAGTCCACTGCAAAGCCGCGTCCTCCTTAGACCCCGAGTCAAGAATCTGCACAATTCCACACTCACTGGCACTATCAAGCTTGAACGCCCTCGTGGATGATGATTTCACCGTCTTTCGCAGACGTGGACTTGCTCCGGAGGCCATTGGGTACTTCTATCTCATGAACCAATACATCCACCGTAACAGGTCGTTCTGGAAGCCCTACCTGGACACTCTGCCTGGTCCAGAGGTGGAACACCACACACCTTTTTGGTTCACCGACGATGATCTCGCATGGCTTGAAGACACTGATGTCTTGCACACCACGAAGGCTCGACAGGATATCCACAAAGCACACTTCAAGCAGGGAATAGCAATGCTTGAGAAAGCCAAGGTCAATACGGAACCATACACGTGGTAAGTATGTTTTTGTAAAGGTAAGTCGTGCTTGTTTTTGATTAGTATTTCAGGCCTCTTTTCAAGTGGGCCATCACCGTGTACACTTCACGCTCGTTTTCATCTCGTGCACTACGGCCGCTGGACAGCAAGTATTGGGCAGCATACAAAACTGGCCGAGAAGGCCAAAGGCAGACGGCGTTGGTGGACATGTCTCGTGTCTCCGCCGAAGATCAGGACTTTCCCGTGTTGTTTCCCGTCATCGATATCCCGAACCATTCGAATGATGCGCGAGTCGATTGGGCGTTTGATGCCGGGCGATTCAGCATCACGCTCAAAGATGAATGTCCTGCTTCATCAGAGGTTTTCAACAATTACGGTCCGAAAAGTAACGACGAGCTTCTACTGGGATACGGGTTCTGTACTACAGACAACCCGAACGACAAGGTTCTTCTCACTTTGAAACCACCCGCGAAAAACCTCCAAAGCGAGATCCGAAAGTACCAGTCTGGCTACTTCTCACCGGATGGGATTTGGAGTAGCGAAAAGACAACATTCGGCGTCAAGCTAGTGTCATGGAGAGACGAAATGGCGCGCGACCCTCTCAAGCTTTTCGAAATGCTGCCCGAGCCGTTGCTTGAGCTCATGATATACATGCTACGTTGCGAGCGTGGCCTGCCCTTTCAGTTTCTGGAACATCCATTGCAATACCTAACTGGAGATGAGACGGGTCGCAGCTACATGCCTCACGTAACCCGCATGATCGTAACATCACTGGCGCCCAAGCTCGCAAAGCTCCAGAACAGTACCCCCTCAGAGCCTCCAGCCAACAAGAACCAAGAACAAGCAGCCATATACCGTTCTGGGCAGATAACGATCCTACAGTCGGCAATCGACAGCCTGCGAAGCTATTTGAGATCGTTGCTTCCGTCAACACAAGAATCCGAATCACTCACTGCACCTGTTCTGTTAACAGTCGAAGGACTGCTGGAGCTCTCTAAGCAGTCAGCCGATGGAGTCAAGCATACTTCCGATTTCCTCACAGGCATCGCAGCAAGTGCTGGATCAACAGACATTCAACAGCTTCGGGAAGCAGGGTGGGAGGACGACATTGTAGTCTTGTTGCTTTGCTCTCTGCATCTTAGAGACTCGATACTCTCGACTGAGTATCTTTCTACTGTTGAAACAAACGAGGACTATACGCCGGAAGAAATGCAGCAGGCGCAGAGTTTAATGGAGCTAGTAAGTTCACTCTCTTGCTGCATCGAGATGCTCCCACTACTGTTCAACATCCAGCATGACTGATATGAACATAGGTCCATTCTGCTGCGAAAATTTGTCCAGGGAGCGTTTGGGAGCATCAACGATGGTCTGACCGCTTCATTGCCGGAGTAGGAGGTCGACTTGTCAGATTTGAGAGCTTCATGATGATGGTTCCCAGAATTCAAGATGCGCGACTGGTTGTCTGCATTCATGGGATCCGGTAGAGTGAAATGCACGTTATTTCATACCATGATAGCTTGTCTATCGTCTACGTACGTGCGAGGCACCATCCACAATCAAAGAACAGCCGCAAATTGTCGGAGCTATCCACCGACGTTTGTCCCCTAAACGCCTTCATATCCCGCCAACTCGCTCGCTCAATGCTCCCAGAATGCGCAGGCTAAATGCTGACTATTTTCGTGTTCATGATTCATAAGTATGCGTGTTGCAGCAATTGCTAAAACCATCGAGGCAACCCAAAGCCAGCCGCCGACTGAGACCTTTACCGATTGGCAGGGCTAGAAGACATGCCGTCTCCGTTGAGAATGAGTGCTGTCTGAATGGCTTTGAGACGGTGATTCAGCGGTGTTCTAACTGAGCGACGCTTGGCTGGGGTGTCGTGGATGCCGTGCTCACCCGAGGAGCGCTTGCGGGATGGGAAATGAGAGAGCATAGGAGTCTCGTATGGAGTCATGGATGATCGCAGGTCAAGGTTCGAGGCTGGAGTCGCAGAGCCCTTCTTTTTTTGATGRGGCGTTGAAGGCGCCGGCATGTCTGCAGGCCGGAGCGCGTACAACTGCTGTTCGATGAAATCGGAGGGCGTTGGCGCGAGTGTGGTGTACTTCTCCCGGTTAGCGTGGTGCAAAAGCATGACCATGGTGTTCAACCTACGTAATTTTCAATGTGAAGCAGCGGATCAAACAGTTCCCGAATGAGCTTTTCGTGAGCAGGACCCTCTGTCACCGGAATGAAGAGTGGTTTTCCAGTGGCCGCAAAACCTGGCTTGTGAGACTTGTAGACATTAACCACGAAGCCTTCCGTGCGTAAGTAATCGTGGATGCCGCGACCGACGTCAGCGTCAACATCTGTTCAAATTTAGTGATTTGCGCCGGAAATGTTTGGGGATGCCATCGCTCACTCATCTCCTTGGCCAGATTTCCCTTCCGCCACAGGCCGATTCGAAGGGCGAAGCTCATGCCGCGGCGCTTGAGAGCGAGCTCTTTCAACGCTGACAACGCACTTTCATCCTCACCAGCGAGCAAGCACTGGTAGCACGCATGGTCGTCAGGAACACGGGGGTCATCGGGACCTGTGAAGCCGTAACAGTGAAAGTGTTGCCATGTGTCGCAGTACGAACAGCCAATCTGGAGCTCTGTCAGCTGAGGTTTGCAACAACTTGTCTCTCCAGCGACAACATACCATTTCTCCACCTTCCTCTTCCAGATGTCCGCACTGGCACATCACAATATCGGCACCTTTCTCCCGAGACACAACCGGCCTAGCAAGCTTGAGTGCGGCCTGTCGTAGCTTTGCTTTGGACTGTTGCAGCTTGTTGGCGACTTGTGGTAAAAGCAGCATCTTCTCTGATGCGGCGACTTTGGTAGATGTCGACGGATTTGACGCAGACTTCCCTCTCGGCGGTGGTGGCGGGCGCATAAGTTGCTGAATCTGTGTATCGCCCTATCCGAAAAAATTGTTAGCAAACATCAGATACGTTGATAAATCGAGAGCGGCATACCTGTGTCAGCCTCTCAGGGAGCATGAACCCCCCGAGAGCACTCTTCATGCGCGGTGCATTGGTTGTCTGGGTGTCGCCGTTCTCAGATACCATAGCTTGACTGTCTTGAACATGCAACACCGTCGCGGTAGCCACCGGAGTCGCAATACCACCATCGGTCACGGTACCAAGCTCGCTGGGAACAACGGTCGAGGGGGTGATGGTCACATCTTCTGCTTCAGAGTTTGTTACAGACCCGAGCTCTGCTCCTTTTGCGATGGMGTCGTTGTATTCGAGCTCCGTGGGAATTCGAGTCGATTGCATGATGCATGACATACCATCAAAAACCGGCTGATGGAGATGGGTCACTTTCAGAGCGGTGCTGAACTTCACGTCAGTGTTTGCCAGGCCTCATACAGAAAGAACAGTACCTGTGAAACGCAGAGCGTAGCTTCTTGACGTCCGAGGTGGTTCTCGCCCATCCATCCGCCGATGCAAACCGAAGTTGATTCGAGTTGCTAGGTTCGAAACCTTCCGGTGGGTGCCCATCTTCAATGTCCTCTGTATAGTGCAAAGTCATCGAGATATACCGCTTGGCTGCAAGGACAGAAAGATTAGCGATTCCCTCTACTCCGCCACTCTTGATCGCACTTGCCTGGAAGCTCAGGAAGATGATTGCAGACATGCATGATATCACGAAGCATATCTTGCAAGGCAAGGTTGGTAGCCTCGACAGTGAGCGGAGGGCCGCCGGGGCTTTCAACCTCAAGACCGGCGATCGTTTGGCCATTGGGGTGGTTGGTGTGGTATTTGACAGTGAATGTGTATGTCTCGACCACCTTCTCACGGTCTTCGGGGTCGGTGTGAACGTAAACCTGCACTGCCCTGAGTGTGCCGTCCTTGAGGGCAACAAAAGCAACATCCTCCTGAATTATGTCAGTACAGTTGATGGCAAGTTGGAGCGGACAACTGACCAGCCAGTCAAGAAACTTGTCCGCTCTTTGGCTACGACCTCGACGCAAGACTTGCATTTGTGTTTGCTTCACGCCCGAGCGTTTGGGCAGCTTTCCGTCTGCATAGTCTCGGTAGGATGGGACACGAGAGCTCAGCTCGTAGAGCTGATCGCTGARAGCCTTCTCAGCGAACAAGGATCTGGACATGTCAATATGATGTTGGAGTATGGGAGGATAGAAGACTCGATTGCGCACCGCAAATAAGTCACGCTGCTGAGCTGGGGGCAAAAGTTAGCATGATTTGGGTTCCGCACTTCTGAACATCAAGAGCACTCACACCGCCATGTATCAGTGTCTGCACGATCTCGAGGCTTTGCTTCTGGGTTATGGCAGTCTTCGTGGTCGTCGCCGCCAAGCGCGTCTTCTGCATCTGCTTTGCGGGCATCTCTGAGGATGCGGTGTAGTAATTGGATTCAAGCGAGCCGTCTAGCTACACTGAAATGATTCAGGAGTTACGCTCACGAGTACCGGTGGTCATTGCGCGGCGTTGTAGTAGTAGTTGGAGGGCGAGAGGTGGGGCGAGATGTGGTCTGGGATCTAGATGTGGGTGTTTGTTCCGGTCAAGATGAGAGGCGAGGTGGAAGCAAGCGCCGGCACCCGGCTCCAACTCGAATCTTCGACGGAGGAAGGAGCAACTCACACAATTTAGAGACGGCAGGAGCTGTGGAGACAAGCTTTTGAGCGAGCAGGGAAAGTACCTAGTAGCTCGTTTGCACACATATCTGCAGAGCCAGGAGGGGGGGAAAAGAGCCAGCTTCCGATGATGCTGCAGCCTTCTGGCCTCACAAACAGCTGCCACAAACCTCGTGTCGTCCTACGATTACGAAGAGATGGATGCAAATGGCAGTAGACTCGTCAGCGCGTCCACGATTGAATTGCTGTTTCTTGCCGGGTCTGCGCTGGACGCAAGTCTTCTTCGTGCATGCAAGTGCTGGGCTGCATCGAACAATCTTCTGACCCTACTATTCAGGACCCCGTCGCGTGGATCATTGGATGCGCAAGTACAATGTCGGTGGGAAAGAAGAGATAGAAGACGATGTCACTAGCAAGGCGTAAATATCCATCTTGGACCTTGGGAGATTAAACTCCTGGACAGATGATCAAACATAGCTCGCATCTCATGGATTATCAAATCTTTATGCAGTCACAAGCTGCTCACGACAACCAAGCTCGAGTCTCATAGGTACCTAGCTACAGTCATGCATCGAATGGACATCCGGGGAAAGCTGGAAGCGGTGCTGTATGCAGGCTCAATACATTCTAGTGTCCCACGTCTTGTTTGTCTGGATCTCGAATTTTGACTTTCGGGGCGGAATCGGCGTGAATCAACCTCACCTCGCCCATCCTAAGCATTGCGAGCAGCACTTCTGGGTCCCGCAGCACCGCGACGGTTGTTTGCGGCGTACGAGCCCGGCGCTATCATTTTCGAGTGTCAGTACATTGTCACACAGTGTCTCTCTTGTTGTTCTCCTTCTTCCTTGCGAACGCAGTGGTGCCATGCCGGCCTCATTGCATCTCTCTATGACTAAGACCGATTATGCAACAACCCCAAGCTGGAAAAGACGAGATTGAGATCATATAATGCAGTAAGGTTCACTATGTTATCAACGCATCAACGTGGGCGAGTCAATGCGGCCGAGACATTGGCACTGGCACTGGCACTGGGCCAGGATCGAAAAATGAAGCCCAGCGCATGGCTATGCCCAGCATGAGCATGTCTCTCCAGCATATGATTCTACCGAGAAGCAAAGATCGACAGCAGTGGTGGAGTCTGCCGGAATGCCATTCATGTGCAGAATCTTCAATGGATAAAGGTACTGCTTCCACACGCCGACTTCACTCAACTTTCCGTCAGGTCTTCCCACTTCACTTCGTCGGCGCGGAATGGCCAACCACGCCTCGAGTTCTCGTGGATTAGGTCCATCCTAGAAAATCAACCATTCTAGGCCCATATCGTACGTAGCATTACGGCATAGTACGCCCAAAGCCAGGTCTTTCCACTCCCCGCGGCGGAGCGAATCGCCCTGCCAACACCGCGGAGTTTCGATCGCCAAATTTCCAAACGACCAGGAGAGCAGAAATGGACCCTTTTTGCGGAGATGCCAAGCGCACGGTGCCCGCCTCCACAGCAACAATGAGTCTTCCATCACTTTCCACCGACGAACAACAACAACATCTGCCAAATCATGTCGGAACCACCCGACAGCGGCGGGCAGCCACCTGCACCCATTTCAACACCAGCAGCCGCGTCACATGTACAGCAGACTCCAACGATGGAACATCCGAGCGGTGGGAAGTCGTGGAGCACGATTCCGGGCCTTGGATCGGCCGTGAAGCCGCTCGAGTCCACGCCTCGAAGAGTCTCACACGGTGGTCCTGCTCTCACCAGCGCCGGCGCGCCAGCATCGCTGCGCAGATTTCCGCCGTTGTCAATCGACGCTCCGTCCATGGCGGCTGTTCCACCGAACAAAAATGTCGGCATCGCGCCCAAGACCGCCGGCGCTGCGCCCGCAAACTGGCAAAGCTTCATGGACAAGCGCGGCGCCACGTCCGCCGTTCCCACTGCTGTGGCAGCGTCTGCATCGACATCAACAACGTGGCCAGTCCAAGGTCTTGGTAGCACCCCCCGCAGCTTCAGCGGTACGCAAGGCGCCGCTGTTAGCACCAAAGCGACCGCCGTCCACTTCACACAGACCGAGGAGTATCACAAAGCTGCTGCGCCTACATGTGCGCCGACCGTGCCGTCAGCAGCCACTGCCCCGTTGCCGCAGACGGGGTTCCCTGCTTTGCCCGATCGCCAAGCGTCCGCCAAGGATGACTCGTCCTCTGGTGCATTCACAGAGCCTAGCAGCTCCGAGATATCGACAGGCCTGACGGAGGACTATCTGAAGGACCATTCCAAGCAGGTCGAACYCACGGCTGAGACATGGACGGAAGCCGACAACCCACGGGGACTTCGCCACGCTTTGAGGGACTGGAAAGCAGAGTGGGAAGAATCCTATGCAGGTGCTTTGCACGCATTGAATCAGCTTAACCCAGCTCAATTTGTTATGCCTCCAGGAGTAAGTCCTCGAATTGTGCGCGCGTGGAAGAAAATATTGACCTCTACAGACTCGAATCGTCAACATCAAGACTGATCATGCGCAAAATATACTTGCATCCATCCGCGAGAGTAAGTACGCAGCGATTGAAAAGGTCACTGAGAGGATCATGGCCGTCTACAAGGCTCGCGAGAATGCGCACGAGAAGGTACTCTTTCTGTTTTCTGTCAATGCCAGTAAGAAGTTTTGTGGATTGGCTGAGATGGTCGGTGACTGGGACCCTGCCGGATCCATCGAAGGTTGGACAGAAAACCCGGAGGGCAACAAAGTCCATGGGTATGTTGCTTTATCCACAACCTCCGTGTAACAGCTAACATATGCGCAGCGCCATCCCAGTGACATGGATCTTCGCAAAAGACGTGGCTTACAGTCACTTCAACGACATCAGACAAATCCACAACGGACATCCGGTGGGAAATATGTGGAATGGAATGAACTTCCCCAGCGAGACTGGCCGCGAAGTCATCGAACGGTATGTTATAACTCCCTCTACTGCAAGTGTTCTTGGTTATCCCCGCAATTACCCGGAGAACTTTGGAATCATGGGTTTTCGTCAACAAGGTGATGGCAATTCCGATACACGCTCAAGCGTTAGCCAGCGGAGCCGCGGTAGCTTCACTACTCGCGGGACTCTTCGTGGCGGTCGCGGCATGTCTCGAGGTGGTTTGGGCATTCCGGACTGGCGTGGTCAGGGACCGGAAGCAGCTACTGCTGTCCGTGAGAATGTAGAAGATGATTCCACGCCGACGGCAGCCAATTTCGGCAGGACGGTTTCAACGAACCGCACCATGGCCCACAAGCCGATGACTGACCAGGAGAGCACTGCTCCGTCTTTCAGTATGGATGACATCAAGAATGCGCCGGTTGCCGACACTGCCGCACTGCTGTCTGGTGTTCCTGTGTCGTTCGTCATGGGACAGGACGGCCGGCTGATGGTGGTGCCGGGTACGAAGTCTTCTGCCCTACCGTCTACTTCGTCGGACCAGAAAGGCTCCGTCTTCGATGAGCATCCGCTCCAAAGCACTCGACTTCAACACGTTCACCCATCAGCCAACCGCGGTGGCATGGGCTTCAATGGTCGTGGCGGCCCTCAAGCCGTGATCGGCCGCCCTTCGCGTAGCATCCAGCCCTCTCACCCTGCTGGATCTCATCCCATGGGTCACGAGCAGTCTCCGCCAGTCGCCATGCTGCAACAAGCAGCCATCTTTGCTGCCCACCAGGAGGCACGCTCCCAATATCAGCCCGCGCCTTTTGAAAATTCCTGGAATTACCATTCCCAGCAGATGAATTCTCTCGGCTTTCATACCGGCTTTCAGGCTCATCGCTCGTTTGGCTCCCGCGCGCGTACTACCCACGATGCCCACATGCGCCACGGCAGTGGAGACGGCTACGACGAGCTCCCCACGCCGACTCACCGACCGCCCCCACACGGCACGAGACTTGAGCCAGCGAATGAGATCCCTACGACGTACCGCTCTGTGCCGGAATGGCAATCCGACAAGATTACGCACATGGGCCCCTTGCAGCTCAAGGCCTACTTTTTCACATTGGCAGCAGAGCAGCACATTATTGAGCACCAGTCGATGCAGCCAACCGTCACAAGTCAGGGCATGGAAACTCTGAGGGCTAGAGTGCGACGCATTGGTGAGCTCAAGAGGGAAATTCACGAAGAGGTATGTTCTACGTGCAGCTCGCTGGCGGTGCGTGATCCATGATCGATTCACTAACGAAAGCCTCAGCTGTACTTTATCGGCCACAACCTCTTCGAACACCCACTTGACAGCCAAGACTTCAACACCTACCAGCCGGAACTCAACGTCTATGGCCAGCAGCAGAGAATCTCTCCCGTCCGCGATGACAACGGACGAGTTCTCCCGTCCGCATCAGAGACGTCGATGTCTCCGCCCGACATCTGGGGTACGTACCCACAGCAGCGTCCTACACAGTTGTTTGGTCTTGGTGGTGGTCATCAGCAGCATCATGCTACGCAGTCAGCGGCCTCGATGATGGGCGGCGGTGTGCAGGTGGGTGAACGTCGTGGTCCTGCCTGACAGTAAATGCCAAAAGTACTTCGCTTCTGGTCTGAGTTGGGCTGAACGCGTACTTGTTGGCAGGCCCTACCGCCGATCAGATGTGATGGAACATGCCTGAAGTGAAGAGAGAGACTGCTGACGCTTGTGGGTCATGGCACTACGCTTCTCCATATGGCTCGCATTGCGCACTTGGTGTGAGAGGAGACACCTGCTGCTGCTTTTTTGATTTTGATGCTTCAATCTCTGGCATCCCTGCATGCTTCTACGGAAGGACCGAGCAAGAGTAATAATGGGGCTTGGGAACGGGCTTTTATAGCTACTGAACCAAATCTCTGCTGCGTAAAAGGGTGCATTTGTAAGTGTCTTGTCTCGTCTCATAACTTTCTTTACAAGACGGAATGTGCTGTTCGTTTGAACGGTCAGCTGCAGGTGCGGCTAGTCGCTGCCCTCTCTCCCGCCGTGTGTTTACTTTACCACTCCCGCCGTTTGTTTACCACTCCCGCACTCTCGYCACACTGCTGATCTTTGAGCAAACACCAATACTTTGCGACTCTGTTCCCGCGCATCGCGCAACCCTGTCCGCAATCACGAGAGCTTGTACTTTCACGCACACCCCCGATGGCGGCTTTCATGTCCGCCGTGCCCATTCCCGGGACGGCGACAGATGCGCAATCTGTCAGGCCAAGTATCATCCTGACCCGGTATTGCCAGACCAAGAACTGCCGCAACATGCTCTGTTCGGGCACTGAGGACAAGCTCTGTGAGCAGTGCCGGGACATCATTGGCTCTCGCGCTGGAGGCGACACTGTCAGGGCAGCGGCGGAAGCCGACGACTCGCTGCTCCAAACCGGCAACCTCGGCCTCAGCAACCCTCAGGCCTCATTCCTCAGTGAGGCAACTCACGACATCAATTGGTACTCTGATCGCCAGTCTGTCGGTCCCGCCATGCTGGGAGCAGAGAATGATCCATACGCTGCCCACCTTGCCATGCTTGATGAGCGTCAGCAGAATCGRGCACGTAAACTGGAGCGGGAGACGGAAGAGGTGGACGGGCGCTGGCGTACCAGACAGTCCGCCACTGCTCTGCTGGGAAGCTCGCCACCGCGCGTCTCTCGTTCTCGCAGACCAGAAACGGACCGTGGGGTGGCGGTGGCTGTGGATGCGTACCGGCCCAGTGGCCGCTATTATCTGAGCGAGATAGATGCCTATCGGCCAGGCAGGAGCAGTCCCGCTCACGCCCATCGAACCTCTGAAATTGATCGGTCATACGAGAGAGGCCTGCGGCAGGTGCCGAAGCTTGATACGCTGACTTCAACCGCCCTCGCCCTTCGCCCTCCCAACAAGCGAAAGCTGCAGGACGAGATCGCTCGAAATGAGGCCAGTAACAAGTCGCTGGCAAATCCAAGTCAGTCGGCCCGCTGCGGCAAAAGGCAATGCAATAACATGGCGGATATTGGTAAAGATCGGTGCAAAGCTTGCTATCGTGCAGAAGGCCGGCATCCCGAGGTAAGCACATCATATTCGAGAGGCTGAAGATGTCATGATCGGGTGCTAACATTAGTACTTTACAGGACGAGAGGAGGCGCTGTGCATCGAGCAATTGCACACACTGCATATCAGATGCAATTGATGGCGATCTATGCAGAGTCTGTCTTGATGTCGAGCTTGGTGAGAGAAAGAGATGTAATGGTCTTCACTGCCGCATTGTCTTGCAAAAAGGTACGTCTCATCAGCTTTGCTCGTCAGGACTCTGACGACTCTGCGTCGCTTTGCATCATGAATGAATGCCTGGAAGGTGGCAAATGACTAACGGTAGCCAGGTGATCCTGATCTACTGTGCCTGGGCTGTAAGCGTGGCACAGTACCTGCGCGGTACTGTAAGACCCAGAACTGCAATGCGTTAATTCCACCAAGCGAGCGTGGAAACCACTGCAAATCACACGCATCCGCAAAACAAGCACCTCCAAAGCAAGCGGCAAAGAAAACGCCTATCCGGAGCTGTAGCCGGCCATCTTGCAACAATGACATCGCGGCCAACATTCCAGGAAAGCTTTGCCGGGTATGCCTTGCCTCTCATAGAGAGACACAGTTCGCGAAGCAGCAAAGCATGAGCAATCCACTGCCTGTCTACCAAGATTATCGGCACAGGATGTCATACAACGATCATCCTCCACGGCAATTCGTGGGAGAGCCGTATCAACCTCAGGACCGATTATACCGGCAAACTTTCCTCGACCAATCGCACCAGCAAAATTTCCAAGATCAGGCATATCAACAGATCTTCCAGACCAACCGGTACCAGCAAGGCTTCCAGCTAAATCCGATGCACGACCAGTACCAACGTCTCATGGCGCCTCAACTGTTCCAGCAACAAGAGCCACAATTCAATCCGCAGCCCATGTTGGACCAGTCTCACCTGACGCCGCAGCTATCGGCCCAGCGCTACAGCCACCCCAGTGGTCGACCACAACAGATTGGGCCACATGTTTCGCACTTCCCGCGCCAGCAACTCCGCCAGGAATCAGTGTACCGCCATGACTCTCCACTTGCCGTGCCAGAGCTCGCATTTGACCGTCCCCAGCTTCCCAAGCCGTCATTAGACACAACAAGGTCACTCAGCGATATTTCTGCCCCTGCTCGTCACTATCGAGTGACGACAATGCAACGAATGCTGACGGCTCCTTGCTTTGGCTGCCTTCGAGATCTGGGTGAGCAAGAAGCCTCAACGCACCCGCAAATCTATTGCATTCATCTACCGTCGGCAATACGCCAGACCGTCCTGCTCGATTACGAGCAGTGGAAGCGCATATGTGCTTCTGGACAGCAAGCCGAGTTCGATCAGAGTTTTTCTGATGTTATCAAGTCGGAGAGAGTCGAAGATGGAGCCGCGATTACTGTCAAGCGGGAGAATGAAGATGGCGAATCATTGCATCCTTCTTCTTGGCCGACGGTCACCGAGCCAAGGCATTCCCGCGATGTCTCAGAGCAGTTTGTAATTTCCGGACAGCACAGCAATCCCTACGATACGATCACAAATGAGCCACAGAGTCGCATGTCGCAGCCCGCGTACCCAACGGAGACTTCCGGGGATCCGGCCGTCAGCGTTACGAGTCCGAGCGCAGCAGCTGCATCGCCGCACACTAATTCTGATGTGGCAGTCGGCGGACTGTCTAAAGACTGGGCCACGGACTCCATTCGAGAGTTGCTGGAGCTAAAGGCTGCTGCAGAACCGGGTACGCCGCTTGAAGTTGCAGTCGCCCTCCAGCAAGAGCTGCGTAACTGCTTGCTGCTTGATGTMACTAAGGGTGACCCTCAAGATGGGGAGCCGTCGGCCATAGGTCTGCTGCGTGTTCTCGACCAGAGGGTCGAGACTCTTCGTGGTGGACCTGCCGACGGCTGATGGATGGAACGGCAAGCAGATTTGCACCGTGTATGCGTTTYCGTTGCATTGCAGATGAGGTCGTTTTCACCAGCATAGCGATCGCTTGTGCAGTACAGTGCTGCCGAGAATTGCTCTCCGTGGCTGAAAGTAGTGCGACAATGCGAGCTATCACTGCCATATTGGCCTGTGCGAGAAGTACGATTACAACGCAGCAGTTAATGAACGTAATTAAAACAGTATCGAAATGAATGTACATGCACATGCACATCGTTGGGGAAGAACTATTAGCCGGGTCACCTGCCTTTCCTCGGCCCCACATGTCTCAACAACATCACCTACCTCCGACACAGTCACACTTACGCTGGACTAACATGCCACGATACGGACGCAACATCGTTGCGCTGGAGATCTGGCATGGACGACAAGATCGAAGTATCACCGGCCAAGCGTAGGCCTCGTGCCAGCAGAGCTGGCCAAGCCCGCCGATTCCAGTGCAAATACCCTGCTTGCGAGAAGCGGTATTCCAGGGCCGAGCATCTCCAAAGACACACACTCAATCATGCTCCCGAAAAGATCTTTTTCTGTGAGATTCCGCGATGTGGCCTCACCTTCGTTCGTGCTGATCTCTACGCGCGGCACAAGGCTCGCCATAACCCAGGCTCCTCTGGCATACCTCGGGAGTATAAAAGTGCTCGTTCGGAGCTGATCACCTCTCAAATGCAGAATACCGATCTTCACCAGTCAGGCGGTAGTGATTCCATTCCAGATCAAGCTTCTCACAACGACTTTATGAGTAGACAGCCAAGTTGGCATGCAGAGCCTGGACGCGATCAAAACCCAGCCGCGGCTTCGTCTCAGCCGGCATCGTCCAGTCATATTGGGAATGGAGTCGATATTCCAAGATTGAGCTGTGTTCCAGTTACATACCCTCTCATCGACGACTCGTCTGCACACAACAATGATAATTTCGCTGCCTGGCTCTTCGATGCCCCCAGCTCGTATGACGAGGGATTCAGTTTGACGAATGGACCATCACTAGACTTTGGTTTGGAGTACTCTTCCAATTATACGTGGACTCCTGGCTCTAGGGTTCTCGATTTGGAGGATCTTCCCAGCAATAGACTGGAGGGCTGCGTATCCGAGCGTAGAAGGAGAGAGATTCATTCGGTGCTGATGCAATTTCTCAGCAAGCAGCGTGGCCAACATCTTGTCCGAGATAATGAGAGTATACTCCTCATGAGAAATGGCGACTTTCCCAATCTAACCATTGAGATGTTAGACAGACTCATCGAAAATTACTGGCTGAAAGTTAGTGCACAAATATCGATAGTACACCAGCCCACGTTTACAAGCAACTCTTGTCATCTGCTGCTGCTTCTCGCGATTATCGCTCTTGGGGCTGCCGATCTGGTGAATTCGCAGCCAAAAGGTTATCTGGTGGAGTACAAAGAGTTGGCGGACCTCATAATCACGCACCTACGATGGGAGATCTTCACTTACGAAGATGCGGAGCCACCTGTTCAGCTATGGGTGGCCCAGACTCTATTGTTGCTTGAGTTCTACGAGAAGCAGTGGTCTACTCGGCGATTGCATGAACGAGCTCACATTCATCACGCCTCGACCTTGACGCTTCTTCGACGTGGCAGTCCACTTGTTGGACAAACGGACGATATAATACCACCAGGCGAATTCTTGCATAGACTTTCGGAGTCCGGTGAGAGGAGCAACACCAAGCGAGATGCATCTCAAGCTGTCGATAATTGGTGGGTACATTGGGTGGGGAATGAGTCGTTCAACCGAGTCGTGTTCACAGCCTTTTGGATGGACACATTGCATGCTTCTATGTACGGACATGCTGCTGATATGGCGCCATACGAGATTCGGACGAACTTCCCTTGCGACGAGTCTCTCTGGACAGCGAAAAGTGCAGAGGAAGTCCAGAGACTCAATGGGGATCTGAAAGTGTGCGGCGTACGACAAATTTCATTCTTGGAAGGACTGAAGCAAAGTCTACATGCGCAGCACGTGCAAACACATTCAGGAGCACGTATGCTACTTATGGCTGGCCTGTTGAGCGTAGGATGGCACATCAACCGGCGTGAGAAACACCTGCAATTCCTGGAGAATGCGCCATCTAGTAGAGAGCAAGGGCGCTGGAGATCACTTCTCTTGAATGCTTTTGGTCACTGGAGAAGTAGTTTTGACGAGGCTGTGGGACTCCAAAACGATGGTGTACATGGAAATGCGGATCAAAATGCGGATGCTGCTATTGTGTTGTTGCATTTAGCACAAATGACAATGCACGCCGATCTTATTGGTAAGTTCTGCTTCAAACTCGTCGTAGGGGACGGCATCTGACGGGTCTCGCAGACTGTCAGATATTCTCGGGATCCATACGGTTGCTCGGAAGGAAGGTATCCAAACATGTACGCGTCGGGGTATTGGAGTTCGATTGAGTTTGTTCGCTAATTGCTTGAGACCAGGACTATTTGAACGTTTTGCAACGTATGAGGGTTTGGTCACAAGGTCCACTTGCTCTCCACGCCGTTCAGCACTCTACAAGACTACTCTACGAGACTTTGGTCAAGCCAAGTGCTCATAGACAAGAAACCTACCATGGCCTTGTCTCTCATGAGCGAAGTTCGATAAAGTACTCTTGCCGGAATGATTCAATAATCCTACGACCTTGGGCCGTGTATTTGGCAGCGTTGATTATGTGGGCATATCAACACGCTTCAGCATCGCAACTCGTGACAGGGATTTCTGGTCCGCAATACTTGGAGGCTCTGGATGATGAAGCGATGTGTTGCCGGTCAGTATCGCTACGCACGCCTCGATCTATTCTGACAATTTCACTTGTAGGTACCTCACCACATGTGCTGGTGTTGAAGATTCAAGTCAACTCCCGCGAGTCTTGTCTCAAGAAGGTGGGCTGCCTTCAGTTCTCAATGTGGTTTCGAAAGACTTGGCAAATGCAGAGCCCGAGCTCCTTTTGGAAGCCGCTACTCGCCTGCAAACTTGCCGAGCAATGCTGGCCGATGCGAACATTATCTGGCCGCCTGATTGAAGTCGTCTTCCATGATGTTGTTCAAAGACCCGGCTGCCAAAATCTCTCAGGCTCCCGGCTCAGTTCTCTCAGATGAGTTGGGTCGATCCCCTGAGTTCTTCCCCTATACGAGGTGCGGGCCCACAACTAGGCTTGGAGTCCATGCTCCCCCATTGCTACTATAACGAGCGAATGTATTGGGCTGACATTCGGCAGCCTTGTTAAGTCCAGATCTGGTGAATATGTGATGTTGATGGCTCTGCGGCGGCTGAGCTCCACCTCGTGATCCCACAGATCATCCCTATCTGGCAAACAAGAATGACAACAATAGATGACCGCGATGCAGATCAGCGGATCTTCTCTTGTAGCCAGGAATGGTGTAACTGGGTCAACGTGACTTCTCAATGCATTGCCACGGACAGCCTTTCCCTCTGAGATCTCTCTTCTCTTTAGTAGCAGGTCGGAAACTGACAACGACATCGTTCGACAAAGCAATACAATCGTGGCCAACATGATTGCAAACAACAAGACAGGACTGTGGTCTCACCAGGTCCCAAATCAAAGTCCAGCACTGATCATAATTTCAGTGCTGTTCCTCCTGGTGACCACGATATTTTTCTGCTTGCGCCTGAGAGCACGCTGGAGGCTCAGGAGGCGCGGCGAGCAAAGAAATGCCATACGGCACTGGTTTGAGCACCTACAGGCACGCCGGTTCGGCAGAGCATTTTCTGGCCAGACAGATGATAGGATCCTCCACCTTGRCTACACATATGAGTTGTCGTCCGATACCATGGTTGCTGCCGCATACCTCACACTGGTAGTGCAGACCATCTTCGGCGGTCTAGCAGCTCATTATGGTAAGTGACACATCAAAGGACAAAAATTTACCTGCTGACTTTCCGTCTCTCTCCCTCTGCAGGATTTGGAAAACACAGAGTCGACATACTTACTACCTTTCCGAAGGCGATGTATTGGTTCTACCTCTATCAAATCTGTTACAAGCTGCTTGGAGGTTTCACCAAACTCTCATTCTGCTTCCTATATTTGAGGATTTTCCCACTCCAAGATCCGCACGCCTGGTACCAGAAGCACTTCAAGAAAATGGTCACTGCAACGGCCTTGGTGACTGGAGCTGGTACATTCGCCTTCACCATGGCTACTATCTTCCAGTGTACACCCATTGACCGCGCTTGGGATCGGACAGTCCCAGGACACTGCACAGATAATCTGGTGCGTACGCCGATTTCTTGAAGGATAGCCACGCGCTCAAACATCAGTCCTTTACCTTTGCCAAATATGTTGCTAACTATGCACTCTCAGTCATTCTGGTTCTCTCATGCTGCTTTCAATAGCTTCATGGACATAATCGTAAGTTCGAAGCTGGCAGAGCAGAACATGTACCGTTCATGTTTCTTCACGCATTAATAAACGAGCAACTCTGCCCTTCGCGGGCGCCTCCGTGCCTACGCAGTTCAGTCTGATGTCGAGGATGGCCTCAGAGGCCCAGAGGTGACACTCAATAACATCTCACAGGTCTTCATCCTCCCACTACCGGTGATTCGGAAACTCAAGGTAATCCGGAGCGATCGCATCGGTCTGATATCCACATTCGCTCTGGGAGCCTTCGTGATCGCCGCCTCCATCGCAAGGATGGGCAACTTGGTGCACAGTGCCGCAAGCACAAGTGACCCGACCTGGGGCAGTATGCCAGCTCTCATCTGGACGGAGGTGGAAGCCAACACTGCAGTGATAGTCTGCTGCTGTCCGGCTCTCGCCGCTGTTTTCAAACGCTTTTGGCACAAAATCTGTGACATTATTGGAAGATCGGTGTCTTCCACTAATGATCCAAATAGCTTACCTACAGATCAAAGACCAGAACAACAGCAGAAGTCTGTGCCTGGGGGAGATCAACCGTCAAGAACATCCCAGATCCGCTCCATATGGTCTAAACTCACCCGACAGCAGCCAAAGCCTCCACAAAGCAGTATCGAGCTACGTCCATACACTTCCGGAAACCTCGCCTTCGTCTCCTCTGCCGGGAGCAAGAAGACCCGCCGAAATTGGTASGGTGGGCGATCCCAGCACGATTCTTGGAACACCGGCGACGAAGAATCAGGCGAGCCGGTCAGCTATCTGGCGCCAAAACTCAAGTCTGGGGGACTCTATAAAAAGAGGAAAGACCCAGAAGGTGCCATCATGCGACAACAGGATGTGATGGTATCGACTCGTCGCCGTTCCGAAGAAGAGGATCCGGAAAGTGCTGAGTTCAGGGATATGATGAAGGGAAGATTGAACGGCTGAAGACGGCATAGTGTATAAGCTGAGCGGGTGGTCGAATACTAGAGTGATTTTCCTACTACTTTGTACAACCCAAGGACGATGAAATTCAAGCTTTCCTGGCCACATCGATATGTCTTGCGGAGTGTGACATGTGCTTCGGTGGAGGCAGCTTCGACCGCGTTTCATTCTTGTTGTAGGGAGAGCAAGATCTCTGACATCGCTTGGTAGGACGGCAACTTCGCATCACGTGGACCGTTCACAGCAAGAAAAGGAAACGAAAACGAAAGACGACTCTTCGTCGTTGAGCTTCTTCGTAGAATCTTGATGCATATTCATATTCATGCTTCATCACCACGCCCGCGCTCCCTTCGCGACGAAAAGCGAAAGAGACAATGCGAGAACGCTAGTATTGCCACGCCGGGCATTTTGCGTAAAAAACGAGAGAAACTCCATGCCGTTATGCGAGCTTCAAATGACGCCGGGCACCATCATCACCGTCGAATGCCCCCATTTCAAGAACATCGGCATAAAATACCCGTCATAACGCTCATAATCTGCTTCGTCACCGCCACACTATGCAGCCATGCATTTTCGAGGCCCCGAAGACTGCCGGACGAAGCAAGTCAGACAACTAATGTGGTTCACCATCGCCCTGAGCCTTTCCCCCATTCCATCTGATGCCAGTGGAGGAAGCTTTCGAATCGATGAGCGGTGGGAGATTGTCATCGTCGTCGTCTAGCAAGGAGCGGGTGCCGTCGACCTCAAAATCGTTGCTGTACAGGCCGCGAGAGTAGTTCGAACCTTGCGTGCAGTCTGATACCTAATCAAGGCCGCCATCGAACACTGAGCGCGACGACGAAGGTGCACCYAGGCGAATCTCATCGACACGGTCGTTGTCGTCGGCGTCGGTGTCAATCTCTTCCACATGCTGCGTAAGTCCTGGCGAAGAACCATCGAAACCTGTCGCATCGTCCTTGCCCCAAACCTCAGGGTAGATAGGTGGAAGGTCCTCATCGTGAGATCCAGATTCACGATCACCTACGTCTCCCTGAGCAGTTGTGCTTCCGGCATCAGATTCTGCGGTATTGTCTTCTGAGTCCAAGGCATTGAACGTCCACGTGGCGCTACTACTCATCTCCGTCAGACTGCTCCCGTGACCAGCTCCACCACCTCCTCTGCTGTCCTGGCTGCTCATCACCCCGGCTCCGACTCCGGCTAAAGCGCTCGACGACCCATGCTGTGAGCGAGGCAGGCCGCCGAGCTTCCCTTCCCCCGAATCAGATTCATCTTCATTTGCGGAGTCTCTGGCTGCGTGGAAGTCTGTAACCAGATCCTGAAGGTATTGAGGCCCGAGTGGTTTGTCCGATCGACGACGGTAGAACAACAAGTAAGCAGCGGCAGAGTGCACCTTGTCCTCGTTGCTGATCCGGTTACAAGAAGAGTCTGCGCGGTGTTAGTCATGGAGCAGGATTGCGAAATGATCATGGAGACTTACCGTTGTAATCATACCACTCGCCGTCGTTGAAGTTCTTGGCCATTGCTGTGTAGTGGCCGCCGCCGAGACCTCCGTAGTGGTTGTCCACAGCGAAAAGATCGTAAATGTACTCCTTGCCGTCTTCCTTCCTCCCAACCTTGTCAGTCATGTCAAGTCCAGTGATTGGATAGTCAACGTGGACGTCAATCTTGTCTCTTGAGCCACGAGCGCCGCCGAAGCGCTTTAGGTGAACGACGAGTATGTCTGGAAGGGTCCAGATTTCCAGGGTCTTCGCAGCCAGACGCATCTCCTTGCAGCGATTGCAGTACCAGGCGTTGTCCTCTGAGAGGACCTCGCGCTTGCCAGTTTCCGTGAAGCATTCCTCAAGAGTAACACCATTCTTCCTACGTGCCTGCATCTGCGCGCGTCTTGCAATGAGCTCGGGGTCGGGGAACATGTCACAGCCAATTCCGTCGTCGCCGGTGGTACGATGGCCGCGCATCKCCTTTGGATCTTGCGAATCGCCTTCAAATAAGGAGTCGAATCCTTCTTTCCGCCAGTTGAGCACGATGGCCTCACCAAGCYGAACATAGTACGGGCCATCGTCTTGCTGAACAACGTTGTTGAGCAATGTATTGCCAAACTGGGGTTTGTTCTTCCGCTGCTGATCTTTTTGGCGCCTCTGCTGCCTCTTGTCAAACCGCTTGTTCTTCTGCCGTTGCTTCTTCCCCCGACCGTGTCGAGCTTGGCCGTCAAAGGAAGCAGGGCCGTTATCGCGAATTATCGGATCGTCGCTCTCGCTGTCTTCAATGACAGGCTGTGACTTTTCTCCGCCCATAACAATGTCAGGGCCATCACTGTCGTTGGTGTCGTCCTCGCCGTCGCCCTGTTCGGCAGATCCATCGTCCGAACCGGACCCACCCGAATTGGAAGATTGCACAGACGATCGCCGCGAAGCTAGCTTCACACGCTTGAGCATCAATTGCAGGTCGCGGTCTCTCGGAACGTCTTTGACATGCAATTTACCATCAGTACCGCCCACATAGACGTCGAATAGGTGGTCTCGGAGTGCCGGTGACAGATGATATGAGGGGTTCATGAAATCTTCCGGGACGGTGTGGTCGCGCTCGTCAATCTGCATGGCGCTCGTACCATTCGCCAATATTTGCGAGTCAGTGATCTCAGTCGCTGGCGTACCCATCTCAACGTTGACGTAGCTGTCCTCGGAAGTGTCGCTAACAACCGCAGCATCGTCAGCGCTGGAGGACTCTCGTACGTTCTCGGTGTCTGCCTTGGAGTCTTGTTCATGGCTAAACTCTCGAAGTATTGGCCTGCTGGTCATCTTTGACACCGCAATGAGAATCTTTTTCATGATGATGTCGTAGTGCTTCGCCTCCTCGCGAGTGACTGTAATCCATGTGGGAGTCATTGCCACTTTCCAACAATCTCCGGGGCCTTTAATCTGGTGAAATATAGGAACAGCGAAACAGTCAGACATCGGCGATTCCATGGCATCTGCGGGCAGCTTCCTCAGTGCCTCCTTGTCAGAGTACGAGGCGTATGGTCTGTCGGGTAACGCTGGATTTGTCGGAACGCCATCAACTTCGTGGAAGAAGATGTGATCGTTCTTAACGATATTATCGTCGGCCAGCGTAGAAGCATCGTCGAACAGCTTGTAGATTTTGTTATTGAAGAATTCAGCCATGATCAGGCGGTTGGCTTCCACGCCAGGATGTTTGCTTGCGATTGACTCCTTCAGAGCCTTGAAGGGTGCGTTGTTATCGATGTCAAGCCGATGGCGAACTGGTCTGCCATGGATTGGGAAGAACGTCACGGTGTGCTCCTTCTTGACGTTGATTGGAAGCTGCACTGTGAGCAGCGAGAAGGGATCGAAGGTGACGCTGACCTTGTCGCAAGCAGGACACTCCATCTTGTTCTTGTAGAACCCGCTGAAGAGGTCCATCGCAACAGAGTCGTTTCTCAACTTGTGATTGTTGCGATACGTCTCGCCAAGTTCAATAATGGCTTGTGGATCATGAACTGTCGCGTCGTCGGAGTCTGGGTTTTCAATGTACGGCTTCTTCTTGATTCGGTTCAGGTCCTCGTGCAGCGCGTCGACGAGGAAACTCAAAAACTCTTGCGAATCTTGCTGTCCCCAACCCGAAAACATTGGTTGTGCGTTTCCGAKTGCTTTCTTGAACGCTGTTGGAGAAAAGGAGCTGCTGGAGGAGCTTCCGTAGATGCCTTCAATGACGCTGGAATATGCATGTGCCATTCTCCCGTTGTGCCCAAGAGGATTGTCGACGTTAATCTCCTTCTTGTATTTCTTGGTCATGAAGAACAATGCGAGCTCTTCTACGCTTCGAATGCACTGAAGGGCAGAGTTCATGTAGCACGTGTTTCCGAGATTGTTAAGACCGACAGTGCCACGCGTACGCCCGCCTTTCTTGTGTCGGCCTCTGGTCATTATGCCGGTTGGCGCTGGACTTGTACGACCAGACGTTGCTGCCGAGCCGCTTGGTTTCTGGAGTTGAAGCCTCAGCCCTGGCTTGGAGTCAGATGAGAATTCACCGCCGCCGGGTCCGCCGAGTTGCTCCTCAAACACCAACGTCTGATCTTCGAAGACGATCGGTCCTAGCACCATGCTGCCATTGTACTTGTCATTGGCAGTGTTGTCTTGGAGGTCCACAGGTTCGAGCTCCACTCCAGCTTTCATCTTGTTGAAGGTTGCAGTGTCTAATACCAGCTTCGGRACAGATGTGCTGGAGCCTTGAGTAGGAGATCCCGACCTCGACGGAGGCGGCGAGGGTACACCGGACGCCCTTGTATCAGGCGAATCAACGGCAACATTCGCTGGATCGAGCAAACGAAAGACCTTGACTTTCGTGGTTCGCGGAATGCTGACAGCTTCCTTGGCGCGGGTCATGAAGTGTTGGATCTTCTCGCTTCTGGATGTGATGATACGAACGGCGTCATCTGGAGAATTCTGCCCATACAATTCACGCCGCTCCTTCTTCGCCCGGAGTTTCACCAAAGTTGTCTGCTTAGCGGTAGGGGTACCGCTCTGACTATGCGGTTGAGGCACTTTGCGAATGGTCAAGATTGGAGGATAGATCTCGTAGATGATGTTTTGGGCAGTGCCGGGCTCGGCCGAGTTGTGAGCGTATCGAACAATGGGCTTGGAGTGTTTCGTGCCATACAGTCCAACGATATACCCATACGCGTCAAATGGTAAAACTTCAATCTCCGCTCCCACGGCGTAACCGGGATTGAGCGGGATGAAGTGCTGCTTCTGCGCGTCTTGCATTGGCTCATGGAAAGCATTCTCAGGAGTAATGTCTGAGTTATCGAGAGGGCCTACTGGGCCTTCTCTTGCATCCTTTGGAAACCCGCGCTTGCCCAAACCCTCTGTGCTTCGCGACTGAACGCGCTGCAGCCATTTGTTTGAGATGACGACACCTCGATCGCCTTCGTCCAGCGGCTTCTCCGAGAGCTTCCGAACATGAGCTATCTGTGCGTCGACCTCCTCCGCGTTGTACGGCTCTTTGTGTGTAGGCTCGGGATGCTTCTCTTCGCTTTCCGCAGGTGTTCCAACGGCGACGGACTCCGTGCTAGACGCAGCTGTGGTTGTAGACGAAGCCTCCACACTTGATGTGGAAACATCTACGTCCTGGGCATCCTCCACAGCATTACTCGCAGGCGTCATCCCAGACATGGCAGAGTCCTCTGTCGATGCTGCATCATACTCCGCTGCAAGGCCTGACGGCGCCTTTGGTGTCTKCTGTCGAACCTGTGGCGCACCGTTTGCCTCTCCTTGCTCTACGCCCTCCATCTCCGATGCAGGTCTCTTAGCTGGAGACGCCGACCTTGTAGCTCCCGAGGCTCCACGTCCGGAACCACTCGCGCCACTGTCGCTCCTGGTCATGTCCACGCTGTCAATCGCGCCTTCCCCGTCTTCGCGACTGGGCAGCACTTCGTCGCGCAGATGTGGGGGCAGATAGCGTGGTGGGGTGTTTCGCGTGGCCGAATGGTGATCAAATGGTGACGAGGGCAGTGGCGATGCTAATGGCGAGGTTGAGCGCGAGTTTGCAGCGAGTGAATGAGAATCCGCCTCAGCGGCCGTTTGCGAGTGTGGTGTAGGCGAGCGATGGATGGAGCCCGTGCTGGGACTGGATCTCCTGCCAAACAAATCGAGCTTGCGCTTTTTCCCCGACGAAGCCGTGATGGCGAGAAGCTGCTCTGAGTAGAGCAGCCCTTTGGTGAATTCTTGTTCGCGAGCGCTCGGGGAAGGAGGATAAACTCCGAGGCGTCGCTGGAAGCTTCAGGCGTGTGATGGAATGCTGATGATGATAGTTGGGAGTGAGCAGCGGCCTGGATGCTCTCTGCGCGGAAGATGTGAATGGATCGATCGCCGGGGAGGTTTGGCGGCTTGAAAATGTAAGTGATCAAGAAAATAGAGGTAGGTGAGTTCCAACTTTGACGTTTTCGACGCGGATTTTCCCCACGCTCCGGACCTGAGATCGGCACGTTCGAGGTGTACAATCTTCGAGACACAGCGCGAGTAAGACGTGACACGATCTGGAAGCTTGAAATTGGGGCGATCCGGGGTTGAAGATCTGGTGGAAAGAACGATGAATGCTGCGACGGAGGGAGAGTCCACGTCGTCTCCAAACAAACATTCTGGCAAACATCAACGCGTATGCACGTGAAGAAGAGCTAGGTTCAATACGCGACGAGATGTTCGAAAGGCTTCAAAAAGCACGGAAAAAATGTCACGACCAACACTGCCGTCAAGTTGTATTGCATTTCAAGTCTCCCATGCCATCTATTCTCATGCATTCAGATGCGACCCGCTAAATCTCAGATGACCAGATGCTCCTCCATGGTGCATTCATGGGCTGTCATGCTTCATGCTGAACCGCACCTCCGGCTCGTTCCTGGTCCTGCACGTGCTTTACATATCTAGAGATGGAGTGAGTAAATTTCTTGCATGGAAATCGCGAAGCAGATTCACTTACCTCACAAACGCCTTCTTGTGAACCATTCCGATGTACCGCCCATGTTGCAGCACGCATATATACCGAAGCCCTAGCTTCACAAAACACTCAAACACCAAATCCATGGGAGCCGACACTTCCAGCGACACGGGCGCAGGGTCGATGTAGCGCGTAWAGTCGGTCGGATCCTCCTCCGGGGGAACAGGCTCGTCATTCGTGACCGTTGCTCCATCCTCATCGGCATCATCATCTGCAACGGCGTTCGAGCTCGGACGCGCATCGTCGTCTCTCCTCTCATCTCGTAAACTCATCAAACACATGGCGTCTTCTTCACTCTCAAGGTGATCGAGAGCGTATTCCAGATCAGGGCCAGGGATCAAGCCGACAAGAGCGCTGTCTCTCAGGATTGGGAGTCCACCATCGAGCTCGCCGGCCATGTGTAGGTATTCCAGCTTGAAACGCAAGCTTTTGGCCGATACCAGTGGCGACGACGAAATGTCAATGTACCGGTTCGGGTTGAGCTCAGACGTAATGTCGCCAAGGTCTGTATCGAAGACTGGCCGCAMTTTGTGGTCCAAGTAGGGATAGGCGTTCATGTCCGTTAGAAGATCGTAAATGCTCAACGGCTCGAGGGCATCAGCGGTCCACTTGGCGATCAACACAGCCATGGAAAATGGGAGCACGTGCTCAAGACTGCCGGTTAATTCGAATAGTATCACTGCAAGCGTGACCGAAAGACGTGTGACACCGCACATCGTTGCTCCAGCCGCCACCAGCGCGTACACACCAGGCACAACACACTCTTCTGGAGAGCCATTATTGGGGCAGTTCGCAAAGAATGCCAAGTCCGGGTACTTCAAGATCAGCAGCTGGACAACGTGTCCTACAATTCTCCCAAGCAGACCGCCAACGACCATGGAGGGCACGTATATACCTGCGGGGACTTTGATTCCAAAGGTTATAATTGTAAGCACAGCCTTGATGATGAAAGCGGCGAAGAGGTATTGAATCGTCTCCGGGATTTCCTCTTCGGTCGGGCAGAGGGCATGATCCGAGGAAGTGAAGGCGCTGCAGGGAGCAGCAAGGTCATACAATAGTTCCGCCACAGGGATGCGGGTGTATCGATTCCAGAAGCTGACTAGGCCTGTTATGACGGCCACGACGAACACTTCCAGCATCGGATAGCTTTTAATCACTCCGATTCGGCGAAAAGTCTTTGCCCACAGCCTCGAGGCTTTGATGAAGAGTGCTCCAAGAGTGCCACCAAGGACTCCCAGTAGGGCAAAAACACCCACTTCGAAGAACTTCCAATCAGTGAGGTAACGCACTTCAAACAGCACGATTTTCCCCGTTCCGTACGGGTCCAGAAATTTCAACGACAATGCTGCGGCTATGCAACAGAAAAACGTGCGGAATAGCGTCTTGGGTGGGAAGTAGTAGCTAACCTCTTCCAGAGCAAACAAGACTCCGCCAACTAGGGGTGTATTAGTGGTGGCTCGAGTCTTCACATCATCTTCGCCGCTACTTACTGGGCGCTCCAAAAGCAACTGCTACACCGGCTGCTGCTGAGGCCGAGAGAATCTCGCGACGTTTGGCGTCATTGTTGCGATACTTGGACGATGCACGGGACACGATATTGCCAATGCATGTAGCAATATGCACATAGGGTCCTTCTTTTCCAATCGAGAGCCCGGATCCGACGCTCAACACCAGACCAATAGTCTTGCACATCAGCGTTCGCACTCCAAGGTATCCGTGCAAAACAAAGCCGGATAATATCACCCGGACCTCAGCCACTCCACTGCCAGCTGCGGGATAGTATGTTACTGGCGGCCGTCGAGCGGCCTCCTGGAAACGCCGCGTTGGGCTTACGGCGCGTGGGCCACCTTCGGTGTTGAATTTTCGAGCGTCGTGGTGTTCAGCGCCGAGGTTCTCATCCAGCGTCGAGAGCGAAATTGCGGAAGATATTGTTGTCTTGGTCATTAGCGTAATAGCACAGGCCGTGAGAGCCAAGAAAGCCACCCATGCAACAAAAGCCGCATAGTCCACCCATAGCTTGCCATCTGCATCTTGGGCCGTCGATTGCGACCACCTGTGCCATTCATCACAGATACTCGCACCGTCACAACACTGACGCTTGCTGAGATACCAGTGCTTATGACAGTGCCCAGACTTGAAGTCGAAGATCGTAGCCTCTGTCACATCGATGATGTAGGCAAAGCCTGCTGTGATGCATCCGATGATGAAGACCAGCACCCACCCCTGAGCACCGTCGAAGAATGATCTTACTCTTCCCTTGAAGTCCTTCCTGCTCCTCAACTCCTTGACACGGTACGAATCCGCGATGCTGTCGTGCACCCAGTCGGTGGAGGTGAACTGATCGTACCACGCTCGATTGTCCCAATAAAACGATCGCTTCGAGGTAGACATGCCTTGGTTCGACCGTGTCTGTTYGTCGGTCCTCTCCAAAGCCTTCATGAGCCCTCGAGCAAAGGATCCACGACGGCTGCCTGGGGCACCCCGTGAAGAGTGGACATAGCTCTGCGATCTTCTGAACCTTGGTGTCCCCGGCGTGCTTCCTGTTCGATATCCACTTCGTGTGAGGTCAGGGCTACTGAGCAAGCCAGTGGTTTCATCAGCAGGCGTGCGTGAAGGCACCTGCAAGCTCATGTTTCCGTCCGAAGCACGGTGTTTAGCGTGGTGATGAGACTGCATGTTTTCGTGACGAGATCGCGGTGGCTGCTGCTGGCTTGGGAAAGCATTCCGGTATGCGTTTCGAATGGCCTCCGCTTGCTGCTCGTCGATGTCGTAGTCGTCGTCGTAGTCCTCAACGTCGTTGTCGATGTCGATGTCGTTATTGCTCGACGCCAGACTGTGGTGGGACGCCACTGACTTCGGCATCGCGTCTTGACTCGCCCCGTTGGTGGGGGAAACGGAAACGTGATGCCGTACCTAAAGTTTGCTTCTAACTCCGGGGTCCGGTAAGAGCATGCTCGTGCTGATGGACCACCGTTTCCGAACGAAGAGGAAAAGGGAGCGACGACGGTAACACACAGGGCAAAGGTGCGGTCGAAGGTTGAGTTCGACGTGGTCAGGTAGTAGTGCGGCTGTCTTTTTGCACGAGCAATCGCACCCTTGTACACCACCCTGGTCACGTCCGAAACATCACAGGCACGGGCAGCGTGGCTCTCTTCCGGCGGTGACACCGGATCGATAGGCGTGATCCCGAATTTTGATCCAGTTGCACGTGGAGTGCTTTGCCTGAGAATGGATGCTCCGACAGAGGGTCAGCGTTGAAGGACGGAGTACCGATCGATGAAGGTATGCCGCGTCTTGATGGTGCATGAAGCTGCAGTTCGCGGAACCGGGCATACCAGTGATGCCATCATCACCGCAGATAAGAGCTTCCGCTGCTCCACCCACGAACACACTTCTTTGCACGCCGTCTGCTTGGCCGATACGGCAAGATGCACATGACACACGTCTCGGTGCGGCAATGGCGTGGTGAAAAACAACCCAGCCGCCGAAAAGGTGCAGCTGCGTCTCCACAAAAACGAGCTACACCCTGCATATGGGAGGGTAGGCCGCAGATCGTGCGTGTGGTGGGGTTCTGTGGGTGTGGGAGGGGACGTCAGCTGTGCTTCCTGAGCTTTCGCCAACCTACATGCATGACAGGCAAGTCCTTGACATGAACTGCCGCAAGGTGGGTGTCGGGTGATTGGCGACGGCGGCTTTGTGAAACACTGACAGCTCTTCGGAGCTTCTTCAGACCTGCTTTCATTGGACCTTGCTGAWATAGAACCTCAGCATGGCAACAGTGTCCAGACGAATATTCCGACGGTGATGGCTGATGCTCTTATATCAAATAGCTCAGCTCCAGAGCCTAGAGGATGAACGACCAACAAAAGTAAAACCAGCAAGGGAAACTCTCGAGCAGCATCTGACCCGCGCTAACGCTCTCAAGCTGTCATGGAAGGCGCAGCTACATTCTTGTTGTGTACCTACATTCTGCGCAGTGTCCGCGATTCAGCCATCTCGTCTTGAAACCGCGAACTTCCGACACGAGCAATCGTCTCAACCTGGTGCTGCAGATGACCTGCAACCGCGTGGACAAGCATTGCCCCGCATACATCTCTCCAGAAGCTAACCTATCCTGCGATGCCAATATTAATATCCCCGACGAGTTGTTCGTATGCTGAGTCGATCCTTTCCTTCYTCCACTTAGGGAGAGAGGAGCTCCACGGTTCGTCGAGCCGTTCATAATTCCACATGACGGCCCGATGTCGAGACGAAGAAGAACCAACAGGGACGCGAAGACTTGCGTTGAGTGGTGACTGCATTGTTGAGTGACGTGTTGCGTTACTGCCCGGGACTCCTTTGCTATCGAGTCGTCCCCTGGCTCGTCGACTCACAGCTCATCGCCAATCCGCGGTGGCCCAAAGGGAGATATATGCGTCCCATTCCGGCTGCCTTCAGACATGTTACCAACCACGTCCTTGACGAATCCGGTCGTCAGAAGCCATGGAGTGATTCTTTTGGCGAACAGCCCCCATGATGTACTCGCCAGCAAGTCCATTCCTGCTATGAAAACGACCCGCTTATGTGCCTGAAGAGAGTTGTCGAGGTTAGCATGCATCTTCAAAACACGAAAAACTCGTAGTAAGGCTTCGGAGATGCTGCTTACAGGAACAACTACGAGCGCACCCAACGATGCCAAGGGCTGAATGTCCAAAAACGAGATAAGATAGCGGAATCCCAGCTCCTGTCGAAGCAAACGTCAGCTTGTCGCGAGGCAAATGATCGAACATGGCAGACGCTGCACTTCCACCTACCCTTTCACATTGCTCGTCTCGAGTAACCGGCCGCTCTCCGATCTCAGAAGTTCCTCCAGCACATAAGATACGCAAACGATCCAGAGCTGACCAACAGACATGTCCAGGATCCATTTGCAGGCCGTGTTCCACAAGCTCAGTGAAGCACGCCGGATCTTGCCTTTAGCAATCCACTTCTTGACCAGCAGATCTTCGCGAGCATCATCTTCATCAAGCAAATCCTTCTCGCCGACCATTTTGAAGATTCGTGGACGAGCTGGTAGTATTCTCTCAAGCCAGATTTGCCAATAATACTCGAGTACTGCGATAACAATGGCAATAGCAATATCTCGAGGGAGTTTATTCCAGTAGAAGGATTTGTCGTTGCTGTTAGGAAATGCAGACGTTCCATTTACCACATGGGAGATATCCTGAGAGGCCGTACTCGGTCCATTCAAGTTAGCGACAGGGCTGGTCGCATTATTGCTCAACTCAGTCGTGTTCGGGAACAGATGGAACAGCTGATTGGTAAAATCTGCTTCTGTAGATGACCAAAGGTGGTGAGATACAATCAACTTGACGATATGTAGGAACACCGCCTGCAATACCGCATTGCGCATCGRTTTTGAGAACGGCATCGTGATCTGCGGAGGAATTGAGAGATTCTGAAAACGAGCAGATGCTGTGAGTATAATATGAACAAGAAGCTTGAAAGGAACGAAGGATTCCAGTCTACCGATAAGTTACACCCGATAGCGTCAGCCATCCAGGCTGCAACTATTCAATCTCCCAGGCTGTGCATCTCGTCACAAACGCCGATTCTGCGCCAGCTACCTACCTCCAGGCTCCAGAGTTGGGTCCATCGGACTGTGGCATGACTTCGGGGATGATTTCTTCAGAGCAATTCAGTCATGAAATCGGTTGGATTTGAAGCAGATTGATGACCAGTTGATACGAGACCAATCAATATTGACGAATTCATTGGCTAGAATAGTGTTCGCGATACGAGTGGCACAAGCTGGCCGAAATCATGCCTCGATTAGTCCAGAGCAAACTCGCTCAAAGGCAGTAGCGTTGACGTTGGGGTATCTTYGAACTCCTTGCTTGAAGCATCAACGTACAAGCGGCGGTGAACTTGAAGTTTCCACGCTGTCCAATGAAATCAGAGGCGTTCACCTCTCTATGACACCGACGATGATCGAAGACTCTCCTTAGGACGCGTCGATTTGATGATCATCGCTATCTGCTCGCGAGCGCAGTCGTTGATGTACCGCGAGGAGCCCGGCGACCTTCATCTTGATCTGGCGTCTATGATTCTATGAGCTCCTGCTTCCCATAGGCTCGAACGGGAACGCAGCAGCAACCATGGCCATGACTATGTATAGAGCTGCGCAGAGGAAGATGGGAACTGAGGTTGCGGTATCCGCATACGTAGCAATGATTGCGCTCATGATCCCCATAATGCGATTGAGACCTAAATTCGAGGGGAAGCGTTAGCGACGTCTGACACAACTTCAACATGGGCCAAGGCGTAGCGTAGCTCGCGAGACATCTCTGAGCTACGCAGTATGCCCATCTGTCCTCTGGTAGCGTACYGATTGCTATTCCGTTTCCCGTCCCGCGATGAGCTGAAGGGAGGACCTGGAGCATGATTAGTGAAAGCACTTGAACCTCTGAAGGCAGGACATGTTCTTACCTCCGGGGTGTAGGCATAAAGCGTGCCGTAGTAGATGTTCTAATCAACGGGTGTCAGTTACCATGCAAGTGTCTCACAAGCCACGTTCGGAGAAAGAGGCTGCAAAAGATTCGATGTGACACGGTTCCGGAGACGAAGCTGCCGGCTCCAAGCTTTTGCTGTACGGCCATATGCGGAGGAGCAGGCCATCAATGCTGGCGGCTCGATGTGCGATTGAGTCTCGCTGCGAAATCGTAAAATGATGTGCAAGGCAGCAGGTTACTCCCATAGAGGCCCGGGGAGTTGTCACTAAATGACTTCTGTAGGCGACGGCAAGCCCGATCAACGATTCTGGGCACGTGTCGAAGGAGTGCGGCGAAGAGTCATCATTCACTCGTAATCCAGATCTCGATGGTCGGTTTATTTCAAAGGCTGAGGCTCGCCACCCGGACATCAAATCACTGCAAAAAGTCGTTGCGAGAATCCAGTGGTTTGTCGCGTTTGGGCATCCTGTAACGGGATGCGGCTGAGGCTCGCCACCCAGACATCATATCACCGCCTAATCGTCCGGAGTTCCAGTAGTTTGATCGCATAGGGCATCCTTTCGGGGATGCGGCTGAGGCTCGCCACCCAGACATTTTGGAGATCACCGTGAAATTTGTGGCTTGGATCCCGACATTGCGCAATGCAAGTGAATTTCCAGAAGTGGATACATGCTGCTATATGGAGAACGGACGGAAATGAAATGGGGAAACTTACGAGACAGAAACTGATAGCACAGGTATAGCCCAAGTTCCCGGCATTTGATGAGACTTGCGTGTAAGCGAAGAAGAAGATCATGGTGAGCAGTGCACCGATGATCATGGTTCCTCTTCTGCCCCAGAAGAACCTGGACTTGCACATCAAGGCTGCCAAGATCGGGGAGGGTATGCTGCACCTGAATTAAAAGCCAGCATTGTCAGCATTATATCACGCAGAGCAGGAATGATCGTGAGACAACACTGCGATAATGAGGTGCTRTGCGCTCACAAGTACTTCCAATCGTTCGTCGGGTCGCTTACAAGTTGGTGATGGCGTAGTTCCGCCATCTGTCGTTGTCGCTGAGGCCACCAAGCTCAACACCTCTGGTTGCGATATATTGCTACACGTGCATCATCGAAGTCAGCACATGTTTTGAAGTTCGAGGAGGTAGGAGCAGGCTTTGTACCGGTAGGAAGACATTGTATAGCGGATAGGCTAGACCAATGAGGACCCAGGAAAACCAGATGAGTGAGGTGCTCAGTGCCAATCTTCGGGAAGAAAAGAGACTTTTGACATGACGACCGACATCAGCAAAGGAGAAATGGAAGCGCTTGCCGCCCTGCTTGACTGTGTTAGTAGCAGCGCCGGTGACACCGCATGCCTGCATGGTCTCAATGGTCAGGCTGCAGTCTCTGTTGTATTTCCTGGCGATGAACTGAAGGGTTTCCACGACTTCTTCATCCCGGCCTTCGCCGACCAAGTATTTGGGGGTCTCGCGGAGTCGAAGAACAGTAACTCGAGCAATGCTCAGGACAAAGACAAAAGCACCCGAGGTGAACCAGACGTAGCGCCAGCCAGCGTTATTGTCCCAGTTGCAAGCAATGCCCGTCTCGGCAGGGTCGCCACAAGAGTAGTTGGGCATGTATGCCCACGCGAATAGTCCTGCGATGAGTTGTCCAACACCCCACCAAGCAGCCATGAGAGTGACGAGGTATGCATTCTTCGAAGGAAGATATTCCAAAAAGACCGCGGTATCGAGGACGAGATTTCCACCCGCTCCAAAGGCCGAGAGACAGACGAACAAGCCCAGAACAATCCAGTTTGGCGAAGCTCCTGCAACAATGGAGAAGATGGAGCAGATCAGCAGCGAGACATTGAAGGCATATTTGCGTCCAATGACATCGGCAGAAAGTCCCCAGAAGAGCGCTCCGATCAACATTCCCACGTACGCGGCTATTGTCATTCCGTTTTTGAAGCCCGGATTAAATTCGTACGCTGCCTGCGTCGCGATGATGGACTGGATGAGCAGAATGAGCGAATCGACCGCGTAGCCAAAGCCATTGAGGCAAAAGAGTCGCCATTGATATCCCGTCATGCCAATCTCGTCAATCGCGTTGTTGATCAAGTGCATTTTTGCATTCAAGACCGGATCCAAGCTTTCCAGACTGAGCAAGTCGCCCTTTCCGAGGGAGACCTCATCGCTGAGAGCAGGTTCGTATGGTGGCGCATGAGAAGGACCTTTGATTTTGTCATTGACATCCTCCATCTCGAAGCTGGCTCTGGTGGCAGGCGAAAGCAAGCGTTGGTTTTCTAGGTCGGCGGCGTCTCGAGTGGGCGAGGTCAATCCAGCGCTCCAAAGTCGCATACGGGTACATGCAAAAGAAAAGCGGGATCGTCGCGAGGGAACGCCTTGAATTCAATAATATTCTTATCGAGGGGACCCACTTATTACTTGGTAGATCACGCGAGCGCAGCCTTGAGTTCACGCTGGTCCTCGCTTTTGCACGTGGGCGCATGGCAACGGCTGGAAGGTGTGGCCGGGGATTTTCTTGGGGAACTTCGTACCGTTCATGATGAGTGTCGACTCTCGATGAGGACTGGAGGCTTCTCGTTGCCACATAGTCTCATCAAGCATGGATCCGACAGATCTTCGGGCAGAGCTCTCAGCACTGGCTCTTCTTCTCGGACTTGACCTGCTTGTCAACTCGTTTATATCGTACATGAGTTGATTATTATTGATTTGACGATCCCACCAAGCGGGGCCCCAATCACGCTAGGTGATCTTAGGTAAGGCAGGGTCCAGGATGCTAAGGAGCTCCAGATCTTACACTTCGACAATTCGACTTCTGAAGTCAAGCTCGTTAAGCTTACTAAAACGGTACTCGCGGCGCGCTCGCGTATCGTTAGCTGTTCACAAATCTAAGTTATCAAGCCCTTAGCTAGGGCTTCAATTTGGCTCATTCAGAATCTCGTTTAAGGAAGCGATACTAATATTCTTGCGTGTTAAACTTATAGAGTCTGTTTTGAAGTTCTTCGCAATGTAGGGTAAATTTCACAATGTAGGGTAAATTTCAGGGTCCGACTTTAAAACTCCGACTTTGGACTCGATAAGTTTAACACGCAAGAACGTTTGAATCGCTTCCTTAAAACAAATTTTAAATAAGCCAAATTAAAGCCCTAGCTAAGGGCTTTTATTCGATATGCTAAAACCTAAATTCGGATAGGAGACAAGCCCGTAAATTAGAGTAAGAAACGGAGCTTACAGGTTTCGAAACGCTGGCATCTACAGCTTTCGTCAATTGTCGAAGTGTTAGATCCGGAGCTCCGTCGATGCGTGGTTGAAATATCAGCCAATAGAACCTCGGGAGTAAGTTCAGATGAACGACGCAATCATGGCGGTTGACAAAGAATATTAGCTAACAGCAGCATCTCATTCTTCTCTCATACCAACAGYAGGTAAGTGTCTGTTAAGTGGACGGTTGTCGGCTCGCCGCCTAGCATCAACTTTTGACTCTTCATTCCGACCACCGCGATCAACTACGCCGATCCGCTGGGGGAGCTCCTTCCGTGTCAGATGGAGGGAAAGAGATCTTTCAGCGTGGAAGAATGCTGAAACCACTCCAACACCAGACGATGCCACCTATTCTACGACTCTCGCCCCGAGGCTCTGCTACTAGGTACTGGACCACTAGTCCTTCGTAGGTGCAACTGCCGTTCGATTCCCTCCTGCCTCGTGGATGGGTCAACCTCCAAGGAAGACTCGAAGTGCCCGGAAGTCCATACCTGACCTTGAGTGACCCGCACTTATACCCACCTATCGCCGTTCGGTGGTAAGTTGCACCAAGCAGGACGAGCACTCCATCAGCGGCACAGACCACAGGTATTGGCATCATGAAATGCAGGATTCCATCTTCCGAGCACCGAGGCGTGTGTATAGTGCATAGAATGTCAGCTAGCCCTCTATGGTACAAGATTGAACCATCAAGGATCTAGAACTGGTCCTGTTGTCACACAAGTCTGAAGKAGCAAAGTCACTCCATAGGGTCCAACGGAACCGCGTTGGAGGTGGGCACATCTGGAGGGAGATTGGTCGCGGTCGCGGCCAGATCACTGATGTTGGGATTAAACAAAGGCTCTAATGGTCCATACTTCAGGATTGTAATGACTACTTCGACGTACGCAGACGCTCAATGCTGGTAACCGAAGATGTCATCAATGCGATCCCTCGCGACGTCTATCGCGACGAATCACGTCCATCTGCGTCCTTCAGGATCGATCCTTGCCAAAGACTCCTCGCGGCTTTGTCCTTGTCGAAGGACTTCCCAGACTACTGCCTCTAACGACCTCGGAACGTGCACCCCGAATCAGACTCATGGCTCACTTGAACTTGGGCTGGTGCAATCCCGCAACAATCATTAATACTTTGTCATTGCGTAGTCAATGAATGATGATCACTCGCGCATAAGCTGAAGGGGTTAAGTTTCCAACGAGTATCGATGTCGAGCCCCTGTGTCTCCCACTAGTCTCGGCATTTTGTCCTTGGAAAGGCATGCTGGCCTTCTGGCCTTGCACGAAGATTTCGCGTCGATCGATTGTTTGTTTCAGTCCATCCTTCGTTCTGGTCCGTCATTTGAGCCATTTCAGCCTTCTTGCTATTTCATCCCTCCATCCCTCCATCCTTCGCGCTGGCCCATCCTTCATACTGCCTTCATGCAGGATCGTCTAACTTTACCTCGGCGAGATTCATACTTCTCCTAAGTCGCTCGAATGCTTCAATGAGGTCCACATGTCTATATATTCGCCCCATATCTCCATGGATCGATTGGCAAGCTCCAGAACAATCACCTCCTCGAGAACCAACAAGAAACCAGATACTCAAGCGTGGGTCAAAGAAAGCGAATTCAATTCATGACTACAACTAACAGATGGATAGATTTCCCCAACCAACCAGCAACATGCACGCAATCCACTTGACATTGGCGGCGCTCGCCCTTTCCTTCCCGGCCTGGGCCTTGCCAAGCGCGCCTGGCAACGCAACTCTCGAAGCCAGAGCCGACAGATGGGAGATCGAGTTCTTCAGCAGCCTCGGATGCAACGGAAACCCGAATGGGCAGGCAGGAAGCACTAGAAGACAGGGCTGCCAGAGAGTGGGCGGTGGTGGTGCCGAGGGATACAGCTGGCACGCAGATGGCTTCAAAGCCAAACTCTACGCCAAGGATGATTGCAGTGGTGATGACCACGACGTGAAAGAGACCAACTGCGACAATGCTGGATTCAAGATTCAGAGCTACGAGGTGAAGAAGAAGTTGCTTTGATACAATCGCCGGAGGTGATGGAGCTGGCGTCATCTTTTTACTTTTAAAGTCGATGGGGATGCTGCTTTACCTTTTGCTAGGCCGGTCTATCCTATAGATCAACCAATCAACGTACACTCTTGCTGGTGTTCCCTTCCATCGTTCCATCCTTCATCCTGCAACGACCTCTTAAGCATCCTTCATCCTGCAATGACCTCTTAATCATCCTAAGGGAATACTGATGTAAATTCGCTGCCTGCCCTCCGAAGTCACAGAGAGAAACAATAATCGAGACATACAAAGCCCACAGCCACTCCTCTCTCGAAACCATCTCATCTCATCGCAACCCCCACAAGAGTGAACCTCTACGACCATCCAAATCTCACCCCGTGACGAAGTACCACGTCAAACATGTCGGACCAAACTGGTTCCACCCAGCCCGCTAGTCAAAGCCCAGAGAACATACAAGTGAGTTTGATCAACAATACATCATATCATCCAGCCAGCAAGCACACCTGACATACCGACCCAACAACACAGGAGACCTTCATAATCCCCAACATGACCTACGAGAAACTCTCCGCTGCAAAGCCCCTGATCGATGCGCTGATTGACCGGGATGTGCTCGGTTACAGGTGGGAAGCGGAGTCGCAGGAGCTTCATATCACTTTGCATGGCCCWMCCGAGACTGCGAACTAAGCGGACAACGGATCTGCTGGGAGGACAGTAGATTGATTCATGTTCATGCYACGGAATAGGCGCAGGCGTGGCAAACTCGAACCAAATTGTATTGTATTGACACTGCGGATAGCGTGTCGATGCTCGGAAAGTGGGAAAGGGGGTTTCTTGTTGCACCGGATATGAATGCGAGACTTTTAGTATATACTTTTATCGCCTAGAAGACGAACATGTGGAAGAATGCTATAAGGTATTGAATTGTCCGTATACTCATTAATACCATGCGTGGCTATGTCTGTTGATTCGTGGCCGGCTGCTACCTTGTGAAGACAGCATCCAGGAGTGTGTGTGTAAGAGAGGAAGAGAGAGGTCATTATGAAAAAAAAACACCACCATCCAATCCCCGTGCCAGCCTTTACCCAATCCAGACTGAAAGGACTGTGCAAGTCAATTCCCAAGAGATAGCGCCCCAGTGTGTAATCAGTCGCTCGAAGAAAGATCGTAAAGTCGTCAAGGGTCTGTCTCCCTGTGAATCGTTCGTTCATCCCAACCACCCATCATCATCATCGTCTCCTCCCTTCCCACTCATCTCGAATCCAAGGTCCAATTTTGGGGCCTCCAATTTGGGCGCATCAAGCTTAGGGGCATCATCGCTCTTCTTCTTCCTGGGACTGGCACTTCTTGCCCGCATAGCCTGCTCAGCAATTTCCTCATGCGAAGGACCTTCACGTACAAATCTCGTTTGCCAGCCATCTTCATGCGCAGCCGCTACCCAAGCCTTTAATTGGTAGTGTACTCCCGCGTAGAACTTCTCCTTGCAAGTCCTCAGTACAGCACCCATGACCTTCTCGAATCCGGATGCTTCCATTTCCTTGCGCAGCGTATTTCGAGCTGCCGGGGTAGGGAGTGATGCAATCAGACCATTGAGAAGATCCATATGTGCGGTGATGTATGTCGTGGCGTCCCACTCGACACCACCAATGTACGGTGCAGCGGGGACTGGAGGTCGAGCGCCGGGAAAGTGTCGCTGGATGTATGTCGTAGAGAGCACAGTTGCACTTTCTGGATCTTCACTTTGAGAGTGGGAGCTGGTCGGTTTAGGGTGAGGCACAACGTTCAGATGGTGGATAAAGATCCAGAACACCTCCTTGGTGACATTGCTGACCTCCCGGCACCACACTTTGTACGGCCTGGAAACACGCATAGTGAGGACGAAGTCCACGGGACGAGCATCCTCTGGCTCGGGACGCTCGCCCATGTATGCGAGGATTCTTCGAGCGCGCTGCTCAAGTACTTCGGAGGATGCGTTTGTCGCTGTTGCGAGGAACGTGACTGCTTCTGTTAGCTACTGGCGTTGGATTGAGTGRGATGCAGAACTTACAAAGTACGTTGATGATGATGGTTCGGGTCGTGTACTCTGCCGGACCTTTCTTCTCATCATCAAACAACATGCCCAGCAAAGCTGGAAACAGCGTATCTGCCACTTGATCAAGTTCCGCCATGGCTCGTTCAGTCGTGCAAAGTCCTTTCAGACATAGCAATGTCTCGTGCAGCAGCTGGTCTTCGTGTTCCTCTCGCCACTCAATGGCCATGATCCTGTTCAATAGAGCAACAATCTCGGCCATGCCTTGCTGCGAGATGAAGCTATCAACCCATGCCACTGTCTCGTTCCGCAGCAATATCCGTAGTTTATGCAGGCGACCGACCTCGACCTTTGCCGGATCTTGATTCTTACGAAGGTAGGTGATGTAATCCGCGGGATTTGCAGATAGGAAACTCTTGCGTCCCGCCGATCCGGTAGGAGTTGTCGGTGTGGTTTGCGATTTTGTGCAAGGYTCCTTTGATATCTGAATTGATGTCGGCCTATTCTTGCTCTGAGATCGATGCTTCTTGGCGGGAGAAGCATCACCCTTGTCCTTGCGATCTCCTCTGGAGAATGTGAATGTCCTGCTACGCGGTCTGGATCGTTTCGTGGACTTGCTATCGTCCTCATCGTCATGTTGCTTGGTAGGCACGGACTCGTCATCACCGCCGGACATGACATAGATGCCACTAGGCTCGCCATTGAGAGTCCCCACTGGATTTGCTGTCGCCGTCTTGGTGGCCTCGGAATCCTGTTTGATAAAGTCTGCCTTGACGCGGAGTGTCAAGGTTCGCATCTTTTGCCTCATCGGCTCGGGGATGTTCCGAGAGTCCAGTACCGATTCAAAGGCAGCATCGACGGCCTTTGGGTCCAATGGAACCTCCGCAATCTCCTTTGTAGCTTGAGCTCCCGGCTTCTTGCCTTGAAAGGCAGCAACTGCTGCCATGACCCGGCCACCTCTCTTGATGATACTGAGCTTCTCCTTTGCCGGCTGCTCAGAGCTACCGGCACTTGTCTTGCGGTCCGTCAAGTTGCGCTGCAGTATCGCCGCTCTCTCCAGCGACGCCCTATTGTTCTGATCGGCCTGCCTCCGGGATGATTCCTCTGACCGTCTACCATCCATGCTTGTCCGACCTCCGCYGACTCTCCTCCCTATGGCACCCATGAGACTATCGGCAGAACCCGAGAAGTATGCGCTCTGTGGTCTACTTCCGAGTGTAGGTCGCAGTCCCGGTTGATCAAGAGTGCCGTTGAAGTTTCGTTGTTTGCTGGGGGAGTAGTTCTGAGGCGTGTACCTGGCGATTTCTTCGTGGATGCTCCCGGCACGATCAGACCCCGAGCCCGGTGGGTTGGATGTGTTGGAGCTGGCTGCAGAAGCAAACTGAGCCCAGATTGGAGTCTGTGGTATACTCGCGGGCGAGGTCACTGATGGTGTGGAGTTTTCCTTGTCCTTGTCCGCGGCCACATTTCTCGACACGTCTTTGCTAGACCGATTCATCTTTGCAAAGACGGCCGCGAGATTACTGGAAGATTTCTCCGACTTGATCCGCGCCTCCTTGTCATTATCCTTGCCATCTCTGCTCTTCTTGGTGGGTGATTTGTTCTTCGCCGCGGTATTCTTCTTGGAGGGAGAGGATGGAGGAGACTGCACATTGTTGTGTCGTTCTCCCAGCACTTCCCGAGACGAGCGAGACGGGGCATCTCCGGGGAGCAACGGAACGCTGTGTGTTGTTGTTGTGCGGGTGTTGACGTTGCTGTCATCCGGTGAAGCAGGACGAGACTTGGTGGATGAAGAGACCCACGACTTCATGATGGCCGACTTGGACGATGCATTGCGGCGATGGCCCTGCCCCGCATTGGCTGCGTCCATGGCAGGCGGATGTGATTCTGCTGGTAGACCTGCTACTTGGATGAAAGAGTCGGATGGTTCAACTCACAGCCGCATGCATGAGAGCCAAAGTATCAAACAAAAGCGGCGATGATTCTCCTCCTCCAGCCTGTTCGAGAGCTCGAAGTCGTCAAATCTTTGTTGATCGGGTGTCGCCGCCTAGCAACCGGGAGACACAGCTCCATTCCCATGCCATCCCACTTTCTCACAACGCACACTCCGCCTTCTGGCCTGCAGCCAAACCGTCGTTCATTTTATCGAACATGTCTTCCGATCGCTCATGATTCTCGCACGACAAAGTTKATGTGTGCGGAACCTGATACACGAAAAATCACCAAACATCATCTCGAGCTCATGAAACAGAATGCCGTACCTGACAGCTCTCAGAAGAGCACGCCCGGCTGCAACTGCGCAGACAAGCGATCAGGAAACCAAGCTTCTGGAACAACCTTGAATTGCGGTGCTGCTGCCTGCATCGGTGTTGCCTTTTGGTACGCAAAACGCTAGGACATAAATGTACAATATACCGTAGGTTCCTCCTAAAGCATGTTTCTCCTCCACGCCCGGTTGGCCAACTCTTCAATCTCCTTTACCTCCACAGGACCCTTGACAGCATCGTCGGCCAGTCCCTCCACCACAGCTTCAGCCACCAGGTCCGCCTTCAATGGCTTCGCTCCACCAGCACCCATCAGCCAGGTTAGGTTGCCGCCCGTTAGCGAATTGGCCAAGAATCCGCCATATGTGACAGCCGCCATGGGCATCGTGAATCCCCTCGAAGAATCGTACAAGAATCCAGGCCTGATAAACACACCCCTCATCCTGGGAAATGCAGAAGATATGGTGCTCTCAGCCTCCCGTTTGGTAGTGATGTATCTGCCTGGCAGAATCGGAGCACCCGCTGCTGCGGAAATATAGCAGAATGCCTTGACACCACTGTCGTTCGCTTCTCTARCCAACGCGATCGCGGAGTCACGGTTCATGAGCTCATATGTCAATTGTCCATCTCTTTCGCCCGGCTCAATTGTTTGCCCGGGTTTCCGATCCATGGGGTTTGTGTTCCCACCCTGCTTAGTTGCGCTGAAAGCACGACGAAGGCCAGAAATCGGTGATTCCTTGCCTGTGAGAACGCCTTTGTAGTCTGCCTCGAGGAGGATTCCCATCGAATGTACAACAGCATTGGCGCCTTCAAGGTCGGCTTTGTAGGTTTCGGGCTGAAGGATATTGGCTGATCGCCATTGGACAGATTTTGACCAAGCAGGTGCTGTTGTGTGGGCGGAGACAGAGGGCCAGTTTGGTTCGCCAGAGCGACTGGGTTTGGCATTCAGTATGAGGCAGCTTAATCATTTTGGGAGGGCAAACTGTACCTGATCGATACTACATCCCAGTCTCTTGCTACAGCTGCTTTGCAGATCCGGCTGCCGAGAAAGCCATTACCTCCACAGACGACCAGCTTCTTCTTGGCCGCCGCTGCTGTGGCTGTCGTTGACATGTTTGCAAAATCCTGAGCTCTGTGTAATTGAACTGTCCTAGCTTGCCGGCTGCTATCCWGTGAATCGATTATWGTATTGACTGGAAGATGGATTGACTCGAGGTCTCGATGTTGCGTGGTTGATGGGTGATGGTGCTTAGAGCAATCGATGAAAGAAGATGAGGGTGATGAGCTATCGAGCTTTCCAATCGTCCTTTCCATCACTTTCACGCGTTCGGATCGAGATCGTCATCGACATACTAAGGATAGATCCGAGCGGATCTATACGCTTTACGCTAACCATTWTGAGAACTTCACATGCATAGCAAAGGCAGCTGTACAGCAAGAGAATCATGCTGTGAAGCATACCGTGTCAAGGCTCTCTCAGACGGTATTTGTCGAACATCCAAAAGACCACACCGAGCAGGTTCGCCCAACATCGCCCGGTCAGCCCTTGGTGCATCGTGTTTGTTCTCAGGGTTAGGGTTGGGGTAGCGACATTTCTATGAAAGTCAGCAGGACTCTAAAGACGCTGCTTTTGCCAGCAATACCACAGTCTCGTATTTCCAATGCGCATTCTTCTCCGAAGATCGCCGCTCTGCAGGATATATATCCATAGACTTATATTCAGTGGTGAGTTATTCAGTGGTGAGTGAGGGTTGATCTCGCAGAATCAAGGACTATCTCGAGGGATCCACGACTCTGACATGTTAATACCAAGATCATAGCATCGTTGTAGGCGTGAAGGCATTAGTGAACGGTATAGTCTCGGGCAGGTATGTAACATATACGTCTAAATAGTCTGTAACTTAATTGGTTCTGTCAAGTCGCGGCGCCACTCCTGTGCAACCGCATAATTGACGTAAAAGAAGGTGTTGCTAGGATYGCTTTCGTGGAGCAACCTCGAGGCGTTGGTGACTAGAGGTAGATCGGCCTCCATGCATTGCAATTACTCCCCAATTAAAGGCTCAGCCGCCCCAGCTTCCATCTGACCTCCTTACAGCTTCTCCCTAAGCTTATCAGGACATCCGTGCGGGCATCACCACCAACATACGCCAGGAAGCTTTCCAGTCCCAACACCAAGCCCACACTCCTCGCACACTCCTCCCTCGCTCTCAAGATCATAGTCCGCATATCATGTTTCGCTGCTGCAGTCTTGTAGACCCAGTCGSAGCTGAAAAATTCCATCTCTGCAAAAGTCGCCTGACGTGTCATTCCTGCAACCTGTTTCTCGACAGCGGACAATACACGCTGAACGTGAACACTTGCCAGCGCTCTTGTTTCAGATGTAAGGGAAGAGCTCTCCTCACTTCCTGAAGGTCCTAGGACAACAATTGGTTCGGGATTGTAGCGCTTTCGTCCGGAGTAGACTTCAACGTGGTGGGGTGGGAATGCGTTCTCCTGGGAGGTCCACGGCGGTCTGTGCAGATATACTTCTTCGTATCTGTGGGGTGGGTAAAGAATACGATAGCGTCGCTTCTGTGTGGGTGTCTTGTTGGTTGAAGTTGTGGCATTGGATAAGAGGGACCCAGAGGCGAGTAGTTGCCAGGTCGACGGCTCTGAACAACTTCGGACAAACCAATTTGTTGTCGGCGGATGCTCTTGCTGGTATGGATGGCTCAACCTGTGCTGTGACGCGATAGATGTAATTTTTACATCACTATGCAAGGACGCATAGTAGCTAGGTGGGGGAGCTTCTTCCTCAAATTGTCCTGATATTTGGTGGAGCTCAAGTTCGGATTCCATTCTCGTGATATGTCGTGAATGCGTCAGGATGTGGGAGTCAGAACGTGTATCAAGAAAAAGGATTGAGTACGAAGCAATGAAAGGAAGAGATGTAGGGTAAGACATGATCAGGCCAGCACCCGGTCGACCAAGCGGGGAGCCACGGCCGTCTCACTCCGGTGACAAAGGAAAGCCTCGTTGGYGTACTGGTTGCAGTCATTTCCACAAATCTCGTAAACACAACTGTACTTTGCTTGCCACCTAGCTTGTTGTAGCAATTAGGCATAAGGTATGCCAAAATGGAGGCAGAGGCGAACGGGGACACGACTCGCAAATCCACCTTGCGTCGTCGCAGCTTGTCTCGAGACCAGCATCACAGCGGGAGACGCGTGTGCGGAGCGTGCGGAGCTGGCGGTTGTACTCCCCGGGATGATGCTCGTGTCTCTATGCACGCTCTGCATCGCGTCCAAGCATGTGCCAATGAACAAGTGAAGCACAAAATGATGATAGATGTAGTTGAAGAAGTGAAGTGGGAGAAGAAGTGGTAGATCTCTCTGGCCTCCCGCGTGGTTTCATCAACGTGTCGGCCCGACCAGACCCTTGAAACTTATGTTGAGGATCATCTCACCGAGAGAACGACATTTGCTTCCAGCTTCGAACCTCCATCCTCACACATCCCATCCCCCCTACCACCGACAATTATCCATCGGTGCTGTGCGAGGATGCTTTCTCGATTTGCGCCCCGCGCCCTTGCCGCGCCAGCGAGACTCAATGCCGCTCGCTTCACTCCGGCGCTGCGAACCGTGACCACGGATGCTGCGAGCAGCCACGTCGAGCGTAGCGATGTGCCCTCGGTATGCGATAGCAATGCCTGCCTCTCATGATCAGTCGCTGATGCATTTCTTCAGGAGGACGACAAGCCCTTCCAGGTCMGCATCTCCGACGAGGCATTCGAGACTTACGAGCTGGATCCGCCGCCGTACACCCTTGACACCACCAAGAAGGAGCTAAAGCAGATGTACTACGACATGGTCGCTGTACGGTATGTGTGGAGATATGACTAGAGTGGTAGAGCAAGCACGCAATACTAATCAGTCGTCACGTTGGCAGCCGCATGGAAATGGCCGCCGATCGTCTGTACAAGGAGAAGAAAATCCGGGGTTTCTGCCATCTGTCTACTGGTCAGGAAGCCGTCGCAGTCGGGATTGAACACGCCATCGAAAAGACCGACCATCTCATCACAGCCTACCGATGCCACGGCTTCGCCATGATGCGCGGAGGAACTGTTCGGTCAATCATCGGAGAATTGCTTGGCCGGAGAGAGGGTATCGCATATGGCAAGGGTGGCTCTATGCACATGTTCTCCACTGGGTTCWACGGTGGCAACGGAATTGTTGGAGCCCAGGTTCCCGTTGGCGCTGGCATTGCGTTTGCCAACAAGTACGAGGACAAGAAAAACGTGACACTTGCGCTGTACGGTGATGGAGCCAGCAACCAGGGTCAGATCTTTGAGGCGTTCAACATGGCGAAGCTTTGGGACCTGCCCATCATCTTCGGATGCGAGAGTGAGTATAGTCACTTGGGTGGAATGCACCGAAGACTAACTCCATCACAGACAACAAGTACGGCATGGGAACCGCTGCCCACCGTTCGTCTGCCCTGACCGACTACTACAAGCGTGGTCAGTTCATTCCCGGTCTCAAGATCAACGGTATGGATGTSATGGCCGTCAAGGCCGCTGTGCAGTACGGCAAGAAGTGGTGCGCCGAGGGCAACGGCCCGCTCGTCTACGAGTACGTGACCTACCGCTACGGAGGCCACTCCATGTCCGACCCAGGAACCACCTACCGTACACGTGAGGAGATTCAGCGCATGCGCTCGACGCAGGATCCAATCGCCGGACTGAAGCTGAAGCTTCTCGACTGGGGTGTTGTCAACGAGGAGGAGCTCAAGGCGATTGACAAGCAGGCTCGTTCATTCGTGGACGAGGAGGTCGCCATCGCTGAGAAGATGGCTGCGCCAGATGCTACTCCGGAGGTGCTTTTCGAGGACATCTACGTGCGTGGATCTGAGCCACAGTTCCTGCGTGGCAGGATACCAGAGGAGAACTACTACTACCCAGATCGGGAGGTCCAGGTTCCCAAGTCACCGGCGCAGACCTAAATGCCGGGTAGAAGTGGTTCATGTTTGCGATAGAGAGATTTCCTGTACTGAGCGGTAGGCAAAGGCGCTGGGAAGGTGTGGCTGGGTCCAACAGGACTCTTACCTTTTGTGCTCTTACTGGGATGCATTGTATATTGGCGTATTCACAATCTTCCGGCGGAGTATGCTTCGGCGCACGTGGGCGATGTGCACAAGGTTCATTCACATGCTGCGCATCATTTTCCGCTTGAAGCCCGCTCAACTTTCAAGCTCAAGCTCAGCCGACATCCGAAAACAAGCTTTGGCCCTGCGAACTTTGCTGATGTGACGTAGACCGCGCATGTGAATTGTTCCCGTATCAGTCTGCGGAACATTCGGAATGATGATGGCACGCAAGCCACGAATGCTTCCTCTCCAGAGCGATTGCCGTCCGAGCCCGACACCCAGCRTATATCGTCCATTGGTGTACTCTTCTTTGTTTGTTACTCCGTTCACACAATCTCCATTCCATTTCACCAAACTCTCCGCTCCGTTGATACCAACAAATAAGCACAACATCAGCGATGGCTTCCAAGACAGGACTTCCCTCTCCAGAGAAGAAAATTGAACTCTTCTCAGGAACCTATTTCGCGGCATGCACAATGGGTGGTATCATTGGTATGTACCATTCCTCCCCTCAATCCATAAATGAGAGATCAGTTCTAACGATATCACATTCCAGCTTGCGGACCAACCCACACAGCCGTCACCCCTCTCGATCTCGTAAAATGCCGCCGTCAAGTCGATTCCAACCTCTACAAATCCAATATTCAAGCATGGAGAACCATTTTCAAACAAGAAGGACTCCGCGGAGTCTTCACCGGCTGGTCCCCAACATTCATTGGCTACTCCTTCCAAGGAGCAGGCAAATACGGCGCATACGAGGCATTCAAATACTACTACGGCGAGAAACTTTTCCCCAACACCCCCAAAACTCTCGTCTTCCTCGGAGCCTCCGCCAGCGCAGAATTCATCGCCGATCTCTTCCTCTGTCCCTTCGAAGCCCTCAAAGTTCGCATGCAAACAACCGTGCCACCTTATGCGAAAACTCTCCGTGAGGGCTGGAGCAAGACTGTGAAAAATGAAGGTTTTGGCGGGCTGTACAAAGGATTGTATCCTCTGTGGGCACGTCAGATTCCATATACCATGGTCAAGTTCGCGACGTTCGAGACTGCTGTGAATGCGATTTACGCGCAATTGGGTAAGCCCAAGGAGGCTTTCAACACGCTGCAACAAACTGGTGTTTCTTTCTTGGGGGGTTACATCGCGGGTGTGGGATGTGCTGTAGTGAGCCATCCGGCAGATGTCATGGTTTCGAAGTTGAATTCGGATAGAAAAGCTGGAGAGGGTGCTGGTCAAGCCGTGAGCAGAATCTACAGAAACATCGGGTTCAAAGGCCTCTGGAACGGACTTCCAGTCAGAATCCTGATGATCGGAACTCTGGTATGTGTCTCTGTGAGATGGCTTCGCTGTGTGGATGCTAACGTGATCTTCCAGACTGCCTTCCAATGGTTGATTTACGACAGCTTCAAGGTTCAGGTGAGTTTATAGCCTCGAACGTTCGTTGGGATGAAACTAATACGGTGCAACAGCTCGGACTGCCAACTACAGGAGGTCACTAAGTGTTGGTATCAAAGATGAGACGGGTTTTCAATTCCGACTGGCGTTCCAGGTGTGACTTGCGAGAAGYGGATATTATAATTAAGCAGGGCGATGGAGGCATGGATCGATGCTGCATGTAGCAGCTGAACGTGATAGCTTTGAATTATCGAATGATTGCATGGATCAGCAACCTGAAATTGATGACACTCTCTGCCAAGAAGCTGCATTCAATGCGGCGAATGACATATTCCTTCGCATAGCCAAAGAACAGCCCCAATGAGCGAAGCTTGACGATGCCAATGTCAACCCAGCTTCCCAGTACACACACCATAGATACCCAAGGCTATGAGGAGGATCAGTGTTGCCAGCATGAAACCATCCGAGAGTCCATCAGTGAAGCTTTGCAAGTCTTTATCCCGATCTTTCGCGGCTCGCATTTCTTCGGCACGCATTCGATCCTCTAGCTCCTTTAATTGATGGCACACCACYTCGTAATCAGCTTGCAACTGAAAGAAGTCCCGCTCGTAATCCTCTTTGCAATCCAAGATGGCGGATTTCTGGACCAACTCTTCCTTGGTCTCCTCGAGTTCGAAAGTAAGATTATTGTGAGTCTTGCCTAATTCACAGGCGCTCTCCCGAAGTTGCTCCAGCTGAGTCGAAAGGGCCGCGATTTTGTCGTCCTTGTAGGTAAACTCCTGAGCCACGTTGGAGATTGTCTTCTCTAGAGCTTTGAGCTCGATGTTCGCTACGCAAAATATCAGTACAGCGTTCCTTCAAAATCAAAGGGGAAAGAACAGAGAATTCCCGAACCTACCATCGTCCATTTCGTCCCGCAAAGCATCCCTACTACGCTCCAGTTCCTTGCAAGCTTGCTCTTGGAATTGGACGTCGTGAACGGCCATGGCGAGGTATTTCTCTAACGTCTCATTCGACTTCTTGAGCTGCTCGTGCGCCGCTTGCAGCTCTTCAAAAGACTTTTGCATGATTTGCGCCTCGCGGGACTCATGTTCCATGGCGAGGATACTCGTCCGGAGTTCGTCGTTCTCACTCTGCAGACGAGTGCAGTCATTACGACTTGCGGCAAAATCGCTTTGCAAAACTCGATTCTCGCCTCGTAATTTTTCGTAGTCCTCGTGCTCATACACAGCACTGTCCTTCCTATCATTGCCGCGGGCCTCCTTACACTCGCGAAGCTCCTCACATTCGTCCATGAGATCTTCCATTGCCCTCTGCATGTTGAAGTCGGCTGATTCTTGAGAGTTCGACAAGTCAGTGTTGAGCATTTGCGATCGCATCAGGCGTCGGTAGAAGTGCTCCGAAGATATCCAGGCCATGCCGGATTTCAGTCGGGTTCCAGTATTGGTCTTTTGTGGCAAGTCTAACTGTAATTCAAACGTTTATGTATCMGCCCATATCCGCTTACTCTACCGTAGAATCAATGRTAAAGTGGTGAGCTGGGTCGGCTAGCTGCTTTGGGTACATAGCTGAATAAGGTAGCTTCCAGGTGGATAGATCTGAGATGGTGCCTATTGCCGAGAAGTGAGTTGATGAAGCGTACAGGAAGACTTTCAAGAAATCAGGTGAAACCAAAGCTTGTGAGTAATTCTCCGATGATAGCTCGTTTTCATCAGTACTTATCTACACAGATAGGCGCTACACTTGCTGGTCATGCCATCAGCGAGTACACTAAGACGAGGCAATGCTGAGTTCAGGCTGAAAGTCAGTCCAAACCAATGATACCGCAACAAGGCAGGTTCAAAGCCAGGCTGTCTTGTTCAATGGTAAACATTGACACCAACATTGAARATTTTCACCACTTCCGAGACCTCTTGTGGCTGGCTGTTCAGATGAAGGAACTCTTTCGGCCGCATAATCCTCCCGATGTTAGGCCTATGTGGTTGAGGCTGGAGCTTTGAGCACGCGGTGCCAGATCGAGACTTTGTGGTTCGTGATCGACCGTGAGCCCGTCACACGCGCTCGAGGGCCGACCGTTTGTACCGTCGGTTCTCGGCCCCATGAGTTGGATGGATAACCACATGCACGGCTGATGTGGAGAAAGACGTGTGACGGAGGGGAGAGAGATGATGTGAAGACGCAGGTGGTCAACCTAATCAATTATAATAATTCTAAATCCAGGACCACAACAAGCATCCACACGGCCTCGGAGTCAACGACGACCCCTGTCCAATCGCCTGGCTTATGCGCGCAGACGTCACGGATCCCACAAAAAGAGCTCTTCATCTCCGTTGCTGGCTGGGAGTCAAGTTCGGCCGACGTGCCGCTGACGAGGTCGCCAATCAATGTAGAGCTTCGACTCCTCGTCCTCTGCTTCTCGTGAATTTGGTGTGGTCTGCGATTTGTCCCCATCRTACAGGAACCGCCGCTTCCGTGCCCCAGGTGCCATCGGCAGTGCAGGTGTGAGATTGTCCGTCGGCGAATTCCAGCTGGCTCATCTCATCTTTGCTCTCGCGCCGGCTGAGGCGAGGCAGACCCGCCATTCTTCTGGTCCGACTCTCACAAGGATGCGAGAGGAGGGAGCCAACATCGCCGAATCTGCGCTGTCGAGACCGCTGAAGTGATCGGATCGTTCACCACGAACTTACCCCTCACCGCCCCACCCGCAATCCACCATGGCGCCTGCAGTCGTGTCCAACATCGCCTCCCGATTCCACCGCATGAGCCAGAGCAGCGGCGACAAGGAAGCCTGCGCCGCACGAGAGGAGGAGAAGCAGAAATTGTCCGAGTGGGAGGCAGAGAAACGTCCTCTTGAACCCTCAGAGATTGTCGTAGATCCGCAGCAAAAACCGGTTGGACATTCCAGCAAGCTCCTGCGCAAGGAGGATTTCGAATTGATCAAGACACTCGGCACCGGCACATTTGCGCGAGTATGGCTGGTCCGGCTGGCCGACAAGTCCAATCAGAAGAGCGGCGCAAACAGCGAATACACCAAGAAGGTCTTTGCGCTAAAAATCCTGCGCAAAGTGGATGTCATACGGCTGAAGCAGGTTGAGCATGTGCGTAATGAACGCAACGTCCTGGCCGCAGTCGCGGGACATCCCTTCATCACCACCATGGTAGCCAGCTTCCAAGACGCCGAGACGTTGTACATGCTACTCGACTATTGTCCCGGCGGCGAGGTGTTTTCATACCTGCGGCGAGCGCGAAGGTTCAATGAGCCCACTTCCACATTCTACGCTGCGGAGATAGTCTTGATCTTGGAGTTCCTGCACGAAAAGGAGGGTGTCGCATATCGTGATCTGAAGCCGGAGAACATCCTTATTGATGCTGACGGCCACTTGAAACTCGTGGATTTTGGATTTGCGAAGAAGATTCATAACAGTACGTGCCATTGGTTTGCGTTATGCACCGCAGAGCTAATCCCATTGCAGGAGAGACATATACGCTATGCGGAACCCCCGAATACCTCGCGCCGGAGGTGATCCGCAACACTGGTCACAGCACAGCTGTGGATTGGTGGGCCTTTGGCATCCTCATCTACGAGTTCCTTGTCGGCCAGCCTCCGTTCTGGGATCAGAATCCCATGAAGATCTACGAACAGATTGTGGAGGGCAAAGTCCGCTACCCCAGTGCAATGTCGAAAGACGCACGCGATATCATAAGCGGCTTGTGCACAGTGGATGTTACCAAAAGACTAGGGAACATCAAAGGTGGTGCGGCAACCGTGAAGAAGCATCCGTGGTTCAAGGACATCGACTGGGATAGACTTTACCACCGTAAGATGCAAGGACCGATTGTACCGCATTTAAAATCTGCGGATGACACGAGAAATTTTGATGATTACGACCCAGAGCCAGAGAAGCGGGAGCCCTATACCAAGGTTCGTATAACTCTGAGAAGACCCTTTGTCCGGACAATGGTATGCTGACAAGAAACCCAGGAAATGCACGAGAAGCATGATCGCATGTTTGCGGATTTCTGATCGCTCACTGCACAGTCCAGAACCATCAGATTACGACAGACTTGATCATGCATTAGATTTAATTGACGAACTGCATCGAATGGCGAACGGCGCTCTAGGGAAGGGGATAAGAGGCTCTGCGATCAACATTGATTGGGCGGGATCAAGGGATTGCTTCTTTGGGAGGGTGGCAGATGGCATGTTCAGACTCGCGACGGGCGATAAGAGAAGGAATACCAGCAGCCTGGATATCTATCAATGCCGACAATGAGCAACTCTGTTCTTATATCCAGCTCTTTACAACATCGGTAGCCGCGCCGCAATACCGTAGGGCTCGGCTGCAGATCGTCGCCCCGCACTCTCGGATAACATATCCGTCTCCAAGCTCCCGGCGAAGCGGGTCTGTACCTCGACCGCCTCGTGTGTTGTTCCTGGTGAGATGTCCTGGTGTCTGCATTGCCATGTGTTGAAAGAGGTGCTTAAGCGACATGTTGCTCCGAAACTTGGGTGGTCGCAGGTCAAATGCTCCCAGGATCATCACAGGCCTTTCGCGAAGCTTGTTGACCAAAGCTCATGCTCAAGGTCCAACAGAGGTGAGTGTGCAGCCGAGCTTGTAGCACCATGAATTGAGCACTGACTGTATGTTCCCTTCTTACAGCCAGCACTGTCGGAACACACCATCCCCGAACATTTCGCATCCATTGCATCCAAGTATGGTGACAGAAACGCGTACGTCGAACCACAGCCCCGCGAAAGCTGGCAGCATATCTTCAAATTCAAAGAGCAGACATTGAGAAAGAGAACAGGGTTATATCGCGACACCAACAGACGACGTTGACATACGATGTCCTCGATCAGAAGTCCAATGCTCTCGCTCGAGGACTACAAAGCATAGGCGTGAAGAAGGGAGACCGAGTCTCTGTTTCACTGGGCAACAACACAGAGTTCGCGATTGCAACCTATGCCGTGTTTAAACTGGGTGCCATCTTGAACCCTTTGAATCCAAGTTTCAACGCGAAGCAGGTCGTGAGTGCACTCAATCATTTAGGGACCTCTCATCTCCTCATCGGAGCCGAAACCCATCTCATTCGCAAGGATCCAAGGAGTAATCTCGAGATTCTACGGCATATTGCTCCCGGAATTTCCGGCGGCAAACTCGAGTCTGAGTTGGTTCCATCGTTGCAGCAAGTCGTTCTCGTGGACAATTCGCATGGCCGAACGAATCTAAACGAGCTGGGAGCGACCGTGCCTTTTCAGGCTGTGCAAGATGGCTCTGTGCAGTCTTTACCAGATCAGAATCTTCACAAAGACGATATCGTAAACATTCAGTTTACAAGCGGGACGACGTCTTCACCAAAGGCAGCTTGTCTGTCGCATCGCTCCATCTTGAACAATGGCATCCAAATCGGAGACCGGATGCTGCTGACACAAGATGATGTGGTGGTATGTCCACCACCACTTTTCCATTGCTTCGGGTCTATATTGGGCTATATGGCCAGTGAGTGATCTGGAATGCATCATCGAAGCACTTCTGACCCCGACCAGCTGCTACACATGGATCCTCCATTGTCTTTCCCACAGAAGCATTCGATCCGCTGGCAGCTCTCAGGGCTGTTCAGGATTACAAGGGCACGGCACTGTACGGCGTTGCGACCATGTTCCTAGCCGAGTTAGAGCTCCTCGCAAATGGCACTGTTCCACATGAGGGCTTCGAACACCTTCGAACCGGAATCGCCGCTGGCAGTAGTGTTCCCGCCGAGCTGATGAGGAAACTACACAAGACTCTCAACCTCAATGAGCTGACCATTTGCTACGGCATGACTGAAACCTCGCCCGTCAGTGTCATGACAAGGACGGATGACCCGCTCCAAAAGCGGATCGATACTGTGGGCCGCTTGCAGCCGCATGTTGAAGCCAAGGTCGTTGATCCTTTTGACAGCAACAAGATATTGGGCCTCAATGAACGCGGAGAACTTGCAGTTAGTGGATATCTGGTGATGAAGGAATACTGGGGAGATCCCGAGAAAACAGCAGAGGTCATGATCCCTGATGTGGAAGATCCGAGTAAAATCTGGATGTTGACCGGGGATGAAGCTGTTATGGATGAGGAGGGATATGTCTCGATTACGGGCAGGATAAAGGTGAGTATTGAGCTGAAGATTGACAGTCATGTAGGCAGAGCTAATCGATGTTTCTTCAGGATATCATCATCAGAGGCGGAGAGAACATCCACCCTCGTAAGTTGTTCGCCACTCCTAGAAGCTCGAAAGTGCTGATCTGTGTGCAGTTGAGGTTGAGAATTGTCTCCTGTCCCATGACAGTGTATCGAATGTGAGTGTCGTGGGCTTGCCCGACGAGAAGTACGGCGAAGTGGTCGCAGCATTCGTGATCAAACACAGCGGGAAGGACCTCACCGCAGATGATGTGAGGAAGTGGGTGCGAGAGAACCTTAGTGGACACTTGGGTATGATACTCCCCTCTGATATTACATATAGTCGCTGACATGTTGCGACCTCAGTCCCGAAATATGTTTTCTGGGTCGACGATTATCCCAAAACAGCAAGTGGGAAAGTACAAAAGTTCAAGCTGCAAGAAGACGGCATGCAATTATTGAAGCGAGGGCAAGGGTTGGAGTGAACAGTTCAGCCCGTCTCAACGGTGCCATCTCATGTGGAAACTTCTTGAAGAATCGAACCTACAGACCCCAATGCACATAGAACGACGCATGCGTCTACTGCTCTGCAAAGCGCATCTCACCTTTCCCCACATCAAACACAGCCACGACATTTTTCAAAAATGTATCGCCCAGGATGAACGGCTCAGAAGCGAATGGTTGAACACCAGTAATGCACATTCCCGTGTCTGGGTCCAGTCCAAGCTCACCCGTGAGAAGAAGATCCTGATCCTGGAGGTAAAAGTCGTGTCCAGCGATTCGAACCCCGAATTTAGGAGGCGTGGCATTGCAATCTACCTCGTAGACGTCCTGGGCTGACATGTATGTAGCTGGTGGATCAAAAAGCGCGTTAACTTTAGCGGCTAGTGCTGTGGAAAGAGAGACGAGTGTGCTTCCAGAATCAACGATAACAGGAGTGGTGTTTGAGAGCGTCGTATTTGAAATCCCGTCCCTCGTTTCCGATGGCTGTCCTGTGAGAAGTATACCTTCTGAATTGAAGTACTCTTTCGTGGCTCCGCCGTGTGATATGATGTACGCGTCCGGAATGATTGTATAGTAGGTGAATTCCGTAATCTCAACAGCGCTGCCTGGAAATTGAAAGACTTCCAACGGAGTAGAAACGAAGTCTCCCTTGTAAGGAATATTCGGCAGACACCCAAAAGCAAGCTGGCCTGCTTCCCCTTCCGTCTCCCGCGTGAGGGCTAGACTGAACATAGGTTCTGTTTTGCCTTGCTCAATCGCGTTGAAGAAGAATGGATTGTAGACGATACTGTTGTTGTTCGTATCTTTATCTGGGTCAGGACCGGAAAAGGCGCTGGTGATTCCTGGATAAGCGAAGCCCAGTAGACCGCTGCTCTCTCCATCACCGAACCAGTATGCGTAATCAACGAGCGCGACTTGTTGGTTGTCGACTGTGATTCCGGAGAAGGTCACGTCCTGATAGCCCATTTCCCCCGTGAGGAATTCTCCGTCACCGTACTCGATCCGGAAATTCTGGTCTGCGATCTTGCCATCTGAGAAGGTCATGTTGAAGAGGGGACCGAAGGCACAGTACTCTTGAGTYCTTCGGGATATGCATCAGTTCTCGGCTTCTTCTGCTTCTCATACGTTTTATGGACTTACTGCGGTTGTTTCTCAGCGTCGACACATTTGAGCTTGTTGCTCGCGAGCCAAAGATCGCTCGATCCTGTATCGAAGATGACATCGAACGTGTCTTGAYCGAACTGAAGAGGTACTGTGTATCCGGATCCTCCCTCTATAGCGCTGAGGATCGTTGCATTGGTTTTGACGCGCTTAGAGACGAGAGCTGCGAAGTGTTATTCGTGCTGCACCCAGCAAATCCCTAATAGCAACTCACCCCTGGAACTGGGAGGCTGGCTACACGTCCTTTTAATGGACATGATGTTCTGTGGAGCAGCCAATGGCGCTGCGTCTGAACGCAAGAAGCACGCGAGCAGAGCGAGTGGAAGAAATGTCGCCCACAACATATTGAAGGTACACGGGCGGATGAAAGGTAAAGGGCGACAGACAGAACGTTGACAAGCACAAGAACGTTGAGAGTTATAGCATTGACGAGAGCGAGACAATATGATGCGGCAGACGCCCCTTCATCCCTTGCGGCATCGACTCCATGTACTCTGCCTGTGCCGCTTCGTCCCAGCGTGCGCTGGAACACCTACTGATCTTACAGCTGCGGCGTGGAGGGACACTCAACGCAACAATCCCCCGTTCCCGAAAAGATCGGCCGAGGATGCCACAAACCGTCTCACTATGAAGCACAACATCCAGAAGCATCGTATTGTGCCCCCTCAGCAGAACAGATCCTAGCATTTCAAACCCAAAGCCTGCGTCGGTTGTGGTACTTCCGTCTGCAAATGGCTTGCGCGTGAAGCCGAACATCGCCCAGCATCATGGAGTGCAGACCCTTGTTCTGAGGGTGGCTTGAAGTGTTTCTCGGAAGGGACGCCATGGCGTAATACCTCCCGTCCACTTTCCACTAAGTGGACTTCAACACGTTGAAGTCGAAGACCCACCTTACTAGTCTCATATACTAGAGACCAAGTGTTGAATCATGCGCGATGCATGGCCCAGCTTGCTGATAGCAATGCGAGCACCATCGCAAAGGGAATCAACAGCAATGCCAGCACGATCCAGGTCGTCAAAATCGTAGGCCGCGCATCGGTGCTCCGGATAAGCCTTTGGACCTCCTGATCCAGCGACTGTGTCATTTTCGTGGCGCTGAACTCGGCCAAGACGCGAGCACGCCCATTCTGTCCCATCTGCTTCAATTTCGCGTCGCTTGAGGGTATCAATGGCTTGCGCATCACCTCTGTCCATTGATCCACCTTTTCGGGAGCTCTCAGCCATCCTGTTCGTCCATCATAAACAGTCTCCAAAGGTCCACCGGTATTGGTGGCCAGCACCGGGATCCCAGCGAGCATAGCCTCCAATGGCACGATACCAAAGTGCTCATTCGTGGGTGTATACAGCAACAGACCTGCCGAACGCAGCAGCCGCTGTTTCAGCTCGTTGGATATTGATAGCATGAACAGAACGTCTACGTCGTCAGACGACAGATCCGTCAAAGCAGTGTCTTTATTGCGAAACGTCGCATGCGTCAGGCTTAGCGAGTCTGYAAGGTCCTGGAGATGTTTGTGGGTGACCGAATTTTCAGCATTCCGAGGGTCGAATCCACCAGCAACGACCAGCCTCGCCTTCGTCCGCTCATCGGTACTCAGCCCGGCGTATGCTTTGATGGCCAGGTCAAGATTCTTCTTGCCCTCGAAGCGATTGATGCTTAGAAGCACTGTCTTGCCCGGCCAGATTTCATTGGTTCCCTCGTCAGGGCTAAGTCCATCCGTATCGACGCAGGGATATATGACCTTCAGCTCTCGTGAGCGCATCTTAGGAAATGTCTGCTTAAACACACTTCTTGTGTACTTGCTGTTAACGACCACGCTGTCCGAGCATCCAGTGCTCCATTCTTCAATCGTGTCGAAAGGTATCCGGTACAACTGTTTGACATACTTTCGCAATCCCTTCTCTTGTTTCGCCAACAGTCGATCCGGGTAGTGTCCGTAGMAGAGAACCTTCGCCCGGGGGTACAGCATGCGGAAGAAAGGAATGCAAGCGCTGAGCTGGTCGACAATGATGACATCGGGTTGCAGTTGTCCAAGCTCTGATGGGGCGACACTGGCGACTAGAGATAGCTGACGGAGGATTGAGAACAAAATACTCAGCGAGTTGCCCAGAGAAGCCGGGAAGATGGAGTCACCGCGGACTCGGACATCGAGGGTGCCTTTAAGTGATTCTTAGCCTTTTGTGGTATTTAGCCTCGGACACCTTGTCGTGTCGCCGGGAGACTCACCATCACGCGCCTCCTCGAAGCAATGCGCCGGATCGCAGTGGGATGTGAAGATGGTCACTCTATGTCCGATTGCCTTCAATCCCACCGCCGCGTCGATTACTAGTCGCTCGGCTCCTCCAATGCCCAGATCCGGGTGCACAAACACGATGCTGCGCGGCGTGGCAGTTTTGCTTGCCATTGTCCGTTCCGGAGGGTGGTGTAGCAGACAGCTATCGCCAGCCGCGTCGGAGGCACGGGAGGTCTACAAGCTTCTGGAGTGGAGTTTTAATTCACTTCCGCTTGCCGATCTCCCGGACCGTCCCGCTACATTTCTGACTATATATAGTAGTCTCGCTTGAACATGATCGAATTAGAATAGAGAAGGCTCAGACTACCTTATTCATCTTCATACTTAATCTACCTAACATACCAGTGGATGGCCTGTTTGCTATGTGAGGCCCCATGTGTGGTAGAATATGGGACACACCCAGCCAAAGATCGAGTCGCTTCACGAACCACAAATGATCACATGCGATCGACGCACTGTATGGCCAATCTGCGCCCTTCCTCCGAGATTTTGCTTCCCTCTTTGCTCGGATAAGCCAGGGCAATCTTCCACTTCGTCCATTGCTCCAATGTAGCGACTCTATCCGGCCCGGCAGCAGCATCATCCATCCTGACTTCTTCCCGGAGTCTGGAACCCGCAACTCTCAACCAAGCGTGGATCTCGCTCATCAAAACATCGATTCCTTGACGGCTCGAAGACAAAAGATCCAATACTTTGAACCCCCATTGCGCTGGGACAAGGTCTTGAAGGAACATTTCTGCCTCTGCTGTACCAACGGCATCGAAATGTCGTCGAAGTTCAACCTTCCTGTCGTCAGAAAGGCCTTCGAGATCTTTCTCCCAGCCATCTGGGCCATGTAGATGGAGCCGATACAGAGTGTCCCACATGCTTGCGAACCCTGGTAATTTTGACAGTGCGAGTCCAGATGATGTTGGTGGCAGATCCCGTATAGCAGCTAGCAGGCTTATTGTCTTGTGGCGTTCTTCATCGCTGAGTTCCACTATGGCCTCACAAATCAGTGCCCACAGCCTGTAGGTCTGTTCTGATGGATTCGTATCAGACTGTATAGGTGATGTGATGCGTATCGCAGTCTCATGAATGTCTGCATCGCCGCTGAGGTAGCGGGCTAGTGCCTGCGCTTCATCAGGATGACATCCATCACCTGCTGCTAAGGCTTCCGCTGTGGGAGCGACTTTTGATTCGAACCATGCTTGAAGAGGCATGAAGGGCAGTGAATGACGGTTGTAGAAAGAGATTGAAAGAGCGTTTCTTTTCTGCGGCCGGCTTGCGATCGCGAGGACAAGGCCCTACCTATAGGTTCATGGTTTCTGCACCAGCTCATGACTACCTGACTGTGTTGACGATGATGAGTGACGAAAGGTCCCACATGTTTCTGCTTCGTGTTGGTGCCGCCCCAGATCCTTCGTTGCGTCGAATCCTCCGCCCCGCCCGCCGGCATTGCTCGGACGCTAATTCAAAAATAGCAGGGCTGAACTTCACGTCTCCGCGGCTCCAACTTCCCCACTTCCCGACCACATCGACACCAACAACATGTTCTGTCTCTCTTGTCTGCCTGCCGGTGCGATGCCGATAGAAGAAAAAGGATTCATCCGGGAACGGCTGTATCTGTATCTGCTGCGTTCGCCCTTGCTCCCACCGGTCCTCAAATCGAGCATTGGGGCAAACACGCCCCACGATTGCTGGCGATTGCTGCGGTGAGTTACACATTGCGAACAGGGTGTGGCATCCCATAGCAAGGAAGGATGACGTGGGTGTGGTTGGTTCACACGCATCCCAAATCATCAAGCCCACCCGCCTCGATTCAACACTGGAAACAGCATCATACAGACTCCTGGAGAGCAACCGTGCAACGAAGGATCAAACCCATGTACGAGATGGTGGCAACGAGTCATCGAAATCCTTCACTACGTCGAAGCCCTAGGTTGTGGGGCCTCGTGTGTGAGGAAGTGACTTGTCAAAATGATCGAAAAGCACTGTAGGCTTGAAGGGTTCGGCCCCGCTGAATGCCAGAATAGCCAAATCCATGAACGCGAAGGATCAGGCCATCGGAGGAATGTTGGTAGGACGTCACTATGCGACTTGGCCGTCCGATATGCCTCCGAATGTCGTTTTCACCGGTCGGAAGCTCAGGTGCCTTGAGTTGGATGTGAACGTGCTGCTCCGCCGTCGACAGTATCCACATGTCCCGCCCACTTCAGGCGAGGACATGTGTTGGTGATGTAGACCAGGTGCTGTCAACTCCACTTCAGTCCGGACTCGAGCCTATATAAGGTAGTGCTCATCTACACCCTCTCACAAGCATAAGACCAAACTCCAACTTACATTGTCCTAAGATCGAACACCTCTTCCATCTGATATCCTACCTTCCTCGAATTTTCAGATTCGTCCAAAACATGCATTTCTCAACGACCATGGTCAGCGCCATCTTGGCCACCGGCTCCGTCGCTCTGGCTCTGCCAACATCCTCAACATCCAGCCAGCTTGTGGCACGGAAGTTTACCCCCCAACCGAATGACCCCAGCATGACCCCAGTCGACGTTCTCGACCTTGATCAGGACGTCAAGATGACCTGCGGAAGTACCGAATTCAGCTACAAAGATATTTACCAGGCCGTACAATGGGGCGAAATCCTGGAGCAGGAAAATTTGGGCCGCGGCAAGAAATCGAAAGAGTTCCCAACTGGACGCTTCCCTCACTCGTACACGGCCACGGAATTCACCTTCAATGACAACTGTCCTGCCGATGACAATCGCCAAGAGTATCCCTTGATTAAGGATGGTCCTTACAACGGCGGAATATCGAACAATGTGCAGTGGGGCGATCACAGGGTGATCTATTACTCCAAGGGAGAGGTGGCAGCGGACGGGAACCCGATTGTTTACTTCTGTGGTGGGCTCACACATGAGGATGCCGACGATGATGGCGAGTTTGTGCAATGCACTGTCGACTAGAGACATTAAAGACGCTCTCGCCAGGGTAGCCTTTGTGAGGTAGTAGATGATCTAGGATTTCACACAGCTATCAAAACTTCATGGTTCTTGACTCCTTGAATATGYGGACCGTGTACAATGCTAGAGCACAGCAGATAGGGAGTAGGAACAGTGGTCCCGCGTAGTTGAAGTTCTTCGGGCTGACGACATACTGAGTCGGCCAGAATGACCAGAATAGAGCCCAGGTGGCGTATACAAGGGCGATGCAATTGATTCCAAGACCAGTGCGGCCCAACGACCACCGCGCGGCTGGTAAGTCTTCTTGCAATAGCCTTTTTCGGATGAGGCAGGTCAGTGAGACCATGTATGATGCCATGAAACATGCGGTAGAGAGGCCCATGATGGTGTGCAGTGAGCTCCCAGTTGGATAGGTGACGAGCGAAAGGAAGCTGGTGATCATCACGGTCATCACAATGGAGTTCAATGGGACCTTCAGCTTCGGGTGGACTCCCCCAATGGAAGAGGAGTAGAAGAGGGCTCGGTCTCGCCTGTTGCAGTCAGCACACGTAGACATTCGATGCGAACGGTCTTTACCCAAAAGCGTAGAGATGTCTCGAAGTTGCAACCATCGTACTCACAGCAATCATGACCAACATGACCAGAATTACTGCACATGGAAATGGGAAGTCAGCAATGCTATCAAATGTACGTGGCTGTCCCTAAGATTTATCAAGCATACCCTGCAAAACACGTCAGCAATGCAGCAGATAGGGCAGGTTACAGTCGTACATACTGAGGTGAATCCAATGGTGGCACCTCGATCACCGTCTAACATTCTGTCGAAAATTGAGGTGAGGGCGTGTTCATCGTCAAGGGCATCGGTGATGGATCCAAGGTTGAACAAGAATGTCACAATGAGGCCTAATGTTATCGGGGCGTTGAACAGGAAACTCCAAACCACGCATCGCGGTACCTGTCCAGATTTTCGTCGAGTCAGTGGGTGCATCGCGTATCGCAAGACAGGGAAACGAACAATGATCTCCGCGTCCTCTACCTCCTCTGCGATGTAAGACATGGCGTCGCTCCCCAAGAGAACGAATACGCTCGAAAGCTGTCCCACACAAACAGAAAGCGCCTTCGAAGGCCATTTATTCTGTCCGCCGTTGTCGGTGAAGGTAAGGAACACATGTTTCGCCTTCTCCTTTGGAGATGCCAGGACCCATAGAGAAACAAGAATGGGGACCAACACGAAAACGTGACAGATCGCGAACAGCTAGAGAGAGCCAGTACCAGTCAGCAAGACCTCAATGTACTGTGAGATTACTTTGTCATACCCCTTCGGCAATGCTGAGGTGGCCTGCTGCGAAGGCATTGAAAACCGACATTACGACTGCGACAAGAACCATGTAAAGGTGTGTCTGCCATCTGGTTGCCGCCATATCAGGATGGACGAGTGATTGTACCAAGTTGGTGACAATGTAGCAGTGTAGAGTGAACCTCGCTTGCCAGCCAATGGAGCAAACCCATCCGGTGAAATATGATAGGCGTCTTTGGCTCTTCGAAGGAGCAAATGCTGTCACAAAGCGATACTGTCCACCAGACAATGGGACCATGCTGCTCATCTCGGCGAGAGACAAGACGACGAATAAATGTCCAATATGTGCCCAGACGGTGGTCCAGAAAAGTCCCGCCAGTCCTCCATTCCGAAGACTCAGAGAGTTCGTGGTCAGTGAGAGCTCCTAACTGCCCATGACAAGCGATGTGAATCCAATGGTCGAGAGCTGTCGGTACTTTTGCTGGACCACATGCTTTCTGCTGATAGCTGGTGGGGCCTTGAATTCACGGGCAGTAGGACTGGCCAGCTTTTGTCGATCTACCATGTCCTTTGCTATCGATGATGTGCTGCTGCCGCTTGAGGGGGATGATTCAATGTCAACGGCGGAGAAGTGAGGCTTGAGTGGAGGTCTAGGTTGCGACATCGTGAGGGCGAGGCGGAATCTGGGTAGGGTAAAACGTGCGAGATGGTGTCTGCCCGGACGAGCAGCTATACCTGATAGAGTGGTCGGATTGGGTTGATGTGGCAGGTTGTCGAACACTTGGATGAGTTGTCCCTTCCAGCTTAGGTACAGCGTCTTACCATGCCGTACCGCCCCTCTGGCGATTGACCCGTATGAATTGCTCGCTGTTGCTTTGGGTTTCTATTGGTCGAGAGGTCTATCGCATGCAATTAGAGGCCAAAACCTTGTGGAAGAGTTCGCACGAGTCAAATCTAGTGGGCGGCCTCAGCGATGGAAAGACGTGTGCAGCTTGCGATTTCCCCATGGCGCGAAACGTTTAACCACACCCTCGTCCATTACATGTACGTACCTCATGATCTCCCACCCCATCAGGCATGCTTCATGCCTTCATTTCATCTAGAAAAGGTTTCTGCCGGAATCGTCATCGCCTGCACCACCGCATCCATCTGGTCGCTCCTGATCTCCCTGATACGACTGTTCCTACGCCTGAAGATCAGTGGCCCTTTAGGATGGGATGATGCTACATGTGCAGCAGCAACTGTCAGTGCACTCTGCAGCTTTGATTTGAATATGACTGAATCTAAGAGTCAGTTGTTTGGAGTCGCGGAAAGCTGTACAGCACTCTTAGCGGTTCACTATGGCCTTGGAATTCCTCAAAACGAAATCGGCGAATTCGAACCATTGTACAAGCTTGTATGGGTGGCCGGTCAACTCTATGCCTTGTCCGTGGGATTCTCCGTTCTTTCAATCACCTGCTTCATTGCACGCTTGACCAAGACCGACCAACATCAGAGGATCATACACTCAATCATGATCGCAATTGGTGTCTGGATGGTTATCTCGGAGTTGTTGATCGCACTTGGATGTCCAACACCACGACCTTGGGATATCTCGGATCGAAAATGCTTGAACAAGGTATTTGGGAACAGCTCAATCTGCTAGCAAGCTTTGGACAGCGTGGCTCCAGACCTTGCGGAACGAGACATGGCTTACCGCAAGAGAAGAGTGCTGACACCCAGCTCGTAGTGGTATATCTGGCTTAGCCACACAGTGATCTGCACGATGTTCGAGATTCTCAACATCAAAGTTGCACTCTTGATCGTCTGGAATCTACAGATGCCGTTCCGGCCGAAAGCCGTTGTCTTCTTATCATTCTCCCTACGGCTACTGTAAGGCTGCAACTTTACTTGTAAGCGAAACCATGAGGCTTACCATTTTCATTCCAGTGTGCTACCACCCGCTCTGGTTCGGCTTCAGTTTCTCGAAGTCGCTATTGCAAAGACAGATGTCGGTGCCTACCGGGCAAGAGCCAATCTCCTGTCACAAATCGTGATGCATTCTAGCATCATATTGGCAACTATTCCATGCGCCAAGCCTTTCTTCGCGTTGTTTGTGAGTAATTTGGAAGTGACTGGGAAGTAATGCTTTCTGACGCGCGAAAAGGATGGTGGCGTGTACAGAACTCCTCGAGATATGAAGCCAGAGCCAGCAACAGAACCCGAAGCGGCTGGAACGGGTATCGAGCAGAGGCAAGAGTTTGGCTTCTACTATGAGAGCAGCCCGTGAAGCGAAATCGACCTACCTAAACAAACACATGTAGCACATGCATAGAATGGACTCACCCTTGCCAGATGGCCTTACGCATAGCAAACCGAAGAACGGCAGCTCGCTCTGTCGTCACATAACAGCAGTTGATACCGCCATTCAGCCGTGGGTCTCCTCCAGTCCTGGCGGGCGTGTCCGTCACGACCAAGTATGCACACCATCGAAGTGCTTGTGATGATTTCTCGATTATCGAGAGATTCGATTTTCTATACGCACGTTAGAACCATGCCGATCAAGAATCTTTATCAGACCCAGCATCATCATCCTCGCCTTCCACTTCGACTCTTCTTCCCTTCACACCCGCCTCAACTTCGGTAACCAGACTCTCCATGTAGTCCTTGTCTTTACCAACCAGCGTGACAGTGTTGCGGGACTTGCCGAAACGCGGATAGCTGCCAACTTTGATGCCTTTGCTTTCGACTTTCTGGGATAGCGTGGTGAGGAATTCGGCCACTGAGCTCTCAGGAAGGGGCGTGGAGAAGAGTATCCGATGCACACCCTTGCCCTCAGGATCAACCAATCTCGGTAGGATGCGTGGCTTGAGGCCGTTGAGCAATGCTTCGAAGAGGCGAGGAATGCCTATATCAGTCAGTGTGTACACCATCGAGTCTTTACATCAAAGCTGACCAGGGAATATGTGAATGTTGCCATTTACGCAGTTGATCGGAACCCAGAGCTCCTCTGCAACGAACATGACCTGATCCTCGTCGGGCAGCTTCTTGTCGTAAGGAAGCTCCACCATTCGCAGTTTCGCTCGACGCTCAGGAGAGTCGACATCCCAGGAAAAGTTTTCCTGGCCGGGACGCTTCTTCGACAGCTTTCTCATCTTCTCGTACGCAAGCTCATGCAGAACAAGAGGCAGGTCGAAAGCTTTGGCGATGCTCTGGTAAGTGATATCGTCGTGTGTTGGCCCAATGCCACCCGATGTGACAACGAGATCATAGTTGCTGCTCATTCTACGCACAGCCTCAATGATCTCGCTCTCGTCGTCGGCGATCACCTCGATCCGCTTGAGGTTGATGCCGAGGGAGAAGCAGTACTTAGSAAAATACGCGGAATTTGTGTCGACGGTCTACATGCAGGTCTGTTCAGCATCTCAGCAACCATTGATGGCTGACTAGCTGGACATAATGCTAACCTTTCCCCCCAACACTTCGTCGCCAATGATGAGGCATCCAGCCGTGTGAATCTTGCTCTTGCTCCGCTGGTCGGCCATGGTTCGTGCCGTAAACGACGCAGCGGCCGAATTGTGAACGAAATAGGGCGATTGGCGTGCAATGTGACGAGTGAGCTGGTTGAGTCTCGAGAACATGAGTGTGGGGAAGATTGTTTGGCAGACAGGAGATGGAACCTGGAAAGTAGTGAACAGGTCTAGCTAGGAGACAGGTCGACCCCGGTCGCTTGTGTTTGTGTTTGGTGATGTCGTAGTTGACCCGGCTCGCGTGTTCCGAGATCGGCGGACTTTTCCGCTCGTACCAAGAGTCGCGTCGTTCAACTTTCATCTGAAGCGACATGAAGAAGTCGCATGCATCGCGGCTTACGGTACGAGAGATTGCATCGCTTGACGCTTTCTATTGCGTGGTGATCAACAGATTTAATTTACTGTCCACGCAAACACGCCATAAGGTATTGCTGWTGTAGAAGACTCCAGGTTAGACCGAATAGTTCTCATGTCACACGCATTATAATGGCCTTTGAGTGGCTAGATTGCAAGGAGGTATACCATTTGAAGTCTTGCGAGGGCCTTCGACCAAGATGTCCAGCCTCTCATATGGTTGCCTATCGTTTGATTACCGAGCCACCCGGGATGTCTTTATAGTCAAGATGAGGCCTGAGGCACGCCGCGGCTCTATCCCCAAGGTTTGGTTGAAAGTTGAAGTCTACTGGGCTGTTCGTTGGCTGTTGTTATAGGTATGCCTGCAATCGATTCTTTGTATTTTAGCAATGAGAATATCTTTGCTTCAAATTGACCAGTCGCCGAAACTGCCCGCCTGAAACTGTCCCACCTGTTCACTCATCACGCTCGTTACATCATCTGCCACGCCAAGCTCTAGCCCGCTCTCCAGTCTTTCATGTTCGCATGAACATCACGACAAAGCCTTCCCAAGTCAAGCTCCACACAACTCACGAATCATGGTACGAGCTTTCCTCGATCTCTCGCATAGCATTCTCTAATGTTTCCAGGCCTCTGAAAGCAGACTCTACACCTTCGGGTCAGACACGAAAGACAAACTCCGAAAGTTCCGCCTATCGACCTCCCGATCCAACACGCCCCAAGCAATCATATGTACACGCCCTCTGTTTCCCACGCCCTCGACCTAAAAATCTGACCATGATCGTAAAGAAGACCAGATCGACAAAAAGACTCTAGAAATCAAACCCTCCGATGGCGAAGTCTACACAGATATGCAAGAGCTGAGCGATGAGATGCCTGACAACACGCCGAGATACATTCTCCTCAGTTATCCTCTTACATTGGTATGTTGTCACACCAGCCGGGCAGACCGTTCTGGGTAAGGTCATTACTGATGGGTATGGTGCATGCGTAGAAGAAGTCTGGACGGCTAGCGGTCCCTTATGTCATGCTCAATTATATGCCGCCGACTTGCTCTGCAGAGCTACGGATGTTGTACGCGGGAGCAAAAGAATTGATGAAGAATACGGCCGAGGCGGGGAAGATCATTGAGATTGAAAATGCTGATGAGCTGGAGAGCATTGAGGAGAAGTTACAGGGAGAGGAATAAGAGGAGARATGATGAGCGATTCAGAAGCTTGGGCCTGAGAGCTTGACAGTGAAACATGCCAGACGGACTGTGATAAAATAGCTTCCACGTCTGCAGAGAACTGCCAGCGCACTTTACACGTGGGAAATATGCACATGTAAGAAGATTTCTTTCGTCCTGTCTCGTTCTGGGGAATAACGCATTGGTATAAACGATGCAAAAAGTGCTCTTGTCGGCTGCTTTTCCTCGCAGCACCTCCTCCACTACGCGCACCCGCGCTTTTGCGCTGTCTCACACACGATAAATTCCACGGCTCCTGCAATATGCCTCCGCTCCATGCCTGCTTACCGGGAACGGTAGCAGTACTATCCGAACGTCTCAACGCCCTCCTCTTGCCATCGCCACGGCGCAGGTCTGCCTCGGCCCCAATTTCTACATCACCACACACTTCCCACAGCAACCTGCCTCGCTCTCCTGATCTTGGAAGCCCATTTCGTCTTTTGGCTTGCTGCCGTTGCCGCCGCCGCTGGGATATCCCGACATGTCCTTGTTGTACTTCCGGATCTCGCGTACGATGTCGAAGAAGGCGTTGTCGACGTTGATGCGTGATTTGGCAGAGGTCTCGATGAATGTGCAGCCGAAAGAACGCGCGAGATCGCGACCCTCTATTTACCATTAGCCATCATAGATTCGGTACAATGCCTGCAGTTGCAAGAGAAACATACCTTCTGTGCTCACTTGTCGCTCGTGTTCCAGGTCGCACTTGTTTCCGACGACGATTATGGGGAAATAGTCCTTGTCCTTGACGCGCAGTATTTGCTGTTGGAAGGTGACAATCTCCTCGAAGCTCTGTCGTGATGTGATGCTGTAGACTAGTAGGAAGCCCTCGCCGGTTCGCATGTACTGCTCGCGCATAGCCGAGTACTCCTCCTGGCCGGCGGTATCGAGCACATCCAGAAGCGCAACCTCCTCGTCGATGACGCACTGCTTGCGGTATGAGTCTGCAATGGGCTTGCGTTAGCGACAACAATGGCAGTTGCACGGCAGTCAGACAAGTATTACCTTCGATGGTGGGGTCGTATTCGTCGACGAAATGGGAWTGTATGAGCTGGATGGTCAGGCAACTCTTGCCAACACCGCCGCCACCGACGACGACGAGCTTGTATTCTCGCAGGAACTGCAAGCACGAGGTTAGCTCCATACATGATCCAAGGATACGCAGGGAGCAAGCCTACTTTGGAAGCCATTGTGAAGGTGGTGTATGCGAAGGTGGACGTGGACGTGAACGTGAACGAGTACCGCGCAAATGTCCGAAAATGGGTATCAGGGGCGACGGAACCGGAGTCGGGGACAGCGGATAGGGTGAAGCAATGATCAGCGGAGTCGGCGGCGGAGACGTTCGGGGTGCGGTGTCGAGTGGTGCGTGCCGGCGGGTTGGACGACTGGCGAGTGATTAATGAGATGATGCAGACGGCGCGGAGAGGTGCGAAAGTGAGCAAGGGACAAGTACAGAACTAGTGTTCGCGCAGCGGTCCGGGCGTTTTTTCTTTAGTCTCTCTAGCGAAATGGTATCTCTGGCACGTCGATCAGGATTCAAAGAACGGGATTCGTCAAAAGGGACGGATGGGAAGCATCCAGTGTCGGGGCGTGGGCTTGTGTCAAGGTGCACAGTGGATGGCCAAGTACGCTACACGACGCCATGTACTCATCACTGCGCTCGATGCGATCGATCTTACGACGATTCGGAGCACAGCAGGAAGGAGACGGGCTTCTGGAACGCATGCACGACTTGTCCTCTCGTTTTCCATCTCAACGCAGGCATAGGCCGAGAACTTCCCTACCGACTGAACCGTGGCACGGCGCACGACAGCGTAGAGCTGCTCTCAGCATCCTCGTTCGCTATCTCAACACGTCTGCACGGTGCACAAGTCGCCCGGAGACGGGTGGGATTGGAAGAAATGCTCATCTTCTGCCATCCTTCTACGTTTGCCCCCACGCTACCTTCGCGGTCGTTACAGGAGCAATGACGGCCGCAATGGCACTCAGATTGACAACAGCGTCATTTGTCGTTATCACAGCCCGGCGACAACATCTTCCCTACCTTACCTCCTCCTGGTCAGTGAAGTCCTCTGTCCAAGCTGGTCCACATGCCTCACAGTCCGAGAAAGTACGCTGCATTACGAGCTGGCTCCACCTCTTATTACTTGCCATGCTATTAACTATGCCTCTTCAGAAATGAGAAGGTGGTTGGGATTTGGGGACATGAGTCAGGCGTCACCATCAGAAACCGGACTGCTTTGCGCCGCTCGCCAAACATCTACCAGTCGCATGCTCGATGAGCTTGACGCTTTGATCGACATTTAGATCGACCTTCGTCGCCGGCAAAAGTCGGCGACCCGAAGCACGTACCGGCACCGATATTTCCGACCCTCGCTGCACGCAATATGCACGTTGTTCGTGAAATCCTCCGAACACGTTGCTTGCCGCGTGCCATGGAGGTACATGTACTACAATGCTCGCCTGCCGTGGCTTCCTCACCTCCTTCAAAACGAGGACGATATGTCGAATCTGCCCCTTTCGTGCCGGTGCCTTTGCCGATCATTGTCTGGGGTATGTCGATGCTGGTTCTAGCGTGCRAGCGCAGAACTTCCCTTGTTCGTACTATACCCTACGCTGTACAGACTACAGGGTGTGTCAGCTTATACCCTTTCARGAATATAGAAGAAGTGCCAAGTTTCTCCAGTATCAGGTTAGTCATTGTATCCAGTTTGTCAGCGGAACAACTTGAAATTGTTAGTTAGATGTACAAGAGTCCGAACCAGTGGGATCCATACAAGATGCAGTTCATTCTAAATCTACTGCCGGCAGAATAATGGACTCCTCGGATGCAGAACAGAACAAGCCGCATTCGGACGGGCAACCGAATGCATAAGGGTGTAGCTGGACTTGATATAAGTGGATCAAGAAACAATGGTTGGTAGCTACATATTCCGGCTGTGAAGGTAGGTCAGATTGGAGGCGTGGACCTGCACGAGCTGCAGGTCTTAGACATGCAGGATTGCTATCGACGCAGTACGTTTCGCAATCAAGCATCCCTCGAAAGCTCGATATAGCGAAAGGCATCCATCTTAGCACTCGGCCTCGATGGGTCGAGTGCTTAGTGAACAGCCCGATTAGCCCCATAGAGCAAGCTCTCCACTAGGTCCATGCTTACAATTTTGTGTAACAGCGATGGGCGGCCTCGACTGCACTGATAATTCACATTGCCATGTCTAGGTTATTAAAGCTGGTCTCTTGGCGAGTCTCATAAACCGACATCAACACCGACTGCTTGTTAGGCATCTGCCCGGACGGAGGCCTTGTTGGGCTTGGTAGCGGCTTGCAGGATAACTGGGCATCAAAGACTCGGCGGCCAACACCTAATTGAAGAGTCCTGTCCCCCAGCGCCATGCATATGTATGCGTCCAGATACAGGGCCTCAACGAACATTTGGCCGGTCCCTCCCTTCCTCTCGCTTCGTTTCGGACGAAACAAGACTACACTGTGATAGGTAGGGAAACTAGGCACACTTCTACAACTATAACAGACATTGCAGTGTGAAGATCAATCAACAGGACCTTCTAGTTGAAATCATCTCAAGCTTGTCTCTCTGCGATAGGGACCTCGCTCTGCAAAACCAACGACGAAACTTCCCCGGATTACCTTACTGATCGCCATGACGCAATCTCGGAACAAGAGCTCCATAGCTCTTTCCCTCACATCAGCACAGCTTCGACGCATTGCTAAGCATTCGTCTATAAGGCAAGGCGTGATCCATTCAGATCTTCCCAATCATATAACAATTCAACATCTCCCAAACAACCGAGTTTGCTATCAAACCCCCTGCGAGTCTTGAGCCCACTCTAAGAAAACAAGCACTCATCATGTCTTCGGCAATCGCAATCGTCGCAGGCGTTGGACCGTACGATTCCCGCGTAGATTATCTTCTGTCGAAGGAGCTGACATGAAACTTCAGTGGCACTGGTGCTGCCGTCGCCAGACGATTCGCAGCTTCGTATCCCGTAGTCCTGCTGGCACGCAACCCTGTCAACTACGAATCACTCGTCGAAGAAATCAACAAAAGCGGCGGACGTGCTATGGGAATCTCCACGGATGTCTCGAACCAGGACAGCATCAAGAGTGCTTTTAGCAAAATCGAGCAGGAGTTTAAAGGCGCTCCTATCGCTGCCGCAGTCTTCAATGCATCTGGGAGATTTGTCAGGAAGCCGATTTTGGAGATGAGCGTGGAGGACTTTGGAGCTGGTTATGAAGTCAGCGTGTAAGTCAAGTGCACTCTCTACCTCCAGGATTTGTATCTCGGTTCTGATATGTGCTTGGGCTGTAGAAAAGGAGCCTTCATGTTCGCTCAGCAGACCCTTCCCGGCCTTCTTAAGCACTCCGAAGACAAATCCGCTAAATACCCACCAACCCTGATCTTCACCGGTGCTACCGCATCCATCAAGGCCAATGCCCTGATGAGCGGCTTTGCTTCTGCGAAGTTTGCTATGCGCGCCTTGTCAATGTCAGTTGCCAGAGAATATGCACCCAAGGGAGTGCATGTCGCTCATGCCATCATTGATGGAGTGATCGACATTGAGAGGACGAAGGAGTGGTTGAAGGACCAACCTMCAGAGGCGAAGATTGGTGCTGATGACATTGCTGAGAGCTATTGGAATTTGCATACGCAGAGTAAGAGGTGCTTCACCAACGAAATTGACATTCGACCGATGCTTGAGAAGTGGTGATGGAACAGAAAGATGATCAGAGGCTAGGAAATACGATATTCGATCGACTTTGATATCTTAAAACAAGAATGTCGGTATGTCATCCATGTCCTCTTTCTTGATAGTCATGCGTTTGGCTTCCGCTGCCGCACGTTCGGCCCTCTTGCGTGCTACAATACCGGAAATTGCCTTCTCCCGTGCAGGAATGGGAAGAGTGACGGGAAGAATGCCCCTAGGGGATGAATTTGGCTCAGGCTTCACCGATGGCCTAGATAGCTTTGGGGTTTCGTCATTTCGCGAATCCGGTTGAGATGTATGCGGCCTAGAAGGCTTAGATATGACATCAATGGACTTTGTTGTTTCTGCCGGGCGAGAAAATTTCGCGAGTGGCCTAGCATCGGATAGCTTGCGGATCTCTTCCTTTGCAGGGCCTCGGGAGTTGCTAGCATCGGCAACAACCTTTTCTGTCGGCCCTGAGACAGCCGCCCATTCAGAGTGGGTCGGAACCCCAGCATCCAAATCTTCATCTGTCTCGCTATCTTCGTCTGCTACCAACACGATATTTGCCTTGTGTTGCAACCGTGAATCTGTAGAGGAATCGCGGTCGTCGGATGTGCTATCATCCCTGTCAACTTTTGGCATCGATTTGCGTTGCGGTTGCTTCTCCTCGGCGAATACATCCTTGGTCCTAGCAGCCTTGAAAGGGCTCTGGGAATATCCGGCCGCCGCTCTGGTGCTCGCCCTGGGACTTGCAAGACCCGTCAAGTCTTGCACTTGCGCCATTTGCGAAGCCCGCATCAAGCCCGCGAGATGTGGATYTTGCATGTACTCATCCTCTGCCTCACTTCCTTCGGCATCACTCCCGCTGTCAGCCTCGGCTCTCAGCGTACGCACTGCTTGCTTCTGCTTTTTGGCAAGTTCTAGACTCTCCATCTTCGTCCTCAGTGCCTTGCTCTGTTCCGTCTTGCCATCTGTACCTCGCCCTAACCCGGCTAGAAGCTCCTGTCCACGAGACTTGTGCAGCTTTTTAAGCCTTACATACTCTGCATGGTGGATATGGCTGGTATATAGCTGAGCAGTCGAGTAGAATTCGTCCTCGACCATCATATAGATGTCATCTGCAGCGAAGCCCGGTTTGATGCTTTCCACAGGCGGCGGACCTGGTGGAGGCGGCGATGATGATGACGCACGGATTCGCTTCCTCTCAGGCTTCTTCTTCTCGGGTTTCGTAGTGTGGGCTGGTTCCAGATCGGAATTGACAAAATCATCCTCGGACGCCGCATCTCTTGTGTGGCGCGCGGCAGGTTTGACCTTGTTAGTCGCCGCATTCGCAGACCCAGTCTTGAGCCATGGTAATGCGCGCGGCATTCTCACAGCATCAACTATTCAATCGGCGCAAGTTCCGTGTCGGACGCGTCTGATACGCGTGCGATTGGTGGGCGTCGTGAATGTCTCGCGCATAGCGGTGATTGGCACGGATCGAACCACTTTTCGGAATCTCTTGCAGAGTCACGTCGGGTCGGGATCGAACAAGGGTCGTAGGTAGTACCTAGAGGATTGTAATGTTGAAGGCGATCAAAGAAGAAAGGACGGAAGCTGCGGGGTGACGTGACATCTGCTGAGTCTTGGCGGTCGATCGAGGTCAGCCCCCAATTCGCCTTGACTTGGACATTGATGGACGTCGGGACTTTGCAACCATCACCAATCACCACCATACAAAATGCTGGCGTTGGCCATCACTGCAGAGCTTGAAGGGTTCGTCTCCAACAACTCTGTCGAGATTATTGACAGGCTAACAAGGCGGTAGCGTCACCGACCTCCAGCCCGACGATACTGAAGAAAACCCATTCTACTATACGTTCAAGGTTCAATGCACATCATGTCGCGAGACGCATCCAAACTGGGTATCCGTGAGCCGCTTCGTGCGTGAAATGTCATCTCAATGCTCAGCTCCCCCCGCTGATTCCTCCCAAAGGAGACGAACGAACAGTCCGGAAGCAGAGGCGAGGCGAACTTCGTCTGGAGATGTAAGAATTGTAAGGTCTGCATAAAACTCCGATCTGGATCCGCTTTCATATGCTCATACTCTACCAGAGAGAGCATTCTGCGAGCATTCTCGAAGCTCCAAAGATCTATCCACAACAAAGCCCGGCCAAGGCGCAAAACATCATCACCATAGACTGCAGAGGCCTTGAGTTTGTCGAGTTCAAACCAGATGTGAGTGTCATTCACATTCAGTGCACCGCACCACCTCGCAGATGGCACCTCAATTGAGCGCTCGGCGAGGAGATCGTTCGAGCAGATAGATATTGACAGATACCAGGGCGAATGGAAAGCGACCGGATTAGAATCCAACACCAAATTTACCGCCATAGACCTCACTGAAGGCGATTGGTTCGATTACGACGAAAAGTCCAGCGAGGAAGTCAGCATCAAGGACATGAAGTTCGAGATCCGGAGAGCTTGAAGGCTCTTCGAACATCGAACAGCAATGCCTCCGACGAGCTCTGGTGGAAGAATCATGGGCACTACCACGATCAAAACTCCTGATCTTCTCATCGGCGCATGGCTATCCCAGGGAAGACGCTTGTCCTAGTATCCCGTCTAGTGCGACAACTATTGCGAGGATACAGACCTGCAGACTCAAAAGATTTCAATTGGGGTTGTAATAAAAGAATTCCAGCGACAATTGCGCGAGACGGCTGTTCTTTCATGTGCTTTAGCATCTGATGCTGCCAGCACTGAGACACGCAGCCGCGCGAACGGAAAGCTTACCCTCCATCCTCCGTCTCTTTGTTTCGCAACGTCATCTGTACTAGTTCATCTCTGCAACACTTCTTTGTCTGACCGGACACCTCGAATCGTTGCTATCGATCTCTTCGTACTACTACTCAGAGTCTTTCCATTTGATATATACTCTTTGGGAAAGACCTTTCGTTAGTGCTGATCGCGAGACCCCGATTACTTCGATACTTCATCCTCGGCAGCCCCTAGCCTTCGCGCGAATCTACAATTAATCCTTCGTGGGTGGAACATACTATTACTAGCATGGATGTCTGTGGAGAATCCTCTCCGCTCCTTCGACTTCCTGCAGAGCTACGAAATCGAATCTACCACGAGGTCCTGGTGACTGGCGTAGAGAAAGACCTCTTTCAACTTGAGAATGGCCACATGACGCCTCCGCTACTTCGAGCCTGTCGTCGAACTCGTGTTGAAGGCACGGGAATATGGTGTAACAACACCAGATTCCTCTTCTCCGATCCCGCGCTGTGCATCAAGCTCCTCTCTGCCTTGAACAACGATCTAGTACAGCTGATCAGTRAGATGCGATATGATACCAGCGAAGTCTGTACCTCTGCGGTATCATGGCGAACGGCGTTTCGTGAGCTTCCTGGGCTGGACGAGGATACCAAACTGGAGAGCTTGAGAGAGGAATTGGTGAAGCGTGGGATTCATTTAAGACCTGGTGTCTTAAAGGCTAGAATCGTGATCTCTTGTCGGCCAAGCTGGACGAGTGAGCCGTTGTCTGCAGCCTTGGATGCCGTGAAGCAAGGTGAGAGCGTTATGGACGTTCCATGACGAGGTACTAATACTTTATGTCAGGCATGCTGGTTGGCAGAATGATGTTCATCTGATTCGTCAATGCGAGTTTCTTCTTGACCACCTCGTGTCCGGCAAGTTCCCTCAAGGGATGGTGATATTCAAGGTTGCTGCCCTGCCTACTACGAGTAAAGACGTCTGTCTTTCAATGACATCCACAACGACCAGGAAGACATCATTCGGTGGATGACTTAACTCTCCGCGAGACTGCTTACTCGGATTGGCGTCACAGCCCATTTGTAGGCGCGGTCGTCGACTCACTGCCAGGAGAGACGGCAAGCTTTTGAGAGACGGTGTTCATGACTGATTGTGAGTCTCTGGAGCAGTCAGTAGGAAAAGTATGTGTAGCATGCGTTAGCCGCTGGGAGAGTCCCTCAATTTCAAACGGATAAAGATGTCAGCCAAGATATCATAGCCAGCTTTTAATAACTTGGAGTGCCAAGCGCGCCCCTGACATGGATGTGGTCAACGTAGTCTTGACTTGATGCTACCATCCAGCAACAAGAAGCTGTGCCAGCTCTGAAGTAGATGACGATGCCGTAGCGATCTGGCAGAATTGTACTGGCCGACAGAGGATAAACGTCCCGGCGTTGAAGCCGATGCCGAGAGGCTCATGCGAGAACGGGRTCAGCGTTGGACTCATCACAATGCGGCCCGGGACGGCTGTCTTTACAATATCAGGCGAAAACGCTTCTCTTTGCGCGTTCCACCGCAGAGTAAGATTTATCCGACAACAAGACAGTAGCAATCATAACAACGGCCTCGTGTTGGGGAGTAAGGTATGATTATGCCTCCATGTGTTCGGCTATCTCCACGTCCATTCATTCATTCACGCAGTATCTCCTTAGGACGTCACTACTGGCATGATAGATTCAAGATCGAGGTTTACCGTCGTCTATAAAAAAAAGTGATTTTCAAGACCTGTCAAGCATGGTGGCTTGTCAATCATTTTACCTTGGGGACAGAACGAATGGAAAGTCGTACTTCTATGTACTTATCTGCGATTCGTCAGACTTTCTCATCGGCCTAGTAAGCGGCTGTACAATCTCGTAACAAGAAACGTCAACTCTTCCTCCATAGATGATGAGCTGAACGTTTTTGCGAGACGTGATCTCTACAGGTCCGCGTTGGCATAGGCAAGCTGTGAAATGTTACTCTTAGCCCGCGGCGCTTGGTCGAATGAGTTCCACGTGTATATATTGTGGGAGCCGATCGTCCCAAATACGACAGACCCTCACCACGAACTGACTCACCTCGTCTAGGATGCTATTCTCCTTCATCGCACTCGCTGCTACAGTCAGCGCCATTGCCCTCCCAGAGGCCACTCGGAATACACGCCAAACATGTCGCATAGCGACTCCTGTTGAGTTGGCTGCGGCGAGGACTGCTTTTCTCGAAGCGGAGATCATTCCCCATACTCCTGCACAATATAGCGAAGCCAACGCATACTTGATTCCTGATTTCCGACCGAAGGCTGCATTGAGCGTTTCGTACGTCAACAAGGCGGTCGAACTTGGGAACAGTTTCTCAACGTTGGGTGAGCAACTTATCAGGGCTCATCCAATGCACATCAGAGCTGATCCTTCCACAGAGACCATCAACCCACCTGTGCTCAGCTTCACAGCCGAGCCTGGCTTCGGTAAGTGCAGTCATGACCGAGATAGAACTTTTCTGATGGACTTCGCAGATCCCGCAGCGACGAAGTACACCCTTATCATGATCGACCCGGACACTCCAAAAGTCCTGGCTCCTTTCCTCCACTGGATCATATCTGACGCCCAGGCCGAGTGCGTCAAAGGCCAGAACCGTATTCGCGTGGCGCCATACATGTTCCYGACTCCGCTTTCGGTTGATCCCCAGGGCCACAAGTACACTTTCCTGGTCTACCGCCAGCCGCCAGGCTTTGTGCCACCACCAATGCTCCAGAACCTGCCCGCTCTGCGAACACGCTTCCCACTTTTGGACTATGTCCAGGAAAACGACCTCACATTAATTGCCGGTAACTTCTATCGTGAAAGTCTGGCCAATATTCTTGACATTGAAACGAAGTAAAAGACGGCGGCCATCCAGAATCAGGTGGACCGTACAAAAGCGATCATGGAAAGCGTGCAGTATTTGGCGTTTGTTGTAGAGACGGATCCAAATAGGAGAAAAGAAACCCGTTTTACGCTAGACCGAATCTGTCTCACATGCTGACGTCTGTTGATGTTGATGTGATGTCAGACCTCCGGAGGCAGCTCCAATGGTAGTAGCTCCAATGCTTAGAAATGACATCTATCATGGTCTCATCACAGCTCCTCTTCGTTCAATGGTACCCGCGTAAGCTTATAAAGCTCCTTGCATACATCCTGGTATATAGCTTGGTGATTCTCTACTTATGTTCCGAACACCTCTCCAACGTGTTCAGCAAACAGCTAGTCACTTGCTCAAAACAACCACTTCAACCACTGAGATTTGGACAAGCAGAGCATTTTCTACAACCTCTTTCTTGAAACAAGACACCGACGACATGGCCGACCGACCATCCGGATTGATCGCGAAGAGCGGCTTGGAGTTGCYGACTTTCGGAACTCCCAATGGCCACAAGGCTAGCATCATCCTCGAGGAGCTCAAGGAAGCCTATGGATCGCCAAACTATGTTTATCAAAGTATCAACATCATGCAGAACATCCAAAAGGAGAAATGGTTCACAGATAAGGGCCCAAATGGTCGCATACCTGTACGTCCAACCCAATTATGGAAGGCACAGAGCATGTCTCAAGGCCTCCATATACCTCGTCAACATTCAAGACGTTCAAAGGCGCATACTTACCTCCCATAATTCGCTTTAGGTACTAGTCGACCACGATGCTGGAGGCTTGGGTATTCAGGAAGGCTCAGCCATTCTTTCTTAGTACGTCTTAACGCTCAAGCCAATATTCGATTCGGTGCTAACATGAACTCCAGCGTGACCCGCCACTTTGATCCAGAGCACAAGTTTTCCTTCACCAGCGATCCGGAGTTGTCATTGTGTGAGCAGTGGGTCGCTTGGCAGCATGGCGGTCTGGGGCCAATGCAGGGACAGGCCAACCACTTCTATCGTCTGTAAGTTCTGATCGGTATAGCCCTTCGTGATGTAGAGCTCATACTCATCGACCTTCAGTGCACGCGAGAGGATACCCTACCCAACTCAGAGATACGTTGGTGAGACGGAACGCCTCTACGGAATTTTGGATGCTCGTCTCAAAGACAACGATTACCTGGTCGGGAACAAGTACAGCATTGCCGACATTGCATCTTTCAGCTGGGTAAATGTCTCTTACTTCGCTGGAGTCAAACTTGATCAATTCCCGCACTTAAAGAAATGGTGGGAGAGAATCAATGCTCGGCCAGCGGTCAAGAAGGGTCTGGCTATTCCCAATGAGCCGACGATTACGAACGAGCCGTACCTGAAGAAGGTTCAGGAGGACGCCGAGTATAAAAAGAAGGAAGACGAGCTCAAGGAGCTTGCTGACAAGGCCAAAGAACAGTACGATTACAAGTACTCTTCGCCGTAGATGTGGGACTGCCGGAATGATAGTAAGGTAGAGCATTGGCAATAAAATTTCAACAGATTGGATGGCCAAGACCAGACAATACACACTGTCACCGTATCAGGGGTCTGACAGGGGACACCTGCTACTATGGGGACTGTAATATTTGGTGAATCATCAGTCACTGCTCGAACTCCTGTCCCTCTTCCAGCACACCTTGGCTTCGAATGTCCAGCAGTGCCGTGGATTGTTGCCTATGCGCAAACTACTATACCTCCTGGGCCTCCCTGACCTATGTGCTCCTGTGCTACTTGTGACTTACACCAGACGCAGCCCTTTAAAGTTATTGGTTACATTCTGCAACAGAAATCTACTTGGACTGGAAGCAAAGTGTCGTACTCTCATGCAGTAGAGCTTTACTTGCATACATCGCCTGTTGCATTCTCATCTGCCATTTGCGGCCATGCATTGAGACGCTTTCATCAGCGTGGACATTGTTGAATAAAGCATCAACATATCTTCAGACCACTCCGAGCAGATTCCGGCATTGAACCCTTCATGTCTTCGTTCTCTTACAATGTAACGCCCTCATTGAAATCCATGCTTGCGCCATCCATCATCACTCATCCTCCCCCTCAAACTCCACCAGCGCAGTCCCAGCCTTGCACAAATCTCCCGCTTGGTGAACTACCCTCGCGACCTTCCCATCCTGTGGACTCCTGATCACAGTCTCCATCTTCATACTCTCAATAATCACAAGCGCCTGATTCTTCTTCACCTCATCTCCAGCTTYGACCTCTACACGCAACACCTTACACGGCATCGGTGCTTTGACGCTATTCGCCACGTCTTTCAAGCCCAACGCTTTCTCGGCCCATTTGGGGAGAGCGAGCTGGAGACGATATTGGCGGCCTTGTTGGAAGAGAGTGAGGGATGAGGTTTCCGGGTCCGGGATGATGGTTGTGAGAAGACGCGTGTGGGGGTAGAACGATGTCAGAGAGGATTCGTTGGGTGAGTAGTGGGAGGTTGTGGTGTAGGTAGTGCTGCCGTTCACAGTCACGTTATATGTCTCCGCCGACGTCTTCAGAACTTGCACCGAGACAGGTGTGTTCGTCTTTTGCGGATCTGAGGATGTCTCCACGAGAGAGAATTCTCTTGGTTGAGGCGCGTTGCCGAAACCAATAGTTTGCAGCGGGAAGGTCTTTGCGTGCTTCGAGAGTTCGGATTCATAAAGTCCAATCGCTGCTTGAGACCAAACTTCAGGTGCAATAGGCTCTTCCGTGAACAATTCGTCGTGGTGTTTGGGAATGTAACCCGTCTCGACGTCTCCGGCGATAAAGTCAGGAGACTGACAAACTTTCTTCACGAATGCTATGTTGGTAATGGGGCCTGCGATTTCATACTCTTCCAAGGCTTTCACCATCTTCTGAAGGGCAGACTTCCGATCTGGACCACTCACGATGAGCTTTGCGATCATGGGATCATAATGGCTGGAAACCTCATCTCCCTGAACGAAGCCCGCGTCGATGCGAACGCTATCCGATTCTGGAGGAGTGCGCAGGTGGAGGAGTTTGCCAGTGGATGGGATGAAGTTCATCGAAGGGTCCTCTGCGTAGATTCTGGCTTCGATCGCGTGACCTCGAAGTTTGATTTGCTCCTCAACTTGGGCTTGTGTCAGGGGAAGTTTGCCGCCTTCAGCGACGATGATTTGCCATCGAACGAGATCCTCCCCGGTGACCATCTCAGTAACGGGGTGCTCGACCTGCAAACGGGTGTTCATCTCCATGAAAAAGAACTCGCCCGAGTCGTTATCGAAGATGAATTCCACAGTTCCTGCACCTTCATAACCCACTGCGAGAGCTGCTTGCCGCGCCTTTTCCCAAAGATCTTGACGAATGTCTTCGGCAAGATTTGGCGCTGGAGATTCTTCCAACACTTTCTGGTGGCGACGTTGGATACTGCAATCGCGTTCGCCCAATGCAACGCAGTTCCCATGTTGGTCGGCAAAGACTTGCACCTCGATGTGTCGAGGGGTAGTGATGTACTTCTCGACCAACATCACATCATCGCCGAATGAGCTCCTCGCTTCGGATTTGGCGGAATCTAGTTGCTGGTGAAACTCTTCGGACTGCATCACGATTCGCATTCCCTTTCCGCCTCCACCCTTCACAGCTTTCAGCAAGACAGGGTAGCCCATCTTCTCCGCCTCGGCTTCCAGAAACTTGGGATCTTGATTCTTGCCATGATAGCCGGGAATGCAGGGAACACCAGCGTCAATCATGATTTCCTTGCTACGGCTTTTGTCGCCCATGGCCTCAATCGCCTTGTGCGGCGGGCCGATGAATTTGACGCCGGCATCCGTACAGGCTTTCGCAAAGTCTGCATTCTCACTGAGGAAGCCATAACCCGGGTGGATGGCTTGACAGCCATTCTCTTTGGCGACTTCAATGATTCTCTGACCATTGAGATACTGGTCGGTGCTTCCCAGATTGACGGCGAACGGAGAGCTCAGAGCATGCTGACTGTGTCGATCCGGATCCGTGTACAGGGTGGTGGTGCGAATGCCGTACTGTGATGCTGTCCGTCCCACTCGGAGAGCAATCTCTCCTCRGTTTGCTATCAGAATGGACTTTAGAGGTTCCGGGGAWTCGGTTGTTGATGTTGATGATGTGGAGTGATATCGTTGGCTCCTCCGTGTGAGGGTGGCGGCACGGAGGGCACGTAATCTGGAGACGGACGACATGGTTTGCTATGAAAACCACAGACTGCTGTGGTCGTCCATCGAGGATGAGCAGAAATGATTCCCCGTCCGTCGGTCGTAGGGAGGAGGTCGTCCAATGCAGTTCCAAGGCCGCTACTAGCCGACTCCCGATCGCGTGAGGAGCACGCGTTCGGTTCTCTTGCCGACGTGGAATTGATTGTAATATTGATTGGATCTCGAGAATTGAAATTTGGACGAGCAAACATTGAACGAACATGTTCACACTTCTCTTGACGAGAATGTCCCTTGGATAGTTGACTATACAGTTGCCCAAGTGAACGCACATCTCGATCTCGCCAATTCGATTGATTGGACGACGCATGTGGTTTCTGGTTTGGCGGGCATCGTCATTGTGCTTCGGCTGATGCGCGTGCACTTTCTTCTTCATGTTTTCCCCCACACATTCACCCCAGCATCCAAGTTGCCTGCCTGTGCTGTCTGCTGGCCTGCAAGCTCAACAGCTAACTTACCGTAGCTCGCGGCGCGCTCAACACCAAGTCCCTCTTCCTTCTCCCCACTCGTCAGCGCTCTCTTCCTTCCCAGGACATCCATCCTCTTCGCAGGATCAGGATCAGGAAGTGCAACCACATCTCTGCTCTCTCTCTTCACTTTCACCCCACGCGACGCTCGCGGTTGTGACGGAAGATGGACGACTATGACTACGACGATCTTGACCTCGACGATGGCTGGCTCTACGTCGAGGACGAGTTCGATTTGGCCGTGAGTAGCTGCCGGATTTCACGACTTCCACCACTGACTAGAAGATAGGACGAACTTGCAGAAGGTCAAATCGCCGAACCGGGATACTCGGGCACCAACTTTGACATCGCCATGGACTCGTATGAATTCGAACTCTTCGCTTATTGGGACGATTTGGAGTATGCGGATGATGCGTACTGGGACTACAGTCTGGCGGGGAAAGAGGACACTTTGAAGAGGAAGCGGGGGACGGGGGGAAAGAAGAACTTGGTGGACAAGAGGCGGAGGAAGGAGATCACGTACAACCGGGAGGATGATCCTCTGCTGCTTGTCAGTCGCGAACAGAGGATGAGGTCCTTCTTCAAACCAGCCCCGTTGCTTGAGGACACCGTCAAGTACACCTTTCTCGCCGACTGGAAGGAGCGATTCGCGAATGCAGATGGTCTGGTGGAGAGCAAGGATATGCCCGTCTCTATGAAGCGAGCGGCGGAGGCGGAAACAGTGGAGGCGGAAGAAGAGATGGGAGACACTGAGGAAGCTTGGGAGGACGAGGACGAGGATGACGACGCAGACGAGAATGGTCAAGATGACGAGGAAGGGGAGGAGGGAGATGATGATGAAGGCGGGCCAGGCCTCGATCCCGACATGCTCAAAGAGATTCTCAAACAGAAGCTTGGCGACGCGGGTCTCGCAGGCGAGGATGAAGCCGCCTTCATGCAAGTCATAGCCAAGATGATGTCCGGCGATGAGGACACGGACGAGCTCACCGGAAATCTGGCCAACTCTTTGCTCGGGAAGCTCACCTCGGATTCTGGACGCGACTCGGCTCTATCTGGCTGGCTGTCTCAGCAGGGCGTCTCGCTGCAAGATGGCGAAGACGACGATGCGTCGAGTGTTGCTACTCTTGACTTGCCAGAAGGCGTACGCCACACCGGCCTCAACACTCGTCAAAACGCCCAGTACTCGCCTATCGATAGCGTGGTGGGTGAAAAGAGAATCTCCAAGCAGACGCCTTTGCATTCCGGCTCACCTGATTCATCCTCGACGAAGAAACGAGTGGCACCTACAATCGCCGAAAAGGACCAACCCAGCAAAAAACAGAAGAAAGTCGCATTTGATGTTCCATCTTCGTCCTCGGTGGAGGAGGCTTCGACGCACATTGCTTCTCCGGATGGCGCAGCAGAGCTACCTACCAGCGAGGACCCACTCATGTCTGAGAACACGYTCCCCCAGCACTCCACGCGTTCCCGGAAGAGAGATAATGTGGAAACAGACGGAGCGAGTTGCAAGCCGAGTGCGCGGACTACTGCTACACGCAAACGCAAAGCTGCGGAAGACATCGTAGACGGAAAGCTGCCCGAAAAGAAGAAGACGATAAAGAAGGAGGTCGACATGCTGGAGAATGTGGCGGCCGGTAGCCCAATGGGACCGCCGGCAAGGCGGACCAGAGCTGCGAAGGCTCGAGGGAGCAACAAGTAGGAGCAAGATTAATTGCTTTCCTTTCGCATTTCAAGTTGGTTGATAGACGCGCGAACACACCTTCGCCAGGACGAAGGTCATGAAAGCAAGCAATGTACATACCGAAGGGTCCCCTGCTTGCTTGTTTGAATCGAGGGGCGATGTAGGCACCTGAGACTGTGGTCCATGGATGAAAGGCAGATTATGGGAAACAATCGAACGATTGAGACATAGATTCCCAATATGGCATTTTCTTCTATCAATCCTTGCGAAAATCTGTCAGCATACAACCGTGAACATGAGTGGCTTTCGGTGCTCTTCCTAGAGAGTGTGATAGGGTAGGCATTCTAGAGATCAGCCAGCCGAACTTGCCGAGGAAGCAGGAACAACTTCACTTCGAGCTACATGTCTACATCACACATATCCATCTTTTTCAGAGCATAGTATGCTTCTAAAATCTTTCAAACTTGAAATTCAAATTGCCCGAACCCTCCTCCCACAAAAGCTCACCCTCCGCAAAATGTCCACAGATAAGAACAGCAGCTGCTTCCACATCAAAACCCATATAACCCGCACGCAACATTCCCGCTCTCGTTACGCAGGCACTTCTCCCAATCAAGAAAACAATCTAAAACTTTGCGTGAAACAATACACTCCTAAAAACAACCCCAATCCCCAAGATGGTGATGTAACGATTATTGGCGCTGTAGCAGATTCCTACCCAAAGGAAATCTATGAGCCGATGTGGGAGCATCTAGTCAAGGAATTAGAGAGGAAAGGGAAGAAGATACGTTCGTTGTGGGTTGCTGACCCATTTAATCAAGGTGAAAGTGGAGTTTTGAATGAGAAGGTTTTGGGGCCGGATCGTGAGTATTGCTCGTTACTCTCATTGTTGTATGGGCACTGATCTCTGTTAGCGAGTTGGTTTGACCATGGAAGAGACTTGATGTTTGTGATCAATCAATTCCAAGACGAAATGCCGCATCCAATTGTCGGGATTGGACATAGCATGGGAGCTTCGCACCTGTAAGCTGCTGCCTTCTCTATTGCTCGTTCGTTGTATGCAAATACTAATTAGTATGAACAAGAGCACATCTCGCCCTACTACATCCTCGACTGATGCACGCGTTGGTAATAATAGACCCCGTCTTCCAGCTCCAAGGTGGCGGTCAAACCTGGGCTCGCGCCTCGACATTCCGCCGAGATCACTGGCCCTCTCGAAAGATTGCGGAAGAGAAACTCAGCGCAAATCCAGGGTTGAAAAGTTGGGATCCTGTCGTGTTGAAAAAGTTCCTTGAATTTGGCTTGAGAGATTGTCCGACAGAGATGTATCCCGAAGTCCCGTCTAAGGGAGACGTTCCAGTCACTTTGCAGTCAACGGTAGCGCAGGAAGTGTATAATTACATCGAACCAACATACCATGATCCGCGATTGTTGGTACCAAAACATCTAGAAGGGCGGGAATTCCATCCAGATGATGTTGCAAAGGCAAGCGGGGCGAATTTTATGAGAGCTGAGATGGCAATACTGTGGAGGAGGTTGGAAGAGCTTCAGCCTAGTGTAATGTACATCTTTGGGAATACCTCGACTGTTTCTGGAGAGGAGGCAAGGAAAGCAAAAATAGAGAGAACGGGGAGAGGTGTCGGTGGCAACGGTGGGGTTGATACGGACATGGTCAAGGAAGTTGTGCTTAGCTGTGGGCATCTTGTACCCTTGGAGATGCCCAAGGACACGGCCGTGAGTTGTGCCGAGTTTGTGGACGCCGAAGTTGCGAGATGGGTGGACGAAGAAACAGAGAGGAGGGTGATCTGGAATGGACTGAGCCGAGAGGGGCAGGTCGGTCTGAACGATTTGTGGAAAGAGAAGATTGGAGGACCGGCGAAGAAACCTGCGAAGGAAAAGAGTGAAACGAAGCTGTGAAACCAGGGGTCTGGAATTTGGCGCAATCGAGCGTAGCGTCCAGGTGAAGTGAATGACGACAGCGACCTGCGAGCTTTGCTAGGCAACAAGAACTGCAAGAGTTGCGTCGAAACGTTTTGCGCTGCGCAGATTCTCACGGAAACGCGATTGCTTGCGCCTCGCTCATCGGTCCCAAATTTTCAATACAAGAAGAAGTACACTTACATAAGGTAAAACCTCCTGTCCACCCACTTTTCGGGGCCTCCAAGATCCCCTAGCCCTTCACGCTCTGCTTCTTCTGTTGCTTTCTCTGCTGCTTCTCCTTCTCCTTCTCCAAGAACTTCTTTTGATCAGTCGCACTCAACGCGCTCAACTTTCTCTCGCGCTCCTCCTTCTTCAGCTTCTCTGTGACGTTCCGTCTCTCTTCCGCCTTCTCGTCCTCATCGGCTTTACGAATCTTGCGCACCTCCTCCTCGCGCGTTGCCCGAACTTTGCGCATGGCTTCGGGACGGAAGTGAGCCTGAGAAACCAGCAAGTCGGGAAGACGGAGGAAGTAGTTGAACAAAGCCGAGGGTGGAGCCCCTGAAGCAGGTAGGCGAGTTGCAAGAGAGATGCGTTTTGGCGCGATGGTGTCGTTCAGTCTGCGAATTTTGTTAGGGATATGCGCGTTAGTTTCATGCTGTTAAAGAACTTACTTCCTCGGCGCATCCACCGGTTGATCGGAGATGATTAAAGCCTCCAAATCATCACCTGCTTCCGTGACTGCCTTGATCAGCTCAGGGGTGAGGAGGGCGTCGGTGATCTCGGAGCTCTMGCTCATAACGGTAGTCCAAGCTGGCAATTTCGGGTGGTCCTTTGTTGTAGTCAAGCTCACGTCGTATCTCTCCTCTCTCAACGCCCGCATCTTGTCCTTGTGCACAATAGCCCACACAAAGCCGTCGTACGCACTGCTGCCGCCCAAAGCCAGACCTTGGCCCTGAGCCTRCGCGGGCACTAGGCTCTTCTCCTTGCCGTCAAAGCAAGTTGCCATAGCCTCCATTCGTTCCACCGGGGCGGTGAAAGAGTCGAAGAAGAAGCTCAGAGCTAGCTCACCGAACCACAGCACTGGGTTGTACCTCTTGTACAGACTCAGCTTGATGTCCAGAGTAGCAACATTCTGCCTTCCAGAGCAGTAGGTGGTGAACTCGTTCTTGCTCTTCTCCTTGAAAAGATCGGCATCATCGATAGATGGCTGTCGCCGGCTGCGACCAAATCCCACAGCGGCGAACTCGGCGCTGAGGATTGGGAGATAGGTACGAGCCCAATCCTTGGCGCGGGAGCGGTTTGCGTTGGCACCCCAGAGGTTGACGAGGATGATTACGATGAGGATCGGGATGATGGCGAGTTCCTGGTAAAAGTCGGCAATCGTTACGCGTTCCCACACGCGATACCACTTCGTATACGGCCGGCCGGCCATGGAACCGGCGTTGATGTTGAAGAAGGAGCCCGGTGTTGATGCTTGCGCGGTGGAAGTTGCCGCGGCGTCGGAGAGGGCGGAGGCAGCGGAGGAGGCGACATGGCTGGCTGCCTGCGGTGCTGCTGCTGTCGCAAAGTCGGCAAAGTCTGGGAGGTTCAGTACAGTACTTCTACTTCGTTGACGGCTGATATTGATATCGGGGGAACGGACCGTCATTGCTGGAGGCGACCGAAGACACACTCGCCTTTGCCCCACCCAGGATATCCTTGAAGAAGGCGGCCATTATGTTGTGAAGTAGCTATGGCAAGGAACGACCGTGTGGAAGAGATGTGGCCCAATGTCCAGCTCCACTCCGCTTTCCGCCGATGCTTCTTCCATGGCTTCCATGCTTCTTCCAGAACTCACGGGCCGTGCATCCGAGCCCTGACCGTGGAACGCGGGCATTCCAACATCAATGCTTAAAAGGCGAAAGGCATCAGACACCAGCTATCAATTGTTGCCCTTCATCTCCAATCACCTAAGCTCCATCCCGTTTCGTCGATCGGCGCCGTCGTTCCTGCATTCATTCCGAAGCCGGACAAGATATGCCGGAGTTGGTCTCGGGCAAGCYATGGAGCTTTCATCATCAACTCTATTGCTGCCTATATACCTGTTTCCTGCGATAGCCCCGTTCCTATTCTGCCCTGTCATCTTCAATTCCATCTTCAGTCATCACAAACATTCTCAAGATAGCTCACAGCACAAACCACGACGATGCCTCTGTCAAAACCAGATATCCCAGCCCAAAGGAAGCCGTGCAATCTTCCCAGTCCAGAATCCACCAACTCATGGTGGCATAGTGAACCCTCACCACTATTGCTTGGCCATCGCTCAACCCGCGACTTGCCCGATACTGCAGATGTAGTCGTTATCGGAAGTGGTATGACGGGAACCAGTGTGGCTCATCATCTTGTTGAGAGCAGCGCTGCAAGCAACAATCCACTCAAGGTGATTCTCGTGGAAGCGCGTGAAGCATGTTGGGGAGCGACTGGACGCGTGAGTACATCATTATTAGGACGGAACAATTGCAAAAGCTTATCGAGACAAGAATGGAGGCCACTGTCAGCCGATCCTGTTCACGCATCCTGATGACCCGTCCATTGGCCATTTTGAATTGGCCAACTTCTACACTCTCCAGAGGCTCATCATAGAAAAAAAGATCGACTGCGAGTTTGTTGTCCAGCCAGGTGTACAAGCCACATATGACGATCACGGTGTCAAGTACATGCAGACCTCTCTAGAGACCTTGAAAACCACTGGTCCCGAACTTCTAGAGCGGATGAAGTTCATTGACTCTCCCGAAGACCTCGCCGCACTCCGCGTTCCAACAGCCAAAGGTGCTGTTGTAACGAACATCGCCGCTCGGATGTGGCCTTACAAGTTCGTTTCTCGAATTTTGGAGGATCTACTCAACAACCACTCGTCGACCTTCAATCTCCAGACTCTCACCCCAGTCACCCATTTAACCCCCTCCGGCAACGATGTCCAAGTCCACACTGAGCGCGGCATCATCACCGCCAAGAAAGTCATATGCGCAACGAATGCCTACACCTCCCATCTCCTTCCCTCCTTCGCCCCGTTGATTGTCCCTGTACGAGGCCAAATGTCCGCTCTGAAACCATTTCCCTCTGTCTCCGGCGCTGATAACCGCCTGAAGACATCCCTGGGTATGTCAAGCTCAGGAGAGGAAGACTACCTAATCCAGCGTCCCACCGAGAGAGGTGAGCATCTCATGTTCGGCGGTGGACGCGCACACGGTGGTCGAACGGTTGGCACTACAGACGATAGCGTCATTGATCCTGAGACGGAAGCGTATCTCCGCGGAAGACTAGGAGAAGTGCTCGGGCTTCCTGAATCTGGACAGGCTATGGACGCGGTAAACATGTGGACGGGCATCATGGGTTTTTCGCGCGATGAGAAACCTTGGGTCGGAGAGGTTGGTGGTGGAGTATTTGTTGCTGCGGGATTCACGGGTCATGGCATGCCGAATACTTGGCTTTCCGGAAAATCGGCCGCCAATTTAGTGCTGAAAGCTCTGGAGGGCAAAGGTGGTGAAGAGGCTGTGGACGCTGTATGTGAGAGTACTKGTCTGCCGAGGAGTTATGTGCTGAGCGAGAAGAGGATCAAGGCTGCTTTGCTAGATTGGGAGGACGTCGAGGCACAGGACTGGGCGGAAATTGAAAGGGGCCGAGCGACGAGGGAAGCTCTGCTTCGGAACAGGCTTGGGTCGGACTGGTAGTCTTTGGATGTATTTCCATGYGATTCGTGTCTTTTGATAGCCTTCCAAGATCTTTCCTAGACATCAAACACCAACGAGACACCGTCATCACCAGCAGTGATGACCCTCTTCCCTCCACCCTGCACAAAGCCCAGCACACCGCCACCCTCACCACCTCCTCGGTGTCCCTTCCACTCACCCAAGAACCCTTGCTGTGCAGCTGCTGTACCACCTCGAACATCCCATCTCCTCACCACGCCGTCGTTGCCACAACTTGTTAGCATGTGATTCCGCTCGTTTGCTGTCCCAAGCGGAGTTTTCACAAACTCGACTTTTATGACAGCTTCCTCCTCATGCGCATCTCGAATATGCCTCCTCACGGCAAAGTTGTGTGCTGCATCGAATAGAACGATGCTACCATCCACTGATCCTGCCGCGAGGAGTGTCAAAGGCGGCTGACTGAAATCCAGCGTCTCTACACTGTCTGTCTGTGCTTGGATTGCAGCCAGAATTTGCCCAGCTTGACCTGCGGATGTCGCTCCACCAGGTCCACCGGCTTGTTTCGCYCCGCCAACCTTGCCTCTAGCTCCTGCACCCTTTGCACCTGCTGTAGAGCTCGCTGCTGCGTTACTTGCAAGCCGCGGAAGACCTACGATTCGCACGTTGCCGCCCGCTCCTCCCACCGCTACCAGTCCCCCTCCAGGTGAGATGGTAGCGCTGTAGAGACCACCTTCGACCTTGAAACGCTCGTCCGCTGCGGTGAGAGAAACAACCGCCTGACCGCCTTGAGGATCGGTGATACCCGCTGCCGCTGCCTCACCAAACACGTCCCAAACGTAAAGACTCGAGTCCTCATCCACTGTCGCGAGGAGTTTACCATCGGGTGACCAGGCTCCCGCCGTGCAAGGGGATTGATGAAGGAAGAAAGTCTGGACAATGTTCAAGCTGGAGTCTGACTCGATGGTATAGACCCAGACACTACCATCATTGGCGCCAAATGCAACGGTATTGGGGTATGCGGCTGAAGGACAGGGAAGAAGCCAATTGATCYCTTCAACTTCCTTACTTGTCCCTACCACTTTGGATGGCGTGGTGGATGTGGGTGTAGTATAGACGCTCAGTTTCCCAGCCAAAGTCGCTGTCACCACAAAATCGCCCTTGGGCAATGTGAAGCAGATGGCATTCACACTCTCATCTTGCCCTCCCAATTCCGCAACTATCTTCTGTCCTTCACGTTCTCTTGGCTGAGGATCCGTCTCGTAGCTCGCTGGAAGCAATGGCCCTTCTGGTGGTGTGRAATCCCAAATATATGCGCAGTCGTCGCCAGCTCCCGTGGCTACCATGGCGGGGTTAGTGGGGTGCTGAGCAATGCAGAAAATGCTGTCCTTGTGGTGATCAAAGTGTGCGCTGCTGTCATTCTGTAGTTGGATCTCTTCGACCATGTTGTTGTCGCCGTCTTCATCCTCATCTCCCGAGTCCATTGCTATGTCGTCGCCCTGCTCGACGATTTCTTCTGCTTCATCGGGGCCGAGCATGGCATCATCCTCCTCTTCTTCTGGGTGGGTGTTGTGCATCTCTTGGTCGGCCATTGTTTCGGTATCTTCAATTCAAGGTGTGAAGAGCTCTGAAAGTTGTATACGAGGTAGAAGGTGGGTTGCGAAGAAAAGTACGTTGTTCCTCACATGCTTAGAAATAAAGTATTTTTTGAGCTTCTCGGGTAGATCTGTAGATGACGGAATTCGACATGTGATGATTGAGATTGAAGATGGCGCGAACAGCATGCTAAACGGCCAATTATCATCAACGTTACAACATTCTTCGAATAGGTATCAAGAAGTATTTATGCGATTATAGCCGCACGGTCAAATCTCATGTGTGTGCCTTCACAGTTTATCCAGCCGATTCTACTGCCACTTGTAAAAGACTGCACATAYAGCCACCATCCGCTACCGTCCGCTCCATTCACACACTTGGGTAGAGCCAAGTCCGCTGTTTCTTCTGCCAGGTTCATCGCTACCCTTCAAATCTGATCCATGCGAAGCCCTGCGAAGCGTCAACATCAAATCGTCGACCTGATCATTCAACTTGTTCCGCCTAGTCTCGAACGCCGTTGGTCTTTCGACCCGTTTGCCTTCCTGAATGCATTTAGTGTCCCTCCCAATCGTCATGCTCAATTGCATGTCTTGCCGGCGACATCCCTGCCGGAATTTGTGGCCTCTCATCCGTTGTGCGCTTGGAGGTCGAGAGAGTGCATCCCATGATCCACCCATGGCAATTTTGGTGGCGACATCATTCGCTGCTGTCTCACAACTGCCGTGCCATCCTTTGATCACTCTGCTCCAGTAATTCGACTTGAAGATGCCGAACCTGTGGACCGCTTGCACTTGGCCAGCAGTCTCTGTCGATATGACTTATCGGATATGATGATGGCCTCCCGTGGCGCCATGGGGAGCATGGTTGTCATCAGTGTTTGTTCCAGGGATGATGTAGAAGATGATGGTGAGCTGTTTGGCTTCCTTGGAGACGTGAACTTGGTAGCGAACTGCATCTTGCCTTCGAGCTGTGTACTCGCTAATGGTAGCATGTGGGAACGATGAGTGTTGATGTGGTAGAGCTTGAGCGAATTGTCTGCTCTGGTACAACGTGGAAAGATAGAGACTCCTTTGACGCGAATGGTGCCCCGATATGTAAATGTGATGAGCTWTTCGAACTTACCTGGAGCAGGAAAGGCAAGGCAACTTATATCTCGACTGCCCACACCTACCCCGGACATAGGAGGTGAAATCGCGGCCTCGAAGCCTTGAGCTTACCTCCATAGCTCAACAGATCCTGTGGCATGCGACGCGTTGTTGGCTGGCACGACCATTAGCCTTTAAGAGAACCTTCCATAGTTCTAAATGGGGTGCGGAGATAGCTAAGTCCTTGCCTGATTCGCTGATAACGCGCATGTAGACGGCTGTCGGCAGGGATCTCTCTCACACATTTCAGCGCCCGCGCGGCCTTCGACGAATACGACTGGCACACGTAGCGAAGATGGTGATGGTYGAGAGCGGGAGACAGTTCCAGGTCGGCGCACAAAGGCGTGATGGTCAACCTGGTCAGCTATACAACCATCCTCGGCCACCCTCGGATAGCGGCCAATGAGGGATGGCTGAGAAGTGAAGATCGAAGATGTAGGCGAGACACGGTGGTCACTGGCAGTCTCAAGGCCGTTAAGACCGTTCCGTTGGTCTTCGTGTGCTGGCATTTGGTAGATTCGCAAGTTAGCATTTCACGTTCTTTCGATGGGGTTTGGTATCCAGGAGGTGTTTCACTCCGTCATGTAACTAGAAACAAAGAAGCCGCACTCATGAAATCAGCCAATGAGGAGGCGCAAATTTGTCGACTACATCACCAAGCCTAGCACATCGCCATCTCCATCTACACCTCACCCGACTGTCTGCATACCACACCTCAGGCGACTGCGCCGTCCTACTACCTAAAAAACAGAGCAGCACAAACACTGTCGCAGCATGCTGTCCACGCCAGCCGGAAAGTCGGCCCTGCGCGCCACAGCGACAAAGGCCAATGTCTCCAAGACTACCGTCCGCACCCTCTCCGCCACCGCCGCCTCCAATGATACCCAGAAGCGTGGCATGGCCACTGTCCAGGACGCCCCGCCAGTTCATCGTCATGGAGGCCTCAAGGATCAGGACCGAATTTTCACCAACTTGTATGGCCACCATGGCGCCGACATCAAGAGCGCGATGAAGCACGGAGATTGGTACAAGACCAAGGAAATCCTCGGCAAGGGCTACGATTGGATCATCTCTGAGATCAAAGCATCTGGACTGCGTGGACGTGGTGGTGCTGGCTTCCCATCTGGCATGAAGTGGAGCTTCATGAACCCCAAGGGCTGGGAGGACGACACCAAGCCACGATACCTTGTTGTCAACGCTGATGAGGGCGAGCCCGGCACATGCAAGGACCGTGAGATTATGCGGAAGGACCCCCACAAGCTGGTCGAGGGATGTCTGGTGGCGGGACGTGCAATGAACGTGGGTAGACGCAAAGTATCACTCAGTCTCGGCACGCGAATGCTAATTAGAATGTGATGCTAGTGCACTGCTGCTTATATCTACATTCGCGGAGAGTTCTACCACGAGGCCACCGTCTTGCAGCGTGCAATTCAGGAGGCTTACCAGGCTGGCTTCCTCGGTAAGAACGCATGTGGTTCAGGATACGATTTCGATGTCTTCCTCCACCGCGGTATGGGTGCGTATGTCTGCGGTGAGGAGACTTCTCTCATCGAGTCGCTCGAGGGCAAGCCCGGAAAGCCGCGTCTGAAGCCTCCATTCCCTGCTGCTGTTGGTCTTTTCGGCTGCCCAAGCACAGTCGCCAACGTCGAGACCATCGCTGTCGCGCCCACCATTATCCGTCGTGGAGCCAGCTGGTTTAGCCAATTCGGACGTGAGAGAAATGCAGGTACAAAGCTTTTCTGTATCTCTGGCCACGTCAACAACCCTTGTACCGTCGAGGAGGAGATGTCCATCCCTCTCCGCGAGCTCATTGACAAGCACTGTGGTGGAGTGCGTGGGGGCTGGGATAACCTGAAGGCTGTCATTCCCGGCGGTTCTTCAACTCCCATTCTTCCCAAACACATCTGCGATGACCAGATCATGGATTTTGATGGTCTCAAGGACAATCAGTCTGGTCTTGGAACTGCTGCTGTCATCGTCATGGATCAATCTACCGATGTTGTCCGTGCGATTGCAAGACTAAGCAAGTTTTACCACCACGAGAGTTGCGGGCAGTGCACACCGTGCCGAGAGGGCTCAAAGTGGACTGAGCAGATCATGAACCGCTTCGAAAAGGGAACCGCACGTGCACGAGAGATCGACATGATGCAGGAGTTGACGAAGCAGGTTGAGGGTCACACCATTTGTGCTTTGGGCGAGGCTTTTGCTTGGCCTATACAGGGTCTCATCAGACATTTCCGACCGGAGCTAGAGGCAAGGATACAGAGTAACACACAGAAGAGCGGAGGAGAGGCGCTCGCTGGAGGCTGGGCACATGATCTTGCAAAGCGCGGTGGTTTGGTCTCCCCAGGGCAGTAAAACAGGGCCCGAAGCGCTTGTACATAATTCTCACTGCGTGTGTAGGATGGAGTTGAGTACGGGTCTTCTTTGTTAAGTTTAGCAACATCACACAAGCATGAATTTTACATCATCGTTTGACTCAGGATGTTGGTACAGAGGATGTGGTGCCATGGTCTTCTATCGCTAGTGGGTAAAGTAGTTCCCTCCGCAATATCAACTCTCGGATCATCGCGCTTGCCTTTCTTCTGAACTGCAACCACGACTCGTCATCCGAGTATCCAAGCGTACACGAATTAGCAGCTCCAAATGGCGTTTGGCCCTGTTAAAGTCATCCAGGCCGTCCCCGATAAGGTCTTTCGGCTTGTACATGCGAGAGCAGCAGATGCTCCGTCTGCTATTCTGTAAGTATCTTACAACGCAGTAGTTAAGGAGAGAAACCTGCTAAGTGTTGAGACAGACCCAAATGATATGCGCTTGGCCTTGTTTCACTTTCACCTTTGCGATTGATACCCGACTCTTTCCTGGTCAGGAACCATTAGCTCCATTAAGAATTTACAAGGCCCTTCCGCCATCCTCTCTTCTCCAACACCCCTCTGGTGCGACACAAGGAAGAGCCCGCTCAAAAAATAATAGTACTTCCAAGTCTGGATGGTCGAAACATCGGAGTCAACGGAGGGTAGAAGCGTCATTGGATATCTGCACACTAGACCTGCTTTGTTCAACTACCACCTCTACCTCTACCTCCCCGTCCCCTTCCCCTTCCTCTCCCTGTAGTTCCAATTCTAGGCGTTCCCTTCGGCCTGCAATCCCTACAGAACCACTTCTCCTCCTCACCGGGTGCAACTCTCAACTCTGTACATCCGAGATGGAACCACTCCCGTGGACAAAGCTCGTTATCGCAAGCCACCATCTCTCCGTAGCTCCCGCGATTACAGTAGCAATATTTCGGCTCATTGGGGTCATCAGGATCGTGCTCTGATTCTTCACCTTCGATTTCCTCGTCGTCGAGATGAGCATACTCTTCCAGCTCGCGAGCGGGCGCCGTGGAGGAAGCCCGGCGCGTAGAGGCAAGCGCTGCAGAGCGCTCAATCTCTAGTTCGCGCTCCCGCTCATCACGTTCTCTGCGATCACGCAAAAACGTATCCCTTTCGCGCTCGCGTTCGCGTTCCCGTTCGCGTTGGTTGCTGCGGTCGCGCGCGGCGCCAGAAGTTGAAGAGGACGTTTTGCTGCCAACCGCACCGCCACGCCCTCTTCCCCTCGTGCTGGTAGGAGGTGGCGAGACAGGTGGAGTAGACTCCCTACTTCCCGTGTTTCCAGGGCTAGAGCGAAGTGTGCCCTTTCTGCTCACAGGCCTGCGCGTGCTAGATCTCCTCGTCTCCCTTTCGGAAAGTTGAGGCGGCAGAGGATTGGGCGGCGCCATAATCATCACCGCCTCCTGCTCGCCCACTTCAATATCCATCGGCTCGGATTTGGCATGATTGCTATGCGTGTTCGCCGTCTCTCTGGAACGCTCAAGATTGTGCTCCCCGTCCGTACTTGAATGCGGATCGTCATCTTCATCGTCTGTGTCCCTATTTCGGTCCATGTTCGGACTTTTGTTAAAAGGCGCCAACTGCTTGACCAGGTGACTTCCGCTTTGGTTCCTTCGATGCTTGTGGTATCTTCCGTCCATGTGCTGTGGTTCGGTCGAACTGTCAGAGTCTCTCACCGCATCGCCCTTGAAAGTCGGTCTGCCACGCGCAGGTCTGTCACGTTTGGATGCATCATCGCCGTCCATACGAGGGGTGCCTCGTTTCGAAACGGAACCGCTGTTCTTTCCTCTATCAGACCCAGAGCGAGACGCAGGAAGGCGCTGCACCTCATCTTGCATATCGACATCCTCTCGCTCCAGTCGCTCGCTCGTTTCTTTAATCTGCCGCGCGGCTTGGTCTTGTCCGGTCGGTTCATCGTGCTCTTCTGTGGTTTCGTGGACGTGCACCTTTCTCCTGCCGCTGAGCCTTTCGCCGTTTCCATTCGCTTTGGTGCCTAGCGCGGAGGATGGTCTGCTAGCACCGCTATCATCGTCCATTACTCGCTCGTGTCGAAGGTTGGTTGCATTGGCAACGCTATTCTGGCGCACTCTTCCAGCCTGGTACCTCGCACCAGGCGGCGGCTCCATGTTCAGCGGGTTGAAGTTGGATGCCAATGGGCTGCTAGCCAGCATTGGACTGTTCTGCGCTGAGCCGACGACTCTCTTCTTCGCCTGGGTAGGGGYGGGCTTCGCTTTCGGCGCTTTCTTCGCTGGAGCTTCTGTAACGACTGGAGTGCTCCGTGGGGTATCTCGCACGGCTTTTGCGCCCCTTCCGCCAGCAGAAACTGTGCGCTCCATGCCCACCGAGCCAAGACTCTTGTCCGCCTTTTTCCTTTTCGTTGTCGTCTCGCCGTTGCTAATTCCCAGTCCTGCCGCTGCCGCCGCTGCAGCTGCTGCGGCCTTTCCTTTCGCAATTTTGGGCACCTTTCTAGGCTTGTCATCAAAATCGGAATCTCCTGCATGCTCAGCTCTCTTTCCCTTGCCCTTCTCCTTCGTTGCCTCTCTTCCTGCAGCTACTCGCGCCTGTGCAATCTCAATTTCATGCGCTGCGTCAGCCAGGCTGTTTGTCGCGGCGACGTCGCGTTGTTTGGCAGCTCCCGGGCCGGAGACTTGCTTCTTTTGCCGGTTKTCGCTATACGCCCAATGTGTCATGCTCCCCAATCTGGCCTCCTCACTGATCTCTTCATTGATATACGGCATGACTGAGTCTATACGCGTGGATTGTAGCTCTAGAACACGGTTTGCCTCGGTCAAGACGACGTTCTTTTCGTCCAGATTTCCCAGCAAACCGTGGGTCAACATTCGCAAGTCGGAAAACTGTCGTCGCCGTGCCCGGTCTTCTTCCGTTTCCGGTGCGTCGTCTCCGTTTATTGAAGGTTCTGGCTGCATGCTCTGGCGACCCGGTATGCCATTGACCAGACTGGCAGCAGCGCTGCCGTTGGCGCTATTGTTCGCAGTGAAGCTCAGCAGGCCCTGCACGCCGCCCGAATTGGCTGAAGAACCGAGCGTTGGTCTACGCGGCGGTACGGGCAGTTGCATCAGCTCATCAATCATCTCGCCCAACTTTTCGTGTGGGCCATGGATTTTTGCTTCAACCTCTTTGAGAAATGTGAACTGCCTCATGACCTCTTTGGGCAGTGCTGTGACGGCGTCTGAGAAGAATTGCAGCGCAGGAAAGAATCCTTGCGCCTGCAGACTGCTGTGCTCGGGCATGTCATTGCCTTGATCGGCGGCCATGCCCGTCGGGCCATAGGGGCGGGCGTAGTAGTTCTGCGGACGGTGAACTCGCGCTGCACGACCCGTAGTTCGGCGTTGTGGACCGTTGCCATTCTGATAGAGATATGGGTCGGCGGCGGCGGAGGAGCGCATGTTGGACGTGGGCGGCATCGTTGGCGGAGAGCTGAGAGCTCGGCGACGCGCTTGTGGGGGGGTCGGTCAATTTGTGAGCAATGGAGGTGATGGGTGGTAAAGCGAATGAGCAGGTAGACACTAGAGCTGACCGGAGAACGACATGATTATCGGCAGCATTGCTGTCAGTCTGCTTCAGTGCTCCGATGTGGTGTGTGTTGACGGTGAGCGCGAAAATGAGGAGACTTGATGCTCGTTGCTGGTGCTGGTGATGCGCGAAAGAGGGCGGAATTTGTTCCGTCACCGTCATCACCCCAAATAAATCTCYGCGTGCGCAACATTCACTCCACTTTCCCCTGACCATATCTTCCTCTTCCATCACGCAGACAGCTGATCTCTAAGATTCCCATCTATATCATCCAGGCAGATTCTCCTCGGTCTAGACCATTGGAATCCAAATAGTGAGTCCTGCATGTGATAGACGAGAGCCTGCAGGCTTCGGCTCAGGCATGTTCGGTCACATGCTGCAACCTGAGGTCCCTCGATTCATGTCTGGTCACACTTCTTCGCATGTCTTTCTTGCTCCCCTTTCTTCACATTACATCTCCCCCAACCACTTCAAAAGCCATTTTCGAGCTCGGCGACCACTCTGCACTTCCGGACAAACATGACGAGAGCGCTGGGACCAAATCATCATCTGGCAGACCGTACTACGTCTTGCATCGGATCAAAGGTGTAATTTACCTCCTGCGAGAGGTGTCGCAACACATCCAGATGTCAGCAGTCATGCTGTCGCGCATGTCAATTCCGTTGAGTCCTAGGACGATGGCGTTCAGCATCGCTCGAATCGCTTTAGAGAGTCATCCATGATCCTAGCGGCACAAGCACACTTTTGCGTTCCAATGTAAGCTCCTCTAGCTGATGACAGCGACGCAACCACAGCGAGATTGGCCTCGCATCAAACTTTGTCCGGGAAAGGTCGATGCTTCGAAGATTGGGCGTTTCCAAGTCTGCGAAGTGTGTTACCCAAGCCAGATTGAAAGCTCCGAGACGTAGATGCTCGATGCTGCTTGCGGCTTTGGCGAGCAGTCGAGCATCCCTTCTTTGCAACGCATGACTTGCGCGCCTCCTGCTCGAATTTCTCTCCCATGAAGAACTTCCTGTGTATCTCTGTTTCAAAGGTCAGCCCCCGTACTTCGCTCAGGTCTAGCTTGTCCCAGCCCGGCATCTGATCCACGGCTCAAGTCCGCTTATCCAGCCAGCTATGCTGAGTTCGACATGCTTGTTCCCGCTCTGAGCGGTTGGAAGTGTCGCGTGATCTCCTCGTGCCAATGTGTGAAGTCCACGAGATAACGTGCTGTGCATCTATAACAAGGACGTTAAGGGAGTAATACGAGGGTGCAGAAAAGAGAAGCATTACTGTGACTAGACTATGGTCGAGAACTGATTCTAGCTCTTGATGTGACCAGCAGAGCAAGTCTCACCTTGCAGCCTGGAGGTCAACGACCGCCAGATTTGCTTGCTGCCATAGATTGGTCACGTGCTAAATCGTAGATGTGCGGCTTCTGCTTCCAGGATGCAAGTACTTACATGGACTCACCACGTACTGGGCAGGACAGACCTGCTCTTGCCGCTTCGCGCATTGAGCACGAGTGTAGCTGCTCTCTCAGAGGGAATGGCATTCCATGATAGAAATGATATGCGGAACTCACAGATGATGGGTGTAGAGGAAGGCCGCGACAAGTCGTTCCAAGCTTCAATCTCAGGGTGGTGTCCAGACCGGCGCTATTGCCAACGGAAAAGCCAGCAAGGAAGCGTACCCTGATTTGAGACGTTTCCCCCGGTCTTCATTATTCGGTATGTTTGAACCTTTCCTGCTCTGAGCCAAGTCGGCCAGCGGCAAGAGTCGCTTCTCGTACGGCAAGGGCAATTTTCTCTCTGACCGCGCCATCTTCGAGCACCCGGAGGCCTTCATGGGTGCAGCTATTTGGTTTTGATGTACGACGGTTCAAGACTGCCAGATCCTCGTCTACTGATAGCAGAGCCGCAGTGCCACGCAAAGTCTGTGCGGCCATTACACGTGCTTCTTCGCGCGGGCAGCCCATCGCCACGGCACCGGCAACCAGAGACTCAGCCATGATTGCAACGAACGCAGGACCAGAGCCACAGAGCGTACTGCAGACATTCATGTGGGCTTCCGGCAGACGAAGTACCCGTCCGATTCGTGTAAACATCCAAGTAATCAGAGCATCCGTTTCGGCAGCCAGTGGAGGATTGGGGACGGCAATGACGGTCATTGATTCACGAACAGCCGCAGCAGGATTCGGCACAGCTCTGACAATCGTGCATTTGTTGGCAAACTCGGAGCCTTTGGGATAGAGTACATTGTGAAGATCCTCCACGGACACGCCAGTCAGTATGCTGATCAGTATCTTGCCTGCCAAAGCCTCTCGCATTCCCTCCTCGCGTAGCAGATCCGCCAGCATATATGGCTTGCATCCTAGTAGGACGACGTTGCTTCCTTGCACCGCCTTGACATTCTCACCCTCGAATAGCGAGAGCTTCGCGTTGTATTTTCCCAACTCTTCCTGCACTCTTCTTACACTCTCGAGACTTCGAACACACGCTCGGAACTTCGTTGGGAGCTTTTCCGGTGTTGGCGCATCTCCAGGACTAGATGTCGGGTTGTTTAACGCGTGCATGATGCCTCCTAGGATCGCAATGCCCATTGTTCCGCAGCCGAGTACAGTCAAGGTAAGTCCTCCATCGTCAAGCAACTCTCTCTTTCCGGCAGCCCAAGCAGCATTCGCCTGCCTTTGGATCTCCAACGTCTCCTGCAGGATCTTGTCAAAATCCATGGCGGGAAGAGGTGTGGGAAATTTGGAGGTGGGAAAGTTTTTGTGGGATTGAATGACAATCAAGGTGAGACGTTCCCCCCTCTGAACTGACTGGACTTTTTACAGAAGATTAATGGAGCACTTGTTTGATAACAGGAACAAAACATTTTCTGGAACGCCATCGCTATGCTAATCTACACTATCACATAAAATTTAGTTCTTCTACAGTACTCATCCGCCCGTTTCCACCACTTCCGCAAACCATTGCCTTAATGCTCCCGCAAGTACATTTGGCAATTCGAGAACATCCCTCACGATGAGGTAGTATCGGAAGGGGAAAGTGTCGAGGTATTTGCCCATATACACCTGAGTCTCACCATTCACGTCCTTGTCGAAACGTGCCACTGGTAAGTCAATGATGCTCTGCTTTGTCCCGATACTGGACTCTTCCGCTGTGGAATCAACAACGATGAAGACGACCATTATCTGCTCTTCGTGCGCTTGGCGAACGAGTTGGCGGACTGAAGGGTGATCTTCGCACAGGCCGTCAGATATGATGAGTTGCAGCTGCCAAAGATTGCTGGCCGAGCCCGTGGCTTTCAACCTAGCTGTGCGGAAGAGCTCGATGGAAGTCTGAAGGAGCTTCTCGACGTCCGTTCTCGACTGCGTGAAGCTGAATTGTCGGTACACTTCTGCGCCAGCATCAGTTGTAAATGGCATGTCGAAGTCGTGATTGATGTTGACGGTCTCGCCAAAGCCAACAATGCACAGCTCCCCAACCTCGAGCATCGACATGCTTTTGGCGACCAGAGCCAGAGTATCGAATGCCAGTCCCTTCCGCTCATTCTCGTTCATGGATTGCGAATTGTCGATTGCAAGCATGATCTGGTATGAACGCTTGCTGGGAATGGATCTGCGCATCCAGATCTTGTCACGCTTGTAAGAAGAAGCGATATACGGGATGATCTTCTTGATGTTCAGACGCTTGCCGGTGCGGAAGTCTCCACGCATCTTGGTAGCCTGCGTGGGTTGTAAAATGAGACGAAGATGCTCCGTGAGAACAATCGCCATATTGCGGGTTCTACTCTCGTGTTCTGCCCAGGCTTGACGGGCCTCTTCGATGGTGATGAGACCTTGATTGTCGTGCGACAAGTGAGTGTTGGTGAGCTGCTCGTCGACGTCTTCGATGTTGTCGTTCTGATCCTCTGCGGACTCGTCCATTTCCAGATCCGTATCTACTTCTGTGGGTTTGCCGACGACAGCTTTCTCGGGTTTTGGCCCAAGGTCCGCGCCCGCCTCGTTCGGCGCTGCACCTTGAGTGTCTTCAGAGTCTTTGGGCTCATCGTTTGGTGACTGTGGCGCATCTTCATGTTCTTTGGGTGAAGCCGCATCCTGGTCTTGCCCGGTCTCTTCGATGGGCATTGCGTTCTGTTCATCAAGAGCCTTGGATTGGTCCATCGCGGCCGCACCCAAGGCTTGCATCTCTGATTCGGCGTGCTCGGGCAGGTGTTCGAAGCGCGCATCTTTCATGTCCACGTCCATTTCATCTTTAGCATCTGGATCGACTCCAGCGGGTTCTGGTTCTTGGGCAGCCTCGATATTCTTGTGTTGATCGTACCACTGCTTCAAGACGTCTCCTAGCTGCTTGAATGGGAGATTTTGTTGTTCTTGGCCGGGCTCTGCCTTACCGGACGATGCCTCTTGTTGGCTTCGATTACCACCATCGGCTGCACCAGATTGGTCGCTTGGCTGCTGCTGGGTGTCGAGCTCATTTTGAAGCTGCTCAGCAGCCGACAGGGTCCCTTGCTTCTGCGCCGATTCGTCGTCTTCGTTGCCCTGGCCAGCATCTGCAGACACCAAGCCATCATCCTGTTGAGTATCATCCTTGTCCTCTGGACGATCAAGCATTGCAATATCGGAGCCAGCATCATCATCTTGCTCCTCTGGTTGGTTTTCTTCCGCAGCGGTAGCTTCTCCGGTATCTTCCTGCTCGGCTCCCGGCTGCTCTTCATCGTCCATATCAACATCGAGGTTCTCGTCATCTTTGCCAGCATCGTCGTTTCCATCAACGTCGCTGAGATTGTCGCCAAAGTCCGAGCCTCCATCAGAGACGTCGCTCGGCATGTCTTTGTCACCATCCATGTTGATATCATCCGGCAGGTCAAGATTCTGCTCATTTTCCATGTGTGGATCAGCCGCTTCAGGCTGGTTGTGTTCCACGTCGGGCTCATCTTCCGCTCCGGCATCCTCCTCTTGACCATCATCCGGCCCATCGTCCCCAGCCTCATCCGCGCCGGCTTCGGCGTTCTCTGCGGCTGCAATATCTTCGTCACGAGTGCCCTTGCCCTTGTCAGCCTCCTTTTCGGCGTTCTCCTCAGCTTTGCCATCATCCCAGGTCTTCTCGTCAACCGCATCATCATCTTTGTCGTCAATATGTCCAGCCTCTTCGTCCACATCGCCGTCAGATTGGCCATCCTGATCGTCATCTTCTCCTTCTGAGCCGTTCTCCTCCCCAAATTCTCCTTGAAGATCCTCATCCGCCATATCAACGGCATCCTTCTCATCTTCCAGCTCTTCTCCATCGTCCTTTTCTTTCTTGGCGTCTTGCGCGAGCTCCGAGAGATCTTCGTCATCCTTGATGTCCTTGCTAATATCCTCAGCGCCATCGCCGTCTCCAAGACCAGTGCCGCTCTCAGCCTGGCCAGCTTGCTGCTCGTCACTCGCTGACTTGTCCGATGGAGTGCAGAACCCCTGGCGCGCAAGCTGAATGAACGATACCGCTAGTCGATGGGCCATCTTGCTGGTGACTGCGTGAAGCGTGCACATGTCTGAGACCAGCTTCTCCGCAGCATTCGCGTATGCTTGTAGAACAGGCTGCAAAGTTTGAATCATCAAACCGATCTCAGGTAAGGTCTCCTCGTGCGAGAAATTTTGTAATCGCGCCAATAAGGTCTTCAAGTCCGCAGAGATGGTGCCGATGAGCGTACTCTCTGTAGCGGCGAGTAGAGACCTCTGCTGCTCGAGGAGCCATTGCTTCTTTGTCTGGCCATTGGAGACTATGGTAGCTGGCTTCTCCTGTGTGGCGAGCTTTTGCGCGCGATCTACGATGTCAACGAGATTCTTGATCCAAACGTCGGGTGAGATAGAGGGCTCGGGTGTTGCCTCCGCTGAATCGCCTGGCCGGTTTGCCACCCACAGTGACAGCTGTGAAAGCGTAGGACCCAGCTCTGGATGCAGCTGAATGAGTTCGTTGACTTGTACCGAGATCTGGTAAATAACGTTGGCGTACGACGTCTCCAGCGATCTGATGGCGGCGTTGTCGACCTTCTGTGGTAGGGTCGCCACCAGACGCATGTCCTTTTCAACAGTAACCAAATCAGTATTCCAGCGTGCCAACTGCTCCATGACCTGCGGGTACCCAGTTCCAGAAAGCTCGGCCTGCGTGCTCACGCATTGAATACAAGCTTGTAACACAGCGCAGACGCTCGAGATCTTCAGCTTCGACGTATCAATCGTCTCGCCATTTCGAATGGCTACATCTTCGCCCGAAGAGGTCGCAGCAAGCCGACCCAGTACCGCGTTCAAGGATGCCAAATCTTTGATTTGACTACTCACTGCATTGTGTTGGCTGATGGAACACTGCAGCATACTCTCAAGCAGGACCTTCGCTCGTGCGATCTCGGCTGGCGTCAAGTCCTCGGAATGTTTGACAGTGCTCTCCCGAACAGATGGCATGATATGGAGCAGTCGATGGAAGTCGCGATCAGCCGTGCTTGCAGAGATGATATCACCACCAAGTGGTGGAGCTTTGGCGAGTACCACGTGTAGCGATTGCTGCTGGGCCAGGACATCGTCGGCGATGTTGGTCTGGAAGCCCATCAAGCGCACATCCCGGAGCACGTCCGCAAGCAGGCGGCGCTTGCGGGTCTTGAGATGCTGGACCAGGCTCTTGTTCTTCTCCGTGGCCTCTTCAGGAGTGGCTTTCCGAAGCTCATTACTCTCCTCGTCAAGCTCGTCAAGGAACTTGTTGATTCTCTTCGCTGCTGTCGACCCTCTGCCCTGAGCAGTTGCTTCGATATCCCGTACAGTTGCTGACACGTTCAACAGAGTGACCGGCCGGCCATTCCATGTTTGTGAGACGACACGCGGTAGGGGGACGTCGACGACCTGCAGAATTGGCATGTGGTGCTCGATGTCACCAGTGGCAAGTTTTGGAAAGTCCGCCTGCAACAACGAGGCCACAGGCTCGCTTAGGAGTCTTCGATACTTGCGAACAGTTCTGAACAGCTTCTTATGCGAGGACTTCGCGCTTGTCCTCAACTTGTCGATGTTGCGATCCTTCCAGCTCGCTAGCTGGATCACCTCCTTCACCTCCTTTTCCAGGGCCACACGTCGCGTCGCGAGCTTTTCGGCGACGACTTGCTCGAAATTGGAGTAGAATGAGATCAAGCTCGACAGTGCTTCGCGAACGGTTGCCAGCATTGGTTGGTCGATCAATCGTGTTGCGAGATCCGCCTCGAAGTCGGCCAACATTCGCAGACGGATGGTGTATTCTCCTAACCCGCAGTTTGCAAGGAAACCACCAAGGGTCTCGACGAGATCTTGAGCGAACTTGGCGAGGGAAAGATCTGCGGATCTACTTATCTCGTCTGATGCTCGGATGATAGTCTCGTAAGCAATGTACCACCAAGATGCAGCACTCTTCTTGCACTGTTTGTCCTCGTGCTCGAAAAGACCGGCCCAGGTTGACAATTCCAGTTGTCGCCAACCTACAACGGTATTGGTAATGTCTTCGAGTAGTCCAGCAGCTGAGAATTCCGAGCTTGCGAACTTCTGCCACTCTCCGATCGCCGCATGCACCTTTTCCACTGGAGGGAGGAAGGACGCTAGAGGCTCGCCGTGACTARGCATGAGAACGTTATGACAGGCTCGCAGTACTTCAATGGGTGACGCGTGGTCGGGCCACGCATTGTGGATTGTCTCAAAGCGGGCTTGCACCTTTGCTATCAAGCTGACGAGAGCTTTGCATTGCCCGATATTCGATTCAAGGTAGATGTTGGCTGTACGCGATGCTGTCGCTGGCGAGAGACTTGAGGTCAAAGCGTGCAATGCGCAGAGTATTGCTGGGGTCTTTGATGCTGAGGCAGTCGACTCTGTCCGAGTTGCCTGCTGTAACAAATCGATGAGCTGCTGCTTGTCTAACCTCCTCTCGGGTTGGTGAACTGCGTGATACAGCTCAGCCATCTTGGGTGCCAATGCTTGTGCTCCGGTGAGCACGCTCGGCTTTGACGCTTTGCGGCTTTCAGTCTCGTAGCCTGGAAACAGCTCGTTGAGCTCCTCGGACGTTGTTTCTTCCTCGTCATCATCACCCCCGCGGTATCTGTACAGACTCGAGTTGGCAGCATCAAGCTTCTGGTCGCGGCTCAGCTCAGTTCTCCATGCTTCATAGAATGCCCGGAAAGCGACATCGACGGCCGCTCGCAGTTCTGCCGAGACGGAAACTATTGGCTTGACGTTTGCCCGCACGGCCATGACAGACAGCCAGTAAATCTGCTCGTCCTTTGAACGGCAAACCTGTTGGACTTGGGTAAATTGGTCATCGGAAAGCYAATCATGCAAGCAAGCACTCATCAACGGCGTGATGCTAGCGAGACTGTACTCGGTATCCGTCGATTGGGCCTGACTAGCTTGCAAATCTAGCCGCTGCGAAATGAACAAGCAATCAACAAATCCGACCACGGGCATCGCAAGATCGGCATAGGCGCGATACCGCTCCAAAAGACGCGTTCGAATGACCTGCATGTTGTCCCATGCGTTTTGGTCGAGCTGCTGGCCGCTTTGGCGAAGCGGTTTGATGGTTCTTACGAGCGCCTGGAACTCCGTATGCAGTTGAGCGATCTGAGACTTTGGTGGTCGACAGACTTGGACAATGGTAGGTCCCGTACCAAGGTGACAAATGTCATCCTCGAGGAGGCGGGCGCGGTAAGAGTTTTGGTCGCCGACCCAAGCCTGCTTGAATGTCCGCAACGCTTTCATTCTTGAGACAAGGTCATCCTTAGTATGCTGATAGACAGCTGTCTGTATTTGTGCCTCTTGTACGGGGTCGAATGCATGGTCTGGAATGTATAGCTCAAAGCAGGTCAAGGCCAGAGACTGCCATGCTTCAGCAGCGTGTTGCAACCTGCTAGTTCCAGTTTTCGGCGTGTGACAGAGGTACTTAACCACCGGCAAGAGACGGGTAAGAGTTGAAGCAAACCCGGGGTACTCTTCCAAGTACTTCAACATTTCTGGGGCATCTTCATCCGGTAACTCGCCCTCATGGGGTAAGCTCTGAATAACAGTGTGCACCAGGTTCCGCAGACAGGCGTCGAGTGCCGACAACTGTTCAGACTGTATGATATCGGCCCTGGATGCGAATGTGTGGCCAAGCGCTTTGGCCTCGGTCGACAGCAAGTCCAGGCTGTGCAAGCTCACTTGGTTCACCTGGTTGACGCTACGCAGCATTCTGACGGTGACAGAGGCGTCCGCAGACTCATCGTTGAATGGAGACTGCGAGCTCAAGCCAAGGATTCGAAGCTGATCTTTTGCTGTGCGTGCCTGGCCTTCATGACGATTGATGCCATTGGCGGTCTTCCGAAGCGCAAGGACCTCCAGGGTTGTGCTCTCGATGGGGTCAAGAATCGGAGCAGGCAGGGCCATTATTGCGAAGTGTTGGCATAGACTCTCAAAAGTGCTGGCAAAATGGGGCTTGATAGATATTGCCAGCTCGCCATCCTCGTCGGAAATGTGCTGCGGAATTGACGCCATAGCTTGCTCGGCAAGGGTATCCAGTTTGGCCTCCACTGTGTTTGCTACGTTGAGCGAACGTTGGAAAGCAAGTCTGAGATCCACAATATGACTGATGGGGAAGCGAAAGCTAACAACTTCGTCAAATCGATCTATCACAGACTCAAATCTGAGAACGGCCTCCAGATCATCCATCGTTGCAGGCATCTGAGGCTTCAGAATCCTCCACATTGAAACGCAAGCTTGTCCATTCACACTGCTGGGTGTAAGTCTCAAGTCCGAAAGTGCATGATGGAATTGCTCCAGCACTGTCGAAAGTGAGGGTGTGGCCTTCAAGCCCTTTGACCAGAGCGACTGTGCGACTAGCACGCAGGTAGCTAAGAGGGCGGAGTCAAGCGCATCGGATTCCAGGGCATGAAGAAGGATCCAGCAAAGCGWAAGGAGGCTTCTCAGCACATTTGGCCTTTGGTAAATGTCCCCTTGCTGCTGTGTCCATTGCGCCAGAGGAGAAAGCATTCTCTCTAGGATGTCCAGCAACTCACTCTTGCCTCTATTACCAGATTCCTCTCTGGCTTTTCGCATAAATCGCTTCAAACGATCTGTCAATTTGCGATTGGTTTTCGCGGCACTCAAAGACTTATCAATCGATTTCAAAGAGACAGCTAGATCAAACTGGTCGCCAAGGACCGCGGCTTGACTTGAGTATTCCGGAGTTTGAGCGAGAAGAGGCTGATTGTTAAGAGGGTGAAGAGTCTGTAAGAAAATGGGCTTACCGTTAGCTACATTTACACTTACAAAATTGTAGAAACGTAGAAACTGACCTGAACACAAGCGTAGTCAGCAGGTGCTTTTAGACGGCCTGAAACTTCCTTGTGAAGAGTTACGACGCGTGTCAAGTCGACTTCACACTGCAAATCAACGGTGTGGATGAATCGTCCTGAGAACAGCCCGTTCTTCAGCTCCCGTTGAAAGCGTGGAATGAGGAGCTGATCAGTCACAGCAAGATGGTCTTTCACAACCCTCATAGCATGCTCGTCGTCCGCGTTGACTGTTCTAAGAGCTCTGAATCGAGTAAGTGCCGATTCGGTGTACATGCCGTCGGTTGAAGCAGCATGAGTCGCGAGTGATGGTGTCGTGAGATAGACCTCAACAGCACGATTACGCATAGCTCTCGACAGTTCTCCCATGCGCGGGTCAACCGTCAAGAAAATGCGGAAGCCTGGGTGTGGACGAATGACCCTGGYCTGGCCATCCGGCGTGGTGTGCTCATTGATGAGGAGGGTGCCATTGGGCTCCAAGAGGGAGTTCAGGCGATCGAGCACAGAAGGGCTACACAAGTTGGCATTATCAAGGACCAACCATTTTCCTTGTTGCAAAGCATCGATGAGGGGACCATCGATCCATTCAAAACGTGCCTTGTCAATAACTTGAGATGCAGTCCCACGTAACGTCTCTAGCAAGGGCAGAAATTCGGACTGGAGGTCTGTGGGCAAAAGCTGTGCTAGGTATGACAAGTTAGTAACATTCCGAGGGTCTTGCACCACTAGCTGGAAAGCATGGAGCAGATTCGCAGTGGTCGAAGCTGAGTTCTCGACGAGGGCGAGCTTTGCCAGATAGTCACCTCGAGCGTGCAACTCCTTCAAAGCCTGTGCTGAAAGGCGATGGGGATCATATTGCTCGTAGCCACCGATTAGGTCCAAGGCATCAGTCTCGGCGCTCATAGCGAGCGTTACAACCTCTGCGCCAACACTCTGAGCAAGACGTCCGACCAATGTGGACTTTCCAGCTCCAGGTGCACCAGCGAGAACGACAGGCCAGGCCTTGTGCACGCATAGCATAAGTGTTTGCAGAGCCCGTAGATGAATGCTGGAGACGTTACTGCACCAAGTCGTCCGAGGCGTCGAGTTCAGAGGGTCCCTGGCAAGAAATCCCAAGCCAATCTGGAGTGTCTGGCTGGACATGTTTGTGAAGAGATCTGACATCGCATCAGCGCCCGGGAACACGAAGTCGAAGACTTCCTCGACACGACCCCTGTCCTGGTCCGTGCGAAAACGTTGCGTGAAGAGGGTGTCGATGAAATCGTGGGGGGTACCGGTGGGAAGAAGGTTCTCTTGAGAAGCGGCGAGGTCCAGCCACCGTGCTGTGTCTCTAAGGTTGAACTCCCAAGGGCCTCCGCTGGCGCCGAAGCTTCTGTTGCCTGCCACTTCGTGCTGGAGACTGCTGACAAACGCGACCGCTTGTTTGATGTACTGCTCTGTGAGAGAGGGGAACATCCGAGTGCAGATCATCATCAAGTCATCTGCTCGGAAGGAATCGGCGTACACTACCGTGAATCTGTTGACGAATGATGCGGGCAGACCTTTGCGGCCGCCGCCCTGATGATGAGGGTTTTGTGCTGCGAATAGTCGGAAATTGGGATGCCGGGAAAAGGACTGGCCAAGCTCGGGAATGAAAACTTCTCCTCTGTGGTCCAAACACGCGTTGAGGCCCTCAAGTACAGACTGGGAAGCAAGGTTCATCTCGTCGAGGAGTACCCACTCGCCTGCCTTCATAGCCGTCAGGAATGGTGCGTCTCGCCAAACAAACGTGCCCGTGGCTGCGCCTTCAACAGGAGCGTCGGAGCCGAACAGATCGAGCAAGTCGGTTTGGTCGGACAAGTTGATGCGTGTCAGTGGCATGCCGACTGCACTGGCGATGGCTGTTACAAGAGCAGTCTTGCCAACACCAGGACTGCCTTCGAGCATGATCGGCTTGACGAGCTGCAATGCCCTCAGCACACGCATAGCATTCGATCGCGTTGTTGGAGGCTCGAATGTGAAGTCTGTATCGACCGGCGTATTGCCTTGCACCCGAGGGACAGTGAAGGGCCCGATCCCAAACGCCGAATCGGTTGCGATGACGGAGAAAATCTTGCCATATATGGCTTGCGCATGCAGGGCCACGAGTTTGCCGAGCTGCTGGAGGCAGGCCTCCCGCTCTTCCTCGATGTTGTTCGATGTTAGTGACATGAGCCCAGCTGGATTCGCACCCAGCGTGTCAATGTACACCATAGCAGCGCCATGCACGACTGCCGCTTCAAGATTTGCAGACTGGAAAGCGTTGACGAACTCCACCCACGCAAGCGTGTCTCGAATCGACACAGATGCACTCGCAGATGTATCAAAGCGAGCTTTGAACCAACTTGCAAATTCCACCATAGCGCCGGCGTACCCTCGAGCTGCATCTTCACTGAGTTTTGCCTGCACAATCTGAAGTATGTCATCCGTGTCACTCAGACTTGGGAGCCAAATCTCGGTGAAACGATTACGGAGAGCAGGAGAGAGCTCCCGCTTTCCGTAGTCACCACCAGGATTCATGGTCGCAAAAAATTGGAAGCCTGGCGCTGCGGTGATTGCTGAGTCGAGGCTGCCCTTCTCTGCCAACAGTATTGAGCGCGCGGATTCCAGAACGCTGTTGATACGTTCCAGCACGGAGTCGTCGGCAAGAGAGATTTCATCAAGGAGGAAGAAGGCCCCATTGCGCATGGCTTGTACGAGACTTCCATCGGCCCATTCGAAGAGAGCTTTGTATCGAGTGCGTGACTCTTGAATGTCATTGTGGAGATTTCCCTGGACGTGGGCTGCCCTCTGCTCCTTGGTCAAAGCAGCCAGGGCYTGGTCATACGCTGCGAGAAGTGCATCAGTTGGTTCATCCTGCTCGACGACCAGCAAAGAAGATGACAACAACTGTTCTCGCAGCGTTGCTTCTGCGCCGGCGCGGTTCCTCACGGGGCGCTGACTGCCAATAAGATCTCCAGTCTCGGTGTTCTGATGCGCGTTGATCGTGTGAAGCTCCTTATCCAGGGCCATTGCTAACATCTGACAGACGGTCGTCTTGCCACATCCTGTCTCGCCCACGAGAAGCACAGGCTCGTTGTTTGCGATGGCCCTGCTGACAAGAACGTAAAGCCTGCGCATAGCTTTTGTCCAGACGACCCCATTCGTCGTAGCGCTTTGCTGCTTATGGTGTGCGATCTCTGGGCAATTCTCCGCGTAAAGTGCGTCTTCATCGATGCGCACTTTCGGACCTTTGTCGCTCATGACTCTCTCAATCACAGCTTTGAGAGCAATGCGTTCTTCCGGTTTTCGAACACGCTCGCAAAGAAGCATGTAGCCATTTGCCGCCAATTGCTCGATTGTGTCATTCGGTCTTCCAGCCCAGCGAAACAGATCACGAAGTGTTGCAAAACTCTTCTGTTCRAAGAGACGATTCTCCTGCCTCAAAATCGAGAGTTCCTTGTAGACAGCAACGATGCGTCTTGCTCTGGATTCGGGAAGCTGCGTGCGTCGGTGGAGAATCGTCTGCAGCTCATCGACGGGAATATCGTCGAAATGCAGCTCCAAGAAACGATTGCGGAAGGCTCTACTTAGCGTCTTTCGACCTCCGTACAGGCCCGCTGGGTTCTGCGTAGCGAACAGCATGAAATCTGGATGAGGGCGGATAACTTCTTGTGTCTCCGAAATTAAAAGTTCGCGATTGTCATCCAGTAATCTGTTCAAAGCTTCCAAAACGTCCGTAGGAGCCAAGTTCAGCTCATCTAGCACGATCCAATGTCCCTCTCGCAGTGCCTTTACGAGTACTCCCTCTTGAAAGGCCAACCGACCAGAGGAGTCGGAGACATAGGTGCCAAGATACTCCTGCAAGTCCGTATGTTCGTGATTGTTGATGCGTGTGAATTTATGCCCTGTCCTCTTAGCAAGGTACTCAATCATGCTCGTCTTTCCGCTTGATGTTGGACCTTGGATCAGAACAGGGAACTGACGTGTGCTTGCAGCACGAACCAGATTCTCCAAATTGCTGCGCACAAAATTTGTGATGATGTAGTCTGGCTGATCCTGGAGCTCGACAGATCCTTGTCGAATCCAATGCTTCGACTCGGGGTATTCACTGGACTGTGGGTAGCCTTTCACATACGAATGCGCATCGTTCGGCTTCGCCAGAGACTTTTGTAGCTCTGATTTGACGTTCGTCTTCTTGAACAGCGCCTTCTCGATAAGCGGCTGGATCAACCGAGCAGACTCGATATCGAGAAAGGTCAAGAAGCTCATCTGGAATCCTTCATAGAGCGCTCTGCGCAGACTGCAGGTTTGCTGAATGATCTTGGCGAAGCTAAGTGTTCTTGTGAGCGTCCGGAGAGAGAAATGAGGCCTCTGACCTGCTCCGTCAACGAGCTTGTTCTGTCTCGCAAGGTCGAGAATCTCCATGTAGAGCTTGCTGACGTCCACTGAGATGGCTGCATCGGCTGTCGACTCTTGTCGAAGGTACGCTCGCACAATACTCTGTAGGCTCTTGAGGTCCCTGTCGGGGCTCTCGACATACAGCTCCGTGAAGCGTGATCGAATGCCTGGTGGAAGATCCTTCTTTCCAACATCCGTGGCAGGATTCATAGCGGCAAAGACGCGGAAGTCGGGATTCGCGATGATGCGCTCGATGTTGCCAGCCTCGGTCAAAAGCAGAGACGGCAGAGGGTCGAGAAGGTCGGCAATCGCCTCGAGGGTGTCGGACGATGCCAAGTTGATCTCATCTAGCAGTACCCAATCACCATTGCGCACAGCCTTGACGATGTTGCCCTCAACAAAAGTGAAAGCAATGGCATCGCTTCCGCCACTGCCCAACTTGCGCTCAATGGCTCTAAATTGAGCAGCAAATTCGTCCCAGCGAGCGAAGTCGATCACGTATTTTGAGTCAACCTTGCGCTTCTTGCTTGGCGCCTCGCCTTCTCTCGGAGGTGACGAAGCCCGCTGCTGGTCTACCATACCGAGGGCTGCATTGAATAGCTGGCAAACCGTCTTCCACTTGCCCTTCGCCATAGCCTTGCCTAGTGACCGGGTGAAATCGATATTCTTCGCAGAGCTGAAGCTTTGAGCAAAGAGATCATCAAAGTCGTCCTTCAGCGGTACCATCAGGGTTCTTGCGTTGACGGGCTTGAAGCCTCCCAAAAGATCCCCGGCTTCACTCTGCTGAGACAAGTTGAACGGGACCAGCTTCTTTCCCAGGTTGGCTGCAAGGTGTTGCACAGCGGTCGTCTTTCCAACACCAGTCTCTCCCACAAGTAGCAATGGCTCTCGGTTGAGGACTGCCGCAGTGACTCTCTCCAACATACGGGTAGTATGAGGATTAGTGGAGAATGACCCAATCTGGTTCTTGACCTGACGAGATTTTGCCAGACTGTAACGGCCGATGACGATCTTGGTCTTGTCGGCTTCATACTTCACTTCATGGCCGCTGAGAAGATAGTCGCGTCGCTGAGGGTCGATGCGTAGCTCTTCTGCCATGACAGCAGAAAGGCCGGCGCGGGTGGCATCGTCCGGAAGCGCGCCAACAAAACAGTCGATCGCCTCCAGAAAGATGAAGTCAAAATCGCCAGCGGTRAAGCTTGTGCGGTTTTTGAGAAGTAAAGATACTCGTTGACACCACTTGAGCAGGTCTCGTGGGCTGATCGGACGGGCAACCCCGGTCTTGCTTTGACCAGCTGATTGCTGTCGAGAAGCCATCAGCCGTTCGAACAGCGTCATAAACTGTGGCATGAACGGTTCAAGGTTGGGGTAGAGATTCTTTGCAATCAGACCATGCTCTTCAGACGAGGGCATAGCGATGGGCACAGCCTGCCAGTGCCTAAATCCAAGCATGTGTGTGAGGGGCTTCGATTCCTCGCCACGGTGGTTCACTGTGCTCCGAACGGTGGCGAGAATCCTGAAGCCTTCTGCGGCGTAGATTGTATCCTTTCGATTTGAGAGTTGAAGCTCGCGTCTCTCAATCAACGGCAACAAAGTGCCAAGCACTTCATTGGGTGCTCGGTCAAGGTCTTCAATCAACACCCAACGTCCTTCTTGCACGGCTGTTGTCAAGACACCTGCACGCCATAYGAATGAACCAGGAGTGTCACCAGTGGTGTAGATGCCGAGCAAAAGCTTTGCATCACTCTGCTCGTTCAAATGGAGTGTCACCATTTTGTTGAGCTTGCCCAAGGACTGGGCGGCACTTCGAATGAGCGTTGTCTTGCCAGCACCAGGCAATCCCGTCAGTAGGAGTGGACTCGATGATTTCAACGCATGTGCGAGTGAGTCCAGATTTCGTACCACGGTCTCTGTTGTGACCAGTTTTTCGATGCTGATCGAAGACTCTGTGCCGGTCCGTGGGAACAAGACGCTTCCAACGAGAGCAGTCGAGGAATGAAAGTCGCCGGCCTGAATGGTACGTGCAGGGCCAGCAGTACGATCGATAGACGTCCTTACATCCTCGATCAGGTCCGTCACAGCATGAAAGCGATCCTCCTCCCACAGAGACAAAAAGCGGTAGTCGATGACTTTCTCGTCCCAGAGACCATCAATCTCACTCCCGAGATCGCGTTCCGCCCCAAGATACTTTTTGACGGCGCTTTCGAACCAGTGATCCGCAGCACTGAGATGTATCTGAAGGATCCGTAAAATGAGGTAAGTGACCGGTCTACTGGAGTGAGCCAATTGTGTAGCCAGTTTATCGGCCTGGACATATTTGCCGAAGGTCCGATGGTCGAATTGGAGCAACCGAAAGAGTCCCAGGAAAAAGAGTAGATCCTCGTCTTCCGACTCGCCCGACTCGTGCCTCTCACGCTCCAAAAGTTCAGTCGCGAAGGGTGCCAGAAATGATGCATGGGGTATCACTCGACCTAACGTGGCGATTGAGGTGGAGAACGATGCATTTTCGCGAAGTGAAGCACATATGTGTGCGAACAGATCTCCGCAGTGTGCCAGCAAGATGTATGTGTAGCGAGCGTCCAGGGCAGCTTTTGTAAGTGATTGCAAGTAGATTGCATTGCTGCTGTTGTGATTCTGGATGGTTTGGAGCAATTCATCAGGGAGCGATGCTCCGATGAGTCCAGCATCGTGTCGCTCCATGTCGAGGACGAATGTGTGGGAAATGCGACCGGAGGCCGCTTGATGCGAAATCTATGCGTCGTCTCAAGCAGAGTGTGAGGTTCAAGAAAAATTTAAAGTCTCATGAAGCATCGTAGGCAACCGTAGTGAAGTGCCTGTTTGGAAGCGTGCGCTGGACCATCATTGGCTCGGAGGACGGAGAAGCACCCGCTGGAGACATTGTTGGACTTGGACGGACGGTGGAGGTGCCATTGATCCATCCATTCACCTCATATCCGCCATCATGTCGCTCGCTCCTCAATTTGCCGCCCGCCGGTGCGTTCAGTGTGTCCGCTCCGCCCAAGCCACCCCTCTCCTTCGATTCGCAGCCTCGACCGCACCGCGCAGACGACAGCAGATCGCGTGCCGATGGCAATCCACCGATGCCGCCGCCGCGAGCTCTGCTTCCCCAAAGATTGCGAAGATTGTAGAGCAGATCAGTCAGTTGACGCTGTTGGAAACGGCAGATCTTGTGTCATCACTAAAGGTAGGATCATTCGCCCATCTTCTTCTCAGACTCGGGCTCACAAGGTATACACTAGTCGCACTTGAATATCCCTGATATGCCYATGGGTGGATTTGCCGCCGCTGCGGGACCCGCTGCCGCTGCACCTGCCGCAGTAGAGGAAGAGGAGGCCGCGCCTGCCAAGGAGGAGAAGACATTGTTCAACCTCAAGCTAGAGTCATTCGATGCCGCCGCAAAGCCCAAGATCATCAAGGAGATCAAGGCCATGCTGGGTCTATCTCTCGTGGACAGCAAGAAGTTTGTCGAGAGCGCACCCAAGATGATGAAGGAAGGAGTTGCCAAGGAGGAGGCAGAGAAGATCATTGAGACATTGAAGGGCCTGGGTGGAGTTGTCAAGATGGAGTAGGAGTGCATATCGCAGCGATGATGGTGATGGATGTATCAAAAGGGAGGGTCGATGTTGGAGCTCTATGCATCTGGAAGATGGGCGCTGGGTTGCATTACGGGAATACATGTACAGTACGGACGGTGAGTGCAGCTTTTCGCAGCCAAACCGTACAATTCACAAGCAGCATTGCACAATTCACGACATATTCCATGTTCATCGCCTCAGGGATGATCAGTCCTGGTGGCGAGAGAGCTAAATGCGAGAAATGTAAAGAGATACTCTCGTACCAACTGCAGCTCCATTCGGTCGGCAGACTTACCATCTCAAAGGGCATTCCCCCTTTGTCCAAGGCCCGATGAGATTGAAGTTTGCCGCCCCATCTGCAGCGGTCGAAGATGTCATGCTTTCCGCAACACCGACAACACGATTACGAAGACGACGTTGGACTCTCCGCAAGGCTGCTTCCTTTGGTGCATGAAGCTACCTCTTCGAGAGCAATGTCGTCGATTCATTACAGGGAGAGCCGGCAAGCACTTCACCAGCCCTATCCCAATCAGATATCAAATACCAAGGCAAAATCGGATGCTGCTGACGTTGACAGTGTTTGATTGTTAGATCATCCACCTCTTTCTCGAAGGATGCATTCTGAGATCGAAGATCGTCCACGCCCTAGAATTCCTCTGAACAGCCGCCGAACTCGGCCAAGCGACATTCGAGTACATCTTCACTCACTTTATAATCACTGCTCTCCGGTCCTTTAAAAGATAAACTGGACATGTGCAAAACATGGCGATCACAACAGCATCTCCCCCCGAAAAAGTTCAAAACATGAACACCCTACACGCAAAGGACTGGTCCACAAGCAACGATCCCGCGAATCCAAGGAACTTCTCTCTACGCCGCCGTGTTCTAAGCACAATCGCATATACTCTCCTGGCATTTGTCAGTACGTTTGCCGCCTCGCTATACGGACCTGCAATCGAAAATGTCCGCAACGAGTTCAACGTCTCCGAGGAGATTTCTATTTTGCSACTTTCCATGTACAACATCGGTATGGCTGCAGGTCCACTGATTGGGAGTCCGTTGAGTGAGACGGCAGGACGAAAGGTTGTCATTTTGATCACGACTCCCATCTTCGCTCTGTTCATACTCGGTGCGGGTTTATCGCAATCGATCACGAGTTTGACGATATGTCGATTCTTTGCTGGGGCTTTCGCTGCGCCGGCTATTGGGAATGCGAGCGCCACTATAACGGACTACACTGCAGGCAGGTATCGAGCGGTTACTATGAGCTTCTACTATACCATCCCGACTTTCGGTGCTATGCTGGGACCTCTAGTTGGTTAGTCAAAGCCTTCGCTGGTGGGAGTTGGAGTTGAAAGTGTCTGCAAGTCAGCTAACATGGTTTCGCTGTAGGTGGTTTTGTCGTTCAGGGCAAAGGCTGGAGATGGACACAATGGTATGTGAGAGTCTAACGTGAGAGACATACTGCTGACCCATCGCTCAATTCCAGGACCACAATCTTCTTCATCGTGGCTTTCTACATCCCTGTATGCTTCACACGAGAGACGTACAAGAAGACCATACTGCAACGCAGAGCAAAGGCCATGGGAATAGAGGGACCTCCGACGATCCAGCGGACAATACCACAGTCCATTCATTATTTCACGACAATTCTCTTTCTCCGACCTGCACACATGCTATTGACAGAGCCGATCGTCTCTCTGGTATGCCTCTACTGCGGCTTTCTCTTCGGACTCATGTACACGTTCGTCATCGCCTCCCCATGGGTGTACGAGCACTATTACGGTTTCAACCTGACTGCTCAATCACTCTCATTCCTCGGACTTTGCATTGGGACTGTTTGCGCCCCTTTTCCACTGGTAAGTCATCTCGAAGGTCACACTCGATTCCATCTGGCACAAAGAAGACACGTTCAATGCAAGGTCCTCTTCCGCCACACTATTGCGTGAATCATTTCACTGCCAACGCACTAGCGTCAGGATTTTCGAAGGTGCTCTGCAGGTCTTGAAATCCACGAGACAATGTATCTTCGAGAGTCGCTATGAAGGAAGGGCAAGACAGCTTGTCGAAAATGCTCACCGAGTACTTCACTACGCCCAACACAGGCTAACATGACTGTCCCCCATTCTAGGTTCTACTAGATCACTACATCTACCAACCCCGTCTAAAACTCTTCCGAGCAACCCACCCTTCCGACGAGCGCTTCCCACCCGAGCATCGTCTCTACCCGGCAATGATCGCCGCTCCACTCCTCCCCACATTCCTCTTCCTCTTCGCATGGACGGTCCGACCTTCAATCCACTGGATCTGTCCCATTATCTTCCAAGGACTGGCCATGATGAGTTCCGTAGTGATATATGCCCCCTCGAATTTATTCATGATGGATGCATATGGTCCTCTCTATGGAGCTTCTGCGGCGGGTGCTGCGATGTTGTCGAGGTATACCCTCAGCGCTGCGTTTCCATTGTTCAGCTTGCAGATGTATCAGAGCTTAGGGGTAGGCTGGGCGACGAGTATTCTGGCATTCTTCACTGTTGCAATGGCGCCTATTCCGTGGATGTTTTGGAGGTATGGGGAGAGGGTGCGGAGACATACTAAGTATGAGACTAGTGCATGAGTTGATAATGATGGAAATCTCAATGTCGTGATGCGTTGATGATCATTCATTTCATCTGATTCCTCTAGCTGCCTCTATCAAGCCGAATGCCAAGCTTTTGAGCAATTCACTTCACAACATGATCTAGCTGGTACCCGAGCATCCAACAAAGGCGTTGCTAGAAGAAGCACCAGTGTGGGTGATGGCGCCACCATATTGTCCGGCAGTGTTAAACACCACTCTGTCTGCGCCGGGGGAGCCTACGAGACAGGACGAAAACACATTAGCATACACTCTCCAACAAGGAGAAACCACTCGAGACTTGGAAGAACTCACCACCACTGTAGGTACCACTGCGGAGCAATGGGAACTCCTGGTAAGGTCCACTGACACGGAAGTTGAAACCCTCGTAGTTGTTGTACTACACTCCATCAATACCCAACCTCGATTCATCATGCATGGCATTGGACACAAACTTACAGTGTGAGGGTAGTTGTTGCTACCGACCTGCTGGTTGTTGCGGTAGTAGCCGTAACCCTTGCTGACGGCCGCGCTGACCTGACTGGCAGTGTAGGAGGTGCTACCGCAAGTGGTGGCAGACTGGCGTGCGACCAGTTCGTTGACCTCGACGGCTTCGACCTCGGTGACCGGCACTGGAGATGCGATCGAGGTGACTGCCAGCAGCAGGGCGCTTGTGATGAAGGAGAAACGCATTTCGTAAGATGGCAACGAGAAGATCCAACGGTTTGGGGAAACGATGGACTATGGGGTTTGGAGTGAATGTCGAGTTGGTGATGCTTCTCGCTGCCTTTGATGCTTGATACGCGTGCTGTCTGAGTGGGAGTTGGAGAGGGGATTGTTCCTGAGACTTTATACCCTCCTGACAATGATTTCGGATTCTCGGACATATCTATCCAGACGCATGCTTACTGCTATGCCATTAAGCGAAGCGTGGACGACTAGTAGATGCACTACTGACGATCGCAAGGCTGGAGTACTTTCTAATAAGCACTTTGCCGATAGGATAAGGGAGAACACGAGGGATGAGCATGGGTTTCACAGGTTCCGCCTTTGCCCTGGAGATGCACAAGAGCGCAGATCGACTAGGCTTACAGACCGCTCCGCTGTAATAAGCCCCGGGGAGTTGTGCAGAAGGGGAAGGTCCCTACAACCCATGTATACTGGGGATGAAGATAAGCCAAAGAGAGGTCGTTATCAGAGCACATGTAGTCCTTTTAGTGTGCAAGTGGGGGATGAAGATCGTGGTGCCTCGGAAGGATGTGTAGTGAACGTTCTTGGAAGCCGTCCAGTGAGAGTGGTCGAATGGGATCTCATTTCTTGTAGCCAAGAACTCTGTCTGGCCGATCAGGGTGGGGCAACGGATCTCAAGCTCAATATGGCAGGAGCGGCCGTAAGCTCTGGATTCGGACCTTGCCTTCCACGACGCTCTCCCACGAGCTTGTTGATGCTCGCCGTTAAGAGTTGGGTCTCAATGCGACGTTTGGCTGCGAGACGGACATGGCATCGGCCCCGGCCGTGGACCCGTTCGGCTGTTCAGCAGCTCCGGTTCGTTTCATGCGAGAGCAARKCTAAAGACGTCATTGGGTTCTGAAATATTGTTGTAGGTGTAAACACGTTTCTCTTCACAAACTTCCAAGTGAGAGCAACCAACCTGTTGACTTGCAACTGGGCACAAGACATTCAAATCGACTTCGCCAGCGATATCCTCTCAGTATGCCGCAAGCTGGCCTCGGTGCTTCACAGCACACCAAACAGTGTTTGCAATATGCTGTGCTGGCAGACCATTTCTCTGGAGATGTCAAATCTTCAGAAGCCGTTCTCGACAAACTGAGTGAGCCAGTTGAGAAGGAAGTCGGCTCTTCGGGAGACGCTGGGGAGGTGGAAGAACACTTGACGACCACGTGGAAGTCAATCATTTCCAAGGCAGCCGAAACATCTTTCACGGATTCCAACATGACCAAGCTAGTGGATCTCGTCACGGCCTTGCAAAGTAGACCAGACTTGCACAGAGACAGCMAGGTTTTCCGAGTGGATGACATGACCGTCTGGCGTGATCTGCCCATGTTCGGCCGGCAGATGCGTGAAGCATGGAATCTGGGTTGGTGTTGTCTGTGTAGAGCTTTTGATCATTTACTGACTCCAATACAGCTGCGGACGAGCGGAGCGATCAGCAAAGCAAAGACCAATGGATCAACGTCAACGCCTTCACTGCTGCATTGGTAGCTGCCGCTCATTCGAAATCGAATGGAAAGCCTGACTTCTCCCTGTATTGCATTTGGACGGTTCGCAGCGGGCTGGAAGAGKATCTCGAGATGGTGCCTGAAGTCGCAGTCGCAGCGGCATCGACGTGGTTTGTTTTTGCGGCTTCTGTAATTGCAGACTTGTGCCGTCAGGAAAAGTCGTTTGAGGGCAAGATGGCGAGAGGTGGTTTCTCCTTCCAAGATCAAGGCTGGACTGGGTTCTCGCCTGGCCGATGGCACGCCTGGGAACAGAGACTGCAGGATGTGCAGGGTCGGGTGTCGGAAAAAACGACCAAAGATCTTGTCGCACAGGCCATTGACGCCATCAGCAGGGTCGGCAAAGTATGATTGCCGGTGAAGACATGATATCATCCTGTTCGATACCGATTTCGAATGGATGCCATGCGATTGACGCGACAAGTTTAAGGGAGGCCGAGAAAGTGATGACGCGAGAACGCGACAAGTTCAGCCAGATCCCTGATCCTTGGGGCTGTTGGGAAGCCATACCCCCTACATATCATGCGATAGATGCTATATCGTGTTTCCGACTCATCGGCGGAAGTATTTGAAGCCTTGAATTATGATATGGTCCATTTGCACTGTACCAATGTGGTGGCGAGTTCCTGCATGTTGAAAGAGTGGGACTGGAGCCCGACGAGTGACGCCCGTGTGGATATCGAGTGACAGTCTGCGTTTCAGCAGTCCGACAGACACCCTCCAATGAATCTCACGCATGGTGAGAAGGCGAATCGGAAGTGGATGCAATGAGGGAAGCGGGAAGAGCAACAGGACTGGGCTGCGCCGCCAGACTTGTGAATGAACAATCATGAACTCTCGACTCTTGATCTGGAGATGGAATTTGGAGATGGAATTTGGAGATGGAGATGCACGATCTGGCCGTGAAATGCGAAACAGGGCACTACTAATATGCATGCAGGGTCGGGTACCTGATGAATCGTGACTTGTCGTCTGATGGTCGAGAGATGCCGGACGGTTCGTTTTTTTCCCATCGGATGGAGTTCCGCCCCTGGGTACTTGCACATGACTGGCATGATCATCATCGTCGTCGTCGGGAACTGAATAAGAGCATTGACGCGGTCGGAGGTGAGGGTGTGTGGGCTGAATTATAATAATAATTTCCGGGGTTGGTGTCTTCCAATTTGGTTCTAGGGCCAAGGACACACGCGGCAGGTGCAGGGCAAGCGGGTTGGCGCGCATTGCAGCATCGGGCGACAATCCAGACTTGCGCAACATTCATCCCCTCCACCATACTGCCGGGCTTAGGTTCACCACACTCTCCCAAAGATCAGGGCAGTCGCGAGTGCTCTGCTGGTCCCATCTCACGTTCACCTCGCGCCCGCGATCCCGCCGCATCTACACCCGGCGCTTCCCTCAACATCCCCTCAACCGCATTCCGCGCGGCGACGACGATCACGACAAAGAAACGACGACGACGATAGCCTGGCGCTGCGTCCCACCCACCAGCCCAATACTGCCAGCAGTCCCTCCTTTATACCCCACAAGCAGCAGCACACCCGGCGGACTGGCCACCTCCAGCCACATTGAGACTATATCAATCTCACACGCTTGACGCGACCACCACGCCCACCCGCCCGTGCGCCTTCTTGTCACTCGCTGAAAATCACGTTCCCGCCTATACTTCATAATCAGGCCCATGCCCAGCTTTGGCAGCACTCAGTCGTCGTCTTTGCAGAAAATGGACATGTCACACACCCGCTACGGTGGCGGCAAAAGCTTCAGTTTTGGCAACATCGCAGGCGATCCTTTTTGGCTAGGGTCGATAGGGATTGGTATTGTGAGTCCATATCGCGCCCGTTTCGTCTGCATCTAGGCATGGACTAACATGGCGCAGTCCGGCTGGCTCATTGCCTTCATCGCGTCCATCATTGCAGATATTGGRGATGAGTTTCCAAACTACTCATGGTGGTGTTTGGTCTACATGCTCTTCCTCATGATCGCTGTGGYGTTTGTTGTTGGCGCCGATGCCGTCTTTACCTACCATGTGGCCATGACTGGACTCTTGTCCGCCGGCCTTGTGTTTACAACGTCCTCTGTGAACTCGCTTATATACTCCGCCCGCCCTGCCAAAGAAGCAGCCGCCGCCGGCTTCATCTTGTTGTCGATCGATTCGGTATGTTGGTTGCGTGCCGCTTAGATAACACCATTTTTGACTCGCCTGCAGATCATCTGGATGATATACTTTGGCTCGCAGCCTCAAGCCAGCCATCGCCAGACCCTTGATTCATTCGCACTTCACAAGGATCGTGCGCCGAGCCGCAATAGTAAGGCTATGCRGCAGTCGTTCCGGCCCGAGACGACGCATTCCGGCCACAATCAGCCGCAAATGTACAATTCTGCCCAACTGGCAGGCTTTGAGACATCTTCGCCAGTTACAGGCTATCCAGGTGGTCCGATGGGTGCATCGGCAAGAGCCAGTGCGGGTGGTTTCCCTCAGCCGCTGAATAACCAATCCTCGCATCCCACATTGCAGGGTGGTGCGCCGACGGCAGATACATCCGGCACAGGAGCGCCAACAGAGTACCCATACCGTGCCAAGGCCATTTACAGTTACGAAGCAAATCCCGACGATGCGAACGAGATCTCGTTCTCCAAACATGAGATTCTAGAGGTCAGCGATGTTTCTGGAAGATGGTGGCAAGCGAAGAAGGAGAGTGGAGAAACGGGTATCGCACCGTCAAACTACCTCATTCTCCTGTGAAGGAAGGGATCTGAAGATGGATTGAAACTGCAATGGCAGGATACGGTATATGCAACGCAACGCAACGATGATTCACGAGTACCCAGCGCAGATGACCTTGCTGGCACACGATGAGAGCCGCGGCTTTCCGATTGAATAAGAGGGAAAAGGTTGAAAGCCGAGACATATGGGCGAGATTGAGTAGCAGGTCACGCTGCGGTGGGCACATGCATATGGAGCGACAGTTGAGAAAGGAGCAATGGCGTTATCTTCATGATTGGCATTGGGAATGGTAGGAGCGCGTTAACTGGACGGTCTCTGCTTGGTTCGCTTGTCTCTGTTTTATGCGACGATACCAGTTGTTTGTATGAATCTTTTGACTCTTTGTTTGTGGGGAGTGAGCCATGCGGTTGTGGGAGTGATGTTTGTGAGATGTGAGCTACGGTGTCTCGTTGCGTCGGGATTTCTGAGAGACCGAAGCTCGCCTCCGCCGCGTATCTTTAGCTGGATCTCAGGGAGATGAAAAAGGTCAAGAAGAGTTGTGAACTGTATGTAGAGGACTCTATGTGTTGTTGCAATTTTGACACTCCTTTGCGATGGATGAGCCATTCTTGTTGGTCAGTTCGCGACGAGCGAATCATGATGCTATGGACGTGCGGCTCTTTTTTTGCGATGAGGGAGAAGATAGCACAGATACAGTTGGCAGAGTTCATGGATGGTAGATGCCCAGTCGTGACGTCTGAACTGGAAAGCCTTCCAAGGGAAGAACGCAAGTACCCATGTAGACCTCCTCTTCATAAAATACGTCGAACCCTCTCCTGAATCTGAGAGTAAGGTAGGGCTTAAGGAGAAATTGAAGCGATGGAGGGTTCGTCCAGCTCCCATGCCGGCAATGTCATGCATTCATCGTCCGTCACATGCATTATGATGAATTGTGACTCCTTTTTGCGAATACCGCACCTTCGCGCACTGGAGTGGGAAAACGCTAGAAGACGGCAGCTAACAAACCTGGTATGTACTGCTTCCGAAGATTGTTTTTGGCGACACGCCCTTTTCGAGGCTGCGAGGATTATAGCTTTTCACCACTTCGACGCGCGAAGGTACTGTACTGAGCTAATGTTGTAACGTGTGGTGCGTAAATTGATGGCGCAAGTGTGCTTGGTGGTGGTCGTGTGTCCGGCGGCTAAAGGTTTTTCCGAAGGTCTTGGCACTCACGCGGAAGACCTCACTTGCCCCTATCGATATTGTCTCCTCATAAGATGGGATATATGATGGTACTAAGACATATGCAATTGATCCCTATCATCAGGCGATGAGTTTGGTGCACTTGATGCATTGGGTTGTGGTGTTCGTCAAGCGTGAAAGTCGAGTCCAGACTTTTGAAATTTCGGCTCCCTCGGCTGACGCACTATCGTAAAAGCATGTCTTCTGTGAGGGCCTTGGCTGCCGTCTGGCATGATTGAAGCTGCTGGAAAAAGCTCCTGTCATTTTGGAGAGTGATGTTGCAAGTCTTGGTGCAAAAAAGGGGTGGCTTCCGAAACGGGCTATATGATCGAAAAATAAATTGCTTCACCACGAAATGATGCACTTGAAAGCCGTGTCGTGCTCGGTAGTGTAAAGTTGAGCTTGCGGTTCTTCTGGTCGTGGACTTGGGGCTGTGTCGTCATCGGGTCGCACATGGCGACCAAAAATGATAAAACTCAGTCCCACGTAGGGCGACATGTGTACAATTAAGGAAATGCAAAAAGACATATTTGCTGAAGGCTTGTAGGCTCTTCAATGAGTTGGCTTGTTGCATCCTCCGGGAATTGAACCCGAACCTGCCGCTGCCTGAAAGGTATGCTGTTGCATGTACCATGGAAGGCGGCAATCCTAACCTGCATGATTGTTAGCACATAGCACGACCTGTGGGTTCTTAGATGACGCACCATTAGACCAAGAATGCTGTTGTGATGTATATGGGACGTTCTGGATCGTATATATAGCATGTGAAGGCATCCCGAGGCTCAACCGTCGATCTGGGGCCCCTGTACCGGACATCAGCCTTGCAAACTTCGTCCCACCCACACAATCTTCCCAGCGACCAACGTGTAAACTCAGCTCACTACTAGCATCAAACTGTACACCTGATTGCTGCTGGTCTTCTCTTTAAGGTTCGTCGTTGGACATATTTTCTCAATAATAGTCATTTTCGCATATCAGGGCATATCCATCCGCACATGTCCTATACAGCAATTGGAAGGATGGATACATGCCAGATTATGGCGAGAAGCCATCTTTATAAGGGCATAGGGATCGGTCGACCAGATTCATCATTGGATATTTTGCCCCTTTACAAGCAATGACGGAAAGCTAGTCCTCATTCTACTTCACCCTATAGTGCATTGGAGTACTTGAGCTCCACGAAAGGATTCATCTCACTCTCGAAAGCCTTTCTAGGTGATCTTGACAGGTAGTTCGCTACAGCGATGACTTATTGATCTTCGGGTGTTGTATGTCTAGCATATTTCTCTATTGGGCTAGTTGTTTTGCAAGAGTCACCTTCAGGTATCTGAGTTACAGGTCGATTGCTCACTGACACTCAAGCTACCTTCGACTTCACTACCTCATTATCTTTCAAGGCAATCGTTGAGGAAATCGAAGCATCATCGAATTCGTCAATCTTATATGCCATCTCTATCCAAGCCGAAGCCCACGAATCGTCTTTCGCCAGAGACCAGGCATTTGATACTTCTCCGTTCTGCTACAATATCTTGGTTCCTTAATCATCCAAGATTCTACGTCAGACTTCAACCAACTTCAGGACCCCACGATTGTCYAAAAGCGAAGTCCACAAATAGTCCAGAACAGATCGATTCATGAACAGATCAGGCGGAGCTAAGCCACGACACGACCCACCGACTAGTAGAGTCTGAGGATAAAGGTTGAAGAATCAAGAACTTGAATGGCAATCTTCAGCCTTCAGGAGACACTTCGGGTCACTCTACCACTTCATCATCGCGTCGCCGACCGACGCGGCGTAAAAGTCGAGGCCGAAGCCGAAACCTCTCAGATTGCTTGAAACTCGGCACAAGATCAAAAGCTCATCGGTATTCCTCGTGCGCGGAAGACGGAACAACAGAGACCTGATGAGGGGGAAAAAAAGACAAAAGAAGTAGGATCACAACAACACGCTTACCATGACTTCTACCATTGACAAAAAAACTTCCCCACTGGTTCAACGAAGCCGCCCAATTTTGAGACTACGACGAGCTTGAAGCATATGTCGAACCCGCCACCGCGATCCTCAATGATGCCGCCTGCCCGGGGTGTCATAGCATGAAGACGCTCGTGCTGCTCGCTAACATACTGGGCGATGAAGGACACCATTGACGCATATGCTGAAGCGGAAATGCTCTGGCGTATCACGCGACGCATCCCGCCCGTTGGCAACGATTGAAAGGTTGACATGGCACCTCTGCGGGCACAACTCGACGATGTGAAAGAATCGCTTGACGAGGAAAAGCTCCAGCGGCAGAATGATGTTAGACGCAGCTGTGCCGCAGAAAGTCGCGGCCTATGATGCTCATGTTGAGAGGGGGCAAGAGGAGTGGATTGATTGCTGCGAACCGAACTGTCGCGGGAAATTCGAAGACTGTACCCCAACCCGACATTCAACCGGCGGCGACCTTTACCTATGTATGTTGTGGGCAGCCCGACCCGAACCTCATGCCCACCGACAAGGCATCCTCATCCTCAACCTCAACCTCGACTTCGACTTCAACATCGACACACCTCGGGCGACAAAGAGGCATGAAGCAATTACTTTGGCCGAAGCCAAGGCCACTCACTGAGCGCGATGATCGCGAGGAATTTGCCAATGCCGACGCCGCAGGCTTGAAGATGGATGGCGCAAACGCAGTCACGAGACGGAAGATGCATAACATGTTATCAGCTTCTCTGCCGTCCTGATTGACAGTACATTACCTCCGAATCCCAGGGACATTCGGGACGCTCAGGACACTCTATCGATGACCTGGTTCTGAAGAACGTCATTGGCATCTCATAGGAAAGGCGTCCCCAATCCTAAACGACCTGACATCTCTTCGCCGCACTTGGTGGAGCTTTCCATCTAATTCAGCTTCTTGGCACATTCAACATGCAATTGTAAAGGACAAAGAGTTTCTCGGATTCTACCAGGCTCCTCGGCATTGCTTGCTAGGCTCCATGATGAAGACGACACTTGCCTCAGGTTCAAGGATATGCCGGAGCTCCTGAACAGCATCGCAGATGTTGATCAAAAGTCCTAATACATGGCTGCAAGAGAGTGTCTTCGGAGAGGCATCAATCGCTTTGGAAGGTAGGAGAAATCTGAAAGATCATCACTATGCCTGATGAAATGGGAGAAATCTGAAACACCACCACTATACACGATGAAGGGAAAGTTGATTCCATACACGTTCCATTTGTATTTCAATCCTTGCCCCAATCGTTCAACAATTTCATGCAAAATTGGCATACACACTTGTATACATCTTCGCACTCCCAAACTCATTCACCCTTCAATTTTGCAATTTCTGCCGCTATTGTTTGCGTCAACCTGCCGTGCCTTGGTGATTTGCATCCCAGAAAGCTTGAGCTCCTCGACACACTTCGCGACAATCGGCGACTAGCTGATTCTCGAAGTCTCCCGGGGAAACGCATCTACTGCGACCGAGCTCTGCGATGCGCACTGCTTCTTTTGCCATATCGAGATGGTCTGGAGCGTTCGAGCAGCCGATGACCATGCATGCGCGGGCACTAGGTCTTCAAGTCAGTAATGCTATCCTCGGAAGAAAATATCAAGACTGATCAATGCCATGGGTTCGACGCACCGGATCAGGAGAGGAATGTTGGCATGTTCGAGGAGAGACCGTGCTATGTTCTCGGCGTGTGCGTCCCTTTCCTCACGATGAGCAGTGAGCATCTCGCGATCCAATGCGTAGTATGCGCGGGTCTCGTTATTCTCTCCCATCCATTCCGAGATCAGTCTGACGTCCGACATGGCTTGTGCAGTGCAATGTGTTTTGCTGTGTCTGTTTGTTTGTGGTCGTGGGTGGAATAAGAAGCAAGAAGTTGTTGGTTTCTCGAAGACTGGTGGGTATATGTCCTTTTCTTATCGTCGGGCGAGCGTCACGGTGTGCCAGCGCTGCCCGTGTCCTCGATCAGGGGTTGTGTCATCGATCAGGAGGTACATTGCTCAAAACATCGACAATGCTATGTGTGATCACGCGGTTGGGGGCTGTTGGTCATGCATATGTCTTCCACACGAACAGCACATTGATTCGGGTTCATGATCTTGAGGTCRTCCCAATGATGGCTAACGGTGTGCGTTGGATGTACTTACGGAAATGTCACGACCCCCTTTCTCAACAACTCATGTGCTATGCATTCGACACGAACCCAACCGTATGATCGAAGGCAATTTCGAAAATGTTTAATGATAACTACAGGTCACATAGACGGCAAGGCGTGACCATCCAGCAGCATACCCGTCGTCAATGCCAGTCAGTCACTACCCCAACCCTAACCCTAATTTGGCAGCTTTGCATAAACGGCGCTAGCGGCGCGTCGCGTGCCCGAATGGAATGCTCACATCACCAGAAGTCAGCGCAAAATACACTTACCGAACATCGACGCAGCGGGACTACGTCCAGAGCATACGACTGGATACAAATATTGGTCCAATCCGCTCCTGAATTCCAACCATGGCGACCTCACAYCAACAAGGCGCCGTGTTCCCTCAAAGACAACCGTACGGCGCGTCAGCTATCGGTCGAGGCGCGGGCACGAACGCCTTTGCCCCGACGCCTTTCAACCAGCCACAAAATACCACCGGTGCAGGGAACTCACAGCAGCAATTACACGCTCAACGCGTAGAGCGTGAGCGCGCCGAACGCGCCGAACAGGCGAGACTAGAAGCCGAAGCACGGGATGCGCTGGAACGACTGAGCGAAGAGCAGAGAGAAGAGATCAACGAGGCAGTATGCTTGCATGCAGGATACATTCCAACACGTCCACTAACAGCCACAGTTCTCCCTCTTCGATCTCGACAAAGACTCCCACATCGACTACCACGAACTCAAAGTCGCGCTGAAAGCCCTGGGCTTTGAAGTCCCCAAATCAGACCTATTACATATACTACAAACGCATGGAATTCCCGCATCCCAGCTCGCGGGTGCGAACCCTCCTCTGCCGCAACATCATCACCAAGCGACGTTTTCTGGTCCTTCGAGGCTACTGCTCTCACATGCCAACTTCACAAACATTGCTGCGCAGCGAATCCTAGCGCGTAATCCGAGAGATGAGATTCTTCGCGCCTTTGAGCTGTTTGATGCGGATAACAAGGGAAGGATTGAGCTGCAGGATTTGAGACGTGTAGCAAGAGAGCTTGGGGAGGGACTTCAGGAGGAGGAATTAGCGGCCATGATTGATGAGTTTGATGTGAGAGGGGAGGGCGGGATTGGAAGGGAGGAGTTTGTGGGCATCTGTATGGGTGCATGATCAAGCAACTTTGCGGTTGGTTGAATGCGAATGCGGCTGTCACGAGAGGTAATGCCTTGGGTTGAGCAGTTTTCTTGCTAGCAGCGGTAAGCGTGGGTGTTTGGGAGTTGCAGCATTCAGGTCAGGTCAGAACGACTGGACTGGGCATGTTGGATAGCGCGGTGGAATGTCAAATTTGGTCGGAGCGAGTGAGCGTTACGGCGATAGTGACATTCACGCACAGTGGGATATTGAATTTGTGTAATGTGAAGTTCAATTTGTGTCAACTACGTAAAGTATCAAGCGGCGGCGACACTGTTGTGTGCACGGTGAAGAGCACTCAAAGCACCACCAACCTCCACTCTTGAAGGATCTCATTATTTGAGACGCTTTCCCGCGGACTTCAGGCGATGATTGAGTACTGAACCTACTTCGCTGGTCAGCCTTGCACGACAGAGAGCAGCGTGATGTCAAAGGTAGGATGAAGGAGGAGATATCAGTATAAAAGGCCCTGTCAGGAGCCATCTCAGCAGTGTAGTCTTTTGACTACTATGTCGACCGTCGTGATTGTTTGAGTCATCATTGTATGAAGGAAAAGGTGAAGGGAGTGTCGGTGTGGCAAGGTACTCACCTGATATCAAACAGTYAAAGACTTATGCGATGTCGGAACATCTTGATCCGGAACATCTTGATCATATCACATTACATCTGTTCTGCTAGTCAGTCAAGGCACAAAAGCCGTAAACATCGACAGCAAATATGGTGCATGGAAGAGAAAGGCTCAGGCATTGCAACGTTTTCGTCTGCGCCACCTGTCACAGCGGCTTGGACATATGCTTGTCATTGTTGATTTGAATCATCAAAGAAGGCTGGCGGGGAGAGCGGGAGCAAGCTTACCTCGACATGCATTACTTCGTTGGGCGGTCGATCCTTGCTCTGTTTCTTGATCTACTAATGCCAGTCAGCAGCCGTCGCAGCAAAGTGGACATGCGATGTGGATTTGCAAGAGAAGAATGATCAGATAGGCATGAATGGTATTAAAAAGGTTGTGTCAGCAACGGCAAAGCCGGATAAGACTCGTCATCTAAAGGGTTCATCATGTAAGGTAGAGGGGAGGTGAGAGAAGAGGTGTACCTACCAGAAGCAGCGAGCAGGCCCAGCGCTGACAAGACGAGCGGCGAGCTTGTCGTTGCGAAGATATCACGGACAGGCGCGGCCTGAGAATCGAAGGTCAGCTTCGAACAACCAACCAGATCGCATGTTGAATGTGATGGGAGGTGTCTGGATCAGTGGACGAGGTTTTCTAGGCCTGTCACAAAATGGCGTATCTGCTCACGCATGATCGGAGCCCAGTGCCAATTCATCAGAAGACGGGTGTGCAAGGAAAGTTGTGTGTGATGTGTACCGTACCTTTTCGTCATCTTACGCAGCGTCTTGATGGAACATTACGGGCGGCATGCCTGCGGTGGACACTTRCTGCCAGCGATCATGCAATTCGCAGTGTTCCATCACGAAAAATATTACAGCTCTCGATCGGTGGTCTTCGATTGAATCGACGGCAGCCGCGTTATGAATTTGAGAACTGAGGCACGTTGGAGACGTGAAGAAGGCTGACGGACTGCGCTACTATACTTCAACAAATTAGCGATTGCTCCCACAAGATGCTAAATTGTTGAGTTTGGTAGGCAGTTGAAAGATCAGGTACGTATATAGCCAATTTTCTCGCCATCGACCGAAGTCTCGGCCGGTAATTCCATTTTTTTGAGTGTATCATCATATGAGGAAGGGTGGAAAGAGGTGGTGATACTCACTGGAGTCACAGCCGCGTAACCGCCCTCACGCGCTCATGGCGGACGCGAGGACAGCGCATCGCAATGGAGCCATTCTGTCGAGCAGCATCTGAATTTGTTGTCAGCGAGTTGCAGCAACGGTAGTGATTTCGGTGCATTGGTGAAGTTGTGGTAGCTCAGACTGACGTGCAAGGAGGTTACATGATTTTGTTCAAAGACTCTAGTTTGCGGTTTTGCTTTGTGACATCGTTGCGAGGGGATGAGAGGAGTTGTGGAGGATACTAACCATAGAGCTAGCAAGAGCTGTGCTGATGGGAGGCCGGTTCCGGAAGCGCGCGTATCAAGGTGATGGTGGTGTGTGGTGTGTGGGAAGAAGCTTCGGAAGTTCGCTTCAAGGTTGATGAAAAAATCGMGGGCTGACTAAAGCATGGAACTAAAATATTTCCTCAGGCATACACTAAAATGAGCACAGTCCGCAGGCATACCTTGACAACATAACAACACATTTGACGTGCAGTGCACGAGTGGAGGAGCCATTGACCGATGGCGCTCATCCTCTCGATTGGCGCTCATCCGTGTTGACAACCTTCACCATCGATGTGGTTGACAGGTTTAACTACATTCACAACGCCACGGTCTTTCGCCACAGAATATTTTGTCAATTACCTCTTATGAAACAGCTTCAACACCCCTCTCAGCAGCTGGTGTGCCATCAATTGAGATGGCGGTACTCGAGGGCCAGAATACCCCTTGATTGGTGGCTCCCACATAGGATTCGCTCCATGATCAAGCGCATGTTCTACTTCCGCCAGCTCGAACCACTTTGCTTCCTCAAGCTCAGACTCCGGATATGTTATGTCCTCGCCACCAGGAACACACTGACCCATAGCACCTATCAGCAGCGTCGATGGATATGGCCAGGGTTGCGAAGAGTGTAGTTGGACACGATCGATGCGAACACCAGTCTCTTCGAACGCTTCCCGACGGGTAGCAACTTCCAACGACTCTCCAGGTTCCACAAACCCAGAAAGACAGCTAAAGTACTGGTCAGGCCATCGCTTACCTCGGCCGAGAAGCACGCGTCTGGCGTCTGATGAGATTGGAGCGATGATAACTGTAGGATCAGTCCGCGGGAAGGCCTGGTTGTGCAGACCGATACGAGTAGAGCAAGTCTTCTTCCGTGGGACTCCAGCGTCTGCGGGTGGGCAGACGATCTTTGCCCCGCCATGGGTAGACATTGTACGCCCTCCACAAACTCCACAAAAGCGATTTCTTGTGTGCCAATCAAGGAGAGATCTTGCGTGACTGAGCACGGCGGAATCATTCCGAGCAAGACCCAAGTCGATGCGGGTTGGAACATGCTTCTTGCCCTGCTCCGCTTGTTTGGCTTTGAGAGCATCGTAATGGGAAGAAGACACATCGAGGGCAAAGAAGGGGACTCCCGAGTAATTACCCAACTGGACAGTATTTTCCCTGTCTGGTCCCTCAAGGTCGAGGCCGAGGAATACAAGTGTGGGGTTATGCTTCGCTGGGTCGAATTCTTGGATCAGCGTCTTCTCGTCTTGAGCAAAGGGCCTCCCAATGAAGCTCTCGACATCCTTGTAGGAACAGTATGAAAACGAGCCATCACTAGATCGTAAAGCGTTGAGCTCTGCGAATGTCAAGTACTTTGCATATGGGTGGGTGGAAGCCTTGTCCATGAGCTCGTTCTGCATTCGCAAAAATGCCAGCCTGTCGATGTTGCCGTTGGAGAAGTAGGCATTGTTGGCATCCCCAAAGATCTCGGTCAATGTTGAAGGCGCCATACTGGGCAGCTGTCTGTATGACTCTGTTACGGCATAGGAATAGCAAAGTAATATGATTATTGTAGTCGCTTGCGAGGAAGCTATCCCCGCCCTTCCTATTTTGGGAAGGTATCCCGACCCGCGTCCGGATCTTAGGTGACTACCGCCGGAAAGCAAAACGTTAACACTAAATTAATTCTAATACTGCGTTTTCTGTCCTTTATTATCTAAAACAGCGTGCATACGCGCCGGCATACTATCTATATAACTATTAATTTGTTTAATAGTTATTTCGTCGTAACTTTTAATAGCCTCTACGCGTATATCTTCCTTATTAAATCGCGGGTTTTTTTAAAAACGATTCTTAGAAATACTCGTAATCGTTTCTACTACCGAAAGATCCGGAGAACTACGCGCATTATAGTAGTATTTAATACCGTGTTCTTTTTTAAAAGCCTCCGTTTCTTTAAATCGATACGAACCGTCGTAATCCTCCTCTAAAATAAGGTCCGGGTTGTCCTTAAAAAGCGGTAGAATAATAGGAATTAGAAACTCCTTAATATATTGTTTACTCGATATTTTTCCTACCGAGTTACGCGGTTTATATTCGACGAATTTCTTATAATTCTACCCGATTAAAGCGAAAAAATGTACGTCCTTTGTTTCTTCGTCGTCGCGGAAAGATTCGCCTTTATCTTTATTACGTATAAGTCCGTGTTTTTTTCCTTTCGTTCGTTTCGGTATTCGTTTTATTTTCGAGGGCTTATCCTTATCGCCGACCTTTCGATAGATAAAATGTCGATTCTCGCTTTTGCCTTATCCGTAGTAAAACTCGTCGGAAAAGATTACGTTTCTCTAATCTTTTTTTCGTCGTCGTTCCTAAAGTTTTTTCGTCGTAAAATCCTCTCGATACTTCGCGTATTTTTCGTCGAGGGCCTCCTCCGTTCTAGCTATATATCGTCCGTATCCTCTTTTTCGGAGACCTCGACGTAAAGTCCTTTCTAAAACTTTCGGAAGTTAGGCCTCGTATCGAAGGATTCCGAAATCTACGTCGTAGTTAGGTTCCTCGATTATTCGGATCGTATCGTTAATATTTTCCTCCGAAAGATAAAGGACTTCGTCTCCTCGATATCCTCCTCTAGGATCCTGTCCTTTTTCGAAACTCCGTCGTAATTTTAACCTTAAAACTTTAGAAACATATCCTTTATCTTTTATAAAATCTAGGAATATATCTAAAATTGTCTAAAGCTATAATTTACCGTCGTATCGTCTAGATCTTTCTAGAAATTCTAGAATTTTCTTTGCTCCTTAAATTTCTGATTTTTTAGGAGTATCTAGATATATAGGCATTGTTTAGATTGTTTTGTATTATATATTAGAAGAAAAAACACGTTCAAATTGCGACGAAGATCCTCGGCTATTAACGTTTTGTTGTCCGCAACTTGGGTGAGTAAAGATCCGACATCTTTGTCGAACAGCAATGTTGAACCTCTTCCTTATTCCGACTGCTCTTCGGCGACTCATACTATCGCATCAGAGCTCTCCGACTGCTATCAGACGACTAACCACAGCTGCCGTCCATCACGATGCTCTCTTTGCGGACGTGGACCCTCCCACCTCAAAGGCAACCTCGACGGAGTTGCTCACGCTCACATCCTCTACCTTGAACTCGTATCATGTCTCCACCCCTCCAGAAACTGCGGAACTCAAGAAAGCCGCATTGTTCTTCTCGCGCGTACCACCGACTCTGCTCTTCAGCGCGCCCAACTTCCGCCACTTCCCACAATCACACTTCCCAGAAGTGGCATTTCTCGGACGCTCCAATGTAGGGAAAAGCAGTTTGTTGAATGCTCTCTTCGGTCGAACCAGCCAGAAAGTGGCGCATGTTTCCAAAAGACCTGGTCGTACAAAGACCATGAATGGATTCGGAGTCGGTGGAGAGGGCATGACGGGTGCCAAAGGCAAGAAGAAAGAAGGTGAGACCAAGAATGACGAAGCATGGAAGCGGTTCGGGCGTGGCGGACTGATTGTCGTTGATATGCCTGGATATGGCGGTGGCAGTCGAGAGGAATGGGGAGTGGAAGCGCTCAAGTACCTCGAAAATCGCAAGCAGCTCAGGCGGACGTTCGTATTGGTAGATGCTGAGCACGGATTGAAGCAGTCAGACATCTCCCTGCTGGTGCATCTGCGGAAACATGGCATTTCGCACCAAATTGTGTTGAGCAAGGTGGACAAGCTGTTGTATCCTCACACGAAGCCGCCCGGACCTCAAGCATTGCACAACAGATTGCTCAATCTGAGAGAGCTTTGCGGGAACATCCGGCACACACTGAATGAGGCGGTCGAGGGCGGGCGAGATACGATGGACGACATCCTGTGCTGCAGCGCAGAGAAGACGTTGGACCAGCGAGGAAAGAATTCCAGGATAGGGATCAATGAGATTCGATGGTCCGCCATGAGTGCTTGTGGGTTGGAAGGTTAGGCTGGATTGTATGCGTCGAGATGGCGGTGTTGAGAATGGCGTGCGAAGTGTCAACATGCTCATTTGGGAGAATACTGGCAAGATCCTCGTTTCAAAACTACCTGGGCTGCAACAGTTTCGCCTCCGTGTGCCGAAAGAAAAGGCTTCGTATGGGATGTGTCGTTGGTCGGCGATATGGGAAGAGTAGGAACGACGTCGTTCCTTCCTCAGACGGCAAAGTTGCCTAAACTCACGTTCAACACCACATTTCTTCCATCTCCATTCACAAAGACTTGATCTCTACTCTCATTCCACCTGTTCTCAGCACAGTCTGCTCTGCAAAAGCTACCGAAGCCATGGAACAACGCATCTTTGACCAGCTCGACCAGTTGGAACGCGGCGCGAGGGAGACCCGGCCCCTTAGCGAGTACGACGGCGACGAGAGCCATGGCAAATACGAAGGTTCAGGCTTCGAAGACCAGGAGATACAGATGGACTCATTTGGTGAGCCTCACAGGCAAATTGGTATTCCGAGACTGATGTTTTCAGACGAGCGCCTGCTCCGGCAGCCAAATTACCATTCTCGCCACAGACAAGCAACACTTGGCCACGCCAGACTGTCTCTTCCACATGCTGAGCAAAATATGCAACAGTATGCTCCGCTTCAGTCACAACAAGATACGTTCGCGACTCAGGCTTCTCGCTTCGCGTTCGATGGTCCGCAGCCTGAGCTCTCGAGCTCTTCTCCTCGCCGCCAGCTGCAGCCATCCAGTCCCAGTCCAGCTCATTTCAACGACAGACGCTATTCATCTGCAATTGGCACGTACGAAAACACGATGCCGAGTCAACACCATCAACAACAGCGAGCGCCCCAACCGCGGCAATTACCCCTTCAGCCACGGCGTCGTGAAGAAACTGGATTTGAAGATCTGGAGACGGTCGGAACGAGGACACTCGACGATGAGCCCAACTATGCACCTAGAAGGCAGGAGACATTCCGGCCACGCAACACGAGTAGCACACCTGTCGTTCAAGGCATCACGCTTGTGTCGACCCGACAGCTCCCAGATCTAGTTCGATCAGTCTTCCCTTTTCCACTGTTCAACGCTGTGCAGTCCAAATGCTTCGACATACTGCTCAATACCAATGATAATWTCGTCCTCTCTTCTCCGACTGGCAGCGGCAAGACTGCAGTACTCGAACTTGCAATCTGTCGCCTCATCTCGAGCTTCACTACCGGTTCGTTCAAGATTGTGTATCAAGCGCCTACCAAGTCCTCGTGCTCTGAACGCCATCGCGACTGGCAAGCGAAGTTCGGCCCTCTCGACCTGAAGTGTGCAGAGCTGACTGGTGATACCGAGGGTGCCCAGATGCGAGACGTACAACACGCCAGCATCATCATAACCACCCCAGAAAAGTGGGACAGCATGACACGAAAGTGGAAAGACCATCAAAAGCTCATGCAGCTGGTGAAGCTGTTCTTGATTGACGAAGTTCATATCTTGAAAGAAGATCGCGGGGCCACACTGGAGGCCGTTGTGAGTCGCATGAAAGGCCTGGGAACGGATGTCCGCTTCGTGGCCCTCTCCGCTACCGTACCAAATTCGCAAGACATCGCAACGTGGCTGGGAAAGAATCACACCACCCCGCATGTGCCAGCGCCAGTGGAGAAGTTTGGCGAGGAATTCCGCCCGGTCAGACTTCAGAAGCACGTCTGTGGTTACCAGAATGCAATGAACGACTTTGCCTTTGAGAAATTTCTCACCAGCAAGCTGCCTGAGGTCATTTCCAAATACTCCCAACGCAAGCCACTGATGGTGTTTTGTTTCACGCGCATGGCCTGCGTTGATACTGCAAAAGCTCTGGCAAGTTGGTGGTCGTCGAGCATCCCACCGGCGCGATACTGGGAGTCGCCACGTCGGGTGGTGACTGTTCTTGATCAGGACTTGCGTGGTGGGTGTCCTAAAGTCCCCACTCTGATGTTTCATCTGCTAATCATGAACAGAGACAGTATTGTCTGGGGTTGCTTTCCACCATGCAGGGCTGACAACAGAAGACCGCCTGACAGTGGAAAAGGGCTACCTGGCAGGTGATATCAATGTCATCTGCTGCACGTCAACACTGGCGGTCGGTATCAACTTGCCGTGCCATATGGTCATAATCAAGAATACAATCACATATCATGCATCCGGATGCAAAGAATCTAGCGATCTGGAAATCATGCAAATGCTCGGTCGTGCTGGTAGGCCGCAATTTGACGTCAATGCAGTCGCGGTCATCATGACACGTTTGACGCGAGTTTCGTTCTATGAGAAGATGATTTCCGGACAGGAGTTACTCGAAAGCTGGTAAGCTGTAACTATGAACGACCCGTGATCCCACCTAATCGTTGTCAGCCTCCATTTGAACTTGATCGACCACTTCAACGCAGAGATTGGTCTCGGGACCATCACTAGCGCCTCATCCGCAAAGAAGTGGTTGACTGGTACATTCCTCTACGTTCGGCTTCGCGAAAATCCCGAACACTACAAGCTCGAGGGCGACGCACCTGGTCGCAGCCTCGATGAGCGGCTGGAAACCATCTGTAGCAGAGCTATCTCTTTGCTTGAGCTGAACGACTTGGTTCGTGCGACTCCCAAACTGCAATGCACTGAGTTTGGTGACGCCATGGCTCGGTATTATTTGCAGTTTGAGACCATGAAGACCCTGCTCGCTCTCCCGCCAAATGCAAAGATATCGGAGATACTCTCTGCCATTGCGCAGGCTGCCGAGTTCAAGGACATTCGCTTTCGGGCAGGAGAGAAGCCTGCATATAAGGAGCTCAACAAGAACATGTCCATCAAGTTTCCGCTGCCTGTTGGCATTGATCAGCCGGCTCACAAAGTCTCGCTTGTGATACAGTCCGTTCTCGGGGCCCTCGATTTCCCTACAGAGGACTTCAAAGCGCGGACTGAGTACACAGCTTGCAAACTGACTGTTTTTCAGCACGCCAATCGTCTCGTTCGATGCATCATCGACTGTCAGCTGTACCTAGAGGACTCCGTGGCAGTCCGCAATGCACTGATGCTGGCGAGAAGCTTTGGAGCCCAGGTATGGGATGATTCACCCCTGACTTTGAAACAGCTGGATACCATTGGGCCTGTCTACGTCCGCAAGCTAGTTTCCGCAGGCATCAAATCAATCGAAGCCGTGCTCAGCACAGAAGCCCACCGCATAGAGGCTGCACTTTCTCGAAACCCACCATTCGGCGCCAGTCTTCAAGAAAAAGCAAAGGCCTTTCCCAGGCTCCGCATCTCCCTAAAGTCAATGGGTGAGCCGTCGGTCAAGAAAGGCTTGGGTGTGTCCATCAGAATGAAGGCCGAGATTGGCTTTCTCAACGAAAAGGTCCCGGAAATGTTCAATCGCAAGTCGGTCTTCGTCTGCGTGCTCATTGATACTTCCGACGGCCGCAAGGCTCACTTTGTCCGCATTAGCGGGAAGAAGCTAGGCAGAGGCCAGGACATGCTCTTCAGTGCCGACTTGACTTCACCGGGGCAGCTGGTAAGAGGCTTCATCATGTGCGATGAGATCGCGGGCACTCAACAGACCGCCACCATCAAACCAGAAATACCGACCTTCATGTTTCCAACGCCCAAGAAAGCAGAGGAAGTCGGAAAGCAGCGTGAGGCGGCAAGTGGTGCCCCAAACACGTCAAAGCTTCGGGCTATTGCGGCCACCAAGCGCAGACCACAGGCAGAAGACGATGATTTCGGCGATGCTGGTCTTGATGATGATGACCTTGTGCTTGCAGAAGCCGACGGATTCGCAAACATTGACGATCTTGATACCTCTAATGATGACAAGAAGTCCGCAAAGAAGACTACGGACAAGAAGAACAAGCCCGCCAAGAGCACAACATCAGAGCCTAAGGAATCCAAGGAGTCGTCCCAACTCGCCAATGGCAAGTGGACATGCCTACATGCTTGCAGGACGAAGAAGACTGCTTGTAAGCATGCGTGTTGTCGAGATGGTCTGGATAAGAAGCCCAAGCCTCCAAAGTCAAAGGAGTCAAAAATAACCGAGCCCAGCTCCGATCTCAAGCAAACGCGCCTGGACATGTCTCAAATCAGGAAGGCAAAGCCGGAAACGCATACTGCTCCAGTTGTGCCACGCAAAGCCGCCGACTCCAAGGAGATCCGCGAGCTCGATCGTGTGGCCAACAATGGAAAAGGCTCCACGTCCAAAGTGCCGCTACTCAAGAAGGATGGCAAGCAGACTCGGCGTGTCGAAGAAGCTCCGTTGGAGGACTTTGGTCTACGGCCACTGAAGTCAGATCCTATCGACGACGATGATATGCTTGATATCGCAGATCATGTTGACCACGATGATTCGATCCAGGCGGACAGCGGCCATGTGGATCTGTCTTCATTTGCTGACCATCACGAAGAGAATCACGACACGACTTGCTCTTACTTCGATGATGATGTTCTTGACGATCTACCTTTCGACACAAATGTCCTTAATGCCGATGCTCTCGACATCAGCGCGTTCAATGCCGATGCTCTCGATGCCGATGCTTTCGGCGATGATGCCCAGGCCTCCCTCGCATTTTTGGAGGACGGGTCTTACCCCGAGAGCGCCTTTGCAGACAAGATCAAGGACGGCCTCGACTCTCAGGGTCTCAACGACGACGACGGCGTCCCACCAGCAAAGAGACAAAAGACCACTCCCCAACCATTATCGACTCAGCTTTACGGAGAGGAAGTGCAAGGCGTCCAGAGCAATTTCACTACTACCAAATTGCAAGGCAATGAATTCTTCGAAGAGGTTCTCGCGGGTAACGCGCCTCAGGCGGACGAAGCCGAGGAGCAAGAGCAAGAGGGTAGCAAATCATGGTTCATCCGGAAATTTGRCGAAGAAGATTTCAATTTCGTGGACTGAGAGCTGTAAACAWCATGAACAGGTGGCAGAGCGATGTTCCACTCGGTTGTCGTTACAAGTCGGAAGCATGATTCGCAATTTGCTGCGTTGTTCGAGAGGCGTGTAAAAGGAGGACTCGAGAAGCAAGCACTAGAGCACGATGTCTCCATTTCGATTCAAGATTGCTCCGTTGTTAGGAACAGGTATATCAATCATTTCATCATTTCTCATATTGCGGGAGCCTCCCAAGCCTCCCTCTTAATCTTCATCAGATTGCTCTGCTTATGTGGGAAGGAAATCTCCCGCTCCTTATAAAATCCAGCTTCCTCGCAGTATTTTCGTAATCTGTGACATCGATTAGTACACATTCGCTCAAATTGACACTCCACATAAATGACGATACGTACTTGACGTTGTCCACTCTCGGCTCCAACATCACCACATTCGTCCTCGAGTCCGCCAACCAGCAATAATGCACCAGAGCATGTAACCATGCTCTCAAGCGGTGCGGACCACGGAACTCTTGCTCGCCTACAAGCACGTGGATACCGCGATCGAAATCGCCGCAGTCGCCTCCTAGATAACCTCCCAGTCGATCCTCCTTGACCCAATAGATTTCGAAGAAGCCAAAAGGCTTGCCGTCGAAACATCCTATCACAGGAATAGCATGCTTGGCAGTCAGACCGTGCTTGAGGAATTCCTCCTGATGAGATTGTGGGCCTTGCTCACCCCAGCTGTACGCCACACGAGGGTCGTTCATCCATTTGTGCAATAGTTCCACGTCTGTCATGTGCATTGTTTCGCTGCCTTGCGCACTGCTGCTAGAACTGTCGGTTCCTTGATTGCCGCGAAGAATGTCGCGTGCAGAGGCTAGACTTCCCTCGGCTTGCGAGAACGGACCATTGTAGGGAACCGGACGCTTGCTGAGAGATGCAACGCGGAAGCTGAGATATTGCTCCAAGCTGGGAATATAGCGCATGTAGATCGTCTCACCTTGCCGCGCGGGTTTTGGTCGCAATGGGTGCCGGACGTTGTTGGTGAAAGTGTATTGAAGGGGTGCAGGTGGATAGTATGTGGGTAGATGGGATGTAGAATGGAAGGGACCTGGAGGCGTGCTGGAACGAAATTGCCCAACCGTCTGTACATGCCTTTCTTCCTCTGATCGGGCGGGATGCATGCTGCTGCGATTCGGACTGGCAGGCCGAGATCCCGATGGACTGAGAGTGGGAAAAGGGGCACTACTAGGAGTTGGCGTGAGGGTAAAGAGATACAGCCGCGGATCCAGCTGCCAGAAGCTGCGGCGTGAGACGAACATGTTGTCCCACCCTTCTACTACGGTCCCCGTCACACCATTGTCAGGGTTTGCTCCTACGCTGGAGTCTTCCGAAGCAATCAAGCCCATTCGCTCGAGCTTGGGCAGGAGTTGTTTGCTCTTGAAGATCCCTTCTCGATTGATATTGATCCGCCATTCGCCCTTGGGCTTGCCTGCATCTGGGGTGTCTTTTGAAGCAGCTGTAACCAACTGCGGGCTAGGCTCTTGCTGGTGAAAGTACCAGTACAAGGTGGCCCACAGCATCATGGCGATCTGCCGTGTGGGACTCGTGGGTGCCCGAAACTCCTGGGACGAGGGATTAGAGATGGAGGAGATGAACATGTGGTCGTTGCGCAGGCTCGGCTGTTTGTAGCGGTGGATGTGAGTGTGCTGCGGCACATCGTCTTGCTGCCCCCTCTGAGGAGCATGATCGGCCTCATCGTCCTCGGTGTTGATAATGATAGTCCAACCAGGAGGAAACACGTTGTGGTGAGTATGCAGGTCGTTCGCCTTGAAAGAAAGGCCCCCAAACACTTGCCCAACTGTCAAAACTTGTCCATTGGGGAGCGATACAGTTGATGTTGGAGCCATGATTGTTCTTGCCTTTGCACGTTGCGCTCCGACTCATACCCTTCGACGGGCAGATCCCAAGATACCTTAAGATCTTGACCCGCAAGCCCTCTAGTTGCCCCGGTCCTTCTCTTTTTCTCTCCCACACAGCTAGGGCAAAGACCAGCCGACTAGTGTTTGCGCCGAGCTACTCCAGCTTGGTCTCGGCGGAACGGTGTACAGGATTCTGGTGGATTCAGCACGTCTCGAGCATCCGGCCGGCTATAACGTCCATGAGGTATAGTCGTAGTGGTTGACGATGTCAAAGAGAACCTTATTCGAAGTGACAGACGTCGAGGTCGTGCTCATACTTCGATAGCGCGAAGTTTCGTCTGTTCCGCGCAAAAGCCAGACAGATTGGGTGCGGTGCCCCTCGGTGGCTTGAATGAAAGTGCAAGCGCCGGCCCATCAATTGGAGGCATGACCCAGGTTTCTGGAATGAAATGGACCGAATGCTCTTCCTGAGTCCTCCAGCTTCCTTCTTTGCCGATGTCACAGCGATGAGACTGCCGGCGCGTGTTTCTGGGAGGTGCTGTCGAATGGAGAGTCCGGTAGATCTATCTGCATTTCATCATCATCATCATTGTCGAGGCCGGGCCCGCCATCTCCGGTAAGGTATGTACTTTAAGGCAGACCAGACCAGGACGTAATCTTGCGACGCCGTTTGATATAAATCAATAATCGATAAGTTACTCCTATTCTCCGTGGAGCCGGGCTTATTCCTTCTCGTCAGCCACTCAAAGTAGATGGGCAGGGTCGCTTATTACTAAACGCAGGCAGCCCGGCACGAGAATCGAGTCAGGCCATGTCCAATTCAGGTAGTCGAGGTACATAGTTCGGGGTCGAGGGTAGAAAGTGCATGTGGTCGCGATGCACCGGATATTCTCTGCACCATTAACCTTTTCTTAATCCCCTCGACACGTGTGCATCTGCGAGAATTCTATACTCCATACACTACACCTTCCCGACTTTCCTTTGACGCGTCCGTGACAACGCCGGAGAAAGTGGCTTTCCAGCGAAGCGCGAGAAGCTGACAGAGGCTCAGCTGAATGAACATGATCGGACATGCGAATGCGATCAGAGGACTAGGACCAGCTGTTTGGTAAACATGCTCCCACAAGCCCAATCGACCCTCGGATCACCATTGCAAATCCAATTCGACTTTGAGCTGGACTTTGCGCCGCCCAGCTTTTCCGGCGATGTTGCCTCGGAAATCAAGGATGGCGTCAATGAGGGAGGGGAGGCCAGCGAGGGCCGTGGAATGGGCAGAGAAAGAGACGAGAGAGGGAGAGGAGATGGAACGACAGCAGCAATAGCAGGACGTGGGCTCTCCAATGCGGGACTTGGAACGGACAGTCAAGCCGATGATCTGGACGACTTTGCACGCGCGATTGAGCTCTCGCTCTCGAGACCAGGCACATCGGGCAGCCAGACCGGCGCGAGTGCACCACCACAGTTCCACCCTTCGTTGTTCCCTCACAAGGCAGTCTCCGACCCCGCGACAATGTCACCGATCATGTCCCCCATGAGCCGCTCTTTCATAGACAGTCGCGATAAGCCGTACGGGCCTTCGCCAACGCCCAGACCGCCCATGATGATGGCAAACCACAGCTCCCCAAGCCTGTCGCGACCCGATTCCTCCGGGGATGGGTTGCGCAACACGACAATGCCATACCATCCTCGCCTCAGTCCCAGAATCGCCATGCATGAGCAGTCTGCTGGAACAAACTATAGCGGTTCCACTGCACGCCCAAGCACTCGTGCGTCTTCAATCTCCAACAGCTTGACCATTGGTACACCGTACCAGGCTACGTCGTCTGCGTTTCCCTTGCCACAGCACGTTCAGACCAGACCCAACAACGACAACACAGAGGCGATGGTGGCTGGAGTGAAAGTTCCCACTCACCACACTTCGTCTGCCCCGAAAGCAGCGACCAAGTCGGCAGCTAAGCCGGCGAGCAAGCAGACGACTAAACCGGCATCAAAACCGGCATCGAAACCGGCAGAGTCGAAAAGGAAAACTCGCTTAATCAACCCGCTAAACCTGCTGCAACGGAGGAAAAGTGAATATCCCATCGATCAAGGCGACGAGGAGCGAGCTCAACGACAAGCTCAAGCCCAGGCGTTGGCTCGTCAGAGGGATGTCGTTGCCTCTGGAGTGAACAAGCCTCCGCCGGGGTTTGATCCTCGCATCAAAGGCAAAAAGGTGCATGATTTCAGTGCACCGAGAGGGAAGCGTAATACATTCGATGAGATGGATTTGCCTTTACCGCCTCCAGGGCTGCGCAGCTCTACAAGCCCTAGTCTTGATTGGCCAATGTCTCCAATGTCAGGAAATGCCTTTCCACCTCGTACTGCCTCCTTGGTCAACCGAGGCCTGCGCCAAGGTGGATCGGAGACGCCTGAAAGGAGGAGCACGCACACACCCGTGTTTGTTGAGCATCTCGGCGAGGACCCTGAGGCCGAGCGTCGTGTCAGCTCAATAGACGCGGAAAACCTTGAAAACAAAGCATTCCTGCAACGCGTTTCGAAGCAATCTGCTGTGACAACCACCTCACAGGAGAGCCACATATTGCCACCTTTCGCGCGGCGCAGCCAAACACTTGACCCTCTGCAAGCTAGCTTGTACCAGGACGACGAGTCCAGGAGGTCGAGTGATCCCTCGACGACGGACAAGGACCATGACACGTCGCTCAGCTCTCTTGGCGATATAAGTCCCATCACCGCAAGAAGTAGCGCTCAAAATTTTGGAGCTGTTTCTCCGTCTGGCGGAGAGAAGAGCTCCCGCCCTGTCTCAAACATGGCACCAACCGAGCACATCACTCGACCCGCAAGAACGTCCTCAACTGGGCAGCCTCGTCGTGACCCAGCCGAAGTCACGACCAACAACTATTGGGTCGTCTTGGCACCTCCAACTGTCGAGACGATTGCCGAAGGACCTGCTGACAGCTCCCCGATAGAGCCACCTGCCACACCACAATCTTCCTCACAGGGTCCGCATCTTGCGAGCCAGGGCATTTCAATTCGACGCCCTGGCTCCAAGTCACAATCTCCAACGGGAAGAGCAAATTCTCCCGCAACTCCGTCTCACACAGAAAAGATGTCTGCTACACCGACGCCGGACACAACGCCCGATTCACGGTCACCTGCTACCTCGAGAAAGCTTGTTGAGAAACGCGCTTCGGCAGTAGGACACGCCAAGCGAGCCTCTGGCACTCCAAAGAAACATGCAAGTAACGCATCAAGGTTCTCCTTCCAGCTGGGTGAAAGCACAGCGCAGGAGCAAGCGCTCGAGGAAAAGCATCGCAAAATTGTATCTAACAGCGGACCCTCGAAGCAAGCGACACACGCCACCAGTCCTGACGAGGACGAGGATGAAGACGACTACTTCGACGAAGACGCCATGGACGACATGGACGAGATGGAAATGCAGTCCGAGCAGAGTGCTGACCACCAGCCCACAGTGCCGCAAAGCTCTCTATATCTCCACCAGGCCCGCCAGGCTCTCCACGGACCAGAGAGTGACGACGGTTCGGCGTATGACGAGGATGAACCGGAGGTGACAGATGAGCGAGACGTTCCTTATGCCGACCATCCTGCATTTCGCGCCCACCCAGCCATGGCACATCAATTTGCCCACAATTCCATGCTCCCAGTAGGGAACGAGGACTATGACGGTTGTTGGCGTGACAGCACGCTTGACTCGTACATGAGGGAATCATATTATTCGTCACCGCAATCTGAGCACTCCCGCATGCAAAGTAGGGGGTCAAGAACTACGGTGGACACAAGCTCTCCTCTGATCCAAGGCTCTGGCGCGCCTTCATTCCAAGACTATCTGTCCGCGAACGACGGCATCAAGGGCACAAACCACATGTCTACGCCTCGGTCTAACATACAGGTCTCGGCAACCTCATCTCCCATCAAAACCGTTCGACCTCCTCTTCCTGCTCGGGACAGTGGGAACAGCGAGCGCAATCGAGTGGCGAGTGGCATGATGTTCAACCCTAACCTGCCCACACCGAGTTCAGAGAAGTCCCCGTGGGTCGGTGAAGCTACGCAGAGCTCAGATCATCACGTTCGCGATATGAGCTTTTCCACTATCAGTGAAGCGCAAAGCCTGAATTCMCCAGGCGGCGCACCAAATTCACGACCTGTCACCCTCAACCTCAACACACGAGGTCCAAGTCAGCACGACGACCACGTCACAAGCCCGAAATTGGACAAGGTGACACTAGCTGGACTTGAGAATGGCCAGGTCAATGCCAGGAGTAAGCCTCCACCTCTGACATCTCCGAAGAGTGCCAAAAGTTTCCGTAGCGATGGCAGACGCAACGGATCCGTGGGTGGCTTGAGCTTGAACTCCCCACGGAGCCTGTCCAGCCATGACTCTGCCGGTAGCGAGAGCTTCGAAACGTTTGCAGAGAGCAGTGGCTTCTCAAGAGTTACAAGCCCACAGGCCGGGCGCAGTAACGGTGGCGATGCGCTATTACGGGCTAGCGACAAGGGGCAGCAGTATCAACGCGTGTCAGGGGCAGGAGAGCAAGTTGAAGCTACTCATCCAAACAATGGTCTTGGTCTCGACACATTCTCAGGATTCGACTTTGGACAGCAAAATCCCCCGCTGGCGACCACTCCGAACAATTCTAGGAGCCCCGTGACCAACACATCTGATCCTCACAAGAAGGGACATAAAGCGCGATTCTCGCTCTTTCCCCACCAGACAAACAGCGGCAGCAGACCAGACTCGAGAGGATTGCAAAAGGATGCAACTCCCTTGCAGTTCACAATGCCTCAGTCAAATCGGACTACAGCGTCACATTACTCCGGCTTGAGCGATGCGAGCCACAGTACGGCTGCAGCGGGTAGCATGGCCAGTTACTCTCCAGTGCGGTCTTCGGCTATGCCGGACTTCCACTTTCCACGTGCAAGCGGGATGCACGACGACGAGAGCAAAGACGACATGTATTTTGACGATGGCAACTTTGAACAAGACATCAATGTTCCGCATCCCACTGCGTTTGATGAGAATACCTTCGACGATGATGCTTTCTTGGCCAGACCCGGTATGAACGTCGGCGGTCGAAGGGAGTTAAGTAATGGTGTCGTTTCTACTACGAGTGTCGGACCATACCCAACCTTCGCAATGCCCAATGCCGTCAAAGCACGCCAAAGGGAGTCGCAACTGATGCTGGAGGATCTTATTCTGCAAGAACCAGTTGATCCGAAGTTGATTCCGCAGCGCAATCCTTCTGAGGATGCAAAACGTTCGGGACTGAGCGACCGAGCCCCCCCTCTAGCCGTGGAACCTTCCAACAGCGAAGAGGAGGCCATGCACATGCAAAGGACTCTTGACAATTATCATGCGGCTCTCGCGAATGCAGCCAACAGAGCTGCGGCGGACGGGCGATTCTGGCGCGAACCAAGCTCTGCGTCGCAAAGCATCAGATCTAAGAACGAGGATGGCAAGAGCACGTATTCGTGGGATGAAAAGAGCGTCTCGTCCAACGTCGAAGAAGACGACGAGGGCCCGCCGTGCAACGCCGTTGCGGAAGCAAATGAGTTGAAAAGTCTTCCCCGAGCATCTGGCATGGCTTTTGATTTTGGCTTTGGCGAATCGACCATGGACGACGTCAATGATTACGACTACGATAACGATGATGACCTTGTTGCAGCAGCGAATGCCGAAGCTTTGGCAAGCGACGACGAAGGGTTCTACGGCCAGGAGTTCGCGTTCTACGGTCGGCCGCGCGCTAACTCCAACGAGTTCAACCCTACCATTGGCGGGTACTTTGGAGAAGACGGCGACGATGGTCTGACCCGGAACAAGAGTCTCAGAGAACCCAACCTAACGCCAATCACCGAGCGCTCAGAGTTTTCCACGCGCAATTCGATGATTGGGCTTGGTCTGGGCATGCCATTGTACGGCCCTCCCAGCGCCGGTCTCTACGGCTCACAATCCCCCGCGCTGGCCCGCATGTCGGTCACACCACTGATGGAGAGCGAGATGTCATTTGAGGAGCTGCGAAGACTGCGAGGTCAAGCTTTCGGTGGTAGCAGTAGAAGTCTTCAGAGTAACAGCGCTCGTTCGAGTGCGCAGTCTTTGGAAGGCTCACTGGTGCAAGGAAACAGGCCGGGACTTTCCAACCCACAGCAGAACTCTGGCGCCGGGACGGGCACATCGTTCACTTTCCCGTCCCGAACGCAGAGCAGCGATTCAAGCAACCCTTCGAGTGTGCAGGCGCCCGTCTCAGGGCAGGCATTGCATGAAAGTCCGCAATCAGCCACTTCCAGTCAAGGCAACCCGTTCTCGATGGATGTAGACTTGACCCCTAGGAAGAACTCGCAGCCCGTTGTCGACCACTCCACAGCGAAGAAACTTCCGAGAGAATCCATAACGAGCCAAAGCGAGGGTCAAACTTCACACTCACGGCAAGGCAGCAATGCCGATTCCGTCACGTATGTCAGGGAACCTGATCCGGACAACAGTGGGAAGCCGCGCTGGGTCATGGAGCGTAGACGTACGAGCGAGCAGGGCCAGCTGCAGCTGATCGGGAGGGAACTCGTTCAGGGAGGGTGGATATGATGACACTGGTGTCGCAGGCGGGGAGATAGCAATGGATACTAACGATAATGTGTCTTGTATGTAAGAGGCTCTAGCGCGGGTGTTTTTGTTTCAAGGGTTCGAGAGCTTTTTACCGAAGTCAAGCGATTGTACGTCAACAGCGGGAGGGCATACTGTTTACATACAATGGGTCTGGCGCCAGTGTTTGCTCAACCGGCCTTGTATAGATATCATTCCCTGCTACAAAGGAATCTGTTGCGACGGTGTCTTGACCCAGACGTCACTTTGAGCCTTTGAAATGCGCTGTATCCGCTGCCGTATATCCGGCGTTCTTTCCATCACTCCGGCGGTCTCCACTCCTTTGCGAATCACAGGGTGAGGAGAGCAACTAGAGCATCGGGAGTTTGTCGGCAGCGTTAGATTTACTGGTCCCGCTGAGTCAAAATAGTACTAATCTATATGAAATCTGCTCGTGGCTCTGTTTGAACGTCTTTTGATTGCTGATCCTCCTCTCCACTCACGAACCAGCATGTTGCAGAGTCGAACATAATAAGAATACCCGTGGCAACTTGCAAGTCTCGCAGCTCTTTGAGCATGGACCTCAGGCAAGGGACCCACGACGAGAAATTTGCGCTTCCAGCGCGTCGGATCTCCAATTGAATCCCAAGTGCTGCTACTACGCGTGGTCTCCTCCCAATACACCAGGTGGCACAGCTGTACGTGGTCTGTGATGGCAGTCCCGAGACATTCATCYGGGTGCGTTGTTCATGCGACTCCTGCATCCGGCCGTATTGATTGACACGCAAGCGCCAGAGACATGGTCATTCTTGCCGGTCCCGATGCCATGGTCAGTACATCGCTTGCCGCCGGTGCGTGTGAGTGATGATAAAAAAGAAGGTAGGTCTACGAATGCGTGGAGGACCCTTACGCGTATCCACTAGGGCCGAGCTTGGCGTGGTTGTACGACAGTCGGGTTGAGCAAGCGAGCGCCCATCGCCTCCCGCTGATTTTCAGGAACACCCGATGCTCATCCTTGTAGAAATGTATGCGGCTCGCCGACAGGAATAGCGCTAGAGCGCTCGTACGGGGTGAGTGGTGGGAGCTTGGGGGACTATTGGGTCCATGCTGGATGCCGGCTATGGAGAGTGGCTGTGGATGGTATGTTTGCACATATGCACCTGCTAGCCCCCTCTCGTCGTGGKCATGYGGTATCCAAGGATACATGCACTTTTTTGTGGGTATGACGAGGAGTTGAGCGGACCGTGTCGTTCATCGCCTGGCGGAGCACTTTCTTTGTGAGATACAAGAGTAGGAGTGAATCGTGCTTTCCCGAATCTCTCGTTCCTTCATTTTCTACAAACTTTCTCTAGCCCACATCACCTCACCTCTTCTGGTACTGTGGAATACGTCTTCAGACCTCATCACCAACAACGTTATCATGCTACGCCTTTCACTCCTCGCGGCAAGCCTGGCTGCCGCAGCGCAAGCAAAACAACAGACCTACAGCACCGAGTCCTGCATCACAAAACACCAACCAGCCCAATCTGCTCCCTCTTCTGTCCCGACAAGCACGAGAACTTCTAGCCAGACTTCCTGCTACACAACTACTACCTGCGGAACGATCACCACAACGACGACCATCACTCCAGACCCAGTGTCATTCACCAAGGGTGCTTCTGGCGAGCTTCTCCAAGCACGAGCGGCTGTGGTCGAGTTTGTTGGCGCGGAGGAGGTGACATGTTCTACAACCACAACTATGTAAGTCTTGTGAAAATGTCTACCTCGCCATACTGGTTGCTGACGAATTCAAGCTCATCGGGGGCCTCGACGCTTTACACCGGTGAATACAGCAACAGCGTTGCCAAACGTACAGCGGCTGCCGCGAATGCTCCTGCGCCGTATGGAAAGTCCCGCAACCCACTGCTTGGGAAAGTCCTTCATCGCTACGGACAAGAGGCGTTCAACGACCGTCAGAAACCATTCGCGGTTGACTGTCTGGCGCAAGTCACAACATATGACGTCGCAACATCCACTATTCAAGACGAAACCGCAATCGAGACCGTCACAGCGGCAACGCCAACAGTCTATGTCACACTGAGGAACAAGGCCGTCGAAGACGAGCCTATTGAAATCACCAAGACAGTGACTGCACAAACTATTACAAGCGGCGTCTGCACAGTTACGGCTGCGTCGTCAACAACCACGCAGCACTTGAAGTGTGCGCCAACGAACCTGATCTCGGAGGTGGATGGCTACGGCATTGGCGAGACGCGAGGAGACTCGTCTAACACTCGTGGTCTGGCCCCTGGCAGTGATCCAAGTGCGTGCTGCCAGCTGTGCTTGGATACTGAGGGCTGCGCAGCTTCGGAAGACGACCCGGATGCCGGCAACTGCTTCTTGTGGTACACTGAGCCTTCTTGTGGATTGGGATTCAAGTACACGACGGGATCGCAGAAGTTGGAAGCTGGTGCGGGTTTCTTAGTACAGACAGGATGTGGAACGATCGAGGCGGCTGATCAGTAAAGCGTGCGTTGTGAACGGATGGAGCAGGACGGCGAAGATCCGACGAGTGTATAGCTAATGAACACTGAACGGCGGAGTAAGCATCCAAGAGGGACATAGGACGCAATCACCGCTGTTAATGGCAATGGAAAATCACGACCATTGTTTCCCCGAAGCCTACGATGACATCGCAAGTTGGTTTGTGACACCACGTCGTACGCCATCCGAGAACTTGTTGGAGCAAGCTTTGAAACCTGGCATACGCAGATGGCGTCAGCCTGCACTCATCACTACCACATTGCCCTTCTGTGCCATCTCTGCCTTTTGAGTCTTTCTTTCGTCTGCTTCAAAATCGCTTCTGCTTTGCGAGACATTATTCATTACACTGTGTTCTTGTGCCGTCCCTCTCACTCAGTTGGCGCCAAGCGCGAAACGGACAGGGGTCACTACTACTATGGAGCTCCAAAGCATTCCGGCGAGAAGCGGCACGGCTACTTTTCTACCGGCTGGAAAATGTATCAAAATCGTCAATACTTCTGGTACACAGGTGATCGATACCTGGGCTTTTGCGTTACCAAAACCGGATCCGAAGCAGGGCGGCACAGAGTCAGAAGTCGAGAAAGAGGAGTTGCCGAAGCAGAATGCCCCACAAACACCCAAGAAGAATGCGAAGAGGACTTCGGAGTTACCTTCTCAGGAGGAAGCTGAAGAGGCTACTCGGAAAGGACTAGCTCAAGGAGAAAAAAGTGCTGAAGATTCTTCGAAGCAACGGACGTCGTGGAGCGGGTATCTTCCGAGCGTTCCGAGCGTTCCTTCCTTGGGGTTTGGGAAGGGCAAGATTGATGGGGATGCGGCCGCGAGCAAAGATGAGCAAGCAAAGGACTCCAAGACTTGGTCGTCTTATTTCGCTGCTGGGAAGGTTGTTCAAGTAAGACTCGATGTTTGTTGCGGGAGCTGATGTTTGTGCAATAGGGGTTCTCCTCGTATATACCACAACAGGCTTCTGACACTGTTACTCAATTTGCTGGATATGTATGTGATGAAAAAGTCATTCACCTTGCCATTGATATTAACGCCAGATCCAGCACGCTCGGGACAATAATAAGACATACATGCAGCAATTGCAGGACTTCTCGAAGACGCCAGTGGGAGCTGCAGGTGCGAGATCTGGCACCGTAAACGTGAGAGATGTACACTGACCAGTTCATAGGCATGGCAGCTATTACAGGCTCTGGCTATGGAAGCTCGCTGTATGCAGGATACTCGGCATGGAATTTGAAGCATGCGAACAACGCTCCGGCTATGGAATTGCTCTCAGTGTCGCACTCCCGCGCAAGTACTTTGCATTTGGTATCTTATTCCAGCCCAGCCGTGTCAGTGGTAAGCTGATATCCTTCTAGATTCCGCAGGTCCATGACACGCTTGTGACCAACCTGCGTGAACCGATTCTTACGCTCGTAGAAGACACTTCCCCTGGAACTCACGACACCTTGATACCTGCCTGTGATCCCAACCAATATAAGCAACTTGGTGCGCCTGACTGGGAAAAGCATGGCTCCTGTGCCGAGAACTTGGTCCTCGCCCTCAAAGAGCTAAATGAACGAGCGGGTCTCAAAGGCGCCAAGGGAGTCGGCGCAGATGTCTCAGTCAACACCGTTCCGGCTCCTCTGAATCTGTTCATGAATGTTCCTTGGGAGAAGGAAGGTGAGCTGAAATTTGGGAAGCCCAAATCCAAGCCTGGCGACTATGTGCGTTTCTTTGCGGAGAGAGATGTCGTTGTTGTCATGTCTGCGTGCCCACAAGACATAACGGGAATCAACGGTGAAGAGATCAAGGATGCACACTTCATCGTCGAGGACGCGGAAGAGGCAGCGAAGGCTTTCAGGAGAATGCCGCCGACGAACAAGTCGACGCCACGTAAGATCTCCTCGTCTCAAAAGCCGACAATCACAGGAGGCGAAAATGACACAGGAAATGTAGGGAAAGCAGGCTCTGATCCGGCCAGGAAGAAAGCTCCTGTCGCGCCTCAGCAAGCGTCGGAATCACAAGCACCACAGCCTGCAAAAGCCACGCCCTCTCGACCGATTAGGAAAAGGTCGACACAGTCTGCCTCGGAGAAGGCTACACAGCCGGCTACAACCTCGCGACCCCAAAAGAAGCCAATTCCACCATCTGCAGCGGTTCCTACCAACGGAGAAGCTGCTGCGCCCAAAGAGAGGAAGAAGCCTCGGAAGCTGAATGTTAGGCAAAAAGGGACAGCAGAGAATTGATCGGCTTGCCCTTCGGTGGATCAATGAGCGAGGTGACACTTTAGCTGTTCGTAGCTCTGTCATGAGAATATTGCAAGTCCCAAAATCTGATCCAGGATACTTTCACGTCAGGCCGGCGAGCTGCGTTAAAAGGGGCAGAATGCTTCACTCCATCTTTTAACGTGTAAAGGGTGGAATTACAGTCGACCGTCAACCCTTGATCTTGACGTGTGCAACGTTCCGCCTGGCGTCGACTTTGGACAGGCGCAGAGCGCCGCTTCAACCCATAGCATACAGAGAGAGTCGCGAGATCTCTTTGCGCGTCCAGTCCAACGTAGAGGTGTGCAGCCTAGAGCAGCAGGGCCGACATGCTGTACGAAGGCACATCCGCATGCGGCACACGTCTTGCCATCAGATGCATCAAAACTTTCAATATCGGCTGCGGGACTGTCGATCTGGTCAAAAGAATTGGGATCGGTGATGGAGCGACAGGCAGACGCGGCTGGTACGATTAGAGATCATCCCAGTCCCCAACATAGGCCCAGTCAACAGCTGCGAAAGCAATGTGATGCCATGATGGTCGATGCCGATGGCCGAGCTTGGAGCGGCTTGTAATCCTCCAAAGCGCCCTGGAAGCATGTTACTCCGCGACGGATGCATCCTCCCGCTTCGAGACGGGATAGGGCTCTTGAGGGTTGCTCGTAGCGGAGTCGATCAGACAGAAGGCGCCTGGCTCGGGGTACTACGGATCAGTGAGTGGTCACTTGACCCACACCCTACAATCCTGCATGTTCGTGTGCCATCGTTATTTGCGTGGAGAGGGGCGCTTGCCAATACAGCGACCCGTGTGGCATGCCGTAAACAGTCCACAATCCTCCATGGCTTGCCGACCTCTGCTGAAAGTTCGCTAGGCTTGTCCCAACGTAATGCCCTGTATCCTTCATTGTTGGAGACGCTCGCATGGGTGCATGAGTGATCGGCGGAGCAAGAGGACCGCGCTGAACGACCACATACATTGCCGCYGTCCTGCATACTGATCGAGTCTCGATGCGGTCAGCAACGCCACATCGCCCCGATTGCAGGTCTGTATGAGTCGTTTAGCAACCCTGACATCTCTCGTTGGTGTGGATCTAGAGTAACAGCTCTCATAGCTTCGGTGTGGTATCTTTCTGTGATTGGTGAAGATCAAAATCCTTCGAGGCACAGCTCTGCTCACTGCAGCGATTGCACCATTCCCCTGACTTCTGCAACATCAGGAAGCTCGGCGGTGATCGCGGATGARGTGCTGGAAGGACAGCAGGAAGAATGCAGAACTTTTGCTCCCGTTGATTGCAGGATGCGAGCCGAATTCGCTGCTCGTACACTTCCACCCGGAATTATGACAATCCGATCTCCAGCCTTCTTGACCAGCTCGCCGAGGACGTTGATCCCCTCGAGCGCGGTTGGCTGTCCCCCCGAGCTCAAAATGGCCTTGCAACCTGTGGTGATAACATCCTCTAGTGCAGCATAGTGATCGGATGTCTGGTCAAACGCCCTGTGAAAGGTACAAGGCTTCGGGTGGACGAAGCGAACGAGTTCCGCTGTCCTGGACTTGTCGACCTTCGACTCGCTGTCAAGAATGCCGAAGACGAAGCCGTCTGCACTCTGTTTAAAGGCTTGAAGTTCTTCTTGCATGCGTGCGAACTCTGCCTCTGTGTATACGAAATCCCCGCCACGAGGTCGTATCATCACAAAGACTGGAATTGAGACTCGAGCCTTGACTTGGATGAGCCAGTCCAGTGACGGTGTCGTTCCTCCTGCAGCTTGGTCCTCACACAATTCAATGCGATCTGCATGATTCTCGGCCGCTACAATGGCGGATGCGACGTTGAAACATGCCACCTCGAGCATTTCTTCGGGAGAGAGCGTCGGCTTTGGTCCAGCTGCGTAGTCTTCTATCCGGTAAAGGATCTTCTTGCGAAGCTGTGGCAAGTCTGACTTCGTAGGTGTCTTCTGCAGATTACAGAAGCATTTTATTGACGGAAAAGAGATGATGTGAGTGGTGGAAACGGTCTCGATTAAACTCCTGCTAGACCGTAATAAGCACACCAGGGAYAGGCACGCATCGGCGTGAAATGCCCAGGGGCAGCAATGGAAAAAAATCTTGTCAAGTTTGTGTCACATGCAAATTCACTTCCATATTGTATCATCATCACAACTACTACAAGCCTGATCTGCCTGATCTATTCTGCTACCCAGACGGCCGCCATTCCCATTCCAGTTCCGACGCACATGCTAGTCACACCAACCTGCTGGTTTGTCCTCTTCAACTCGTAAAGAAGCGTGCTTACTTGGCGTGCACCAGTGCAACCCAAGGGATCTGTAGTAAATTACGTTAGCCTAGCAATAGGAGTCAAAGAACCGAGCGGAGTGACTCACGGCCGAAAGCAATGGCGCCGCCTTTTGGATTGATTTTCTCTTGAGGGATCTCAAGCTCGTTCGCGCACCACAAGCATTGACTTGCGAAAGCTTCGTTGATCTCGTAAATGTCGACATCGTCTTTGGAGATGCCAGCCTTCTCAAGTGCCAGTGGAATTGCTTTCCATGGTCCAACTCCCATGAGAAGAGGAGCAACACCGACGACTGAGGCTGCCACGTATTTGCCAAGAATCTTCTGACCGAGACGCTCTGCTGTGCTGCGCTTCATGAGGAGTACCGCAGCCGCACCGTCCGAGATCTGTGATGCATTTCCGGCATGGATTGAGCCAGTCTTTGAGAAAGCTGCCCTGATCTTACCCAAGGACTCCGCAGTAACTTCACGCACACCGTCGTCGCGGGCAACTGTGATCTCCTTCTCCTCATCGGTCTTGGGGTCGGTCCACTTGACCTTCAGTGGAACAATTTCTTGGTCAAAGAGGCCCTTCTTTTGTGCGTCAATCGCCTTGCGGTAGCTCTCGGCAGCAAACTTGTCTTGATCCACTCTCTTGATGCCCTTGTCCTGGGCCATCTGCTCGCTCAGCTGTCCCATGGGAACTTGGCACTCTGCAGCAGCCTTGTTGTTTTGAAGCGCCTCGGAGAACTCTGTGACTGCGCCAGGGCCATATTGTGTGCTCATGCTCTCAACCCCAGCTCCGATACCAACTTCGTACATTCCGGCGCGGATACCGTTTGCGATCTCGACGCATGCTTGCAGGCCCGAGCTGCACTGTCGGTTCAGACTGTGCACGGCGGTTGACTCTGGGAAACCTGCAGCGAGGGAAGCCGCGCGGAACTCAGTGGCGCCACCTCCTGGAGCGAGCACGCAGCCAACAGCAACATCTTCTACGAGGCTCGGGTCAATAYCGGAGCGCTCAATGATGGCCTTGAAAGCGCCGGTCAGAAGGTCAGCGCCAGCGGTGTCCTTGAACCCGCCCTTTCCGCCCTTGGTGAGAGCGGTACGGAGCGCAGCAGTGACGACGACATCATCGGGGTGCTTCTCGAGGAGCGATGGCTTGCCAGAAGCTTGCATTTGGCCGGCCACTTGAGAAACACGCTCGCGTGCGGCCTGGGTGTTTCCGGTCTGGTTCATGTTGTATGTCGTTGTGGAGCCGAAGACGTTGATCAAGTCGTTCAGTGTGGTATCTGCAAGGTGTGATGAAGAAAGAAGGTAAGAGTGGAAAGAAATGTGAACCAACGATCTGATGTGTCTGCTACCATTCACATGCGGTATGCTCATGCTTGCTTGTGGAATGCCGAGGCTGCCGAGGCACCCTGGCAATCGATTGTGCGCACAGCATCATCTCCTCTGCCGTAGTAATGATGAGAGCACCGTTGTGCAGGCTTCACATGTATGAAACCTCAGCAGTAACGTATGTAATAATGCTGCAGAACTGAATGTGACTGTGGGGAATTGGTGTGAAACGAGAGAAGAACATGAAGCGAGATGAAATGAAATGCGTGACTCAGCTGTGCAGGCATAATTACTTATCCAGATCGTCACCTTCTCCGGACAGTGCTCCTGGTATGACCTTTCGTTCATCACCCGAATCAACACGCATGCCGACCCTTCGACCCGAGCAAGGACTCGGTCATTTATTATGTACGCGCTGATGCCTCCTTCCTTCCATCATGCGTGCTGAGAGCACCAAGCTGCAGCAGCTTGCGCCAGCCACAGCCACCCTGCTCATTGACGCGGCTTTTGAAGGACCAATSGTCGCGTCCATGATGCATACGGAGTCGCCAGGGGAGTAAGCCACTTGCCGCCAGTTTGCGAGCTCTCGCTCTCTTATCAGGTGTTGATGGAGTCATGTAGACTCATACTGCCCTTCAGCCGGGCCTCGGAACCGAAAGGATTCTGGCTTCTGGAGGAGCGCGCATCCTGAGCCCGATTCAGTATGTGTACACCTCGGTACAATGTACAGCATTGTTAGCCTGGGCGGCCTCCGCGGAGTACCTTTCCCAGCGCAAGATGATGTACTTCGTAGGAGCGCTGTGATGGTAGGATCTTCTCTCTGCAACGATCGCAACACCACCAACATTTCTGCGGGCACAGCAGACGCCACGAAATGAACGATTTGTATGTCATGGCACGTGGCGACCGCAATATCCAGAATACTGCGCCGTCCACGCTCAGCGCTAACCTCACAGCGCAGCCCTGGCCTTGGCACTGTTAGACTGGCCTACCGAAGAAGGATTTTGGCTCCACCTAGGGTATTTGGCCTGAAGGTCCCCGGACCCGAACATGAGGATTTAGAAGCACGCAGAGATCAATTCGCAACCCTTTGAGATCTTCTCGTAGCACAGGATCACGTCTTGGATCATTCATTTTGCGTTCTATCTTGGGCGACGTACGCAAGCGGTGTGCGCATGAGCACGAGGACGTTCAACGTGACTCGAGGCATGTCTCGCCGACGGCTTGGTAGCCACCACAGCATCATACTCACTGCAACATTTGTCTAGATCCCTTGAGTGGATCAGACGCTAGCAATCCCGAGAGCGTAGACGAAGCATGAAAGCTCGGACGAAGTCCAAGAACCCACTACAGTATACGTCTGGGAAAGGCATCACCCGGTGCATAAGCCACTGTGAGCCATGGCGTTCAATTATAGCTTGTTACACGGCTGAGTAGAGACCTCTAAGCGATACTGTACTGGAATCCTTCCAAATTCGAATCGACCATGCTTTTGGTATGCCTGTTCATCCTGCAGGATCCCGACAGAACGTGTGCATCTTGCAGATCCTTCCAGAAGCCAAGGCGCGCGTGGGACGGACGACATTAATCCCAGCAGCACTCATCACCTCTACGGGGTCTCACGGCTGCGACGCCCGTTAGGCTACACGACCGTGAGAATCGTCAGCTCAAACGCTGCAGTCTGCCGGAAGACTGCGGAACGGCCTGGAGTGGCGAGCGCCGAGCTTGCTCAGCCTATTCTTGTCGCGGCCGCCGGCGAGCTGTGATCATACGAGGCACAGATCAGCCTTCTCTCTGCGTGGCGTATGTGGGCCATCATTGCTCGGCGCTTGACCCACCGGTTTTTAAGGTTTAATTTTGACTTTGGCTAGCCCGCATTCCCACGTGGCCCGCCAAAGCCCGTGGCGCTGACTACGTCCTTTGGCGATTGGCGCGAAGGGCGAGGCACAGCTGCGCTCTGAAGGCACGGCAAGCACACGAATCCTTAAAGAGCGACGAATCGTCCCGATAATTGGCACGGGTCCGCTCTGACGTTTTCTCCAACAACAATAATTTCGGAGCTTCGGGACTACAAAGACTACAATACAATGCCTACTGCCACGAGAGATTTATATCATGCGAGTGTCAAGCTCCCCAAGATCCACACTTCCTACCAAGTGACATATCCGACACCGTCGCCAACGCTATCGATGAAGCAGCCGGCCATGCTTCCAGGAATGTCCAGAGAGCTCCCGATGCCAACAGTAAATCGAATCACCAACCTGAACCAAGCACAAGCGACTCTACTGCACTGTTCAACGAAGCTGTCAAAGTCCTGGCAGAACAATCCTGGAAGATCATCGCCACCCAGCTCACCGCTCGACTCGGATGCACGACGACACTTCCAGCTCTGGCTGGAGCAGTGGGAGCAGGCTTTTACGTCTTACCTTTCTTGTGCCATGGCCGGCATGAAAAGCGAGGACATCACCCGCTGCAGAGTTCTCAAAGCCAACCACCTCTCCTGCACGATTCTCGCCGCAGGCTCCAGCTCAGATCCTCGAWCGTTCAGTGGGTTTGAGTCTGACTTTCAAGCGATCGTCGAGCTGGCAAGCGCAGTCATGCAGTCTCGATCAGCAACGAGCTCCCCTTCCAACCGCGGCGGATCCCCAAGCAATGGAAATAGTTCTGCTGGCAGCCTCGAAGTACGTGGCCCGCTCTACGTCGTCGCCGCGCGTTGCAACCGTGTTGACATTAGAGCTCGCGCCGTTGAGCTTCTGGGAAAAATTGACGGTCCACGCTGAAGGATGAACCGTCACATTTCGCATCAATCGGCAAACCACTTTGGGAACGGAGCTCTCACGAAATGCGTCGACATCATCGCACGCCCTATTCCTTCCTTCCGTAAGGCGATTAGGGTTTCTCAAGATAATTTGACTAGGCGGACCCCGGAATCCTTCAGACCACCCGGCCCGCCGACGAATCCTGTCGTCCACATTCCTAATCTGGAAGGAGTAAACTCGTGAGCTCCAGCTCGGATTCGGACTTAAAAACTCCCATGCTTTCCGCTATGGAGACCACCAAGAACGCCCAGTCTGTCCTTACAGTATGGAAGGATTCAACTACGTTGGCGCCCAGCGCATCGCCACCACTGCCTCGAGGCCGATGTACACGAGTTAAGCTGTACGTTGATATGTCAACAAATCAAGAATTTGAGGAGAGACCTTTAGCAATTCGGACTTAATGGCTCAGATTAAAGTCCGGATTACCGATTGCACATTGAGTACAAAATGCATGGCAGATCGTTCAAAGTATCTGGTTGAAAGATCGACATTCCTCGCATTCAGGCGGAAATTCTTCAGGCAGAACTCGGGCAAATGATGTACCGGCGATCCAAACCCGGATTTCGGTTGCAATCCTTCGACAATTAAAAGCACGCGAGCAAATACGAAAGTTCGACGGCAGTGAGACACGGATCACCAATTTTAAACCATGATCTTCACGAACGGTTCCTTGGTTCCCCCCATCCTTCCTGTCGGCTTTACTTCTGCATAGGGCTATAGTGTGGTGTTGCATGTCCTACATGAGGGAATGGTTGCGAATGGAGCTGATCTGAGATTGTTGGTAGTAAAAAAGTTTGATCGTATCAGGCGTGCAGTCAGGATGGGCGATCCGGTCGATCAATTGCGGTGGAGATGTGATCATCCATGGCTCATGGCGTGGAWGCAGAGCGAAGGCCTTCGTGAAGGATTCTGAGGGCTTTGTTTTGTGTGACCGAGAGCCGTTCATCAGACTTTGCGGTCAGCAAAGCATGCRTGAATGAATTTCCGCAGGATTACRTCCAACCTCATCATCTTGAGAAATCCGAAAGCAACAATCGTGACGACCATGGTTCTTATTATGGTGAATCAGCTGACAACAGACTCGCATTACTGTAACATTTCATGATCTCGTCATGCGCTTGTTGAACAAATGAGCAAGCACGTAAAGAGCAAGCATCTTATACCTCCTTCTTCACTGCTTCATCATCATCATCCTCCTCATCTTCACTCAATTCCTCGCTTCCAACTTGCCATCCATCTACGCTCTTCCTTCTTCTTCCACGCTCACGCATCGCATCGTGTAGGTTCTTGCTCACCTGATCCAGATTACTGCTTCCAGTGGTGCCTTCGACAGAATTGATGGAGGTGAGTTTGTTGAAACCTGACCTGAAATCGCTCGAGTTCGCGCGACTGCGACTTCGGCTGCGGTTGGGTGTTCCTGGTCTGGTTGCGAATAGACCAATTGATCCAATGTTTGTGAAGCTTTCATTGCGAGGTAGCGTGGATGTGAGTGCAGCCAGTGGGCTTGAATTGGATGGGCTGGTAGGGGTAAATTGTAGGGCGTCGTTCTCGCTGCCTTCGCGACGGTGCGTAGGTGTAGTAGGCCTTGAACGTGTTGGTGAATGTAGTGGGTGGTCCGCATCACTGAGTATGCGCTGTTGGTCAAAGTCTGGGAAGAGTTCTGGTCCAAGCTCATTGATAATATCGTTGATTCGTCGTGTCAGCTCCTCGCGCTTTTGACGAATCTGGACAAATGTGTTGCTCTGGGTAGGATTGATACAGAGCATCAGAGGTCGCAAGGATTTGAAGATGTCCATGCCAATCTCGCCGAAGCGAAGTGCTGCGAAGCAGACCGAGGGAAAGAAGATGAGACCGAAGACGCAAACGAACCAGAGGGGGACGAAATCGGGCATGTATCCGCAGACACGATTGCTCCAGGTCCAGTATACCAAGATGATAGTATACATGACATCCAAGGCGGGTGCGAGGGCAAGAGAGACTAGGATCTTCCAGGTCGCCATGACGTCTCGAGCCTTGACCTTGACCGTTGATGCAGCCAGCGCCTCGCGAGCCTTCTTGCGAGATATTACTTTGCCAAGGATGAAGACTGGCGCGAAGAGGATGACACCCGGCAAGCATGCTGATAAGAGGAGAAGCACCTTGCCCACTCGGTATAGCAGAGTGAAAACAACCTCATACCAGGAGAACTTGGCATATGAAACCTGATGGTCGCGAATGTTCAGTCGGAATAATGACCTGTTGTAGTCCAAAACTTCTTTTCGGATCTCGACAATCCGAGGGTCATCCTTGTACGTTTGATAGCCTTTGATCAGCCTCCGATTAAGCTCGACAACGAACGGCAAAGGTAGTTTCTTTCCCTTGGGGTTGTAAAGTCGCCGCACGGCTTGAATAAGCATGAGCGTGTCGTAGTCTGGTGCTTGTACCGTGACGGTCGAAAGTGCATCATAAACATTTTGAAGAACTTTGCCGACTGCATCTCTCTTGCTACCATTCTTGTATTGTTCAACCAGTTCCGGCTCGATCTCGATAGGGGCACCGAACTCAATAACAGCCCGCGAACGAAACTTGTGGGCATGGAAGTAATTCATGCCCACAGGCACGATAGTGACACCACAGTCCGGATCTTCCGCGAGTGCACCGAGGGCCATGATGGCCAGTCCGGCTTTGAGTGGCAGAAGCTCTGTACGATCGTGACTGCCACCTTCCGGAAATATTCCTATGCAGCCTCCGTCATGTATGCGAGCGAACACGTCGTCGTACACCTGGGCCTGATCGACGTGTGGAGCCACGCTGAACTTGATCCCATCGAATGAATCGCCCTGAGACTGGCCTCCAGCACTGCCATTTCCATCGTGCAGTGGTTGGCCTGTGAGCTGTTTCAATGCAACGTCTCCTTTGAACGCCTTCTTCAGCTTAATCTCATCTTTGGAAACAACAGACGCGATTTCAGTATTGGCAGCAATATTGTTCACGCTCGGCAGCACCAGCAGTCCTCCTGGCATGAATTGTCCATTCTGAAAGTCCACACCCGTACCCTTGATCACAGTCGGATCGCCCTCGGGGTCTGGCAGAAATATTTTCCCTTCCGCCGGCTTCTTCAAGTCCAATGCCCGGCCGACAGGCACCGAACCCACCAGCGATGCRCCCCATCCGATGAATTTCCGCCGCATGCTCTTTTCCGCTACCAGGAAGGCGATTCGGCGGTGCGCATCCTGGCGAACCACTCGCATCAGGATCAACGGATCGATGAACTGGTTGGCGTGAGGAGCAGCAACGAAGATGACGGGTCCCTTTTTGGGGATTCGCCATGATGACCGTGGATGGATTTCACGGAAGAAGAGATCGACCACCACGGTGAAAACCCAGAGGAAGATGTCGTACACGAGGCCGTTAGCCGCCTGCTTGCTCTTCTTTCGGGCACTCGCCATGATCAAAGGGCTGAAGGAGTTGACGTCGAATGGCGGTGGTGAGCTGTGGAGCTGGACGGCGGGTTAGTCGCAGGTGCGGCCTGACTAGATGTATTCCATTGATCGCAGATGGCATACGCGATGCGGAGTGATGGGGTGCACAGGTAATCAACAAAGCATTGAGCTCGCGGTATAATAATGTTGAGCATAGAGGGGCAAAGTCAAGCTTCCATATCAATCCAATCTATTTCCATCTATTTCCACTTCCACGTTTCGGTGCCGGGATCCGAGTCTAGCGCGTGCTCGCATCGTCCACTTCACCTCACTTCACTTCTACCGACTCCTTTGTCACATACACCCGAGCACTTCACGTGCGAATCGCGACGCGCCCGCTAAGCGTGCTCCGCTACCCTCAAGTCGCTGCAAACCGCTCTGTCGTAGGCCAGCTTCCAAGCCATTGGACGCGTACCTTACACGTCACATCGTCAGTGCTACCACATGGCACCAGTGTACATCGAGTTCTTGCTGCAATTGAAGCCATGGTCTACTTGTAACAATCGGTAGGAAGAGCTGCCATTAACTCCTCACCATATGATGATGACATTCACTTTGATTTCGAGCTCTCATGTGTCATTCCACTGTCATCGCTCCACTTCTTTTCACAGTTTTACAAGACGAGATCAACCCATGTCATTTCCGCGGAGAGGTCTGAACAAGACTCTGTATCTCCAGCGTCTTCAGCATCCCCAGTCCGGCCACACGAAATGGCTCACTACCTCGATCTTTGGAATGCCGATCAAATGCTCTGGGAGCCAAACGATCTCGACAAGCGGTACCCAAAGGCGCAAGAGGCGTGGGCGAGCTCACACTCGTGATGAGAATGATGAGAATTAGTTTGCAAGAACTCCCAAAACATGTAATTTGGGACAAGCTTAACATCTTCAGATCCAAGCGAAGCGGAAAGGTTCGCTGCTCGGAGAGCGAGGATGCATACAATGGCATAGCGCCACCTGCTAGACTTAAGACCAGGCCGACGCGACTGTCTTTGAACGCCAATACCCTGGTGCCAAACAACAACAATGCCACAAAAACAGCATCCATTCTAGACTCACAGCTTAAGATGAGATCGCCCACAATAGCAAGTCACTAAATTTTGCCAATTGTAGCGATCTTAAAAAAATTCGGACATATGACGGCAGACAGGGCGCCGTGTGCGGTCAGTATGAAGACCTGAGACGCGTGGAGAATAGTTCACTGCGGCTTCGGTGGCGAATTGACAGGTGCTCAGATCACAAGCATTCTGGTTCGGCTCTTCCATAGCGGTGACTTCGATGGGGCCCGATCATAGATACAGGACAAGTTTGGCAAAGCGCAGAGTGATTCCACAGCGTACTTCATGAACGTGAGTAATAAGAGCGCCCATGATCATACCTGATGCTAACGTGCATTCTTAGATGATGATCGCCACACTCACTCGGTTAGGTAACGGTGGCCCGGGGGAAGGTCTCGACCTTTGGGATCTCGCTGAGAAGAGGGAGTAACGTCACGTCATCACGGGACTCTTCGAACAAGGACAGGTTATATGGTTACAAAACGCCTCCAAAACAGCATACATCTCCCTCTACTTCGTCAGCATCTACGACGAGAAAGCTGCGAAGAAGTGGCGCAAAGCAATGCGGTTGAAGTTTTCTGTCTTGCTATGCTCTGTGGTCGAGAATGTCATGAAGCCTGCTAAGACTTCTGCTGCCGAGACGAACGTCCAGCAGGCGCTGGACGAGCTTTGAGATTTCACATGGATTCGGAGGAAATTGCAGCGCTACAAATGGGCACTATCGATGATGTGCCAACGATCATCAGGCGGAATGAGAACGGTAGTAGGTTGATGAGATCTTTCGGCAAGAAGTTCCAGGAGATGTATTTGGTCGAAGAGCACGACTAGTCAATATCCCAGTGTCTGCAACGACCTTGCGGGTGACCTGAGGCWATAGCGCCATTCTTTGAGCATGAGACGATCCTGATGCTGATGGCGATGCATCATCTATTGTGATACCAGGCCGCTATCGTTCAAGACGCTTCATTCGTCACCAATCTTGCCTTGTGCAACGCCGTAGCGATTCGAGATATAAATGGTACCGACCTTCATTCAGAGAAGCACAATATCCTCTGCGAGAGTCCGGTTCTTATGCAGAAATTTGCCAGTCATAATCGGCGGATCTTGAATGTAGCATTCGCACAGCAGTTGMAAAGCTTTGCTCTTGCCGTTATAATCAAAGTGTCGTCGGACAACAACGGGAACATCTCCCCCAAGAAGGATCGCAACACTGTCCGCTGCCCTGATTCCAGGCGTCGCAAGGCCGATGTGCCCTTTGGCAGTTGTAAAGAAATGTCGTCCGTAACCGAAGTTTGCTGGGTCATCAATGTCCCAGCTTTCTGATGGCGATGTCGACAGAGCTTCCTCGATCGCACCGGATGTTGAAGCTGGTGCCATCTCGTTCACAAGAACAATGCTGTCGAACACGATTGCTGAAAGCTTCAGCTGGTGACGGCTTCCTTCTCGAATAGCGAATGTTTCGATTTCATCTCCGCCAGCTCTAAAGTCGCTCCGAATGCCAGTAGACCAGTCATCTTTTGGCTTAGCAATGACAAAATTCGGCGAAGTCTTGATCCAGATAGGGGCCAAGTGCCACTATTGATAAGGCGTAATGTCAGCCATGTACCCAAGTAAATGTGAGGCAATCCATCAGCATTGACTCACTGCAAACGTCCAATCAGGAATCCATGATGGCAGGTCATGATCTCGACTATGCTGCAGTAGCCCGGCCGAGTAGATAATTGAAAAGAGCTGGAATATCTTCCTTTGATCATCAAGCTCATGCCAGGAAGCGTAAGCAGTATCCCAAAGAATGCTGTTGATGTAGATGTGGCATATCTCAATGTATAACGAAGCAATAGATCGACTGTTGTCGTAGTTGGGAAATGTAGTATTATGTGTGAGGCCTGTACAACACGTATTAGCACGTGTTTAAACTTGATTATCATCAACGGGCATACCGTAAAATGCATACACCATGTCTCGCACGTCCGTCTACAGGAATAGTGTCAGCAGGGGCGTCTCTGGGCTTCAACAAACGTACAGCTTGACTGCTTTTACCCAATATCAAGAGCTGCGTTATATCAGTATGTGCCTTGCCCTCTTTCTGGCTAGATGCCATTTGCGTGATGATTGCAATCCGTTGACGAGGGTTGCCAAGCAAAGATGTATGTTTATCAAAGCCAGAGGTGGCAGGGAGGGTCACATCTCTGAACAATCTGACCAAGCTGTCCCCTGAGATGAGATCAGAACACGCATCGTCGGCTTCACTTTGAGCGAGAATACTGACATGTAACATGCGCTTTGCCACATGCAACGGTTGTATAGTGTGATAGCGCGACCTCTGGAATGACCCAAACACGTCTGAACCACGGTCGTTCGAGCAGATCCTGGATTGCATGCCGCAACTCTCTCTGACCCATCAAGCGATTCAGGACGCTTTTCGGACTATCGTCGCCCCGACGCAACTTCTTAGCATACTCAAAGAGCTTGTCACTACGATTGTCCGACTCTCCGAGCCAAACGTAGATCTTCATCGCTCTGTTGAATATGTGCTTCATGATGCTCACCTGGTGAGATCGCTCGAGATGGTCGTCCTGGTTGATACAAATTTGATCGATCCATATAATGAATGTAGTCCGAGGCTTTCTGAGCGCCTGGAGAGCATTTAATAAGTTCGAGGTCACTGGGAACTTGAAACCATCCACTAATATAGCAGCAGTACGTTCGACTGAGCCCCAGCAGTAGGACAAGCCGCAGTAGTTCCTTTTGGGGTGCTTCGAGGTCTCCCAAATGAGACCGACCTCTACAACGCTGGTCCCAGTCCCTGGCTGTATGACTGCGAGTCGAAAGGCATCGCCATCTGCTACAGTTGGATAGTGATATAGCTCTGCTTGCTCGACAGCTTCACGAGTGTCTCGCTGTCGTCGTTTCCGCCGCCGGGCACTCGAGTCTGGCGTACCAGCGAAAGCGCGGGCGTCATCTGTGATCTCGATGTCGGAATAGCCGGCCTCCAGGGTGATTGAGCTGAAACCGTATGAGAACCTCGGATCAGTGACAGTAACGATGGAGTCATCATCGGTGTCCAAATCCAAATCGTCAATGAGCCGGGGCGATACGCTCACCATGGCGAAGGATCGCGGGTATGATGGTTATTGGCGCTGTACGGGCGATTCAAATTTGCAGGCGCGCTCATATTGTGCGTTGATGACTGAGCGTGTCACAGCAGAAAGGTGAGGTTATGTTGTGAGGACAAGAAGTTAAATGCAAGTCTTGGCATCGCAGCATCCATCCAGTCGATGACTTGCATTCGAGCATTTTGCACTGCGTTCATGATCCTCAGCTCCCTGTTTGCTCATATCATAGTTTTGTATAGTTCCCGAAGAACCGGATGACCCCAATCCCTTTCAAGAACATTCACCGATTGATTGGTAAACATCATCTTTAAGCGCGTCGACCGGCAAAAGAGAGAGCCCCGCCGCGCTGATCATTTTAGAGCTCGCCATTCGAAAGATTCGAACCTCCAGCTCTCCTTCCTCCAAACCTTCCTCTTCCAATCTTCGCCACAAAATAAATTCTTCCAAGTACAATCAAAATGCCTGCAGTTGAGAGCAAGTTCGATCCAAAGGACGTGAGCATACTCCAGCGCGAAAGCATTGAGGACATCACTGATACTTTTCCCCCACCAGATGGAGTTCCGCCACCTCGGACCCACCGGTCTTAAGGTCTCCGTGTTTTCCCTGGGTGGATGGCTCACATACGGGGGCACGCAAAAGGGCAACGACGTCAAGGACTGCATGGAGGCTGCCTGGAACCATGGCATCAACTTCTTCGATACAGTAAGTCAAAAGGAAGTGTGGCAGGCAGGCAGGCTGYAGCGTGTTCTCGCGGCCTTCCGCCTAGCTCAAGACGTGTTTATGTCTCAGTCATGCTAATTCTAAATCTCGCTTTCAGGCAGAAGTCTACTCGAACGGTCAATGCGAGATTGAGATGGGCAACGCATTGAAGGAGCTTGCATGGCCAAGAGATGAGTACGTTCTCAGCACAAAGGTGTTCTTCGGTATGTGCTGTATGGGCTACATGTAAGGAGGTAAAGCTTATCAATCCCGACAGGCACTGGACGGAAAGAGCCAAACACTCGCGGTCTCTCCAAGAAGCACGTTGTTGAGGGTCTCAAGAGCTGTCTCCAGAGACTACAGCAGCCATACGTTGACATTGTGCTTGCTCATCGCCCAGATGTTGGCACCCCAATGCTGGAGATCGTCGAAGGCTTCACCCAAGTCATTCGTAACCTCAACCTTGTAAGCTTGTTGCTTTACATGAGATGTGAGAGTGTCTGACTTTTGAATCAGGCCTACTACTGGGGCACTTCCGAGTGGTCTGCAACCCAGATCACCGAGGCTACTGAATTGGCGGAGAAGCACAACCTGATTGCTCCCATTGCTGAGCAGCCACAGTACAACGGTTTGGGACACGCTTCCTCAGCAGTGTGTTGAGATGACTGACGCATCATCTAGCATTCCACCGTCAGCGTTTCGAAGTCGAGTACGAGCCTCTTTACAAGAAGTACGCAAACCCGAAGAGCGAAGGCACAGAGGTCGTCCCGACGCACTCTCACTGTCTTCCCCAAATCATGGACAAAGGCTAACACTTCTACGTTACGCTTCAGATACCAGTACGGCACCACCATCTGGTCTCCTCTCGCTTCGGGTCTCCTGACCGGCAAATACAACGACGGCGTAAGCAGATACTCACATGTGCCAGAGATCTATTCGCTGACTCTCAAACCATTTTAGATTCCAGAGGATTCGCGATTTGCCACCAACAAGGCTTTCTTCGAGGACACCGTCAAGCAGCTGCAGAGCGAAGAGGGTCAGGCAAAGATTGCCAAGGTCCGCAAGCTCACCGAGATCGCCGAAAGACTCGGCGGAAACGTCGCACAGCTTTCGCTCGCATGGGCTGCCAAGAACCCCAATGTTAGCACTGTGATCCTTGGGGCTACCCGCGTGTCTCAGATCGAAGACAACATCAAGGCCCTTAAGCTGCTACCAAAGCTTACGCCCGAAGTGATGGAGGAGATTGAGAAGATTCTCGACAATGCGCCAGCGGCACCCAACAGCTTCGGTCGTCAGAGGTGAGCGGTACTCCCTTGGCTCAATTGAGCTTTGCAGTGTTTGCAGACTGCCGCTCATGGTGGTAGTAGGCAACCCCACAAGTCGAAGAAGCCCAAAAGTAGACTCTAGATAGCACAAAAGTTACCTAGCTGTCACTCACATCACCTCTTCTCTGATGATGTCCGAATCACGTTCAAATTATCACATCAAACAATATGATGCAGCGTTGATATCATCGTGAGTCACCGCAATGTACAACGTCTTGAAACTTGCGTGCAATGTCTTGGACCAAAGTGCTATGCCAAATTGCTTATGAGCGCTTGGAAGAAGCTTGACCAACTTGTAAAGTAAGTGCCTACATGTACCTAACAAACCAAGACTCACAAGCATGATCTGGTCCCGATCGATCCAAGCACTCCAAGTTATGTTATGCATCCGTTGCTCAAGAGTAAACCGGCACACAAGCTTTTCCTCCTGGTCACTTGCACGCGCGTCACCGGAAAGCTTCGCTCACAATAGCATGATCACCACCGCGCTTGTTTCATTTGAATGCGGCTTTTATTGCTACAGAATACATATGAAAAGTAAGAATGCCCGTTATTAGGTCTGTGAGAGTTACGCCTGATACGCCTCAGCTACCTGGAATTCATACTCCGCTTCACTCCCTTCCTACCTTATCTTGACAAGACCAAAACAAAACTTTCTAGGGAATCATCATACTCCCTAACGACCAAAGAAACTGTCGACCATGCTGCCAATATCACCGGCATCCTCGGGGTACACCCAGAATGCAATGGCGATGACGGCATACAGTCCGATGCACATGCATCCCTCCAAGTAATTGCTCTTGCCGTCTTGGATCAGGTAGTTGACAACCAGTACACTCAAGAAAAAGACAACAGTCTCGAAGCCTTCGAAGTGGAGAGTCATTTCCTGGCCCATGATCCAGCCGAGGATGACGAGGAATGGGGTGACGAAAAGGGCGATTTGCATGGAGCTTCCTATTGCAACACCAATGGCCAAGTCCATCTTGTCCTTGTATGCAACGACGACTGCGGTKACGTGCTCAGCGGCGTTTCCAACGATGGGCAGCAGGATAAGACCAATGAATGTCTTGCTGACACCAGATGATTCGACGATGGAGTCGATGGATCCGACAAGGTACTCCGCGCACACGGCAACGAGGAGGGTGACGATCACCAAGGCAATACCGGCGGCAACGGGACCAAGGATCTCAGGCTCGTTGTCCTCGCCGTCGCCGCCGTCTTGGGCCTCTGCATCAAATAGACTTGCGTGCGTCTTAAGCTGGAAAACAAGGTAAAGGATGTAGAGGAGCAGCATGATGATGGAAGTTCCACGCGAAAGGACTAGGATGTTGTCCACGGAGTCAGCGCTGCTCTTGGTAAGCGCAGCGTACATGGTGGCCGGAATTATCAGGCACGTCGCGGCGACAGCCATCAACGAGGACATGGTCGATGCCACGGTCTCGTTGAACGTGCTCTGCTGACGACGCACACCGGACGCAATGAAGCAGCATCCGAGCACAAGCAAAATGTTGGACAAGACCGAGCCAAGCATGCTCGCTTGAACGATGCGAATCTCTCCCTTGGTTAGGGCGACAATGGATACCTTGGGCAACAATCAGCATTGAGGACTGCCATCAATCCTCGAAGCGATACTCACAATCAGCTCGACAGCATTTCCGAAAGTTGCATTCATCAATCCACCGATGGTCTGTCCCAACTTCACACTCAATTCTTCGGTCGCAAAGCTCAGCAGCGCCGCCAACGGAACAATGGCCAGGAAGTTGACAACGAAGACGGCAGTGGGGTTGGCATCCATCGCGSCCAAGATAATGCCTGCCGGCACGAAGACCAGAAGGACATTGACATAGTTGCTCGCCAAAGTGAGCCATGTCAGGCGCACGAAGTTGGACGGCAACCTCACATACCAGCGGTCGTCTTCGGCCAGTGACTTTCCGTTACCGCTTCCCAGATTTCCCAAGCTGTTGGCTGCGTTGCTGATGAGCGGCGTGCGTTCACTGTTGCCATTCGGTCGCTGGTCTTCGGGGGGAGGCATGTTGCTCGCTTTGCCGCTTCCACTGCGACCGTGCTTGGCGAAGGCTCGTTTGATCCCGTCTACGGTGCGGTGACACGCATCAGCTGATGGATTCTCAAAGGCGGGTGACACGAGCAGCAAGTACGAGCAAGCGCAGCGGTATAAGGAGCTCTGGTCTGAGAAGCTTTCCACTGCGCGCTAGGAGGTTGGGCTGGGCAGTCTGTATAGCCAAGACTCGCTATGTGCTTGTAGGTGGCGGTGTTCTTGCGAGCGGCGAGGATCGGAGGGGAACTGATGGTGTGCGGTGAGGTCTGGAAGGGGACTGACAGGGACTTACTCATGATCGGTTCGTGACGGGCACACCTGTTGCTTGAGCCTGCAGTCTTGGTATGGAGCCAAGAGTCCGGTCGGAGTAACCTTGGGTGTCCGGGCGTGTAGCGGGAGGAGATTGGCAGAAGTGAGTTCCCGATTCGTGRGATTATCACAAGGTGACAGCTTGTGAGGGGGGTTAGAGGGAGCAACGAGGCGCAGCAGAAAGGACTCTTAGAGCACAAGGAAACAGAAGCTTGGTGAAACGGGCGGCGATGACGGCACACGGATTCCAAGCGCACAGCCTCGACGCTAAAACGCAAGTGGCATACCGGGGCTGTCCGCACGTGGGGACTTTCCTCCGAAGGCAGTCATTAAACCTAAAACATCGTTGTACAGTACCCATACATAAATTGAAAGGAGTCTGAACGATTCAACATGGCGGCTTGAACGAAGCGCGTTGCACGTTTGGGTCGCTATGCTGCGCTGCTGCACATGGCGGGGGTAGCTATCGCGGCAGTGTCACCATACCCATGGCTTGGTTCACGGTGCCCAAAATCGACAGCTTGCATGAAGATTGAAATGAAGTAAGCTCTCGCATGTGTTTGCAGCATCACATTGTTATCAACTGTCCTAGGTATATCTGCCGGTACTGAGTCCTATCAATCAATCAAAAGGATCATTCGCCCCATGATCCCATCCCGTCGTTCCATCGTCAAGCATGATCAGACGCCCTACCTTGCAAGCGCCAAGATCCCAAGCATTCACCGCCACAACGCCAAATCACCGCAGCAGACCACTGCACAACTCCCTTGTACTCAACGCCGGCCAAGAAAACACATCTCACGAACTTCCCTCGATGGCCCGACCTTCACCGCCAGCTCCGGCAGGAAGCATGACCCGTCTACCGCCTGCGCCGTAGACAAGCTCCATCATCTTCCTCTTCTGCACATCTCGACTTCCTTTCAGCTGCTGATAGGTTCCTTCCAAACCTTTGATCTGCTCATCTACAGAGATCGTGCTCGAATTGCTGGACCTGACCAACGGACTCACAAGCTTACGCCGGAGTATCTCGAGATTGGACTTGAGCTGCAGCAGGCGTTGGTTGTGGTCGATGAGAACGCGCTTGTTGCCCACTGTCCGATCGCGAACATCGCGGAGCAAGTCCTTGTTCTTCTCGTACTTGCGAAGCTTGGAAGCGTTGACGCCAATGACCTTGGTCCAGAGACTGCCGAGAAAGTCATTCTCCATGCGCTCCTGTTGGTCTTGCTCGCGAATGACCGTTCGTTGAAGGTTGAGGAATTGCTTGTCAATTGCTTCAAAAAGCTGGAAGAGTTGAATTGAATATGTAAGTTCGTTGTTGATGCTCTCTTCTAGTACACTCAGAAACTCGTTGAATGTGCGTTCCAGAGTCGCCTTGGTGCGCTGCTGATAGGTCTGGCCGAGCAGCGATTGTGCAAGTCTCCCTTCACTCAAGATTCCAGCGCGAGTTAGCATGCTATGCGCATTCGACCAAACTGAGCTGATGGTGCTTGGAGGCTCGCTGGAAATGGTCAAGAGTTCTCTCTGCGCCCACTCCATTACCAGCAGTATGGAGTCTACGTCGGCGTCGACCCCGGCAAAGAATCTGGTGAGCTCAACTGCGAGCGTCTTTAAGCTGTCGGAAAGATCGTCGAGCTGATTGACGATCAATGGCGCTGAAGTCATGTTCGTACTTCTAACACTCTCGCCAAGATCCCAGACCGCGACACCAGTCTCCTGTAATTGCTCGATCTGAGCGTGGCCGTGCTCGGAGTAGTAGATTACTGGTTCGAATGACTTTGCCAATCCGGCAACTTTGATCAGGTCTGGTGATGGTCCATTGACGGGAGTGGAGAGAAGACTTGCCAACGTCCAGTAAAGAACCAGAGTAGACGTTGCATAGAAGAAGGTGTTGTAGGAGGATTTCGTGACATGGTGTATGGCCCTTCGTATGCTGTGGACCATGGCTTCGATGGGCTCTGTTCTTTGCACAACATCAAGTGAGGTGGAGAACCGGATGTCTATCGATCGTGTTAGATCTTGCGCAGTGATGTATGAATCTGCGCCACCTACAATTGTTCTGTGTGGGTGTTTGTGTGGTGGGCGACTCTGGCGCCTTCTCTGTCTGCTCGCTCATCTGCCGCGCTGTGCTTGTTCCGCCGTCGCCATTGTCGCACTCTGTTGCGCCGCCAGCCGTCTGAGGCTCCGGACTGTTGGTTGGACTTTGGCCCTTGATCGGTGACTCGGGCAACGGAATGCGCCTAGCAGTCCGGTATGCGGTCACGTTCCCGTCGTCGCCATCTTCGTCCGCACTGATATATTGCGGGCTCACATCTTTACTGTTGTATCCTCCGCGATGCGGCGATAGTGTTTGGTGGTGCTTGAACCAGCCACTGCCCGCCTTGCGCCAGGCCGGGGGAGAGTAGGATCGCCTTGAGGATACCTCACTGTAATCTGACGCTTGAGGACTGCGGAAACCAGAGTGACAGGACGGCAGGTCAGGCAGCGTCGGAGAGAATTCGCCCTTCAATTCGTAGTCCTCCATAGAGGCGTTGACGGAGTCCAGATAGTGCTGGCGGCTGGTACTCATCTCGGATATGATCATGCGTTTGGTTTGTTGTGCGCCGCCGTTGAATTGGCGAGCGCAATAAGTATCATGGACGACGCGCGAAAGTAGCGAGGAGCCCAGAAGGTGGAACTTGTCTTAGATGCGTTTGCTCGATCGTTGTCGCGTCCTTGGTCGCGAAGCACGCGCCACAAGTTCAGTATGTCTTTCGGAGTTGTGTCTGGTATCAGGCTATAGCTCAGAGTCTGAAGATGTCGTTTACAGTGGAGGATTGCATGCGCAGGTACAATGCGAGAACAGATTGAGTGCCGAATGCTGAATCCGACCCTCTGATTCTGGGGATGGACGGGCCAGGCAATCCGGCCCAAGAGTGGCTGGGGTGGATGTAATCGATAACCCTTGCCGGCAAGCATGAGCCAACCATGCTCTGGGCGGGAGCACTAGCGGCCTTTGAGGCTTCCAGGGACGAGCCCCGCCGCCCGCGACAGCACGGCCTTCCGTCATTGAAGCGGAAGAGATCATCGCGTCGAAAGAAGAGCAGTCATACTCCGGCTTGAGATTGAATGCAGCCTGACAGTCCAGGCATGAGCATGTTGATGGTATGCCTCTCCATCCTGTTCTTGAGATTCAGTCCCACACCGCTAGTCACAAAGACGATAAGGTCACGAGGAAGGGGAGGGGCTGCGGACCAGGGGCCTCCAGTGCAGCCTTGCGGTCTTGTCGTGTCGATCATGGCCCCGAAACGCAGTCTGCTGCACGAGCTTGGGCTACGACTTCCCTTGGGGGATCCTGTCGCCATTCAAGTGAGTCAAAGGGGATGTCCACTGTCAGCCATTCATATGATGCCACGTGAAGTGGAGGAACACGCGACGCGTAGAGGGAACACCCGTGCGCGTCTTTCGCAGGCATGAAGTGCTCTAGCATCCTGAGTAAGTATTGCTGGCCAATGACGATGCATAAGACGAGAGTGAGGATGTTCCGATTATGAAGGGCCGGTATCAGCACGAASAGCTTATGAGAATCATCAAAGTTCATTGCTTCTCCAGCGAGGAGATCACTAAACATCAGATCAATCAGATTCTATGTGATCTATTCACCAACTGATCTTTCAACGAAACTCACAAATGGGTCATGATGAACACTACCTTAGCCAGCACAACATCGAGCCTGTACACCTGCTCAGGTCTCCAAGGGTATCGGAAATGCTAACAGGTTGCGAAGTGGACTTGGTTTGAGCTTACTATGAATGATTTGTTGCCATCTTTTGGAATCTCTCAAGTCAAAGGAAATAGAGAAACAAAGTTGCAGTGCTGTGGTAGTGCACTGGGAAGCTAAGGTATCCGGGCAGCTGTTGAGCTTACTGCCTCCTACCGTTCGATCTCTCTTGTACTCTTTCACTATTCCTACGAATCGACGTTGCGATGAATGCGTAGTTATTTGATTGGTAGACTGGACGGCATGCTTATCGCTCGCGCCTTGCTACAGTGAATTTGTCGTTACGCAGTAGTTGTGATGCTGGAAGCGGCCGAGCGTAAGCAATATGGAAGTGATGAAGGACTGGGTCGGACAATATGTTGACAGCTACATATGTAGGTACACCCAGTCTTCCTCACTAGAGGAACTGTGAAAATAGTACCACGACAACTCCCAGAACCAGTATACCACGGAAGAAAGACTGAATGCAACAGGCTGGCAGTAGTAGCCTCGATTGATCACGCTGTCGCCGTCGTAGGAAAAGACACTACCCCAACCCTAACCCTCATTCGCGGGAAAGTCATCGCAAAATCGCATGCGATCATCGTTTCTTTCACATCCGCGGAAGCGTTGATTCTTCTGAATGTTGCCAATGCATTACAAGTAGCAGTATTACATGATGATTGCGGGTATCTTTCTAGTCTCAAAGATTACGATTATTATACACTTTTAGTATTTATACAGTCCATACTGTAGCGTGTAGACACTGATGCCGGGGCATGCTGCTTCTGCAGCCCCTTGGTCTGCATCGATTGAATAGCAGCGCCATGCGCATCATTGAGTCGGCCAATAATTCACCTAGACGTTGTTTCGGAGTGCTACTCGTCAAAGATCCCTAACACGCATGGTTCCAAGATCGATCAGATGAGGAAAAGTGTTCAGAAAGACGTTGCCTAGACTCCARTTGTCTAAATTGCGCATATGACTCTCAAACTCCGAGCTCATGACGAGGTCTCGTCGATCATCGGAACGTGAAGAAGTCGCTTGCAGCAAGGCACGGTCGTCAGGTAATGGCCAGTTGAGCGAAAGTGTGGCGCAGAATGGGACGAAGAAGTCTCCGAAGTTGACCTCTTTCTCGTTCAGGACCAGTTGTCGTTTCATATGCGGCCATGGTAGGTAGTCGGCATAAGCAACGTGAGGGATTTCAAGCTGCTCAGAAACGGGTCTGCACCATTCGGGCAGACGCTCGTAACATGCTTGACAAGGACATACGAGCCATCGCATGACCAGGAACATGACGTAGAAGACCGCGACTTTTTCAGGAAGCCTGCACACATCTGGAAACTTCTCCAAAACGTCGATGAAGAAGGCAGAGACCGGATGGCACTGAGGTAGATATGCCCGATTACACATTGCTGTGAAGTCCGGGTATTCTGGTCCCAACACCTCGTAAGCGGACACTCCATCGCGGAGCAATTCTCGCCGTCGTTTGACAAAGTCCACAAGCAGAAAGTCCAGTGGGCACGAGGGAGGTCCAACATTGGTCACTCGCTCGCACAGTGGCATTTCCGAAGATTGCGGAGAATGGAAAGGTTGAGATGAGGACGTGGCGCTCATAGGTCGTTGCTCGAGCAAGAAATCGACATCAAGACGGCCTTGGTTGGAGTGCTGCACCTGGGCCGATGAAGCGCGTTGCACTTCGTGCCTGTGATGGTAGGTCAGGGAGAGTCCCAGTGGAGTTCCTTGTGAAAGTGGAGATCTGAGGTCAGGGTGTACATGTTGCTGCTCATAGGTTGGCGCAACAGGGGACTGAGAGGGATGTTGGTGTCCGCGAGATGGAAGTGGGCTCTGTTGAGCCGTGTACGCAGCAAGCTCTGTTGCATTCATGAGCGATGAGACTCGGTGAGATGCATGAGTGCCGACGTACCATTGAGGCCGGGGGATGCAACACCTGGCCCAGAACCAGGTCCCGCCTGCGGTTGCGCCCCGACAATGCCCGCCACGGCCCCAAGACGGCGGCGGAGGTCCTCACATTCGGCCAGCGCGCGATCGCGCTCCACCACTACGCGCTGTAGCTCCTGAAATGGCTGCTGGCTCTCCAACTCACGAATTCGACGTTCCAGTCCTTCAATTGTGTTGCGCGTCCGCTCGCGTATGGCCCGCTGAGCTTCCCGATCATTTGCGCGCTACATGCCGTCCGTTAGCAAGGAAGCAGAAGTTTTCACCAGCCATGGTGTTTGACGCATGATGATTGATACCTTTTTCGCTAGCTGTTCAGCGCTGAGATTCGCCACTCCTCTGCTACCGGGAGCGCCGCTCGGCCTCCTTCTCTGGCCCTTCGTGCCAATTGCATTGTTTGCGACGGKAATGTGCTCGGAGTCTGTAGCCAGTGGGGCAGGTGTAGCACTGTCGTGGTGCGATATCGCTGCGTCCATTGAACGTCGCGTGCCCGAGCGAGTCACTCTGGAGGGATGGGGTGCAGAAGATGAATCGCGGTGCGGTGGCACGTGGATCCGAGGCCGCTCAGGTTCAACCGGAGATTATGCGGAGATTCATCTACAGTCTTTCCATTTGCACTTGCGTTCGCTACGTCTCCTTCGTACCTTCCAATCCCTTCATGTACTAATAGGGTTGTCGGATCGCTATGATATCACTGCAACAAGCAAGTGAAAGACGGGATGTGTTTCACTGTCAATGGCACGATCTGCGTTCCCGATGCCGCTAAAACTGCATGTCATGACTAGGTCCTCTCTCCCGCCGCATCATCTTCCGCGGTACCAATTGATGTGAGCAGAAGAGGGCTGTCAACCCCCGGGGCTCCAGGCCAAGAAGTATACCGCAGCTTCGGCGCACATCTGTATGGACCGTGTATCGTTCACTCCGAGGATGGGAATTAACTCACCCGACAAGACAGTGGATTGTAAGCTGTTCAAGTTTTTTACAGATCCGATCGATGAAGTCGCCTGTCGGCGCACGATTCATTTGCATGCACTATAGTATAGCACGTTGCAGCCCGAAGGTACGAATGCATCTAAGCGAGTGCGTGTCACTGCCATCTACCGGACTGAGTGCTATGGCGAGAGTCAAATAGATGGACTCACAGTGATTATGGCTTTCGTGCTCGAGCATGCGCGTTTCTCTACGTCACTCCCGACTTGAGCATCGAGAGGCGTCATTGCAATCGCTGTACACTGCGACGCGATGATAGRCTACGTCGCGGTTGACGATTGAAGGATGTCAGCCCATCAGCAACCTGACCGGCTCCAAGGACAGTTCTTGCGAGAGTCGGGCTCCTCTCACTCAGTCTCATGCCATGCCATATGCCAACGGAGGTGCCGAGAGACCCGACTGGCCACAATGACAGCGAATACAGGTCGATTAAAATGCAGGGTATCTAGAAGTAGTGGCTACCTTATACAGGCACGAGCTCGGCGTCCGAATGAATCCGCCTCCTCCGCTGTTTCCACTCCGCGTGGATTCTTCTGTTGACGTCCAACACAAGCCCGTCGTTTCGTGCCAAAGTCTTGCCTGGATCGCCAGGCGCGCTCGGCGCCAACGGGGGTACTGCGGGTGTTCCCCGTCCCTTGGGTTTGATCAGAAGCAGAATGAACATACCCGCAATCACCAGTATGAGAAGCAATATCGCTTTGCGCTWCACACCCCGCTTCTGGTAGCCCGTTGCGACTTTGAGCTCTTTGTCTGCCTCTTTGACGTGCTCCGCTGWACGTTCAACGTTATAGTCGATGCGATCCAAGACGGTGCCCTGGTCAATCACCATAGTCTGGAGTTCCTGGAACAGATTCGAGAGATCGATGACACCCTGTGCAATCTTCTCAATCTCCCGCTCTCGCTGTTCTATGGCCGAGTCCATCACCCCGGTACGTCGCCGGACTTGGGCAGTCTGGAGTAGTGTGGACTGCGCAGAAGAGCGATCCGTTTCGGAGTCCATCATCGCTGGATCGGTGTATGGATTCTGCGCCAGGGACGGAGTGCCTGACCTCCCCCCAAAGGGACTATCCGTTCCACCCATACCACCCAACGAGCGCAGCTTCTTCAAATACGCCGACTGCTTCTTCCGGAAGAGCGTGCTTACGTCACCCACCCGCGTGGCCAGGGATATCTTGAGGTTCTTCGCCATCGTTGCGTCTGCCTGCGAGACCGTCGAGCCCTGGTCCCGAACCATCTGATCGATCCTCCTGATCGCCTTCTGACAGCCCGTAAAATCTCGCGTAATGTCCTGTGTGAGACTCTCAATCTCCCGTTCCTCCTTCGCTTTGACGCTCTCATCGTCGAACCCAGGAAGTACGTGCTTGGCGTGCATTTGATCTAGTCTCTTCATCTTTCCAGTGATGTCTGCTAGGTGCTGCGACACTATTTCTTGCAGATCTAGCCATCTCGGAGGCAGCACATCCATCTCTATTACCGCGTCTCCATCGTTTTCAACATTGGACATGAGTCCTTCTCGCTCCGAGTCGTTGGCATCGTTGTTGTCCGCGAAGCGACCACTGCTAGGTCCAGTGAAGCGCGCACGCTTTGTAGGATGGTGGGTATAAGATTGGCGGTAGGATATGAAGCTGAGAAATAGTTCAATTGCGTGTATAAGTGTCATGATGCCGACAAAGTGAACTTACAGATTCGTTCGGTCGCGCCACGCGCCGCTGGCGTTGACTGGGGTGCTCATAGCGAATTCTCAGGGCGCATGCATGGTGCGAAGCGGACAGCCTCGTGCGGAGGGCAACAGAGGCTAGCGGATGTCAAGTGAAGTGCTGGACAAATAACAAGCAACGTGTAAACTAAGGTAGGTGTATCAGCTGAACGGAGTCCAGTAGCTTGTCCCAGACCCCTGGTCGGTTCGCGCCTGCCCTGTGCTGTGTCTGCCCGCATTTCTTGTGCAGGCGTCGTCAACCACCACCTCAACATCCACCGACACCTCATACGTCTCCTGTGTAGCACTCACGTCCACGAAATACCCACAGTCGCCCATTGCTCACCACCGCGAATAGCACACCAGCCCGCACTCCACAAACATGGTACGCCGATACCCCGCGAAACCGCGAATCGTGCCTTCTTGCATGCGCATTAGATACGCAATCGCGGGCTCGGACGCTGACATTGTAACGATCAGGCCGATTCTCTCACCGAGGAGCAAGTCTCCGAGTTCAAGGAAGCCTTTTCCCTCTTCGTAAGGCCCCTCCGTCACCCACATCATCTCTCCACAAGGCTGACAATTCAATAAAGGACAAGGACGGCGATGGTATTTGTCTTCACTCACCAACTCTGACAGAATCAATCCACTGACTCTCGCCCAGGTCAGATCACCACCAAGGAGCTTGGTACCGTCATGCGCTCGCTCGGCCAGAACCCCTCCGAGTCTGAACTACAGGACATGATCAACGAGGTCGACGCTGACAACAACGGCACCATCGACTTCCCCGAGTTCCTTACCATGATGGCCCGCAAGATGAAGGACACCGACTCCGAGGAGGAAATTCGTGAGGCCTTCAAGGTCTTCGATCGCGACAACAATGGCTTCATCTCCGCTGCGGAGCTGAGACATGTCATGACGAGTATTGGAGAGAAGTTGACGGATGACGAGGTCGATGAGATGATTCGGGAAGCGGACCAGGATGGTGATGGTCGGATTGATTGTGAGTTCCTGGACGACTTCCAGTTTTGGAACAGGACGAGAACTTGAGATTTTGCTTACTGACTGGCGTTTGTGTGGCAGACAATGAGTTCGTCCAGTTGATGATGCAAAAGTAATCGAACGACAACGATGGCCGTGCCCATTGCAAGCAGCAATGCGTCCTTGGACCGTCTCTAGTCTCCAGGAGAGCGAGAGCCAGCATAGGATGGGCAGCGAGTGAAACCCGGCCCTTCACAACACCCTGATGATGATGATGCATCTTTAGCTAGGCAGGCGATAGCAAGTCTCTGTATGAGAGCTCTTCCACCCCGCGCGCTTCCCCGAAAGGCGTTGAGATTCTGCATTTCTTACTGTTCCCACTGGTACAACAACTGCAACTGCAAAGGTTTGAAATGATATGTAGTTCACCGCCACTGCCAAGGTCGATAAGCTTGATTAAGCAATTTTGCCCTTTGAAGCAGCTGACAGCGTGTCTACCTCCAAGCCAGATATTGGTACAGCAGCGGAGTTCTACGAGCGATCAGGGATCAGGGATCATTGACATGGATGCACCAGACACCTCCAAAATGACCATCGCGATCTCGATGTGACTGCTCTCCATTTCGCGCGTCACACAAGCTACAATGGCTAGACACAAGGCCGAGAAGACGTCCACTGACAGAATAATTGAAGCTGGCGAGATCACGCCTCGACCTCCCGAGGAACTACGTCAATTCCGCAAGCCAGCTACCACCAATGACAGAGCCTGGTGGTACATCAGTGATGAAATTTGGAATACGGCTCTAGCCAAAGCGCAATCCAATGAAGCCGTCATTAGGAAAAGTGGCCGTCAAGTTCTGATAAGAGGTAACCATGCAGGACGAATCATGGAGACGGATGAGGGTATGTACTGTACATTCACCTAGGCTGTTGGTTGCTAGCCTTGGATTAACAACCGCAGGCATTCCCGCCATTTCCGAATGCCATTGGTGCAGTCGCCCGGGTTATAAACAAGATTGTAGAATTTATGCTGATGGACGGAGTCCCGCTTGTGGATATTGTCTAGGGAAAGGGAAGCATGGTTGTAAAGCTGGTTTGGCTGTAGAGCCAGAGTCTGAATCCAAACCGGGGGATGATGTTGTTCTAGTGAACTTGAAGGTCAAAATGGAGAGTTTGGAAAGAAAACAGGAGGAGCTTCAGATGGCTCTACAGCGGAATCAAGAGCGGTTGGCAGCTCTTACGACTGCGATGAGCACCCATGGCGGCGGCATCTTTGGTGGGGTGAACGTTCCCCAGTCCCGCTTCCTCCTAGGAGGGGATGTCCGTTGATCGGCTCGAGATCATCTTCGAGGAGGTACGTGAATGTGGCGATGGTAGATTGTTGAGACATCAACATAGTAGTATCATTAGCATTAAGAGCAGCTTATCTACCGTTTCCGCCGCCGCCTGAGGTCAACCTTCCAACTCTCTCCCTCTCCCACATCCTCAATTACCACCCACGGCTCCATGTCATCCTCCACTTCCTTCGACATCTGTATCTCACCCTCACCCTCAACATTCACATTCTTCCCATCTTCCTCACCATTCTCTATCCCGGCGGAACGCAAGTCGCTCAAGAATTCACCGAAATATAGCACTGCATTCAAGATCTCCTTGCCGGTAGGGATTATGTTCTCCTTGGGCAACAGAAACCCATACGTTCCTCGATCGCGAAGTTTGATCTGGTAGGCATATCGTGTGGACATGGCAGTGTAAAAGTAATCCAGCGCTGAGCCACCCGTTGACTCCACGCTCGGAAGGACTTCCCCGTTAGCGGCAAGGTTACCCTCACAGGCTTGCATAACTTCATAGTTGTGCCCATGTGTGTTGCGAATGGCCTTACTCAGGCCGGTAGCAAGTTCCTCCAAGTTTTCCAATCCCGGGGGTGATGCATCGCAGCTATAGCTGTAGGGATACATGATACTCTGAGAGTAAGAGTGGAGATCWAGGAATCCAACAAACTCGACATTGTTCTTCTCGGTCTCGTTCTTGGCCCATGACGCGAGCGCTGTGGCTTCCACGGCTTCAAACGGCGCTTCACCGCTATAACTTTCACTGCAAGGATTATCCGATGCTGCCCATTGTACGCCGAATGCACGGTCAAGATCAATACCCTGGCAGAAGCGGATGCCAGTTTGCTGTCTATTCTTACGCCACAGGCGATCAGTCTCCCATGTGTACACATAGCCGTCCGGATTGAGAGTGGGAATGAAGACGAAGTCAAAGTCGTGGAGGAGCTTGGTGATGCTGGGTATTTTGCCGTATCCAGTAATCAAAGAATAAGCGACGTAGTTCACGGTGGTAGTGCTGATCCATTCTCGAGCGTGGAGACTTCCCATAACGAGGATAGTCTTGCGTTTTGGACGGTCTGGATCAGTCGAGTCCGTGGGGTGAACACCGACACGTAAAGCAGGTATCGGACGGCCTTCAGAGGAAAGCCCAATATTGATGTGTCTGACATGAGTGGTGAAAAGTGAGGCAAGCAGACGTAGCCACGGCTCGATGACGGTGAAGGGCTGGTAATCGGCGAAGAAGATGTTGATTTCAGCGCCAGAAGTTGTTTGCTCAACATTCGGACCAAAAAGCGGTCTGTTCGTGGTGAAATGGGGGGATGAGGCTCGCTGATGATGTCTTTCGTAGTTCTCATGGATAGCCTTAGCCAGCTCGTGCTCCCGTAGCAGAGGTAGATGTTGGAGAGATTTTGGTAGTAAACCAAGAAGTAACGGGACGTCATCCTGGCTCAGGCGAATGTCGACGTAGTTATGGGAGAACTGCCACACGTCTAGRAGGAGAGTATCTGCTGCTTCCGCGAGGCTTCTCAGCTCCGAAGCGGCGCTGACATTGAATCGTAGAACAAGATCGCCGCCATATTTTGCCCAGGTGTGAGATGCAGGTGGCTCCACGTTCCTTGATTGTGCGTTTCGATTACGGCCACCACCAATTGATTTGCTGAAACCGACGAGAGTTTGTAAAACGCGATCGGAGAAGCTGGGCGGCGCAAGAGAAATTGGCTCCGGATGATGCAGTGGGTAGGGCGCGGTGGAGTGCGAAGGCACCGCGGCGACCAGCGCGCAAAACAGTGCAAGCGCCGTCCTGGTCTTCATGTTATGCGCGGACACGCAGCTGTCGTGATGAAGCTGGAAATGGCAATGTCGACAATGTGTGATAAGTTTGATAACGCTACCGATCGTAGTTGCCTGTTTTAGACCTCTACCAGCCGCTCGGGCGTGGCGCAGGGAATTCAGCTAGGTACAGTACCTCAACACCTCCAGCTTCACATTTGATGGGCATATTCAGTTGATAGGACGTGAATAACGACAGCTGTTTGTCGCGTTCAGATCACCGATTTCAAGCAGTCTCGCTGTTACGCGGCCATTTCAAAATCAAGGCACAACGAGCGCAGGCCTCTTGAAGCTCTGCCCTTCTGCCCTGCTGTTCATCGTCAATCCTGGTCTGTCCAAGCCTTGTTTACGACGCTAGCGGCCGGCGTGAGCCGAGCTGGAGGTACGTTCACCACAAGGGCCTCCTCGAATCTCGACTTCGAACCCCGAAACACTCAGCACCGAGCTACCGAACCTCTTCCTAGGACCGTATCCTGTGGATCCCACCCCACACCGTCCAATGCCTTGTTCGCCGCGTCCGCAGCGAGCATGCCTCTCGTCCGACGTCAGCGCAGCGCCGTCGACCTCAAGTCCCCGCGTAACGGCGACGCTCCAATAGTTGCAGCAACCCCGGCGACGAAACGGCCCAGCACCTCGAAATCGTCGAAACGGCCCAAATCCTCCTACGATGCATTCTTGGCACCCCGTCCCGCCCAGTCTCGTCTCAGTCATGAGGTCTTGAGGGGAGATATTGCCGAACCCGGTGCTGACCAACACTCCGATCGCAACCACGAGTCGACCACGGCGTCGAAGCGGTTCAGCTTGATGAAGTTTCGCAACTTCTCGGAATCTCACCTGGGCACGCGAGCAAAGATGGACGCGGATAGACAACGTTTGGAACAGCAACGGCCACCAATGCCCGCCCTCGCTCCGAACGTCGACGGCACTTTGCCGACCATTGTGAAAACGGCCCCAACCACTGACGACCGTGGTGCTGATAACAWTATTGTGCAGCTTGTGGATCAGGAGGATGGCGAGGTTGGGCGGAAAGTCCGGCCGTCAATCTTCAAGAGGGCTGCTTCCCAAGGACGCATGACTCCACGTAGATCCACCGACGAGAAGCGAATGGCCGGGAAGAGCTCGTCGTTGAAGTGGCGGAGAGGGAAGAACAGTGGTTTGGAAGACTTGCATCGACTTTCCGCGATGCACCTCGGCAACTCCGCCAGCAACCTCAACCCGGGGTCGGCACCTCCCTCCTATGGCGACGAGGAAAGCTCCGCCCTCGCTCTTCCCCTCCCCCAATTTGCGGATCCCTCCCGCAACTCGGAGTCGTCCCGATCGGACGGGAGCAATGCCAGTTCAGGCGATGGACCTATATACGGCTCAACCACCACCACCACACATACCGTCTCGACGCATACTACCTTTTTCAGATTACCACGACGAAAGAAGAATCGCGCTTCACTATTTCCTCTACCGGTCACACTTGCACCTCCTGATGAAGCACAGCAGCGTGAAGGGATTCATCAAGGGCCGCATACTCCACGCGCTTCCACACAGTCGTGTTCGCCTGACATTGATCGCACTCCCATCCCGGATCAAAGGCCTGGCAGCAATTCTCTTCAGAGACGGCACACTGACGCTGCCAGCCCGGCCAAGTATAAGTATCGTCAGGCAGCTCATCCGGCACTTCCCAAAGGAGCTTTGACCTTCGCCGACCCGGGCGTAGGCCTCGCTCGGGACAGTTCCAGAGCATCGGCCACATCGGCCAGCTCGTCACCGCTGCAGCTGCCTCCAATGCGACTAGGGCTGAGAAATAGATCTTCCACAACCAGCTCGTTTGCTCGCAGTGTGCAGGATGGGTCAGAGACGCCGCCGCCCAGGACATCTACCTCGACGACTGGGAGATCCAGTTTTGGCGGATTGCTCAGTCTCTCCCGATTCCGTCAGGGATCTGAACCCTACTCACCGCGCCATGGATCGCCGGGAAGGAGAAGCCATGCCAATTCGTTTGCAATCAGCCGAGAAGCTCTCGTCATACCTGAGCGAGAGGAAGGAGATACGCCAGGAAGATACCTTGAACGTCTGGAGTCAGCAGTATCCAGAAGCGTCATCGCTGGAATTCTTTCCAAGTCCGCGGATCCCTTCGCACAGGCTGTATTACGAAGCTATACTCGGCGGTTCCCTTTTTTCGGCGAACCAATCGACATGTCTCTGAGAAAGTTTCTGCTGGAAGCTGAGCTGCCCAAGGAGACACAGCAAGTGGACCGCGTTATTCAGGCCTTTGCGGACAGATATCACGAGTGCAATCCTGGCATATTCACCAACACGGATACCGCATACATTGTTGCTTTTTCGATCATGATGCTGCACACCGATGCTTTCAACAAGAACAACAAGCGTAAGATGCAGAAGAGTGACTACGTGAAAAACACTTCCGGTCAGGGGCTCGATTCTGAGATTCTGGCGTGCTTCTACGACAACATCTGCTACACGCCGTTCGTTCATTACGACGAAGATGTGGACATCAACGGAGAACGGGTCCTTCCTTTCCAAGCGAAGAAGGCGGCCGGGAAATTGAAGAGTGCAATACCAGGTAGCGATGCTGTCGCGAAGAAGCCCTCGGGACCGGTCGATCCCTACAATCTGTTGGTGGAACAGAAGCTAGATACACTGCGCCCGGCTCTAAAGGAGAGTATCATGATGGACGATCCGTACGACTACCGTGGCAGTCAAGGTAATCTTGACCCGCAGTACCTTCAGCGAGCGTTCACGCATACTGGAATTCTCCAGATCATCTCAGCGAGGTCGAGGCCAGCTGCGTATGAGAACCAATTTGTCAGCGGCATTGCAAATTCGGCAGAATCTCAGCAAGGCATTGTAGACCTGAAGATTACCAAGGTGGGCACACTATGGAGAAAATCTGCGAAGAGAAAGAAGACGCGAAGCCCATGGCAAGAATGGGGCGCAATTCTCACCGGATCCCAGTTGTATCTCTTCAAGAACCCGCACTGGGCGAAAGGTCTCGTGGTCCAATTCATGAGCCATCAGCGTCCTGGACATGCTCGAACGCCGGTAGTGTTCAAGCCGCCTATTTCCGAGTTCAAGTACGATGCACTTATCAAGACCGACGATGCCGTTGCGCTGGTGGATTCAACGTATACCCGCCACAAGCACGCATTTACCTTCGTTAGGCCTGGTGGGATCGAGGAGGTCCTGCTGGCCGACAACGAGAATGAGCTCAACGATTGGCTTGGCCTAATCAACTACGCAGCCGCGTTTCGTGCGGCTGGCGTTAGAATCAGGGGCATGGTAGGAGGCAATGAAGAGGATCAGCGTGCGAAAGAGGTGCGAAGACTCGAGTCAACCAGCTCGGCTCGATCGATTGAAAACGCCCTGGGCGAAGTCAATCTACGCAACAGAGGGTTGAGCCCACAGCTGCAGCGACAGGTCATGGCTGCGCGCCGGCAGATCATGGTGCAGAAGATAGGAGAGATTGAGGTTGATGTTACAGACGCTAACAGACGGTTGGAAATGTCGCTTCGAAATGCACGGCATCTCTTGTTGTTGGCGCCCATCATGCAGAAGACGCGTGAGGATGTGATCCTGGCGGCTGCAAAAAAGGACACCAGCATCAATTGGGCGAGGAGGGAAATCTGGCGCATGAAGTGTCATCGCGATATACTCGCCATGGACGTCCGCTTGGACGGTCTGAGTGCTAGCGAGTTGGAGAAACTCACCTCAGATCAGCAGGCCGAATATGAGGCTGCGAAGAAGGAAAAAGCGAATGAAAGGGAGAAGCCGAAGATGCTGTCTAGACTGAGTTCATCGAGAGCGCCTGCTACCAGGAGTCCGCCCCAGAGCCCAGTCACGGTTGGAAGACCATCAATGGCTTCTTCCGACAGCTTCATGAGTGGTGACGTCTTCCGCACACCGCCTGAAACCAATAGCCCATCACGAGAGGAGGGATGGCTCCTCCCGCCGCTCAGCCTCGATACAACTGCCCAGGACCAACACCGCCCTTCAATAACGAGCACATTCTTATCGACCACGTCCAATGGCACAACTCTAGCACGCTCCTCGTCGACCTCGAGCGTCAACCAGGCGCAAAGGACAAGATCGAACGGTCTCTCCGAGGAAACTAATRGCAGCTTCGACGAAAGAGAACTTGAACTTCTGGCTCGAGCGACTATGAAAATTGATTCTGAAGCCCCATCCGCACTGGGGCTGGGAGCCGGCCCATCTCCCGACAATAAACACAAGGGCGTTCGACGAAGTCTTCAAAAGACCCTGCGCGAGCATTCCCACAATAGCTCTGCGCACAAACATCGTCGGAACAAGGAAAGCGAGAGCACTGTTCGATCCGCGGGCGGAGCACAGGCAGAAGAGCGCGAAGAGGAGGTTGGGTTGACGCGAGACAAACCGCGATTCATGCTCCACGGCAAGCAGGCCTCTGTGGTGCAATTTGGAGGTGACTGGGAGAGAATGCGTATGAGGAGAGAGAAGTATGGTAGCACTTCGGGTCAGAGTGGCGGTTCTCCAACTCAAGCGGAGCGTGAGTTCCAGCGTAACCGCAGTCCTGCGGTGCAGGAGTTCCGCCGAGGAAGCGATGACACTGATGACACCACTGGGAGCGATCTTTCAGAACGCACGAAACGCAGCTTTAGAGAAGATGCGGAGGCTGCGTTCGCGCTCAGCACTTTGCGCTGGAGCATTGGAAACGAAGACGCGGCCAGCAAGCACACCCAAAAACACAGGGTTGGAAGTGCGGAGACTGCCCGGCACAGAAGGCCTAGTGATTTGATGAGAGGTGGGGCGAGGGGCGACGCCGCCATCGATGAAGCCATCAGCTCAGAAAATGAGATAGAAGATGACCTCGCGTCTAGAAGGGAGAATCGCAGGACGGTCATCGGACCTTCCACGAATGGGACTGTAGAAAGATATCTAGACCCTCGAGTGGTCGAGTCTGGAGAGTCTGATGCGGAAACGAGCTCCGTTGAGGGCGAGGGAGGTTTTGTCAACCCAATCAGTGACGACGACCTGAGGAAAATGAGTACGGACTTGCATTGAGAAAAGAGCGAGGCCGATGCTCTATGATCGGCTTTTCGGTCTAGAGTCTAACACCTAAAAATTCCACTAATTTGTTGAATTGTCCCCAAGAGCATGTGATGTCAATTTCCCGTACGTTCTCAACGAGTTTTCGTGCCCATTATCGGCTCCTTCCATGGAGATACACATCGTTCGCTTCCGGATATCCCGTATGCAGTCTTCCTGTGAAGTATCTTCTTCCATTTGTTATCCATACTCCTATAGAAGCATACTGTCCTCCACAAGCATCAAAACCTCCTGCGTCCCATTCACCAACTACAAACGACAAGTCAGCAAATCCACCCTTCACAATTCACGTCTCCACCAAACTCCAAGTCTTTTGGATGTGTTCAAAAGGTCCTCTCCGGTCTTTTATCCAAATCTCCCCTTAAGAGCTGGGAGAGCCGTCCAGGGGCACTTATCATTCTTAGGAAAGAGCTGACCATTTAGGAAGAGCGTGTACTTGGATTTTTGATGGAACCAAGATGCGGGTAAACTTCATCGAGCTTGTCCCCGAGTATCCATCTACTTCCTGTATGTGGGTCTGTCATGGTGACTATAGGTTAGGGGGAAAGGTCATTGGAAAGGAGAGAAGGGTGATGGGAAGAGACAGTGTCGGAATAGAATAGAGCAGAAGTACCACGCGAGTAGCAATGGACTCCAGAGTGACCTACCTAGATGCTACAGAAATGGATGAACGCGGTTCCTTGCACGAGGTCCGGAGACGTCGAAACGGACGCCGGGAAATGTGGAACCGCACATTCTCTGCCGCAATTGCGTGAGCTCACGCCTCGAGGGCCGATGTTGAGCGTGCGCCGCATGTCGAGATCGGAGACAAACATCATTATGGCTGGGATCCCATTAACGATGCCCATGATCTGCAAGCCAGCGCAGTGGATCGGATTCTTATGACGACGGGCAGATGGATTTGGTCGGGGTTTCAGAAACCATGCCAGAGTACGCAGCGGCAGGTGCCTATGTTGCCTTCAGACGGCTGGCGTTGACGAGCTCTGCAAATGAGCGACTCCTCCACGCCGGTCATTCAGAGCGCGCGGCGCGAGCACTGACATGTGGCCAGTGCCTTTACCTTGATATGCCACGTCTTATAGCGTTCAAGCCTCTTGCGAATGAATGGCGGCACCCTCATTGTCACAGCCTGCGCTTCGACGAATCTGCTCGAGTCGCGCTTTCTTGGTTTCGCAGCTGGAGTGATATTGCAAGACAACGGACAAAGCTTGTTGGGGTTCCTGGAGGTATTCTCTTTCAGTCTCGTTCCGCGATGGCCTCGGCAGCCTCGGCCTCAGCGTCCTCCTCGTCCAAATCGATGGTGTCTCGTCGCTTCGGCTGCCGTTTTCGTCTCCTTGTGGGACTTTCATGTCGGCTTGATCCGACTGCGTCCAGGAAGGCGTCGTTGTCCATTTCGCTCTTCAAGTGCGGTACTGCCGAGACGTCCTGGATTTTCAACCGGGTTTCAAATGCGTCGAAGGCTTGACTTTCGTCTTCATCAACGTAGTCCATTTCGATCCACTTCTCTTCCTTGGCCTTCCGCAGCGACTCCTTCAGCTTCCATTCAACGGTGTTCTTGTCCTCGGTTTGCAACACCTTTTGTCGCACGGTGCGTGCGATGCCCTCGGGCTCCGGACCGGCGGCGTCTTGCTGAGCGCGAGATGCGGTGATGCGAGCACGCTGTTCTTCCGCATCGAGATGGTGGAAGTGCGGACGCATCTGCACGGTGCCGGCAACACGGGTTAGATGCAGCTGATCATCCTTGAAAGCGCCAACAAAGTAGAATGGCTTCCCTTCTTCTGTAGGTCCATCGTGGCGCAAGATTTGCCCTCCCAGAGTCTGTACGGCATGCACCTTGTTCTCGCGCTCGGCGTCTGGGAAATGAGTGAGATCATTCTCAAAGTCCAGCTCGCGATCACTCTTGTCCTTGAGATTGGTCCCGCGCGCCATTGATCGAGGTTTTGCGCCGGCCAGACCCGCAGCAGGACCAAACGTGCCCGTCGCGTTGTGCAGCTCATGGCTGGCGCGTGTGGCATCGCCCCACTTCAGTCCCATGTATTTGTTGAAGTTCTGCTGCGTGTTGAGCGCGACGTCGACCTCCATGTAGCCCGAGTGCGGCTTGATGCGCATGTCCGTGGGCACTGCGCCGTAGTTTGCCGAATATGGACGATTTCGAGGACGATTGGGATATTGCAGCAGTAGGATCTGGTCGGCGATGGCAGGCGTGATGTAGACGTCATATTCGGCCGTGACGGGATCGTCGTCCTCCTTGGTGGGAGCCATGTTGGTGTTGTTGTTGTTGTTGAGAAGAAAAAGATTATTGATTGGAATTTGAAACGAGGGGCAGTCATCATTCACATAGCTCTCGGCTAGCTTCCGAAGCATTGACGTGCCTACCTACGGTAACTCCGTACCATGCCTCGCATCGTACATCCRCCACTACCTCATCACTGAGCTCCATGATCCTCTCGACACACAACCATGGCATATCTCGCCCCCATCCACCAAGCTTCCAGCGTCCGTCATGCCATCAAGTTGTGCTTCCTCTCGCCAGATGCCGAAGATTTGATCGTTGCCAAAGCCAATAGAATCGAGATCTGGAGTCCGGCTTCCAACGATGACCCTACGTTACTGCTTAAACACAGCAAAGCACTCTATGGCAAGGCGACGCTACTACACAAAATCCGTCCGGCAACATCACCCACAGATCACTTGTTTATCGGCACAGATCGTTACCACTACTTCACTCTCAGCTGGGACCCCGACACAAAGTCGCTCAAGACCGAGAAGAGCTTTGTCGACATAGCCGAAAAGACGGCGAGAGACAGTCAGACGGGCGATCGAGTGCACATAGACCCAACATGTCGTTTCATGGCATTGGAGTGCTACGAAGGCGTCGTCAACGTCCTTCCCATTGCACATGCAGGGAAAGGCAAGAGGAAGGCTGCAGATAGTGAGATTGGCGAGCTCGCGGACCCTATTCCCGTGCGGATACCAGAGCTTTTCGTCAGGAGTAGTTGCTTCGTACACAAGCGACAGGCAGGCACAAAGCAGGTAAACCCGGAGTTCGCAGTACTCCATGAGGACAGCCAGAACAAACCTCGGATCAAATTCCGGGAGCTGGAATATGGACGAAGTTTGCGCCCGGCCGAGGAACCTTCGACTGCAGAGCTGGAGAAGGTTCGAGAGGTCGAGGATTCAATAGAACTGGGAGCCTCGTTCCTAATACCTTTACCACCGCCCATTTACGGTCTGCTGGTAGTGGGAGATACATCTGTGAGCTATGTTGACGAGTGGGGGCCTCGAATCACAAACACTGAGCCATTGGACGAAGCAACAGTATTTGTGGCGTGGTGTCAAGTCGACGATCAACGTTACGCTCTTGCAGATGAGTATGGGAAGCTGTACTTGTTAATGATTCAGACGAAAGCAAATGGCGAGTACGACGGTCATCAGATCGATCAACTTGGCGTGACGAGTCGAGCCAGCACACTGGTGTATTTGGACGAAGGTCGGATCTTCGTGGGTAGCCATGCAGGCGACAGCCAAGTCGTGCAGATATCCGAGAAGAACGTCGAGGTACTGCAAACGTTCTCCAACGTAGCACCGATCTTGGACTTCACGGTAATGGACATGGGCAACCGAAGTTCCGACGCGCCCGTGAATGAATTCTCCTCCGGACAGGCAAGAATCGTAACAGGATCCGGCGCTTTTCAAGATGGCAGTTTGAGATCTATTCGCTCCGGGGTTGGTTTAGAAGACAAAGCCGACTTGGGAAGCTTGGGTGCTCCGGTGTCTGCAGTATTTGCTTTGAGGAGCAGCCCGGCTGTGGAAGTGGTCGACACGCTGATCGTCAGCTTCGTGTCACATACACGCATCTTTGTTTTCACGCCAGAGGGTGATGCGGAGGAGACGGATCAATACCGAGGATTCGACCTTACTGATGCTACGCTACATGCAGGCAACACCTCGGACGGTGGAGCAGTTCAGGTTACCGCCAGCGCCGTGTTGCTCGCAGATTCTGAAGGCAGCATGGTCACAGGTCAATGGCAACCAGCTGGCGGCACTTCAATAACAGCTGTCTCGTCAAGTGCGGATAAGATCCTCCTCTCTTTACAGGGAGCTTCTCTGGTGGTCTTGGACGTATCCGGCTCGGCAGTAAGACTACACTCACAGCGAGATTTTGGAAGTGACGAACAGGTTTCCTGTATCGCACTCTCCGAAGCCTTGCCAGACGCGTGTGTCGTAGGTTTCTGGAAGGACAGCAAAGTGTCGGTCCTCGACTTGCAGACGCTACAACCAACAGCGACCGAGCAGGTTGCGCAGGAAGACATTCTTGCAGTTCCAAGATCGCTTACTGTTGCGAGAATTCTGCAAGATCACCCGCCAACATTGTTTGTCGGACTGGCTGACGGCAATGTGGTGACATACGGCATCGAGTCTCTTCAACAACCCTTCACCGCGCGGAAAAGCATCATTCTGGGCACACAGCAGGCCAACTTCGCTATTCTTCCCCGCGGGGATGGAAGTCTGCAGAACGTCTTCGCCACCTGCGAACACCCATCACTGATATATGGCGCTGAAGGTAGGGTGGTATATAGCGCAGTGACAGCCGAGAAGGCCACCTGCATTACTGCATTCGACTCCTTTGAGCCGTACAACAATGCCATCGCAATCGCGTCTGGCGATGAGCTAAAGATCGCAATTGTGGACGAGGAACGTACCACACATGTTCAAAATCTCTTCCTGCACCAGACTGTACGACGTATTGCATACTCTGCTGATCTCAAAGCTTTTGGCCTCGGCTGCATCAAGCGAGAGCTACGAGCTGGCCAAGAAGAAGTCTCGAGCTTCTTCAAGCTTGTTGATGAGATTGCTTTCAAGGAGCTGGACACTTATGATCTGAACGAGGATGAGCTGATCGAGACTGTCATTCGGTGTAAGCTTGATGACGGAACTGGGGACGAGGCGGAGCGCTTCGTGCTTGGGACTGCTTTCTTGGATGACCAAGACGCAGATAGCGCGAGGGGGAGAATCATGGTGCTTGAGGTGACGGAAGATCGAAGACTGAAGCTCGTCACCGAGATTGCAGTCAAGGGAGCCTGTAGATGTCTGGCCGGTTGCAATGGCCGGATCGTGGCCGCTTTGGTCAAGACCGTGGGTAGCCCATGTGCACTACTATTGCAACACACGCTAATCACTCTCCTTAGGTTGTTGTATATGCTTTCGAGTACGAGACTCCGTCGACGCCTATGATGGTGAAGAAAGCAGCATATCGCACCGCCACAGCACCCATCGACGTCTGCGTAACAGACAACATCATCGCCGTCACCGATTTGATGAAGTCCCTTTCGCTTGTGGAGCACAAGCTTGGTAGCGCCGGCCAATCCGACACGCTGACTGAAGTTGCCCGCCACTTCGATACAGTCTGGGGAACAGCTGTCGCCAACGTAGGCGACAACACCTACCTCGAGTCCGATGCCGAGGGCAACCTGGTCGTCTTGGAGCACGATGTCAAAGGTTTCTCCGCGGACGACCGGCGCAGACTACGTGTCACGAGCGAGATGCTTCTCGGGGAAATGGTCAATCGTATTYGTCCCATCACCGTTTCACCAACTCCTGGTGCCGCTGTCATTCCCAAGGCCTTTCTCGCTACAGTGGAGGGTAGTATATATCTTTTCGGCGTAATCGCCGCTGGAAAGCAAGATCTACTCATGCGGATGCAGAGTAAAATGGCCGAGATGGTGAAGAGTCCAGGATACGTCCCATTTGCGAAATTCCGCGGTGTCAAGACGCAGGTGAGGGATATGGGTGAGGAGGGGCCCAGTCGGTTTGTGGATGGAGAGTTGATTGAGAGGTTTCTTGACTGCGGTGAGGAGGTGCAGAAGGCGATCTGTGAGGCATTGGAGGTGGACGTCGAAGAGGTCAGGGGTATGGTGGAGGGGTTGAGAAGGATACATTGAGAGGAAACATTGTACATGAGTGATGTCTTGATGATTATACACTACACTCTTTATCAAGTGAACTGTTACATGTGGGGTTCCTAAGGCTTTATCGTTAGCCAAACATTGCCACACACCAAAATTTGGCCTACAACCAATGTTCTTACCACAACATCACCCAATTACCGTGTTTTTTTTCCTAGTAGTGATCAAAAAGGACGATATTGTCGAAATGGCCGAAAATCAAGTGTGTAGTGCGCCGCCGGCGGCTCTAACCGCTCTAGCGCGTACCTCTCGCGGTAACACGCCACGTAGAGCGCGACTATCTAAAAGGGCTTAAGAGGCTGCTGCTGCTGCTATCGCTGTCGCCATACCGAAGGCTAGACCGTCTAAGGGAAAAGCTAGCTCTATAAAGAAGTCGCAATCGTCGAAGAAGCGCGCGGTAGTAGCGATAGAGCAGCGTCTAAGGAAGCGCCGTTCGCGTAATAGAGCCGGAACTAGAGGTATTAATGTTAGTAAGAGGCCAAATTAAGAGGTAGATGTCGCGGATAAGGATAAGGAGCTTTTCCTTCGTATAGATAAGGATATAGAGGATAAGGAAGAAGAAGAACGGCTACTACTAAGTACGTAGCGGTTACGTAAGCAACGTAGAGTTAATGTTAATAATAATAAGAATAAGGATAAAGCTAGAAAGAACAGGCCGTTTACGTACAGCACCTATTAGACGGTTACGTATAACAAGGAGCGTATCGAGTTAATTACCTACCCTAAGAAGTCCTCTATAGACGGCTCTTAATAAGACAACTTTAGAGAGTAGTATAAGATACGATATAATAATAATTAAGCGATGGAGGTTCCTCGTTACGTTAAGGACGTTAGTTTCTTTCCTATAATCTATGCGGCCTATAGCAAGCTCTCGAGGATTAACTAGATAACCTAGGATCTATTAGACGATATAACCTATAGGATAGCCCTATAGCAACTACGTGTTTAGCGTAACTGTAGATATAAGGACCTATAGATACATATATCCTACGAGTTCTAGGCTATAACAGTTAATGCTATATTAGGCTAAACAGCCCTACTAGGTACGTAGAGTTTATAGCGACGAACGGTTACGAACACTTAAACAGCGAACGTACGGATTAAGCGTACTACACTTAAGAGCAATAGCGACCTTAAGCATCGCATACACGACTAATAGACATGCAATTAAGAGAGGTGTTAGAACTATAGCTATACGTATTAGTAGCTAAGGGATGTAGCGAATATTAGCGAACATTGCGAACTGTTCCCTTAAGCGGCTCTTAACTAGGCTAAATTAATTAAAAACAGCATAGCTAATAAGAAGCTAGATAGGCCTAATCTAAAGGTCAAATTTATAGATAAATTCGAGCTACTAGCTAGTGTTGCTTACCGCTTAGCTACTTATGTAATATTAAGGAAGGGCGCTGTCGAAACGGTTAGTCTAAACCGGCGTAAGCAGCAGTAGAACGGTAGTAGTTATATACAGAACTTCTACCTTRGTAGTAAATTAGTAGATAGCGATAAAGAGAACTTACCTCTACGGCCTATACGGCCTATTATTGTAGAGCTACTATTAAGTCAAGTTCGAGAGCCCTTACTTAATCCACTTAACTAGCTTAACAACTGCATCTACTTTATATTACTATAGGACTACTAGACGAAACACAACCGCTAAGATAACCTATATAAGATACAGGACTTCTTTATATAGAAGGACCTTAGCCTCGAGGCGTTAATAGATGTAACACGTGAATAGTGGATTAAGAACGGCTTTAAGGAAGGCTAGCGGCAATATTTAAGAGGTTCTATACGTGCGTAGCAGAAGTCGAATAATCCTTCGGGTAGTAATGCTAGGAGCGTAGATTTTAACAGGCGGTAGCTTTTTACGTAGCGGTCCGATTTATATGATTTTTCTTCGAGCTTCTTTAGCGCATCGAGTTATTATAAGATCCGTTTTATGTTGTATAGCATGTGTTGTATAATAGTATTATTCTAAATAGGTAGGCAAAATAAATGTTATCTAAAGCCTATATAGAGACTCGGGGAAGCTATAAAGCTAGACCTCTAGAGTAATATAGTCTATTATTTACTATGTTACAACTACACGACCAAATTCGGTTAACGATAGCTTAAATTAAAGCTCTCGATGCGCTCGAATTTTGTATATTTATGCGGTGAATTTAGAGCGTACGGTTTGTGCGCAATCGTATAGTGCGTATAGTAGATGCGAGGATTTTAGGGTCCGAATAGTATCCTTAGCGTTTTCTTAGTATTTTACGGGGAACTTTAGAGGACTCGGCTTTATCTTAGAAGGCTCGCATTTCAGACGATTAGCTATCTAGTATCTATACGTCTCTTAGAGCATTACTAAGACGTAGCGCACGGTCGTTTCTAGCTATATATATAGGCTTTTAAGACGGTAAGGGATGCGATAGCTCGACGGTAGTATACATGCATAAAAAAAACACGAAAATAAACATTTATCTAATTATTAACCAAATAGCCTAACTCTAACGATAAGGATAAATAAGGGCAATTAATAAGGAGAGGGCTCTAATAGCGGCAATCGACTTAACTTAATTAATTGCTCGAAATCCACTATAATAGAACTAGCGCTCTATAACGTCCGGATCTATATAACACTCGTTTATTGCCTATATAAGGAAGTAAGGGTAGCTCTCGAATCCCTCCGCCTCTTTAATATAGCGACGAACAAACGCTTTTAGAACTAAGAAGGACTGTTCGATAGGGTTGTAGTCCGGTAAGTAAGGAGGTAGGTACTTAATTTAAATGCTATTATCTAAATAGAGGCGTTTAATGCGAATATCGTAGTGTGTAGATGCATTATTAAGGACTAGCAACTATCTAGCAGATAACTAAGGAACAACCGTATCCTCTAGCTATTTATATAGGATGTCTCTAGTAATACTGCCTTAGTAGATTAACGTTCCTAGTAGGTAGCCGTCCGGTATTATTACTAGTAAGATACTCTATCGTTTACTTCTRTCCTATAGTTATTAGTCTACGTAGTTAACGCCCTTCTCGCTCTAACCGTACTTACGCTAACCGTAGCGTTCGTTCTATGCACTCTCGTTAATATAGCAGATGCGGTTAGTTAGCTATGCATTACGTTTGCTACGCTAGTACGCACGAAGGAATTCGCTTTGTTTACGTAGTCGTTTCTTCGCTACCTTACGTAACTAGCCTACGTTATATATAGCCCTATAGATAGTAGGTACAGAAGCCTAAACGCTATATTTATCCTATAGGAACTACTACATCTCGTCTAGGTAGGCGGTTAGCTATTTAGAGAGCTAGTCTAGCATTATTCGAACGTAGTAGTCCGATAATATAGGCCGTAGACTAAGGGCGCATCTACGCGGAGGGTAGGGTTAGCCGAATAAGTCTATAGAAATGCGTATGCGGTAGACAGTTATCCGGCTTATTTTAACTTAGTCCGCAATAGCTATGTTACTTAGGTCGGTGTCCTCTAGACGTCGTAACACCTTCGTAAGGATAGGCAGCTTTAATCTATTAACTATTGCGATGATTTTGAGCTACTTAGAGCGTGATTYGAGGGCGTAGTAGTGGTGTTCTGAATTGTTAAGAATATTCGTCTAATATGAAGGTGGATTGCGGAGGTCCGGAGGTTTGTAACAGTTGACTTGATAAAACCTATAGCTCTGGACGGCTTGCAAAAGCGTTCAACGAAGACTCATGAAGAGAGCATGGCAGAATCGCCGTGCGCAAAATCTCCGGATGGCTAGACCGCGATGAAACAATGGCATTTCCCAGGGTCACAGATCCTGGTTTGATGTGCATCGTACGGCCATGACTAGTGGTGAAATGAACGGCAGTTTTTGCTCCCCAACATCCGACGCTCTGCAAACAAGCCGACGATGCGATGAGGCGAAGAGGACGCTGCAGAGAGCAATTGCGCCTTTGCTCACGAATCCAGCAGAGGTACGTACCTCAGACGAACGGATCTCAATCCTTTCCGTTCAAGTTGACATCCGCATGGTCCGCTGCTAGTTTTCTACACGGCATCCGTCGGATAAGTCGGATGGCAGAGCAAGCAAGTGCAAGGGTGGGAAAGCGCAGAGCCCCACATCGATCCCAGGCGCCCGGAACGTCGAGCATCGATCTGCATTGAAGAAATGTTTCAATTTTGGAAGGAGATCACCGACGCGTCTGCAGAATCCAGATGTTTGCAACGGCGGTCATCATGGACAAGTTCTTTCCTCGCTTGTCGTCCATCACGCCGCGGACATCATGTGCCCGCATGAGTAAAGTAGGTACTTGCGGTGCTGTACCTCGCGCTAAACCTCCGAGGCGCACATGCACGTTCTTTGGACCCGATTTGCATGTACTTACTTCTTCGCACGGCGGTTGTGATGCCTGGTCCGCGGACGTTGTGATTCATGGAAGAAGCGGAGGTTCCGCATGATGACGACCTTTCGGCGGTGCATTAGTCGACCCGCCTTGCATTGTTGGATGCCGAGAAAGCGCATGGCTCTTGGACGGGCTTGGGCTAAGTGTCGTTGACGTGGCTTGCCCTGCAGTCCCGATCCGGGATTGGAAGGGCAGATGACCGATCTCTCTGGACCATCCTTTTCCCGCGTGCCCTTGCGAGATGGCATGTGTTTATTAAAACGCTGCGAGGCCCCCGCTTGGGACATTTGCAAGATCTTGTCCAAGAATCTATCTATCTTTCGCCTTGCCTGGTCGTGATTGTGGGACTTGGACTTGAATACGACAAGGATTCTCCGAGGGTATCCCTGGGGACTTGGGTGACTGTTCGCACACTCATCTCAACGACATCTTTGGAAAAGCTTAAAGCCAGGGAAATATAAGTAACACCCTTCTGTCGATCCCGCTGTCGACGCCGCAACGATGCTGCCACTCATTCCCATCGTTGTACTGGCCTACGCCGCTCTATATGTTCTGACATGAGCCAATCCATCATCGGCCCTCTGGACYACGACATGCACCCATCCATAATCATCGGAAAGTCTTGCTCAGGCGCCATGGATCAAACTCTGGTTGTTGTGAAAACGATTCGCGCCTGTGATATCTCCCCGGATCCTATTGCACTTTACGATTAAAGCCTTCGAGATGAACAGAGGATATCCAACCCCAGGCTTCAGGTCGTCTGGCTGTCCATCGCAACACGAACACTGCCCTCGACGATCATCTTCCTTTCCGAAATCCAAGGATTGACACATCGCCCAAGAAGCCCAGAACTTTTCATCATGTCAACAGGCTCCGAATCTGGTTGGTCAAATGGATGATTGCGAGATGTCTCTCTGGCACAGGTGCCTTTTAACCACGGGCTTACGATCTGAACCCGGCCACGATCACACCCGATTGTCTCTCAATCCGGCCGCCATTGAATCCGGTTGCCAATCGGCCGGAAGTCGATACGTCTGGAAAGGAAGACTCGATGTTATTATCCATCCTTTGCAAAGGAAAGTCGGACTTTCATAGGAGCACGATAGGTGTGGTTGAGTCGGGCAAGGGCAAGGGCAAGGGCAAGGGCATCGGGCATAGAAGAGGTGGTCCGGGAGTTCGCAAACGCGAAGACGTGTAGAGAACGACATCAAGGATTGCTGGCACAGAGACAATGCTAGACGATGGCTGGAAATGTGGGAGGACAAGCTTGCTCTTTACCAAATCGGTGGCCTGATCTCGCGAGGATCGCATAGAATCTTGCTTTACCTTGGATCATATCCACTTCACAACGCCAGTACTCGAATAGAAATCGCTCTCCATTGCATAGTTTCTGGGAGTTGATCCGTGTGGCCTGTCGTTGGGTATATAAGCTCTTTTTTAGTATCATTGTTGACGTATTCCGGAAGATGGCAGAGCCAGTATACTGCGGACAACTTTGACAAGTCGCAGCTCTGTTCTTTCGAGTCTTTGATTCTTAACAAGAATACCCGAGAGCTATCTCATGCTCTTATAGACCCAGATTGCATAGATGAATGCGGGGCAAGGTCGATGAAGGCGTGTGAAGTAAGAAATCTTCGGCGCCGGTGTTGCATTCGTGATTGAAATGGGTGTGTTTGTGGAGCTATGCCACATCTTTCCTTGAATTATCATTTGCATTACTTCGCTCGCCCTGATGGAGATAGCYCATACACTTGAGTACCAAGTTCATGAACTTGATGCCCTCCCAGCATGTGTCTCTCCGACGCATACTCATCTTGATTCCATTTGAAGCTCGTGTCCCTGTGAGAGTCCTGGTATGTCATGGGATCCAGCCTCAAATCGCTTTCCTTGCTCTCATGTTGCGAAAGCACGACTCCACGCTTCCTCTTCTCTCGCTTCAGCATGACTCCAAGTGCGATCACACAGAGTATAAGAGGGAACCCGACTCCCGCGCCCACGCCGATTGGAACGGATATGGGAAGACACTTGACCGTAGATAGGCACACGCCAGCCAGACAGCTGGAAGATGTTGCAGCAGTGCCTGATGTTGTTGAATTTGGGCTAGCCGTAGTGGACATATTCGCGAGGTGTAAGATTGTCCCTTTGCTCCAGTTGTGCAGCTCTGCTACGGTATCGTTAGATCCATCGCCCTGTACACACATCTCGCCGTCGCCACACCAGGTGCCGACATTTGGACACATGTAAACATTGGCCCATGTTGGCGATTCTGTCGAGTGTGAGTAAGGCGCCATATTTCAATCAACCGTGACGTACTTGTACAGAATAACGGACACGCGGCGGTGTCTTCCCCCCAGGTTTTATCCGTGCATGCGCCACGATACATCTGAATAARCATCCATGTTAGCTATGTTGGCACTCGGTATTCGCCGCAGCCAGGTCCCGCATACCAGGCCAGCATCCGCACCAAAACATAGCCCATTGCTCAAACAGGCTTCGCCTTCATTGCAGCAGTGGCTGACACCTTCGGCGTTGCAGGCAATGAAGGTATTATTGGTCGAGACAGTTGGAGACCCATCAGGCCAGTAACACGCTCTTTGCGAGAGTACGGGTATCGACCATGACGCGAGAAGTAGAAGCAGAACCAGTCTGTGGCAGAAGAGAAAGTCTGTTGACATTGAAGAGGCGAAGTTCCAACGAGTGAGACGGTGTAATTCGGCAGCAGCGGAAGGAGCAAGAAGTGCAAGTCCAAACAATGATAAACAATCGCATGCTCCCCGCCCATCGTTTCACTGGTGGGGCGTCTGCCAATGACCTTGTATACTGCTGCGCCGCAGGAGTGCTATTCTCGCCAAATCATGCATGATGCCCGCAACGCTCATTGGCGCCCTGTGGGGTCGGCGCGTAAATGAGAAGATCCATGGAATATAGCAGCCGAACTTCGCGGACGAGGCGGCCTGATCAGTTTCGATGAGTGCCGAAAGACTTCCATAGTTTCATGCTTAGAGACGTGTGGGCTCGCAATATAATGGGCGCGAGGAATTGTCTGAAGAGTCTTGATGCTCGACTGAGGTCGGATTCACCTGAGCTTGGCGTGCTCCACTTCTCTCCGGAGGACCAATCAACGGCGTCGACTCTTTCTGACTCCCTGCTCGCCGCCATTGAACGCCTTCCTGCCAAACGGTGACCGAGAATGTTTCCATCTCGTCCTATGTCGTATGGACTTTTGGCGTATCAGAGTGAACTGCCTAGAGGATGKGCCGATGTCCTTCCATGCTCATTTCCGGTGCACTAGCTGAGAACCATGCCAACGCTTGAGCTTTTAGGTGTCGAGAGACTGGTAAACGAGTCGAAATATCTTTATCAGCTCAGTAGCAAGTAGAGATTCCAAGCCAGATCGAGCACTTTCACTGAATCCTTACCAAGGCCGATGAGATCCGTGGTATCTCATTCGACCGGGCTATCAACGATGCGTCCGCCTGGGACAGTCCTCGATTTGTTCAGATTCTAAAGTACTCATCCTTCCAGACCGTACTGCACATACGGAAAGTCTTCCAAAGTGGTCAGCAACCGGACCCAACCATGAGTTGATTCATGAACACGGCTTGCCAACTGCGAAACCTCGAGGCCGCGTAGCTGTGCATCAGATCCCAAGCTAAAGACTCTTCGCAAGTCCGCTCGAACTTCGTCATTTTCGGTACCGCCTTGAAGAAGCTCATGTAATAGTCCTTGGTGCGGACACCACACAACTTGCATTCCAGCACGCCTTCCCGCATCTACTCCTTGGATGGAGTCCTCGAAGACCAAGCACTGCTCCGCACGAATGTCGGGATTGATATTCTCTCTTGCTCGTTTGTCATTGACACAACGAAGTGCACAAATGTAAATGTCAGGTGCCGGTTTGTGGTTTTCAACTCTTGGGTCATCACCCATAACCCGACAGTCGTTGGGAAAGCAACTGAACAGGGCMTTACAGCCCGCAGTCTTCAACATGAATTTGGCTTGTGACGAACTGGTCGCTAATGCCAAGCTTTTGCTGGGGAGTGAATCTAGCTTCTGTAGTAACGCGGGCACTCCTGGTAAGGGTTCTGAAGTCGGAAATATGCGTCCATGGAGCGCGTTTATTTGTGCCTTGAACTCATCTTTATCGATAGGAAGCTGTGCCCAATTCAAAAGAATGTGGTTGCTCTCCTCTGCCGTGCGACCTTGCATCCGTGCCTTTACAGACCAGGGTAAGTCCTGTTTGCCGTGGTTGCGGAGGATGACGTTGATGCAGGTGGTGATGAGATCCTCTGTGTTTAGTAACAGACCGTCCATGTCGAATAGAAAGGCTTCTATCCGAGGTGTTTCCATGTTGAAGGATGGTTTCCAGTACAAGACGGCGTAGTGGAAAAGTCTGCACCGAGGGCGCGGGACGGCTGATCGAGAGCGTGAGAATAACGTGATATGTCACTGCTCCAAATTGACTCGCTTGTGGAACGCGTTTCAGTTCGCCATTCGTATGCGCATAACGAACTTCGATGTTAGGATGGAAGAGGAGGCGGATGTAAGAGCTTCGGCGATAGATATTGCCGGCATTAAGCCGTCATTCACCGAGACTTGGCGTCGACTAGCGCCGGCCTGTCCCGTGCGTAAATCCACCTCACCAGAACATCGGTCTCCACCAATATTTTCTTTCCTCCATACAGTGGTGTGATGCCGTAGAAGGAAGCTTTGACTGCGCGCACTATGTAGAAGCGCTGCCATTGAATTGAAGGGCGCTACAGCCTCTCTCTCGTATGGCCATGCGGGGCGTTCAGGGTGCAGTCTCCCGGTCGACTTATTCATCTTTGTCCTTGTGAAGAGATTTCCTTATCAGCCATAGAGTTACGACCAAGGACAGTGACTCGAATACAAGCGATTGATCTCATGGCTGTATGCTAGGTCAGCACTGCAGCAGGAATCAGGGGTAATCCCGCGCGAGCGTTGAGGCAGACTTGAAAGAGAGAGAGATGTGTRGAGAGCGATCTTTGTCTATCTACGTATAGGAGGCTACGCGCAATACTCGCTTGATCATATAGATGTAGGTTCAGCACACGAAAAGCTGAGGACGAACTTCGGTGATGCCGTGGTGGTGAACCAGACTGGTCGTCGGTTTAGTTAAGATAGAGCCTAGTTTTGCTTCTTCCGTAGTGACTTGATATTCAACAGTCAGCCTTTGATCATGATGAGCTGCTCACCAACCATTGCATGATGGAGTTTGATCGTCAGGCGATGATGTCCTTGTCGTCCCTTAGTCGAGGTGTGAGACATGAGAGATATGTGAGACATCACAATGCTGTCTCTCACAGCGGATACTACAAGACCCCAGAGCTGGACGAGATCCGGTGTTGTTTCCTCCAGGGCCCGTAGCAATCATATGGAAGTGCAATGGCAAGGAAAGGGGTATATCTCCTGGTGCCTACCATGAACCTTTGTTACCCCTGACGGACCTACACGTCTGAATCAGCAGTGTTTCGAGCATCTTCCAGGGCCAGGCGGAGGGCTGCCAAGCCGCTGTCACATGCGAAACTTAAGAGTTCAGGGTCCAGGGGTTACGAGTGAATAGTCGCCGTTTCCTGGGGTTACGAGTGAATAGTCGCCCGTTCCTGGGGTAGCAAGCGCACACTCCACCGCGCGTACTACATAATCTTCTTTCAACTCGCCATCACAAACACAATCTTGTTCACCACACAGCAAGCAATCCAATCTCATCCACATATCTGCACCGCTTGTTCAGACATCTGCTCTGACATCCATCAACCGAAGCTCTCACCAAGCAGACACAGCTTCTCCTTCTCTCCATCTATATCCACAGATCTGTACTATACACAGACTACACCAACCGATACACGAGGCAATCGACCCGACCACGCGCGGTAACCTCGTCGATACCTCCGCCTTCCAGCAGCTGATACCGTCCGCGGTGTACACCAGCCGAAGCACGAGTTAGCCAACTCGACAGATCTACACTCGACTACAGCTACACCTATAAACAAAAAAGAAACACCAACTGAGAGTCGCCCAGCATGATGTGATAAGGCGATTCTCGTGGCGATCGTGAGCCTACGGTTCTGAGCATCCGCCGCCCTCCATCGAGTGTGCGCGCGGACACTCGACTACCTCGCTCTCATCGCCCGCACTACGACACCCCTCGCTCTCCTAAGTTGTCACCTCGAGTACAACTAGGATTACCTTCCCACCATGGCCTCAATCCTGGCCCCAGCTAAGCAAGCTGCAGCAAGATCTCTTCGTGGGTTCAAAAAGGCATGGCAATCAGCATGGGWATACGCCTGCTCGTTGGGATTCAACACCCGATTCAGGATATGGCACATCATGCTCTCCCTGACCTTTGCCGTACTCTACTTCTTCTTGAACACTTCGAACGTCAAGCTCGGATGGGTGAATAGCTTGTTCTCGTCAGTCAGCATGCAGACGAATACAGGCTTGAATCCTGTGAACTTCAAAGATCTCGGGATGCCGGTACAGACGCTCATGCTGCTCCAAATGGAGCTTGGATCTTTTCGATTCATTTCGATTATGCTGCTCTCGAAAAGATTTCGGGATTTAAAGAGATCTCGACAGAAGCAATCAAGCACCACGGAACCAATTGGCACGCATGATGTCGACGCAAATGGTGACGTAGAGCTTGCCGTCCTCCCTTGCGGCCCAGAGACTCCAGAGACCACGCCAGACGATGGAGCTGCTGGAGAAAGACGGCAACTCGACAACTTGATGTACTACGGTACGCTCTTCTTGCTCTGTCTTGTTGTGTTCGTCGAGATTGCAATGCTCGGATTTGCAGTCTTGATTGGTGCCTTTTCCTGCCGCCAGAGCGAAGAGACCGTGAAGACTGGCCTGAACGTCCGATGGATCGGGGTATACACCATGCTCTCCGCGTTCCAGAACAACGGATCCAATCTTCTGCCATCTGGGATGGCTTCCTTCGCGACGGACACTCGGATGCAGCTTTGGGTGATCGTTTTCATGCTGGCCGGGAATACCTGTTGGCCAATCCTTTTGCACGTCGTCGTCTGGCTTTTGTGGCTTTTCTGCAGGATGCTGGGCAGATTTTCAAAGGTAAGTCAAATTCTTGGCAGGAGGTTTCAGTTGCGCTCTCACGCTAACTTCGGCCAGAAATGGGTTGCTAGAGCAAAAACCCTCTCTTTCCTCCTGAAAAATCCCAGAGAGACATATCTCTTTCTTTATCCGACAAAGCAGACGGTATGGCTCGCTATGTCCATGTTCGGTTTCAGTATGTTTGATTGGGCGCTCTTCTTGATGGCATCGTTCCCAATGAAGAAGGAAGAGAACATCCCTACCGCTCAGTGGGTTCTCAATGGCCTGTCGCAAAGTCTGGCATTACGAACAACTGGCTATACGATCGTCGCGCTTGCCGGCATGCCAATGTTCTACTTGGTCAGTAGCAGCATCATTCCCATTCGTACTATTACTGACTTGCATAGTTCTTGCTACTGGTCATGATCTATTTCGCCATCTTTCCGACCGTGATGACTATGCGAAGCAGCAATCCAGTCAAGCATGCTGAGGAAGGAGCTGGACATCCAACGCGCCACTGGTGGAAGTACATCAGAGCACCGTCCCGATCCGACAGGCAATTCCTCAAACAGTTGTTCACAGAAGTGAAAGCGCACGACAACTGGTTCATGTTCTTCTCGACGCTGACAGTCATGGTCATTGAGATGTTCGAGACCAAGATTCCGGATGGATTCGTTTCGGTCCTCGTCGAAAGTATCTCTGCCTACAGCAACGTCGGAGTCAGCATGGGTGTGCCCTCGGACGGATACAGCTTCTCCGGCTCGATGAACGTAAGTCAACAACAGCAGTCTTCATGACCCACACGTATAACGCTAACATATGCTCTAGTGGCCCAGCAGGATCTCTCTGTGTGTTGTGATGCTCCAGGGCAAGTTCCGCTCTCTACCAGTTGCGACTGACATGGCCACTGTGAATCACAGCGAAGAAGCTGCGACAGTGGAAGAGCATGATGTCGAGACCGGAATCGAGGCGGCACAARACGATCCGGATCAAGAAACCTATGAGGAAAGCACAAGAGCATCGTGGCCAGAGCGAGTCGATTCGATGGCCAAACAGCCTGGCAGCGTAGACATACAGGACATAGCCCAAGAAGGAATGATAAGCTAGCATCGCAATTTCCTACTCCTCGAGAATTGAATCATGTTTGACAGCATATGAAAGGAGGGGCCAGTGCGTCACCTCGCAGCTTGAGCAGTTATCACTGTATTCAAAGGTGTAGTCCTAAAAATCTCGGCCAGCTTTTGAGATGTCCATGATGAGCTCCGTTGGTAAAGAATGGGAGCACAGTAGGTGTTGGTAAAGCTTGAGATGGGCCAGCGTTGACCCAGACTTGGCACTATAACACGTTCTCCTCCAAGTATACCCTTTCCAGCCAACCATCAAAGGTAACATCCTCCATCCATCAATGCTCATCACCAACTCGCACCATCTTCCTATGCAATTTAGTAGTCGACCTAGCAACTCGCGCAACAGTGGATATCCGCTCCCGGGCGATTGCATGTACAAGCGAAGCCGGCGAAGACAGTATTGACGCAGCCCTCCTGGTTGATGTCCGCTGCGCGCAATGCCACACAGCCACCGTCATAGTGACAAACGTTCTTCTTGTCGCCGCAGCGGCATAGTTTTGCCAAGGCCGAGCCTAATTACAGAAGCATGACGGTGGTGGTGAGGAGTTAAGCGGCATTTTCCGTTCTGCTTTCACTACCTTGCCACTTGTAAGAGCATACAATCGGGACTACTCCTTGCCGGCGCCATAAAGGCTCTATGACTGCTGGTTAGGGAATGAGGCCTTCATCGATCAATCGTGCTCAGCCTGGCATTGACTGTAACTTCGGCCGCAGGCTTTGCGCCAAATGAGACAATTGACGACGTGTGTGGGACAAACGATGATAGGAACCTGAATGAAGACTTGAAGGTGTGGAGGTATTGTAGGGCACGGATGATAGAAGAGAGACAGGTCTAGCGCAGATCTAGGCACTTGATGATGTGGTGGGACAGCTTGAGATGAGCCGGCATTCACCAAGACTTGGCATTGACTAGCTCCGGCCCGTCCCGGTCACACATTGATATACCACCACAAAATTGCCGAAACTCATCAACCTCTGGTTTCATGGTGTAGTGTAAGATTCTCCGCCTGCCCACCACATGTGACATAACCTAACAATGTTGCAGTGGTTATCACGTCAGTCTAACACACTGAAGGTCTCCAGTTCGAGGTTCGTATTAACAGCAAATCCGATATCGCAAGAACGTCTCCTAACATAATCACAGCCTGGATGAAATCAAAAGTTCATCATATGACCATTCTTTTTGCCCTTTCGGTGTACATGTTATCGTGCCTCACCACCTACTAATCTACAGCTGTACTCACTTTTTGACTTATGACCAGCGGGTCACTCTCCTCTTTTGCACATGCCAATTCTCTGCAGCAATCAATACCACAGTGCGTCTACGCTAGATCCCAATTGCTAGCTATATCACATGCTCAAGCATCTTCCAACACACCAATTTGTACAAGTCCCATGTCTCCACCTCCCACATCACCACTAAGCCAGAGCGTACTCCGGAGCTTGCCACATTCCTCTCGGATCCTCAACCTCACTCTCATCTTCTTCGAACGGGCGACCCTCAAGCTTAGCCTTCGCTCTACGAGCTTTAAGCTCTTTCCGCCGCTYAAGCTCTACCTGACTTTCCACATGCTTCACTGTCGAAGCATCAAGTTGATACGCTGCCGGAGGATCCAATTGTGCCATTCGATCAGGATGCATCTGCAGAATAGGGGTTGTGATCTGAGAGCGCTCTGTTGCAGGTATGGTAGGTACTACAGCGGCCAAGCTTGCAAGGATGCTTTTCAGTTCCCCTTCTCGCTCTTCCTTCTGCTTTGCAGCCTTGTCTTCTGCTTTATTTGCATCAGCCAGCGCTAACAAGGACGCCTCTGTGACGTAATCCTTCAGCTTCTTCTGCTCTTGTTGAGTGAGAATATTCGCTGACTCTCCTTCCTCTGCCTCTCGCTCAGCTTTGGCCTTTTGATAAGCCACATACAAGGGTGAGTGCTTTTTTCTGCTCCTCTGTTCAGCCGCTGGTCTGATTCGACGATAGCAGCGAATGTGCCGCTCAATCCAATCTGTCGGGTCGATGTGTCCAGAGTACCAACCTACGATATTGGCCATTGGATCGTTTGCCCTTGGGTTCCTTGGATTTGTTGCCCAGAGCTGATCTTCACGATCTCTGGTGACCTCTTTGGTATGCCGGGTTGAGCATTGTAGATCAAGAGCATCCTTTCGACGCCACTCTTCATAACGACTCCCAATTCTGTCGGTGCGAATGTGATGTTGAGGATTTTCCCGGGTACGATCAAGATATGTGCGAGAGATGCGGCCGTTGTTGTACTCGCAGTAGCGGCGAGGTGTATTATGAATGGTCTGACCTCGCATATCTACGGTTGACGTGGACAAAGCACTGACGATAGTAGTGCTGAAATGTAAAGAGAATCTTGCCGGAAGATCTCAGTGTGATGGATAGAAATGAGACTTGAAATGTGAAGGTGAATGCTGCGATCAAAAGATACTGGGCCTGCTGGAATATGAAGGCATGGCCGAGTCACAGTCGAGACAAAGACGTATCCTTTGTCTAAGACAGGGGCCATTTCGCGGGACCGACCTCATCTTATTCGAACCGAAAGAGACAAAGAGTGTAGATACAGGGAAAGGAGATAATTACCATTGGGAAGACTTGCCTCAAAGCGAGGCCAGAGTCGTCTGCCTTCCAAATGGCCATAGCACGCAGTGCCATGATATTCTAACCAGCGGCGTAGCTCACAAGGCCAAGTATGGTCGAGAGTTGCTGCATGAGTTATGTGAGCGTGGAGATGTAGGCAAAGATAGCTTGGATGCTGTCTGGTCTTCCAACGCTTGGTGGCCCTCATGGTTCTTCGGGAGACAGCCCAGGCCGTCCTCGCGAGACCCGCGTGTGCCAAACCTCATTTTAAGTGTGAAGCGTAACTTGGCAGGCTTCAATCAACATGTCTCATACATATCTCCAGACCCCCTCCCCCAAACCAGCGTCGTTCGATGACCGCGCAGGGCATTATGGCGTTGTCTCAGACTGCGCGTATGCGAGAGAGCTTGCACCATGAGAGTGGAGGGACAGAAGACGACGAAATGCGCTTCAACTCACTTCCATGTCATTTGTTGCCTTGGAACTGCATAACGCACCCGCAGTTATCACGTCAATCTATAGGGCTCGGTGGGCTGCTCTGCTAATCTAGACACTGCAGCCGAGAGAGCTACATGCGTCGAGATAACCCGAGTGCGTGAAAACTCGGAAAACGTAGCGAGAAGATGATTGGTAGCGAGAACTCGGCTCAGAACTGACCTGTTCTAGGAATTATGATGCAAATGGGTAAGGGGATGATACTAAATGAATCTGTAATGCTATGGAACTAGTAAATACTTACTACAGTTGCTCGGGGAGCTTGATATGATACCTGAGCATGCATATTAGCTGGCGCTCTCGATGGTGAATGAGTGACAAAGTGTGTGTAGTGATGGGTTGCAGATCAGAGTGTGAATACGTTCTCAACAGTAGTCTTCAGACAGGGATAACTGAATATTGATCTATCATCATTGCAAGGGTGGGGAGGGTTGATGGCGGTTGGTGCTAAATTGGCAAGGACTTACTGCCTGTGTAGAAGTATGGCAGACGAGGCATGCTCAACGTTTGAGATCATCTGAAAGACTGTCAGCATATATAACATGACAGCGCCAACGGTCGGGAAATAACGGAGGATGGGAAATGTCAGATAAACGCGTTCGCAGCAATTGCCGTAGCATCTGAGTGAGCTGGGTAACGTAGTGTTGTCATCCTTCAAGGGGGGGTGAGTGTGTTGTGTTGGGGAGGGAGCAATGTCCTTGACTTACCTCCTCGAGGCATTCCATCCGGCGCGTCCAATCCAATATTTTTTCGGCTTCCTCGAAACGGCAGCTCACGATAACATCTCATCCTGCGCCGACAGCAGCTTCAAACAGTAAATGACATCGTAAGACCAAAATCCCAAGTCTCATGACATATGAGCGGGTGGAACGAGCGCGACGGTCAAATCGATGGGAAGTTGCTGTTGTGATGATGTCAAGGAGGAGGAGTTCTTCAATACGCGCAGAAATCTTTTGACGTGTCGGCAAAACCGCGGCTCGGGAGTGATGTGCGCTTCCCGCATCAAAGCTGTCTGCGTCAGGGCATGTGCTTCCACCCGCAACATTGGACAAGACAAGGTCGACAGCCCATCTTCCACACCCCATCGTCACCATGGACCGCAGCCTTGACGAAATCATCAGCGAACGCCCCGAGCGCCCGGTATGCGGACAGCCAATGCCAGCGTTGCCTGCGCAATACTAACACCTGCGCAGCGCGGCGGAGGCAGAGGCCGAGGCGGACGTGGAGGTGGAGGCGGCGGCGGCGGCGACCGACGACCACCGCCCCCGCGGGCACCCCGCCGCGAGGACTATCCACGAGACGGCGTGCGAAAGGTGAGAGAGAAGATGCACCCCATCACCACCAAGCTCACACGCGCGCAGGTGCCATATCCCTCCTCCTCCTGTTGTTTACTGCCGCGATCCCGTGGACGTTGACCGCCAATTGGACGCGACCCTCGATTTCKACCATGCGATTCGCGGTAGCACCACTGCCTTCCGACTGAGCTGACCCGGCCCTCTCCTATACAGTACCGCCGCGACGAACCCGCCAATCTCGACTCGTGCGTACCGAGCCATGTGCTACCTGCGAGCGGAATCTGATTGTGCTATAGCGATTGGGTCCATGACCGATATGAGGATGAGCGTCAGCGCTACGATCGACGTGCTCCTGCGCAAGACGAGCGGTTTGACAGCCGCAGCGCTGGGCCGTAGGYCGAACTTGCTCATAGTGCCATTCGCTCCGGCTAATGAGCCTCCAGACCCAGCTCTCGCATCCGCGTCGACAACATACATTACGATCTCACGGAGGATGACCTGAGAGTACGTCGAGATCGCCGATAGCAACATCCCATGGAGGAAGCATCTAACGCATCGTACAGGAGCTCTTCGAGCGCATTGGCCCGGTCACCGCGGTTCGTATGACTTACGACCGCTCCGACCGATCGACGGGAACCGCATTCGTAACCTACGACGACGACCGTGACGCCGCACAGGCCGTTCGAGACTTTGATAACCAAATGGCCAATGGGCAGGCTATCCGCATCACACTCATGGCCAGTGGACCACCTCCACAGCCCGCTCATCGCGGCTCACTCTTCGACCGCATTGAACCCGCGCCCCGCAGCCTCTTCGACAGAATCGACAACGGTCCACCGGGTCGCAGAGACGATGGTAGACGGAGACAGCGCAGCGACAGCCCGCGTAAGGCCGGCAGACTGGCGCCAGACGTGGACAGATACGTACCTGGTGGTCGGCGTGGAGGCTCACGTTCACCGATCAGACGCAGGGGCACTCCGCGCGAGGGAGGCAGACGGCCAGGCGCAAAGCGGGAGGAAGGTGCTGCCGGAGGTGGCAGAGGTGGACGCCGAGCTCGTACCGATGAGGAGGGTCGTCCGCTTGTGGGTGGCAGGCCGCGCAAGACTGCGGAGGAGCTCGATGCGGAAATGAATGACTACTGGGGTAGCGCAAATAATGGGGACGGTGAAGCTGCACCCGCTGCTGGTAATGGCGACGCGCCTGCTGCCAACGGTGGTGGAGACATTGACATGGATATCTGAAACATCAACTCTCAACACGACCCGATGCAAAAGAGCATCGAAAGGCCTCGCTGCTGCTCGAAATGAGAGCACTCTAGGAGAGCCAACAAACGAGACGTATCATCGAAAACGGCTGAGCATCTACGCCCATCGGAATATTCCACCGCGAAATGAAGTGTGCATGAGCGCTCATTGGCCTCTTACTCCTGACTGATGCTTTCTTCAACTCACCGGTTGGGGGAGTGCGTTTGAAAAAGTCAATGAGGTTTCGTTCATTCAATAGTGTATTCAAATACTCAATACTCATGCCACTCAGAAATCGTGCAAGACCGATCCGCTATCTCCATCCCAACGATGGTCTTCCCTGAAACGATAAAATGCCCCGCTCATGAAATGCGTCCCAACATGCTCCACGCAGTCAACTAGGAGGTATCACTGGTTGCGCTAGAGGGCCATATAGCCTCTGCCATTTCCCAATGTTCTTCTGCACCACAGCTGCCATTTCCGCGGATGAGAGCTTGTTCCACTCCTCCGGTGTTGGCACTTCCAATTGCTCGCTCGCCTGCTCGCCATCATTTCCTTCTAGGGCCTGGGCCGCAATGCCATTGCCTCCCGCTGAAGGAGTGCTGTCTGCCGCAGGACTGGTGGCCCCGGAATTCGCAGACGGCGCTGCCTCCGCTTGTTGCCTCGCAACGTAGGCGTYCATGTTGTTTAGCGCTGCACTCATGTTCCTGAATGTCCGTGGGATTTCTTCACTGGTTGTCTTGTTCGCGCCGTTGCCGTTTACCACAACGTTCTTCTTGCGTCCAAACTTGGCTTTACCGTTGCCATTGGTATGCCCGTTCTCAGCTGTGCCCGGGCTGGCTTTCCCGTTTGTACCATTAGCCTCCCCGTTTGTAGGATCGTGTCCTTCATCGCCGCTGCCAGTAGCTTGGGTCTGCAGATTGCGTTTCCGACCAAACGGTGAAGAGGCCGCCTGTTCGAGGTTCCGCTTGGTATATTGATTATTCCCTAGCTTTTTCACGGGCTTCTTGCCTGGTCCTTTCTTATGTGAGACCTTCTCGACGGGAGGCGRTGTTGGTGGCTGTGACGATGCTGGGGGAGGAGATGCTCTATTACTGCCAGGAGGGTTTGGCGTTCCATCGTCGTTTTGATCGGCTTCTGGGGTAGACGTTAGCTGCCAAGTGCAGTTGACGGTGCTGAGCGACTGACCATCGTTCCGTCTGCTTCTTGCCCTCTCCACTCTACGAGCAGCGGCCTCAGCTCTTGATCTCTCTCGAGTCCTCTCATTCTCTGCCTGCTTCACTTGGCGTGCGCTTTGTGCGGCGTCGGCCTTTGCTTTCTTCGCCCTGCTAATGGTGGGGTTCCCTTCACCGTCGGAGTCATCCTCAAGCGACACAGTCCGGACGGCTGGGGGCCCAGAGTCCGATGCTGTTCGTTGCCGTTTGTTGTCCTGCTTGCTGGCGGGCCGTTAGCTCGATTCCCAACCGTAAGTATATCCAACGAAAACTCACTCTTCACTGCTGTCATCGCGGCCACGCTTGATAGCTCTGCGACCGCTTCCCGCAACGCTGTCGACTTCGCGCTTGCTCTCCTCAATCGCTCTTTTCAGCTGCTCTTCTTCGTCGTCGTGCTCCTTGCTCCTCATGGTCCCCCTCCTCCTGCCGGTAGCAGGATCGACGCTTCCACGAGAGGCAAGCTCACGCTCCTTTGTCGCCTTATCGTCATGCTTGCTGACGGAGCCCTTACGGCGGGCTTTGGGATGCAATGGAATGTATAGCGAGTACTTTTGCCTGTTGTTGTCCACCTTAGCAGCCGCATTGCGCGTGGGTGTCTCGTGATAGCGAGCCATGAATGTTGTGAGGACTTCGTTGTAGGTGATGTGAAGGGGAGTGGCTCAAGAAAGTGTGCAGTTGCGCCGTGCGTCCCTGCCTCATTGCAGAGTGAGTATGCAGCAAGCACGACTTCGCTACTCATCATGGCAGGAGCATCGCATGTTGTGATGTGATTTTGGGTTGAACGGCGACAACATACCCTCTAGTGTCTGTTTGTATCGCATGCATCTTGGGCCGGCAGTCTTCGCAAAAGTACTTGTCCGGACTTTGGCTCTCTTCCACAATGCCCACACATCCACCGTGCTGCCAGACGCTGCATCCATCGCATAGGATGAACAGTCCACCGGCATCGTCGGATAGCGCGTCAGGCACGTCGGCAAAGGCCTCGCTAAGCGGGGGACCAGGATATTCTTGGTTTCCGCAGATACATCGCGTTATCTCTTCCTCGTCTATTGCTTCTTCGTCTGGGTCCTCGACAGCTTCTGTGTCTCCACCCGCTGGCGAGTCTTCCTTTTGGTGGGAACGCTGGCTTCTCCGCACAGGCTCAACTTCTTCCGAAGATAGAGATCGCGGTGTGGCCGATGTTTGATGAYTCGTCGCACGTGCATTGCGATCTTGTCGACCGGAGGACAGCGATGAGGATGTGGTGGTGGACGCGGGCGCAGCTGGAACAGCACCGCGGGTGCTACGCCGCGGCGACAGTGGCATTGCAAGAACGGCGGTATCGCCGTACGAAGGATTGGGCTTCTCTCAATTTGCAGAATACGTGCAATGGGTCGGAAAAGCTCTGTGATAACGCCTTCTGTGATGTGGCTCGCTGGTGTGGCTCTCGAGGGCTCGAACGGCGAGCAAATTGAACCGCGCGACGCGGCTGTGAGCGGAACAATGAGGATGAGGGATGCTGCAAAAATTGCTGAGTGTTGCAAAGTCCTTTGTGAGGCACACGAGCTAGGTCGTGATGAGTGTAGTTGGCGAGGTTGGTGGTGGTAGATCTGGGTCGTGTTGGTGGTGAGTGCCCGCATGAATGAAATCACTTTGAATCGATTAGAGGTCCAAGCTTGACGAAGGGTTTATCCGTTCGGCCTGCTCCAGGTCCTCCTCCACCGATTGCCGAAGATTTGCCCCAGCGCCGACGCATTATTTTCGCATGTCAACGAGAGAAAGAGGTTGAAAGCTTTGATCGGGACGTGTTGCTGTCATCGCATGCTGTAGCGTGCTCGTAGAATGCACTTGAAGTAGCCATGTTGACAATGACTGTCGGGCGGAGGTCGAATGTGATATGAACGGTGAAAGATGTCCCGCAGTATGCCTTGTGAGAAATGCCGAGCGGTGTGCTAAAAGTTCCCCTCGCCGTAGGTTGCAGGTGCCCGGTCTGGAATAGAGGAGAGCTCTGCAGGTTTTGGATCATGCACAAAACTTTGAACAATTCAATGTTGCAATGTGCACAGGAGTTGTATTTCAGGACTCCCGTCGGTTCGTTGGCTCGCAGGTTGTCAATCGCCGATATGCCGACAACGTGACGACAAGGGTCAGGGACGAGCAGCTGTATCGTGAGAACTTAGAAGCTTCTCATGGCAGTTTGAGATCAGTCCGTCCTTCTCATCAGGTGGCTCGGCTTGWGGAACCCACCTCGCTCAGCCAGCAAACAAAATGTTGGTGTTCCACGAACCAATGGATCGGGATCTGAAAAGGTGCCATCCGACGATCGGATTCATCAACACGTCCCAGTATGACTGACTGGGCACACAAGCGAGTGGCCCTCTACTTGCAGTGGGTCGCGATTTGGGACGGATTTTTCGTCCCTCCTGGCAATATTACATCTATCGAAAGGTACTGCGTTGCTTGCCTCACCTCGAGAGGCTCGACTGCAAACTTCTGCATGAAGTCTCGCGCCTCCACCACTGATGGTAGCCACTCAGAAGCCCCACTGGACGACCGCAATGAAGTCCCGAGCAGGAGCCTATTATACGAGGTCTTTGTCGGCGTACAAGAAGGACATATTCTTGAGAATCTGACCTCACCGACAGGACTTCTTCGGTGGAGGTTCAGCCCGACCCAAATTCTTGAGGTAACCATCGGAATCATACGCTGTTGCATAACAATTTCCTTTTATAATTGCACCTCACAATTCGACGGATGGTCCATGATGGCATTATCCAGTCCGCGCGGTCGCACAACTTCCATGGCTTTCGCAAGGATTGCCGACATATGATCCACATTTCTGGGGGAGTGGGAGGAAAATACAGCTGGAGAGCGAACTTCGCTCCACATCCCGGCGCAGCAGTCTTGACGAAATCAGGCCGCCATTATTCCTCTACTTCTGCGATGTTGTGATAATCCGGATAAGTTCGGGCATATGCGAGGATGTAAGGTGTGAGATGGCCTCATACCCACGTCGCACCCGATCTCAACCTCGGTAGGTGTGGCGGAGTTCCAGTGCCAGGTATCTTTATATATAGGATCGGCCGACGTTATACTTTTGCCACAAATAGTGCATTAGATGCCTGTGCTCTATGCGACTGTGAGAACGCAGTCCCTTGCTCCAGATAAGACCGTCATCATCAACAGCCAGAATGATGGCGAAGTGCATGCAGTTGTTGCCATCGGCAGTGGGAAGCATGCGCAGAGTCAAGGCTGTAACACGCAGTGGGAACTCGTTGGAGGGCATGCAGGGAAGCTGCATGGACCACGTCTGCTAAATGCTTGGCTTGATGATCTCCCTAGGCGTCTCAGGCCTTGCCATTCCTGGGATGGCGAGTCTTGATACTGTCGGGGGGCTGCGCCCGCGCAGAGCTTATTCAAATTCGGTGCAGTCTTGGGGGACAAGCCAACCTATTGGACGTCCTTGATACCAAATGAGTTGCATTTAAGACACGAGCCAGCACGCCCCACATCTCAAAGCTACTACCGTACATAGGTATACCAAGGCGATTGACAAAGCAGGGTCCCATCTTTCCTTGCCAAGCTGAGAAGGATATCATGGACAACGACCTCGGTGTATGTCGCGAGTCGTCTGGAACCTGGCATCGTATTATGCAGGTGCCTCAAGGTTCAGGTCAGATCTCGAAGAGGACATCTTCCCCACGGCACTATCGAAGAAGCTTTCCAAGGCTTGGTCGTCTCTGCCTTGGTACTCCAGACTCCGAGAGAACCCGATCGCGTTTATTTAGAACAGGCGAGGAGGTAGAACGTTACATTTCGGAGCAACTGCGGTGGCATATCACGCTTGCTCGAGATGGCATCATCACACTACTGCGGCGAACACGTCAACAGGCATCGTGTCAACGGTATATCCTGGAAGGGGTCGTCATTGTAGGCTAGCACACGTAGTAACATAATGCAGCCAAGGATATCCAAAACACGACTCTGCGGCGGGACCAGAGATCGGTGTGTCGAAAGGGGGAGAGATCGCCTGCAGTTGACGCTTCAAAACGGATAGGCGTTGAAGTTTATGGAAAGTGCCAAGCCCAACAGTGCAGGTGCATGTTTTGGAAGCACGATCACCTGCCCGTCGCCTGGCTGGCGCTCTCCAGCCAGTAGATGTTCCTTGATTGATGATAATCGGAGATGTCGGGCGGCAACTGGAGGATGAGAAGGAAGCTAAATGAGGTCATATCTTTACTAGCGCCAAGCGCGCGCCATCCTCAAGATTTATCCGATGCCGGGCTTCGTGCTCCTCAAAGTTCAAACATCTGCTGGCCGTGCCAAGGGCCAAGCACTTGAATGTATCGCGGCGACCTCTTGGCCCAACGAATCTCAATCACACAAGGTTGGTCTCCGGCGGGTCCGCAGCGTACAAGCACGGCGATTTGAATCATATAGCCTCCGAGCTCCCACTGCTGGTAAGTGCACCACGTCCACCTCCGCAATCTGCAATCCGCATCCGCATCTCTGTCGGCCCAGCCCGCGAGACGGAAGTCTCGCACCCGCGCCAGCCATGGCAACTACTCGGTTTGGTGTGCGACAGTATCGATCAAAGTAGAGCACACCGGCGTGGATAGATGGCGAGAAGAACGATTGCTAACCTTTGGTTTTTTGTGCTTACACAGTGGAGATCTGGCATTCGAGTACTGGATTGACAGCGAGGATCTAGCCACAGGTCCGCGCGACGATTCCGAATCCATCGACCAAGCCGTCCAAGGCGGCTCCAAAAAGGCCCGCACAATCTCCTCTTGGGTCAGATTACCCAGCAGCCGTGACAACACCTCGACTTCTTCCACCTCTTCTTCTCCCACCAGCATGTCAGTCGACCGATTACATCAACATTATCAATTGCCGACCATGTCTCCCTCGTCACCGCAGGAAAAGCGACCGGGGTTTCTGAAGCGACATTTCCACCACCGACGGAACAGCAGTGTAACGGCATCTAACCAGAACAATCCACCCACGTCGCCGCCTGCCCGCGCGCAGACATTTGAAACCCGAAATGTCAGCTCGAGCGCAAAGTCGCCTGCAAATGGAAGTGCGCGGCCGCGATCCGTGCTGCGCCGGCCGTCATCCCCAGAAATCCATCACGGGGACGAGCGACCAGACTCGCTCCAAGTAGCCGACCATGAAGCATCAGTGCATCAACCGCAAATTCTGTTGAATGGAATGCACGACCAATTCGAAGGGGTTGAATACCCGGATGGCCTGCCGACCCCGCTCAGCACCAACAGCTCCAAGCGAGGGATCAAGTGGGCCGAGAATTATCGTGATGACGCCGAGCGAAGACCGCGCCGCGACAGCTCAGCGGCGACAGCTCGTCGATCTTCCATTTACTCCAAAGCTGCTGAAGGCGGAGGCTACCTTGAGGGAGTCGACCGAGGTGTCGGCTCCAAAGCGCGACGACTTTCTGTGCATCTTCCCGAAGAAATCGACGTAGACATATGCGTGTTGGAGAAGCATTTCAATGTCATGGCGCGCATCAGCCAGAAAGACATTGGCGAAGGCGGCGCTGCCATTGTGCGTGTCATGCGAAGCAAGACTGCCGGCCATGAGAAGCTGGCCAAGGATCGACTCTACGCGGTCAAGGAATTCCGAACCCGAGATCACTCCGAGGAAGAGGAATGGGAGTATGAACGAAAGATCAAGTCCGAGTACGCCATTTCGAAATCTTGTCAGCATCCCAACATTGTCGAGACATATCGGCTGTGTCACTCGCACGATCGATATTTCCACGTGATGGAATACTGCGAACTGGGTGACCTTCAAGTTCTGATTTCAAAGAACTACTTTTCGCGCGAAGACCGAAATTGCATGTTCAAGCAATTGCTGCGCGGCCTGGACTATTTACATTCACGTGGCATTGCTCATCGAGATATCAAGGCCGACAATCTGCTGGTGAACAAGGACGGTTGTTTGAAAATCGCAGACTTCGGCACGGGTGAGGTGTTTTGCGGAGAACATCCAGGCTTGCGAAATTGCCGGCAACAGTCCATCATCGACCCCGATGCGCCCATACGATTGTGCTCGCCTGGCTGGTTGGGAAGTCGTCCTTACATGGCACCGGAGATCTACCAACGAACTGGCGAGTACGACCCACGAGCCGTCGACGTCTGGTCAGCAGCGATTGTGTACGTCTCCCTCTGCGTCGGCGGTACACCTTGGCCCGCTGCAAGCCACGAACAAAAGAACTACAACATCTACTGCACCACCTGGGACGAGTGGAAGGAAAAGTATCCGGACGGAGAGATCAAAGAAGGCCGGTCGCTACCCTCATTCGCCAACACCAAGCAATTTCAGAGCTTCGATGACCTACACACCAAGGTTATGATCTTCGGCATGTTACATCCAGATCCTGAAAACCGTTGGACCATTCGTCAAGCACTAGAGACGAAGACCGTGACCGAGTATGCATGCTGCCAGCAAGCTGGATACAGTGACGACATCAAGACCCGACAGAAGAAGGCCCTGCACAATCATGTCCCTCCAAAAGATAGCAAAGGACCGAAATTTTTGAAGGCGTCTTACGCCTAGCGATTTTACGACTGTTTGGGAACTGGGAAGGAGTACGCAGCATTCGAGCCGTTAGGATCGCCGCAAAGTGCTTGTAGCTGTCACTGATTGGACTTTTGGCATTTCACGTGTACATAACCACAACCATCTTTTACAATGAAGAGATACCCTTTCACGAAGCAAGAGAAGCAGATCAAGTGTGACGTGCAACAGAAGCTTCCAGTAGCGTGAGCAGCGTAGGACCAGTAGCGCGAGCAGTGCAGGACACGAGGCGCCGTGCATGCCGCAAGGTACGGCTGACCTGTTGCCATGCAAAGAGTGTAACCGCGTCTGCCGCCATGACGCCCTGCTGTGATACCTCGAGCGCAACATCGACTTTACCTACCACAGCTCCCACACGACATCTGGTAGCACTTTCCGCATGATGCGCCAGTGTCTCTTTGCGCTCTCCGCCTGCTGACCCGACCATCCCTCCTCGTCACCGTCGTCTAACACGCGGGAGTCTTGGCGTGGGAATTGGATCTCGAGTTCTGCTTTTGGCAGCATGTAGTGCTCTCGGCTTTTGCTGCCGAGAAAGTCGGCTTTGACAGGTCTTCGAAACGAGATGGGACCTGGCGTGTTGCGACAGAATATGACCATGTTCAGGAAATCCTCCTCCTGATCGGAGTTGAGCTGATTTTTTGCCTCGAGAGGCGAATCTCTGAAGATCTTGCACTGGCCTTTGAAGACAATATTGATCGTGTTGATCACAAGCTTTGTCAGGGGTAGGGATAGGTCGCCTGCGTAATTGAGCGCTACTGCTCCGTTGGGTGTGAGCAAGCTCCGTAGATTCTTCAAGAATGATGCTGTGAAGAGGGATAGTGGTTCTGCTCCTCCGGTAAACACGTCATGGATTATATAGTCGTAATGAATCCCTCCAGTAGAAGAAGCACTGCTGACCCACGAGACAGCATCTTGAAGGACTGCTGTGTGGTTTGTTGGTAAGCCGAAATACTGCGTCGCGAAAGAGTGTACCACGGGATCAAGCTCAACGATGGTGGTGTTTATGCCGTGCGAGATTAGAGCCTTGGGCGCAGTTCCAATTCCAAGGCCAATCACAAGCGCCTGCGCTTGCGTCTCTGGGACTTCTGGGGTCAGCCGCAATAGGCGTACAGACTCCAGGATTGAGAAGACGGCATAGACCGACTCTGGCACAAGCCAACCCTCCTTCTCCTTGCGATTGGTCGTAAGAAGCCACTCTCCCCCAAGAAGAGAGTGATCGGCCCTCAGCAGGCGATACTGCAGATCAGAGTTATCCAGGACTGAAATGTAACCCGTGTTGGACCATTTTCGATCGACGAGTGTCCAATTGTGCGACCTGAGCAGATCTTCCCCCAAGGAGGATCTGAAGTGTGGGTTCCAGTAGGCTGTGTGCGCAAGTGCAGGGAGTGCGAGCCAATATCTAGAAGGTAGCAGAATGGCATAGCTTGCTGCTACCCCTATCTGGAGATGTACTGGCGTCAACATGGGCATCCTTGAGAGTACGCCAGCTACAGGACTCGACAGATTCGTTTGTAGTATCGTAAAAGCAATCAGGATAAGCACGGATGCTATCGAATATCTCACGATGGATGAAACTGACGAACCATTGGGTCTGCCACCAAGAACTTCAGCTACGGCGTATGCAGCAAGTATCTGAACGCTATAGCAGCTGATGAACCCATTCAACGAAGGACCTGCAGTTATATCCAGGTCCGCACTGTAATGGAGAACTAAGGTCTGCATGACCGGGATCCAGAAAGCCCAGACGGAGAGAATGTTCGCAAGGTGTGGCGGCAGACGGCTTTTCAAAGTTGCCTGCAATAATATGCCGAGAAGTACTGACACTGAAGTCATGCTGTGGTGTATGTTGTAAGCATTAATCCGGCAGCTCTTTCAACATGAATACGAACGGGATGTGGTTGGCTGAGGAAGGCATCGAGCCGAACACAGGCGCCATCGTGAGCTGTGATATTGATGAAGTCGCAGCAGCAAGAGTGAGTATTGCTGCTGAAAGCCCGATACGTCTGGCGGCGGTAGACGCCTGTGAGGATGATCGTGCCATTGTCTTCTTCTTCTGCTTCTGTGCAATCGCCATGCTGGGCAAAACTCTTCGAGACTACGCCGTTGTGACAGATCTAACGAGGTGTTGGGAAGAGAACGGCACGTATGCTCAGCATGTTGGCTTTGATTCCTCTCAAGAAAACATGCGATTAGTGAGGGAGTGAAGATGGAGTGGACTGGGCAGGCAGAAGCGAAAGATGTGGACAGCTTTATCTGAAACACTTGTTCGCCGTCGCGTCCCTCGCTTGATCTTTTGGGAGATTTTTGGCCGTGAAAAGACACTGTTGGTTTCGTAAAGATTGAGAAGAAAGGAGATGATGTGAGAGATGAGTCTTGTCGACGCCGACGCCGCTCGTATAGCTCGTATGTAGTTAGTTCTACGTGAGTGAGACGCGGAGCTTGAATCAATCTCCTCACTTCGACTAGAACTAACATGCCGACTCGAGATCTTTATGGCACTTTCAAAAGCCGAGTGATCAGGCGAGACGAAGTCTTCTTGTGTCTTCAGAAGCCAAGCGACCGTGGGCCATCAATATGGAATGAGCACGAAAATCAAGGTCACCGAACTGTCAACATGAGTTCGAAGTTGGGTTGGGTTGGGTTCGACATCAACGGCCGGATACCACCGGGCTACACGCTTGATACTATTGGGACCTTTCCTCCCTGCCCACTCAGATCTCCAATCCTTCTACGGCCCCTTGACCCCAATCTCTTTGGCGAGTCCAAAACCAGTCATCAGTGACGATTCCTGCGGGACGTCCATCCATCAATCACACCTCAGCCCTCTGCATACCAGAACTGCTAGCCAAGGCTTCATCATGGACAGTCGCATCTCTCGCTGCGGCCACCTTGACATTCGTCGCCACGCCGAGATCCTCTTGTCTCTTGGCCTCAATGTCCAGGGCGAACTTGCTGTTTTCCCGGAACCAAGTGCCGAAGAAGTAAAAGACAAAGACAGGTACGCACAACGCCGTACCAATCCCTGCCAGGATAAGTGATGGTACAACCAGCTGCCACTTGGTACCTGACGCAATGTTCCGGTACATTGGGTYAGCATACAGCGCGGCGATCCCAGCAAGTAGGTCGCGGGAGAAACCATTGCCGCCCGTCGCGGATGCGGAGAATGCGCCGTATGCTGAGAGTATATCATGTTAGCAATGCTTACACAGATTGAAAGGCTTGGTCGCTTACCTGCAACCATGTAGTCAATGGTGGCTTGGTAGATGGCATAGTTGGCTATGCCGATAGGAATCGTGAACAAGATTGGCGCAATCCAGTGACCGTGAGGCGGTCCAAAGGAAGTGAATCCAAATCCAAGAAGGCCAATGGGCTCCAGGAGAACCAGGAACAACAGCAAGTAAAGCCTCCGTTCTGGTGTGAACAAGCCCGGGCCTTTGATCGAAGCCTTCTTGCGCTTGTCATCATGCCAATAATGCAGCATGAATGCGAAATAGGCCAGCAGGTACCCGACAAGGAGACCAATAAAGGACAGACCTATACTAATGGTGGAGAGATGCCACTGTTTGAGGACGATTGCGAATGAGGAGAGTCCAGTGAAGATGAGTGCGTCGCTGAAGCCGGAAAGGAGGGAGAGGAATCCCACAATTGGCTCGGTGAGCAAAAGACGATAAGGCCGCCACATCAGCGTCCCAATGTGCTTCCAGCTGATGCGCTGCCAGAAGGTTCCCTTGATCTCCTGTGGACCCCAGATGTTCGCATCCGTGCCTGTCAAGTCATCAGCAGAGCTCCTCAAGGATATGCACATACTACTTACCATTCCTGCGGCGCTTGCGAGCCTCCCTATCCAGCAGCGTGTCTGTGTTGGTTTCCTGCGCGACAAAGAAGTGGATAGCTTGTGTGACAGCACCGAAGATGAGCTGGATCCAGAAGACCCAGCGGAAGTTCAGGTAGGTCTCGATGAATCCTCCGAAGATTGGACCCACAAGCGATCCAGCCACGGAAGAAAGCACCACAAARGAAATGGCATATTGTTGATCTTCTGGCTGCCACATGTCCGCGACAATACCCAACGTGACCGATCCTCCCGCTGAGCTGAGACCACCCAGGCCACGAGCTACAATCACGGTGGTCCAATTGGTCGACAAAGCGCATGGGATCTGGAATATGTTGACCAGGAAGAGGGRGCTTTGCAAGACCCAGAATCGTCCGAGCTCCTCTGACCAAGGAGCCCAGGCCTCACAGCCAATAGCCTATGCACGTATTAGAGCTGCTGAACAACGTCTCCGCCACATGGCTATACTTACATATGCCACAAGAAAGACCATCTGTCCAAGCCGGGCCTGGAAATTGGAAATGCCATATTCCTCAGTAAGACCAGAGACGGCGTTGGCATAGGCGGATGCGTTGTAGTTCATGCTGATTTGCACGATGAAGATGGACGCCAGGATGGTCCACTTCCTCCATTTTGGAAATGCAAACCCAGTACAGGCCCATCCCTCTCCTACTGTCAGTTCTCTCCTTCCAAAGTTTCCRGCGTCAGCTTCGTCTGATTCCCGACGTCCAGAGACAGTCGGGTCGAGTTCGTGTGCGACTCCGTCTGCTATCTGCTTCTCTTGCCTGTTGGCTTCTTGGATGACGTCCTGACTAGCGTCGGAGGGAATTCGTTGCGAGTTGTCAACGTCTTCCGTTAAAGTCCCTTTCCGCCATGGCGGCCACATTTTGGACATGTTGATTATTTGGCTGATATTGGTTAGAATGTGGATATTCAATGTACGTGGGCCCGGTCAGACGATAGGGGCTTACAATCGATGTTTCTGAGTGGTGTGGGAGCGACTGTGGGTATTTGTAAATAATGCACCGTCTATACGTTTTGTGGTTGCAGGTCCGTCATTGGAAGACTATATAGCCAAGAGGAATATCGCTGAGGTTATTATCGAGAGCTGGCAGCAAAATCTGGAAGGTTTTTAGCGGCAAATGCTTCCAGTACCATATTGCCTATAGGCAGAGTGCGGAGAAGTGAAAGCGGCTACGAAATAGAGGCGCTGCGATTTCTATCTACTGCCAATGCTCCCATCGCCTATCTTCATGGTCAACATATGTCAAGGAAGTCAGATGTTCCGAACTCAGCTGTGCTTCTGGGCCGTCTTCTCCACGACGCATGTTGCCACCTTGATCATATACCTAATGTCAGGCATCACGGATGTTGAATACAAGGAAGCTTCAAACTTTACAATGCTCGGGTACGCATAAACGCACGCTGTTATTCTGGCACACGTGTCGCCCTGCCTTAATTGTAGACTTTGGCTTGTAGCCCAGGGATAACCTCCAGATCCTTTTCGCTGTACTCGTACTTCGTTCCCTCGATCTTTGGCGCTTTTGTCCGACGTTGCTGCTGACTCTGGCGTACTTTCACCCACTCCTCCATTGTCAGTCGTTGTCCGAGCTTGGTGAAGTCGTTCTCGGTCAAATTCATTCGTTGTAACAGCGGACTGTTCCGGATGGGGTCAAGTAACACGTGGTTATTTGGACGAGCGAAATAGAGCACGCCAAGCCGGTCGATGTGGGCTTGGTCGTCTGGTGGAGAGTGAACGCGGTGAACGCTTGATTTCAAATACCCTCCCGTCAACGCCGCCAGGGCGTCGCAGATGTTGATGGTAATTGTTRCGTCTTGTGGTTTCACCCATTTCCACTGGTTTTGAGAGTTTAGAATCTGCAGCGCGCAGACTGGCTGGCGGAAGAGTAGAGTGATGGATCCTAGATCCGTGTGGCCGGCAGAGTATCTAGGCGGGGTCAACATCTATACTGGTAAGAGTTCGAAATGGCTTCGCTCTTCTTACAGTTCTCCGACAGCCTTATTCTCTTCTGGAGTGCGAGCTTCGTAGTGCATGTACCGGAGGTGATCCTCGCCTCGATCGTTGTACACATGATCTTTGACCAACTGCTCCTCGTCTGGGAGTTCGAGCATGATCGCAAACAGCTTCAAAAGCTTCACAACAACGTGCTCATGACACTTCCGGCTGAAAGTCTCAATCTCTTCGATATGATCTTGCAGCACGGCGGGTTGTGCTCGTTTGTGGAAGCCGTCGAACTTCGGGATATTGTACACTTGGACATTATCCTTGATGGTCTCGGTCAGCCTGGTCGACTAGTCAGTCATGCTCGGGTCTTAGTTCAGCAATGCGATGGTGTACATACTGCCTTGTTCCGGCCGGACGGTATCCGTTGTCTTTGCGGCGAGCAAGAAGTCAGTAAGAATCAGTTCGAAGCTCGTTCGGAATAACTAACATTCTCCTCTCTCCAAGTCCTGTTGATTATGATACTTGAGCTTCTCCACCAATGGCAAAGAGTAGAACTCCCTCCCGAGAGCAAACTGCCGATCAACTTCTTCCTGCGAGACTAGAAGGAGTGATCATAGAGTTAGCGGTATACTCAATGTGTCAGGAGGACAACGTGAAGAGCAAAACATCACACTCCGGGCTGCTTACTGTCGAAGTTCTGAACGTAGAAGAAGCCTACATGCTGAGCAGCATAGGTCAGCTGCTCGGCCAGCTTCTCCTTTCCACCAGGCTTGTCAAATTGGCTCAAGTCAAGCGTAACCAGTTCTGCCCAATCGACTGTCCTCATGTCAGTATAGCTATAGCACAGATGATGCTCTAGACGAACGATCGGCCTTGGTTACTGGAACCTGTTCATAAGGTGTTAAAGTTTTGCCAGGCATATTCGACCTATACGTGAGAGATAGTTTGGGATTGATTTGCCTTCTTTTGAGGTCGAGTTGGAGGTTTAATACTTGCAGGTCGTCTCGTGGGTATGCATCTCCTCATTGCGTGCTATTACATGCCGACGAGCCGATAGCCCCAGACACCCATCCTGCATGCATATGCATCAGGGTCCGCTATGGGCGATGGTGACAGGCAGGATAGCTAGCACACCATTGATAACGCTGGTTTTGCCTGCCGTCTCGAGGACAGCGACATGAAGCGCACAGATATGTCCTCCCGTGCTAGCAAGCGAGGTTCCCGTAGAGGTGGATTTGATGGTCGGTTGACGACACCGACTCTCTCGCCTCAGCTGTTCGTCGCGCTGGGTCACTACTCCTCACGCAACGGTGGAGGCGGCGCATCTCACACCGGTGAGCGGATTGACAACCATGTTGTCTCTTTGTCGATGTCGGTGGTATTGTTACGTCGCTCCCCCCTCTCGATGTTTTCCCTGTGCTTATACGTTTTTCAGAGTCAACTGCCCCATCAGGGTCCTCGGACCGGCGTTGTTATCCGAACATAGCTACACACTAAAATTTGGCGCATAACTAATGTTATAACTACAACAACCTTCTTAAAATCGTGTTTTTTTCCTAGTAGTAATCGAAAAGGACGATATTATCGAAATAGCCGAAAATCAAGTATATAGTACGCCGCCGGCGGCTCTAACCGCTCTAGCGCGTACCTCTCGCGGTAACACGCTACGTAGAGCGCGTCTATCTAAAAGGGCTTAAGAGGCTACTACTACTACTATCGCTATCGCTATACCGAAGGCTAGACCGTCTAAGGGTAAGGGAAAAGCTACTTAGAGCGTAAAGAAGTCGTAATCGTCGAAGAAGCGCGCCGCGGCGGTAGAAGTAGAGGGTTCTCGAAAGCGCCGTTCGCGTAGTAGTAGTAATAGAGCCGGAGCCGGAACTATAGAAGTTAATATTAGTAAGGGAACTAGTTAAGAGGTAGATATCGCGGATAAGGCTCTATTTATTAGTAAGGATAATAACAAGAGCCTTTTAAATAAACCGCTACTACTAATTATATAGCGAAAGCGTCCTACTACTATCGCTACCGCTACGGACGAGCCTCTTAAGTTTAGTGTTTCGTAGTCCGTATATTATAATAAGGAGCGTATCGAGATAAAGGTAGAGCCGGCCTATAAATATAAGAAGCTATTCGCTATATTATCTATATTTAAAGTATAGATAGATACGCTAGAGGATAAGGATAGAGAGCGAATAGAGCCGCTTTATTAAGAACGCTTAAATAAACCGATAATATCTATCTACTATTAGAAAGTGTAGTTATAGAATAGCTATACATCTAACATAACAGAGAGCTAAGTAGCTACAAGGTTATATAACTCTATATAGGGTAAARTCTCTTCTTAGGAGATAGAGACACATCTCTAGATAATAAAAAAAAATTAACACATTAGTTCCTACTTTTAAGTACTACCTATCGGAGATAGTAAGCTAGTTAAAGATTAAGATACTCTT